CCTATCTTCTCTTTATTTCTTTTTATTTGTCACTGATTTTGTGGAGGATCAGTGTGGACAATAACTATGTCAACCTAGTCCAGAACGATGGGCAACTAGATATGGTGATGGGGTTTTCCAGTCATCTGGGTATTTGGGAGCATGAGCAGAAGTGTCTCGATGCATGGCTGGCACGTATTTACCAGCAGTTTGATGAGGTGGAAGCTCAGTGGTTTTAGGCCCTACAGTTTTCAGGCTGGTATGTGGATGTTTCCAATTAGCATTCCTATTTGTCCTCATTAACTGTATAGTGCATGGTTGAAGAAATGGTATATTAGATGTCTGCATAATAGTTCGCATATATGACTGTTTTTTATTTATGTATCTGTGCCAAACCACTTTGGCACATGACACCGGCACTGGCAAGGCATGAGCCCAGCATGCAGGACGTGAGTATTGATGCACTGTGGCTAATCAAACTGTCCAACTGAACATCTGCCATCATGCGGTCATTGAATGCCTTGATCGCCTTGGGCCTTGTCAGTAGTGGTGGATGGTCCAGGACCCATAGACACTTCAGCAGCAGCAGTGGCAAGCAACACTGACACAGAGGATGACACAAGTGCACCCTTGACACCCATACCCTCCAATGGTCATGCACATGTGGCATGCATCCCACATTCGCAGTCCATGGACCTGACATCACGCGTGTCACAGATCTTCCTGCTGTTGCCACTTGCAAGCGAGGCAGATGACTCGTTGGTGTCAACAATGGGGTGGCATGCAGCATGCAAGGTGTGGGGCAAGTTGATGGACCCAGGCATGCAGGCAGCACCTGTCTTGGTCATGGTATGTCTCCTGCCGTCTGTCTGTGTGGCACCCCTTGCGTCTGACACAGTGTGATGCCAGAACTTCCACCCGGGCAGTGACCTCGTAATGTAGCTTGTGCACTGGGGCCGGCTCGGGCGCGACTGCGCATGATTCTATGCCATGGAAATCATCAAGGGTGTTGAGGGCCTGCATGCAGCGGGTGTGATCTACCACAACCTGAAGCCAAAGAACATCCTCATCGGCACAGACAGGCACATTGTGCTCACAGACTTTGGGCTCTTGAAGGAGTTCCTGTGCCGCACGTTGCCAATCACTACGCTGCTGATGCCGTCGAGCTTCTGCGGCAACTTCACTATGGGCATGCCAGTTGCAGCGATGCTGCAGTGGATGAAGGGTGAGAAGGGCCAGGAGCTTGCGAATGGGTGGGCCCCATCTGGGCTGCTCAACACCACAACGATGTTCTGCAGGACAGCAGAGTACCTGGCACCAGAGGTGATGCAGGGGCAGGCATACAGCTACGAGGTGGACTGGTGGAGCTTTTGGATGATGCTGTACAAGATGCTGACTGAGATAGTGAGTGCTGATGGAGGCCTGTGTTTGGTGTGCATGATGCTGATTGGTTTTTTTGTTTTTTTTTTGCAGCAGATGCTGCAGTTCGAGAGCATGGATATTGTTCTGGGAGAATGTGAGTTCCTCTTTATTGATTGTTAGCTACTGCTGATAGTTGTAACCTGCTAGGCTGCTACATTGATGTGCAGCTTGGTGTGCACAAGTCTGCCCAGACAGGTATCAACCATGTTTGGTGACTGTGGGCAAATGAAACAAACCTGAAGATCTGTCTGATGTGTGCGCTCATCTGTCTTTTGGCAATGTACGGGAAAGATGTCCAGCCACTCAGACCGCTCTTTCAGAAGGTCTCTGTTCATGGTGTGATTCTATATGATCAACCAATGGTATGCATGCTGTTTATGGTTTTTTCTTGTTTGCTGTGGCTCAATCTTGTTATTTAGACATCAGCTATTCTCAGCCATGCCTTGACCAAGGACCTGCAAGGTCTTGGCTACAAGTTGTGGATCTTGTATTGTCACGACTTAGGGTCAAGCGACAAGGAAGAACAAACAAGCAGGTTGGGGGCATTCAACTGGGTTGACTGAAGCGATGGTGAGCATGCTCAAACCTAAGGCTAGGGACAAGATAATATATTAGTTAGTGAAAGAAGGAAAGAATACATGAGGGCTTACTGACCTAGGGACAAGAGGTTGAAACTGAGGTCCATAGGGTAGCAGAGGCCAGCTTATATACAGGAGAGGTTTAGGGCAGGCTGTGCGTGCTGGTCCATGCATAGCTGGTCTGTGCACAGCATGCTGATGCAGCCCCGGGGGCCAGTGAGTCAGCATGGCTGTGTCAGTGGAGCCCGGGCTGTGCCATGCACTGCCATCCCATCTAATCTAATTGTACAGTAGATAACAACTTGTTCATTCGAGTGTATAGTACAGAGGTTGTGGGTTTGAGCCCGTGAAAAGGAAAAAATTAAAAACCGGCTAGACACCATACCAAGTCATGACATGTATGGCATGCACTCATTCTGATGGGGTGGGTGCCAGTACTGTGTCAAGCAGCTTAACTGGTCTATTGATGAAATAGCTGCTTGTGGCGGATGGTCACAGGTGGAGGCAATCACCATGTTCTGCTACTTCTATGCTCTGAATGACAATCACAAATATATGGTAGATTACAATAGGAACAATGGTAAGCATTCATGCACTATGTAAAGCAGTATGTGATGTAAATGAATAGTGGTGTTTATGGCTACTATCTATACTGCTCTAAGCCAAGCTCCCACCAAATCTCCCAATCATTCATGCTCTTCCACCTTTCATGCAACACTGCTCTGAAAATGTACTGAACACATCTTGGTATTCCGGCTTAAGCTGCTCGTGAGCAATATCCTTCTTGTGGTGAGGAATGGCTTCAATCACAAGCCTGTACAAACACAACAAATCCTGCTTGCACCTTTTCTGCGGGTCTGATGGCTCAGCAAAGAATGCATAAAAATAGTCTTTGTCACCTCCAAATGCATCCTGCAGCTTCCCATAAAGATGTTCATGACAACACATGCTGACCTTGATGGTTTCCCAGGCCTGGGTACCTCCATATTGTGTACAAAGTCTTGCATTGACAGTAGGTACTTGATTAGACATTGATACAGTCTACAAAATGGCAAAGTCAACAGGGATGGAAAGGATCCATAGCTGTATGTGAAAGGTACTCACATGAATCAATAGCGAGGAAGGCCCGGCAACAGAAGTCCCATTGGGTACAAGCAGCCATTGTGCCACCATCAGGCCTGCAATTGCATATGGATTGCCAGCCTGTGCTGCTTCAACCCATGACCTGATGGTATCAAACATCGTTTCGGCCTGGTGTGATGGTGTCGAGGGCAGGCTTGCCAAGGAAGCTACAGCCATGGGAGTTGAAAGGCTGGGGCTCACCAGCAAGGGAGCTGCAGCCGAGCATGCAGGAGAACACACTGTGCAGAAGCCAGGAAGTCAGATTAATGGGACATCAGATACCGATGCAGCGGGTGCACCTAATCAAGCCGCATCCTCATCCAATACAAATGGCATGCCCCGTGCAGCCTTCTCTCACCACTCATCAGTGAGATCATGGAGATGTGCCCACTGCCGGCACTGGATCTCCTTGTTGATGGGGCGCGGGCCGGAGGCAGGCAATGCGGGCTCAATAGCCTGGGCAAGATTGAGGCTGTAGTGCCGGGCCATGCGCTCCCACAGCTCGTCGACCTTCCCTGAGAGCACGATCAACTTCTTGCCCACGTTCTGATTGATGGCATCAATCTAATGCTGCAATTGGATGTGCTTGGCTGAGGTGAGGTCGATGACGGATGGGGCAGATGGCGCAGACATAGGTATGGGTGCAAGGGAGTACACGGATGTCAAGGACAAAAAGCATGAAAAACCAGCCTGTGCCGCCCTGGAGTTATACGGCGCGAGATTGCGTGCACACGTTGCGGGCACGCAGGTGGGCGAAATCACCATGCACTTGCCATATTAGGCAAGGACAAGAGCTGGCAGCCGAACGGCTGTTTGCTGCCTGCCTGCATGCCATCATCTCTCCGTGCCATGCACAATGATGTGCGCATGCATGCACGTGCCCTCCTGCATGCTGCCCAGAACACGCCAGCACGCTGGAAATGATGCACACAATGATTTGCTTCCACTGCCACCATGTCCGGGGGCCAGTGTTACGGGGCGCACGGCACAGGGTGGCACATGCGTGCAAGCTCACGTGCGTGTCCCAGGACACACTGACACATCTGCCCTCGTATATATTCGCTCCTCTGCCCTTGTTTTCTTGTTGCTCTTATTCTCATTGTTCTGTATGTTGCTCATGCCATGCCACCAGCCCTGTCCACAGTTACGCCCAAACCTGGGCAGAGCTTATTGGCCTCGAGATGTACGTATCTGAGCTTGCACCAGCTGGAGGCACTGACTGTATATTCAGGGTGGATCCCCGGTGTGGGTGATAACCGCGGCCTTTGGACATGCACGGCCTGCCACAACCACCACTGCTTAACACTGCGCAATGCCAGGCATCATGAATCTTCCAGCTGGCATCAACAGGCATTACAATATCGCATGCAGGCTCCTGACCCTAAGGCTACCACAAGCACCATTCCTCATGTTGTCGACCCACTCTACAACTTACTTCAAGACATCACACACAACTTGTCTATCAATCTCGGCCACTCTGATCAACAAGACAACATGATCCTCGACTAGGAGGCAATTTCATCTCAGATTAGCGGCAACTTAGCACCCACCATGGTCCAGGGTGCAGTCGCAAGTTTGACTACATCCTTGCTTGATTGGCTTGCTGCAAACCCGCAGTTGCAGCATGACATGTCCGACAGTGAGCCCAGCGAATGGTCCAAAGACAGGCTCACCCAAGAATATGCAGAGCGCACACCCGGTATGCTTGTCCTCTTTCCCAATCTGTGCTAATCTCATTCAGTGGAACCTTTTAGATCATTTATCCTCAGGCCTGCATTGTATGTGTGGCCACTCTGATGAGGAGCCTAACTGGTTCCCTTGGCCTGACAAGGTAGTGCATACACTCACTTGCCAGTGTATGTCTCTTATGCTCATTGTCCTCCAGACATGCATCCTGGATATTTTGCGCCATCTGCCGTGTTCGCTTTTTTCCGATACCCAAATGCAAATGATCCTTTGGTGTCTGGACATACTCGGTGTCGACAATAGGCCATTGCTTGCTGTCTTGAAGGCAGTCAATGAGTTCCTACAGCACCTATGTGGTATCACCTCTATTTGGTACAAGGGCCCCCTCAGTGATGTATACTATGTCAATGACCTGCACTCAATCATCGTGCAGGTAAGTAATAGCCTCTCTCAATGCCATAGCTTGCTGACGTCGGGCAAGAAATGGCCAACCCAGTTGTCTGAGAACACCTGCACTTTTACCCTGAAAATGCAGGCATCTTCAAGAAGCATGACAAGGCCGACAGTGGCTGCACGAGCTCAGCCCTCAGATTGCAAGCCAGATGATCTGCATGGACCATCAGGATTACTTCCTCTATGAGCCCGCAAAGTTGCGCAATGGTAATCTCATTATCCTTATTTGCTGGTACACATGCAAGTCCCCTGCTAGGGATCAATTGATGTTTGGCAAATGTTGGCACCTACTCCCTGTCAGTACAGACCATGGACATTGTGGGTACCTAGTGCATGAATTCCAACCAATCCACTTTGCGGCCACACAGCTCTCGTTATCATTGCCGAACTTGGTGGCCACCTATCAAACTGACAACCTTCCAGATCCTTGTGTGATTGTTGGTAAGTCTTCCATCTTATTTGACAATTTGCTTGGTGCTCATGCATGGTGTGCAGGTGTTATTCATCCCTGCAATTCTGGGATTTATCCATGAACATATACTGACCCGGCAGCAGGCAACTGCTGGTGTTCACAGGCAAAAGGGCATCATGTCATGTTGTACATGATGTGGCTTTATTGCGATGACACCTCTGGAAACATATCAAAGAAATGGAACAAACATAACTCATGGTTGTTTACGGCGGTGGGGCTCCCCCACAACATTGGGCAGCAAGAGAGTAATGTACACTTCTTATCAACGTCCAACATTGCACCCCCTTTCGAAATGCTTGACAGAATTGTCTCACAGCTGGAGTACGTCAGTTCTGCTCACTCATGATCTGTTTACACTGATGCTGCTTCATGACATTAAGGGATGCCCAACACAATGGGATCTGGGCTTGGGATATCCATTTGAAGGAAATGATCCTCGTTATCCCTGGGGTACTCGCTCTGCTGGGTGACAATCCCATGCAGAGCGAGCTTGCCTGCCATGTCAGCCTAGCAGGTAAATTCTTTTGCCGTTACTGCTGGGTCAAAGGGTGTGATGCCTCTGATGAATTGGATTTACCCCACGATGAGTTGGCAGGCTCGGGACATCAAGCAGACAGCAATTCCAAGCACTCTAACACCTTTGCCAGTTCCGCTGGTAGTCATAGCAAGAGAGCGAAGAAAATGCGCTGTGCTGAGACTCTGCAGGAACTTGTTGACCGAGCGCGACACTTTTTTGCAGTGCGTGATTGCTCACATGTCGAACAACCATAACACTGATGCCCTTGTTAGGACATCTGACCACAAACTTCAAATGAGATGTTAGGCCACCTGCAAGCTATATTCCAAGAAGCCAGTACAGTCGGTGGCACCACTCGTGCTAAGCAAATGAAAACAGAAACTGGCATGAAGGACACTTTTCAAGACCATTTTGTTAATAGAATTGCTGCCTTCTCATGCAAATTGCATGGCAGTCACGGCGAGAAGCAAGCCATCATTGATGAGATGATCACATCAGAGTTTCCGGCCAACACATCCAGTCCTATTTTTCATATCCATGGTGAGTCTCTGCTTTTGTGATGCGCCAAGTGTGTCTGCAGGGCACTCATGCAATTCACAGATTTGGACGTGAATCACGATACACCAGTTGAGATACTCCATGTTGTACTCCTTGGCTTCATCAAATACTTCTGGTGTGATGCAATTGCATGCATCCCCAGGGATCACAAAGACTTGCTGAAGACCTGGTTGTCGTCACTGGACGTGTCAGGCCTGGGCTTGCCATCATTAGCTGGTGAAACATTGGTCACATATGTGGGATCACTCACCGGCCGCAATTTCCAAACCATTAGTCAAGTTGCATCATTTGTGCTGTACAACATGGTGTCTGCAGAATGTTTTGATGCATGGCTCATGCTCTGCACCTTGGTTCCACTGATTTGGCAGCCTGTGATTGAGGATCTGGAATCTCATCTGGTGTGCATACCGACTCACGTGTTCTGACATTCACGCTGATGCTGTCTATTCCAGGAGAGTATGAACAGAGTGATCAAGCATTTCCTGTGTTGTACTGCACACTGGACACCATGGTGGTTTAATAAACCAAAATTCCATATCATTCTCCACTTGGTGGCACATGTGCGACACTTTGGACCTGCCATTCTTTTTGCCACCAAAGGTTTTGAATCCTTTAATGCCATCATTCACATGCAAAGGATCCATAGCAATTGCCATGCACCATCTCGCGACATTGCATGTGGGTTTGCGCATGTGAATCGCATATGCCATCTCCTTAGCGGTGGCATTTTCATGCACCAGGATCCCACATCAGGTTGGCATGCATGCCATAACGCTGACAGTGACCCTGCGGCCTGGATGACTGCCGGCCGATATCCTCTGGCTTTGGTGCACCCTCGCATGGATGTCAAGAATGTCATCATGGACTATTATGGCCTAAGCAAGGCAACAGATGCCATCGCACAGCATTCTCTTGGTATGCATGTCATGCCTCAGCTGCACATATTCTAATGGCTAATTCTGAGGACTCCTAGGCCAGTGCATCATTGAGATGGGTGCGCATGTTGCCTGGCTGCAAACACTCACCACGAGAGTACTGCCATCAATGCTGACAGAACCACCACCTGCTCTACGGCAATGCAAGTTGGTGCAATTCTGCGCTGGCAAAGGTTATGTGGTTGGGGCTTGGGTTATATTTCAAACCACCACCCCGCCGGCTGCTGGATCTTCGCGACCACCTGCACCATCTATTGGGCATGTGATGGAGATTCTGCAGGTCACCAACAGCTTCAGTGCACTTGCAGGACATGCAGACAAAACACTCATCCAGTTGTTCATGGTCACAGGCAAAGCGCCGCATTATGGGTACCTGCAATTGCATGCAGCACACTGGGTATCTGTTGCCCCTCTTGTAGGTCCCTTGCGCATCTCACACATCCCTGACTAACCTACAGTGTAGGATATACTATGTCTTGTGAACGTACAACACAATTATATGGCCCACAGCTGCCATCTACCAAGAGCATGAGCTCACCACAAGTACCCATGCACGTGTGCATCATAAAGTCCCCAAGGATGTCATTTTAAATATGGCACAAATGTGTGATGCTCAGTATGTGCAAGTGTTTCGTATGGAGCCGGTGCAGTTGGATGTTGAGATGGCAATCCTGGCGGGTGCATGCAGCGAGGTTGATGCTTGGAACACCCGTCAGACTCAATCCAAGCCTTGCAAAGTGTGAGCTCTGCTACACACAGCCATGAACAATGTAGTGCATGGAGGAGTGTGAACATCAGCAAACAAGAATGAGCACATTGCCACACCAGGACAAGCAGCCAAGAGTCCTTGTCTTCTGCAGGTCTGTCAGTCCTGTCACATTCCACCACCTGCACATCTACACCAACGTCTGCAGCCTGGCCTGCTTCAGAGTGGTGCAAACACTATGACATGCCATCTGAAGCAGCTCTACAATACGCTGAAGGCCACCACAATGCAAGGAGGGAGCCGATCCCATCCAGTGTGAAGCCATTGACATGCGCCCGCAGTGCAGGCCTGCTGCTGCTCAACAGCACCACCAACCAAATGTTCTCTATGATATGCTGGAGGCCATCAAGTATGAATGCACCCAGATGCTCACAATGTGTGCACCCTCCTTGCCGTGTTCTCATCGCCTGTTCGCACTCCCCTGAGCACCCTCAGCCTCCTCCATACAGGTGGGCCTAAGATGATGGCCGTGCCCCTAAAGAGCCCTGGCAGCACTGGCAGTAAGTGACTTGCGCAACACATGCAACGTCCAATGCACGACTAGTTTTAGTATTTAAGATATGCCCCCCTTCCTGGACCATGTAAACACAGTCACATGCCTGACATGTCCCGTCGCATCAACATCTGCGGTGTGCCTGATATTGCCATTGTTTAACTGGTTTGTTTAAATTCGCAAACAGGAGCAATCAACAAGGCTTGCGGTATATAAATCAGGATAGCCTTGGACTCCCCCTGCGCCCCTCGCATACATCCTGATGTCTTTTCCTTTGGATCATCTTCCCTCCGGGAGTGCGAATCCCATGAATAGTTCAACTCTGCCCTCATTTCCACTATGAAAACATGTCGGGGCTCGGCACTCTGGCCATGGCAGCGTCACACACATCTGTGGTGCCATCATCCTCCCCACCAGGCTTCTCACCCCACCCTGAGACCTCCTCCACTCACCACATGTCATTTGATAAGGTGCACATCAAGCAATGGTTGGAGCTTGTTGCGAACTGCTTGCAACTGAGGTCAGAACAATACTCAGATCTCCAGGTGTTCATTGAGGTCTGTGGCATACTCCTAACAGGCACTGCCATTGCTGATCTACCTTTGTGCAACCAGCTCGGAGAAGATCTCGAGCCTGGTGACATTTGCATACACATCTATCAGCAGGCAACACAGTATTGTGTACTCAACAATGTGGAAGTGCAATCTGTTGCTTACGGCAAATTCATGGTGTTACTGCAAAGTGTTGAAAGCAGTCTTGATCGGAAATGGGAGCTTTTGAAGGATCACAAGGCAAGTCACTAACAAGTATTGTGCCTGCCTTTCTGACGAGCAACACAGAAACAAGTGGTAATTCATGCCTGAGACAAGATCATTGAGCCTGGCCGTGTTGCTTTTATGAGTCTGGCATTTAATATTGAGGTGCAAGCATGGTGACAATGTCTACTGTCAAACTGATGGGTCCTAGGAACAACTCCGGCGTGACAAAGACCTGCTGGGATTCACACAAATTTATGGCAATCCGGTACGTGAGAACATGCTCATGGCAGTTTGCCGTGATTATGCATCATTGGCATGAAATCAATATCGGAAAATGGTAAGCTGTGATACTGTATTTCATAGGCATATGAGGTCTAACACAAGGCGTGTAGCTTCTGAAAAGTGTCAGCCTGGGTGCTGCACAATGCAGCCTTGAACAGGCCACCTGGCTGATTGCTACCAAATTCAAGATGGGCAGCCCGGGCAGCACTCTTTCGGCAGACTACCAAATCCATATTGTGATTTTGGTATGTAGGTCATGGCCTCATTGTAGTCTGTGTGTGCTGACCATCAGTGCCATAGCACCGTTTGATGTGGGAAAACAGTGGGACTTTGGATGCCTCTGACCTTGACATGGCCGAAGTGGATGAGTCCAGTAATGAAGATGATGCAGTGGCAGCAACAGCGCCCAAAAAATGAAAGGTAACCCACCATGGTCCAACTGTCGGGAAATCCATCAAAGTGCAGGATTTTTGGTCACATGTGGATGCGTGGTGAAACATTTATCTTTCCATTCTATTTCTTGTACTACTAGCGCCCATACTGGCGCCCATCTTAGCGCTCACCCGCGGGTTGAACATTATGTAGCTTACATAATGGGGTCCATGCGCACTTCGTGCCTGGTATCGTACCACTACGTTTCCTTCTTTACTAACACGACCACACAGATACAGTGGTCCGTGCGTAGATGGTACTTGTATAAGTAGTTGTACCATTAGTCGGTCGAACCCTAAGTTCGACCTAGCTATTCATTCAAGTCTCTGCTCCTCTTCGCTTGGGGTAGTGGTCATTCTCGACTTCCTCGCTCGATCTTCAGGACAACGCACTGTCCATAAGCCCTTGCTCGTTGCCTACGAGTCAGGCATCAATATAGGAGTATAGACCGTTGTATCATGTGGTGGACAGCGCGTGTCACAGAGTGGGGGACCAATATTAAGAACAAACATTGGCGACCATACACTCATGTCTATCCCAGTCGCCAACTCATATCTAACATGTGATATAGATTTATCTCCAAGACAATTCACCTTGACAAGGCACAATTTGGGCAGACTCTGCAGCCATGTCTGGAACTGTTACCAGTGGTATATGGACATATGCCACTGCATGGGGCAGGAATTGAGCAGGGTCGCGCCGAGGATGATTGTTGAGAGCAGCATGAGGGTGCACCTGTTTCACGGGCAGATCCCATGAACCTGACCTTTATGCTGCTCTCATAATACTTTTGATACACGAATTAAGATCACATTGATTGCTACATAAGAACAATGCTACATTTCATGCAGTGCTACACTTTGTCACCACTGAGAGGTGTTAATATCATAAGCTCATCGTCAGAAGGCTCTGACGATGGCACAGGTAGCATATGGACCCTTCAGATGAGAGGTCGGTGGATCAGTCCCCTGCCCAAATGTCAAAACTCAGCATCCCACTCAGTGCAACACTCAGCAGAGAGAGTGTGTGTGACTGCCCATTGAGACTTCCCCGGCTTCTGAGATGGCATTAAGACCATCAGCATGAGAAGAGTTGAATAAACATACCCTATCCAGCCTGCGTGTCAAGCGCTGCTTTGGCACTTCAGGAGTGGGATTGTGTGGTGTCACCTTGACACTGCCGAGAGAGGGACTTTTGATCTTCAATACAGAGCTATTGAGGTGGGATTTGAGCTCATCAGCATGGGATATTGGGAGTTTGCATACCTGTCAGGAGCTGGGGGGCTCTCGTCTGTTTGGGACTCGACAGAGGTGAACATCCACTGTGAATTGACATGTGCAGGCCAGACTGAGCTGTCCGGTGCGCTTGGAGTCGGGTCACTATGGCAGTGCTTGTGGTTAATTGGGTGGGCGCACCATGATTCTGATGGCATGGCTTTCCCAGCAAGTGCCATTGCGACCACCTGTTGACCGAGGCTGTGAGGAAGAGCGAGAGCAGATAGCAAATGGTCACGCACCTCAGAATATGCACTGGCTGATGGTAAAACAAACACATTCACTGAGCCAGTATTGGTGATGTGTGTCATGAGTTGACACGGCATCTAGCCGTCTTTTTAATTTTTTCCCTTTTGCGGGCTCGAACCCGCGACCTCTGTACTATACGCCTGAAACGGACATTTCCGTATCTACTGTACAATCAGATTAGATGGGTGGCAGTGCATGGCACAGCTCGGGCTCCGCTGACACAGCCGCTCCGACTCACTGGCCCCCGGGGCTGCGTCAGCATGCTGTGCACGGACCAGCTGCACACAGACCAGTGCGCACAGCCTGCCCTTATCTCCCCCTGTATATAAACCTGCCTCTGCTGCCCTAGGGACCTCAGTTTCGACCTCTTGTCCCTAGGTCAGTAAGCCTCTCATGTATTCCTTTTCTTACTTAACTAACTAATACATTTCTTGTTCCTAGCCTTAGGTTTGAGCATTGCTCACCATCGCTTCGGTGAGACCCAGTCGAACACCTCCAGCCTTCGCGTTTGTTTGTCCTCTGTCGCTTGACCCCAAGTCACGACATTAGGTCGAAACTCCCCTCGCTGCTGGCATTCACACACAACTCCCACTCACTTCACACTTCCTATAGGTCGGGTGGTGCGCACCCTTACTATACTTAGATAGCCTACAATACATCACCACCACTCGGGGAACGAACTCTTCGGTATCTGCACTTCAGTGGGCGATACTTGTCCTCACGGACGCGTGGCTTAGGTTCCTGCTGCATACTAGCCAAAAGCAGTACTGGGCCCCACGTGAACTGCGAACCTTAGTGTTATCTCGGGCGCCGTAGGTGTAAGCTAGCTAGTATGGCCTTTCGTAGCACGCGCACCTCCCCTTCCTTCCCCCATCACTGTGGCTGACGAATTCTTCGACTGCTCTCAACTCGAGCATGCATTCGACACACAAGAACAAATCGACGTCTCCTGCAACGACCCAGAGAGCGACAGATCCAAAGCTCCATTTTTCATTTGTGATCGACAACCGTGCCCTAATCGCACTCCACGGTCCATCACTGCCGAGGAAAGATGCTATGTGTGAATCAGATGAGTCTAGCACCCCAGCGGCCCCGCACTCCAGTACACCAGCACATCGAGATCTACTTCTCACCACGTCACTCCTGTCCCGTCCCAACCCGCATCCCTGGGCACCCGCATTCCCCAACCTGTCACCAGTACAGGTCAAGCGCGAGGAGATCCTGATCTCCCTCGAAGAACTGAGGCAGTCGCAGAGCCTGCAGCGACCCCTCAAGCAATCCCCCAGCCCTCCTTGGGGCCGCGGTTGAAAAGGAACCCGAAGCCTGAGCCCAGTGACAGTCCAGCGGTTACTTGGGCCAGCTCGTCATCAGCAATCTCCTCCTCGACTCCAGTCCCTATTGTATGTCACCCCGCCTCCGGACTTCCTCCATCGCCTCCACCGCCGACGCTGCCGCGAAGCCGCTCAAGCACTCGCTCCTCCTGAAGTTCACCCGGTGGACAGTCACAACAGCCACCTTTGCCCGCGGGCAGTCCTCCGTCCCCCTCATCGCTGGTAATGTCATCCCCAGTGTCCCCTCCTGACAAGGAGACACTGAGACTCCTGCTCCCCCTGCAATACAATGGAAAAACCATCATTGAGTGCGATCGGTTCCTATCCCAACTCTGCATCTACTGGCTGGTCAACACGTTATTGACAACCATCGAGCTCAAGGTGCAGGTCGCTCTAAGCCTCCTTGATGGCGACACTCGTACCTGGGCCACTCCATTCTTTGCCCAGCTTGTATCGGTACAGCTAGGTACCCAAGGAGTCACAACCCCGTTTGCAAATGAGGCAGCCTTTGCTACCGCGCTCAAGGCCTGCTTTGGCAATCTCGACGACGAAGCTGCAGCCCAGGTGGAACTGGCAAAGCTCTGCGCGGACAAGTCAGTCCACGAGAAACACACCGCTGCGGAATTCTCCGCACTATTCAAGGGTCCGGCGGACCATTCCGGGTATGGAGACCTGGAACTCCGCAACAAGTACCTGAGCGGTATCCCCTCCCGTGTCTACCGCAAAATCGAGCTCAAAATGTTCACCACGTGGGAAGATGCTGACAAGCGTGCCACGGAAGTCGAGCAAATACTCGACATCAGCCGGGCCCGTCGGCCCGAGTTGAACAGTTTCTTCTCGGCCCGAGGAGGTGGACAAGGTGGAGCGCATGGTGGTACACCCAGGTCACATGGAGTGTCGGCCAGCATCAACACTGCCGTCGGAAAAGGAGACTTCTCTGGCAGTTGCTTCAGCTGTGGGAAGCAAGGGTACTGATGCTTCGAGTGCCCCATTTGTAAGGACAAACCTTACACCAAGCGCGCTGATGCATGGGCTACGGTTGCCTCGGGTTCTACCCAGGCCGCGACAAGCGCCCCCGTCACAACATCACCCTCGGCAAGTACAAGTGCCGCTTCAGGAAGTCCAGAGAAATCTGAGACGCTGGCGGCCTTGATGGCACAGGTGAAATTGATGTGCAAGGAGTTGGAGCACTACCAGGCGATGAAAGAGGAGTCTTTTTGATCAGGTCCGCGCTTCATGCCGCACGTGTTGGACCACATAATAACAATCTGTACAATGTATTGGCAACTGCGAATGTGTACAAATTAGACCACGGGTCTCAGCATTTTCACATTCCGGTGCGCCTCAAAGGAGAAAGACAGCACAAGGACATAGTCGCAATGGTGGACAGCGGAGCCACCACAAAGTTTATCAACAAGTGTTTCATCCAGGAGAATCGAGTACGAACGCGGAAATTGAAGGAACCAATTCCGCTCTACAATATCGATGGAACACTCAACAAGGATGGAAGCATCTCGAAAGTAGCCGTGCTACAGATGCAGATAGGAGAACACATCGAAAAAACGGTGTTTACGGTCACAGACATAGGTCCAGAGGATGTGATTGTCGGGTTGGATTGGCTACGCGAGCACAACCCTGAGATCGATTGGGAGACAGGCTCCTTCAAACTGTCACGATGCCCTGAAATGTGCAGTGCCAGAAAGACTGGCCGAATGGAGCAAGCAGCAACTATGCATGATACGGGGGTCAGGCCCACGGCACGCAGGCGTTCGCCAAAATCCAAATGGTCAGTCGTTGGTGCCTGCCGGAGTAAGGTACTCCCAGACTTTGAACCCAAGGAGAAACCGGAAGAGGTTGAGTGGACAGAGACCAACTTGATCAAGGCTTGGGAGCAAGGTATCACACTTCCAGGCGCTCCTCAGTTGTTCGTTGCAGCAGGACATACCTATTCCCAGCTGTTTGTGGAGGAAGAGATCAAGAAGAAGGTCGTTAAGCCCGTCGAGGAGTCAGTACCGAAGCAGTATCACCAGTTCTTGAATGTCTTCTCCAAAGAAGCATCAGAACGGTTACCCGAAAGGAAGCCATATGATCACGCAATCGAACTCGTGCCTGGCTACTCGACGTTCCACTCAAAGGTGTACCCATTGTCGAACAATGAGCAGGAGGAGCTGGATAAGTTCCTAAAGGAGCAGCTGGCGAAAGGCTACATACGGGAGTCGAAGTTGCCCATCTCGTCCCCCTTCTTCATCATCAAAAAGAAGGAAGGGACACTTTGACCCATGCAGGATTACCGCCGGCTGAACACGATCACTGTCAAAAATCGCTATCCACTGCCGCTGATCGCCGAGATGGTAGATAAGCTCTGAGGCGCTACGCTCTTCACTAAGTTCGACGTCAGATGGGGATACAACAATGTCCGGATCAAAGCTGGTGATGAGTGGAAGGCTGCCTTTGTGACCAACTAGGGATTGTACGAACCCCTGGTGATGTTCTTCAGCCTCACCAACTCTCCTGCAACCTTCCAGGCCATGATGAACGAGATCTTCCACGATCTCATCGTCGGTGGCAAAGTCCTCGTGTACCTGGATGACATCCTTGTCTTTTCTACCAATAAGGAGGAGCATGAGAAGGTCACACACGAGGTTCTTCGCCACCTTCAGGAAAACGATCTGTTCCTGAAGCCTGAGAAGTGTGAATGGGATGTTCCCAAGGTCGATTACGTCAGCTATGTGTTCGGTGGCGATGAGGTAGCAATGGATCCTGCGAAGCTGAAAGGAATTAATGAGTGGCCGGTACCCCAGAACAAAAAAGATGTTCAGAAGTTCCGGGGGTTCTCCAATTTCTACCGCCGCTTCATTAAGGACTTCGCTAAGATCTCGCGACCACTCGACCGACTCACAGGAAATGACCTCTGGCATTGGGGAGATGAGGAGCAGCACGTGTTTGATGAGCTCAAATGGCTCTTCGGTACAACCCCTGTTCTGGCGCTGTACAACCCTAATCGGGAAACACACATTGAGGTTGATGCCTCGGGGTACGCCACCAGTGGTGTGCTGATGCAGAAGCAGGACAAAGGCAAATGGCATCTGGTCGCCTTCCGATCTCACGCTATGGACCCTGCCCAGCATAACTACGAGATCTACGATAAGGAGATACTCGCGATCATCAAAGCACTGGACAATTGGCGCCACTATCTCGAGGGACTTCCCACTTAGTTCGAGATCGTAACTGACCACAAGAACCTCGAGTACTGGCGCACATTGCAGCACCTCACGCGCCATCAAGCGCAATGGTCACTGTTCCTCGCCCGCTTCGACTTCCGCATCACGCATAAAGCCGGGACATCGAATGGAAAGGCTGATGCCCTGTCACGCCAATCGGACCATCAGGTTGGCGATGAGGATGACAACACCGATCAGATTGTCCTCAAACAGGAGTGCTTCCACATCACCGCCACACAGCGTGGGCACGCCTCGGTGACAGCTGATCAGTCGCTTCTGAGGCGCATCAGGGAATGTTCGGAGAAGGATCGGGCAGTGGCCGAGGTGCTTGAAAAGGTGCAGAACCTCGGGCCGCCTCAGCTACAGAAGGGCTTTGAAGAGTGGAATGCCGAACAAGGGCTTCTGTTGTTCTGCGGATGTGTATATGTCCCAAAGAACGCAGAGCTCTGGCGGGATATTGTCAAAATCCACCACGACTCGCCGATCACCGGTCATGGCAGTTGTGCCAAAACCCTCGAGCTCGTGTTGCGGAACTACTGGTGGCCAGGAATGTCCAAATTTGTCAATGAGTACGTAAGCACCTGCGATGTATGCAACCGTACCAAGACATTCCCAGCCAAGCCCCAGGGTCCACTGAAGCCGAACGAGATCCCCGAGCGCCCATGGCAGATCATCACCACCGATATGATTGTTGGCCTGCCGAAGTCTGATGGATTCGACTCGATTCTGGTTACCACCGACCGCTTTACCAAGCAGGTCCACTTTTCCGCCTGTCACGAGACCCTGATGGCAGAAGGTGCGGCAGACCTGTATATCCGCGATGTGTTCAAACACCATGGGGCCCCGGCCAAGGTCATATCAGACCGAGGTCCCCAGTTCGCGTCAAAGTACCTCCATGCGGTATACAAGGGACTAGGGATCGAGCCGGTGCTGTCCACAGTGTTCCACCCTCAGATGGATGGCCAGACCAAGCGCTGGAATCAGGAGATCAAGCAGTACCTGTGTGCTTTCACAAGCCACAGGCAGGATGATTGGGCGAAGCAGTTGCCGCTTGCGGAATTTGCGCCGAACAACCAAGTTCACTCTGCAACCGGGCACTCCCCCTTCTTCCTGCATCAGGGGTACCATCCTGAGATCCAAGTGCAGATCAATCCGATGTCTGCGATGCCCGCAGCCACTGATCGGCTCAAGATCCTGAAGGAAATTTGGGATGATACACACTCTGCGCTTGAGTTATCCGCCAAGCGCATGAAAGTGTACTATAATAAGCACGTGCAGGAGGCACCGGTCTTCATGCTGGGGGATAAGGTCTGGCTTGATACTTGGAACCTTAAGCTGAAACAGCCGAGCAAGAAGCTCAGTCCCAAGCACCTCGGACCATATGCTGTGCGGCGAAAGCTCAGAGACTTAGATTATGAATTGGTTCTGCCGAAGTCGGTGCCTGTGCACCCGGTGTTCCACGTCTCCTTGCTTAGCAAGTATGCGCGTAGCGAGATCCCGGGCCGGGAGCCAGAGGAGCCACCTGCCATCGAGGTTGAAGGCGACGAGGAGTATGAGGTTGAGCGGATCAAAGATTCGAGGATCTTCTGGTGTCAGCTGCAGTACCTCGTCAAGTGGAAGGGTTATGACGACTCGCATACATCATGGGAACCGGCACGCAATGTTGTGAATGCACCGGCCCTCATATCCAACTTCCACCGGAAAAACCCGAATGCCCCTCGCCGCCTCAATGCCACTGTCTTTGGTGGTCTCAACTTCCAGCCAATGCCTTCGCCGCTGACTGAAGCATGCTGCCGCTCCGGGTGGGAGATGGGCAAGGGTGCCTCGCATGAGGTCATGCGCCGTTGAGGGGGGGGTAATATCACGAGTTGACACGGCGCCTAGCCGTCTTTTTAATTTTTCCTTTTTGCGGGCTCAAACCCGCGACCTCTGTACTATACGCCTGAAACGGACATTTCCTTATCTACTGTATGATCAGATTAGATGGGCGGCAGTGCGTGGCGCAGCTCAGGCCCCACTGACACAGCCGCTCTGACTCACTGGCCCCCGGGGCTGTGTCAGCATGCTGTGCACAGACCAGCTGCACATGGACCAATGCGCACAGCCTGCCCTTATCTTCTCCTGTATATAAGCTGGCCTCTGCTGCCCTAGGGACCTCAGTTTCGACCTCTTGTTCCTAGGTCAGTAAGCTCCCTTTGTATCTTTTCCTTACTTCACTAACTAAATACACTATCTTGTCCCTAGCCTTAGGTTTGAGCATTGCTCACCATCGCTTCGGTGAGACCCAGTCGAACGCCTCCAGCCTTCGTGTTTGTTCGTCCTCTGTCGCTTGACCCCAAATCGCGACAATGTGAATGGGAGGGCACCCCAGTGGTGCAATGGGGAGCCCGTGCATGATAAGTGACCAGAGCAGAGTGCGCGCGCAAACACTGACACCCTTGAGGTCACAGTCATGTGACCTGGGTAACGCATTGTGACTGCGCATTTGCCAGCAGCGCGAGTCATCGTTTTTCTTGCTCAACTCCCTGCACCTGTGCCTGACTGGACAGATGCACTCATTCATGCATGCAGGTGCGTTGGTGCTTGCACGATGGCCGCTGACGTGTATGTACATAGGGAAGACCAATCAGTGAAGGGAGTCGGTATAGTCCAGGGACCTACCTGGTTGTGGATATTCAAAGGTGCGCGATTGCAGCTCTTTGTGCGGGCCTTGTACGCTTACTGGCTTGAATCATGAAAGGATCATGTACCGTGGTTGGTGTGCAACACTTTGAGGAGGTGAGTACATGATACTGACAAGACTGACAAGACTGACATACCACTGACAAGAGCGATGCACTAATCATATACTGACAATACTGACGTCCCAACCTACTGACATCCCAACTTACTGACATACTGACCTACTGACATACTGACATACTGACGACACTTGTATATATGTAGCTAGTAGCTATTGGTTTGCACTGCTGTCAAATGTCCATAGAGTACGGGATAATATATATATTATTTATTTGAATTATTTTATGGTAATTATGGGGTGCTTGCAGAATAGCGGCATGGTTCGGCCCGTCCACTGAACCTGGCATGGCGCAAGTCACTGGGTGCCAGGTTTTACCCAATGCCAGGCTGAATCAGAAAATACCCGGCGGTGCCAATTTGGGGAAAAACCTGGTCCATCCCAGGCTCCTAAAACCAGCCCCACAATCACATTCTTTGCTCCTACATACGAGAGGCCAACTTAGTGTTATATATGAAAAAATTAAATCACGTGATTGATCCGAAAGCGAGAGCACGTGAGAAGTCAGAATAGCCGAATAAGAGGAGGATGAATGCTATAGAGGGGCTGGCGCAACTGGTCACTGAGTCATCCCCGAGCGCTGAGGTTTCGGCGTCTAAACAACTATTCCCCGCTCCTAACCCTGATGTAGGTCTTATTTTGGCTGGATTGTGGAGTAGCAATTCCAGCTGCAATTCGGCACACCTTGATCAGCCCATTAACCGCAATTGAAAGTGAGAAGTCAAATCTGCTATTCAACTCCTTACCTTTGGTGCAGGTGTCATGAGATACATGACACTACATTGTGTCTAGATTAGAAGAAGTTACATAGATCATAGCCTGCAGAATATAATTTGTTACAATGACTCTCTTTGGACAGTCTACACGCATTTCTCTGGTGCTTGAAAGAACATGAAATAAACATACCTGAACTTCTGGTCTCCCTGCTACTCAGCAACAATGTGGCCTCCTGGTTAGTACTCGATGATATCACTCAATACATAGGTCCCGTGATGTATACCCTTCATATGGCTTAGGCAACCCATGCGCCTTTGCAGGTGCAGGTGCATGAGACTGCAAAGAGTGTGGCCTACCCGAATGAGATCATCGCACTCACACAAATGGAATAAATCAAGACCTACATCAGGGTTAGGAGCGGGGAATAGTTGTTTAGACGCCGAAACCTCAGCGCTCGGGGATGACTCAGTGACCAGTTGCGCCAGCCCCTCTATAGCATTCATCCTCCTCTTATTCGGCTATTCTGACTTCTCACGTGCTCTCGCTTTCGGATCAATCACGTGATTTAATTTTTTCATATATAACACTAAGTTGGCCTCTCGTATGTAGGAGCAAAGAACGCGATTGTGGGGCTGGTTTTAGGAGCCTGGGTCCATCCTGGGTTGAGTGTGCTGTTTGATGAACCCGGGTTGAACTCAATCTCAGCGCCGCCTGTGTAGACCCCGGAAAATGCTTATGAGATACACTTGTCCTGGAACTTACATGACAGTCATGCCAGTCGTGACCGCCGCTCCCGCCATGAAACTCGTACCCAACCCACCCACATCGTCGATATCCATGCTTCCATCAAGCTCAACGGCCTGTGCATTCACCGCCCTCGTCGCAGCGCGTCGGGCCTTCTTCGCCTCCCGTTTTAGCACACGCCGACTGAGCGGATTTGACTTCGCCATGGCGCGCTTCGCATGCTCCTCGACGGGAGCGTCGTAGGATGGCACGTCGTGTGATTTCCGCATACGCTTGGGTGGACGCGTATGATACTCAGAATCCTGCTGAGGTGCTTGTGATGCTGTCGAGGGCCCGGGAGAAGTCGAGCGTGACCGCTTGCGAGGGATTTGGGAAGCGAGGTCATCCGATTCCATTGCAACTCTGGATAGCGGAGGTCAGTGATCCATCACGCAAAAGAGCAACGAGTCAAACTCTCACCCGTCCTGGTCCATCAGGTCAACAACCTGTTCAGGCTCTTCCAGCTCCATAGCATCCTGATCAACACTGCCGCCGAACGCACCCGCATCTGCAGCGCCGAAAAGGCCGTCCAGAGTGAACGCCGTCGAGAATTCGGACACGATCTGCGCTTGCCCGACGGTCTCCGCACCCGGCGCAACAGTGCGTTCTCCACTTTCCACGACGGTAGACGGTATTAGGGACGGATGAATGTTGGGAGGCTCGGAGTAGTATGGTATTTTTTGGTGGTTCCAGTCTGTGAGGACTGTCCGAGCAGCAGCTAGGATGTCGGGCGTACCGCCCTGTGAGCAAAAAGGTTAGTGGGACACACTAGACGGCTCAAAGGGGGAGCACCGACCTTCAGCAAGCGGCCAGTCGTGAGAGCTAGCATCGTCAGGAAATCCAGAATCGATCCGATTTGTGGAAGATTGTATATTTTCATTAGCATCTCATGGTCTGTCCGGCTGACTATCTCCTCCACTGCGCAAGCTTTGTCAGGATCGAACTGGATCACTGATACAGCTTGACTCACCGAGAGCGATCGGATCTTCAATATCTTCGACTTTCACAACGTTCCTCAGCAGGACGTTGCTCTTTGACTTTGACTTCCCGTCGTCAAAGTCGTCCTCGTCAAAGACGACTCCAGGAGAGTCAAGAATTTTCAAGCCCCTTTCCAGTTGCACTGTCTGCAATTCTTTTGTGTGGCCTGGCTGAGCGGCAACTGCACAGACCTAGCAGAGTACGTAAGATGCCATCCCTGAGACACTCTAATACCAATTTACAAAACGGTGATGTTCTGACCCGGTCAGATACCCAGGCCAGACCCTTTGACCCGATCAGCGGGGTTAGGGGGGCATTCACTGACCCTTCACCAGTGATGCATTACGCACCTTTGATCTCTTTAGGGTGTTGATGAGACTGCTCTTGCCAACGTTGGGGTAACCGACAACCCCGACGGTCACGCTCTGTGTCGCACTGGGTTTGTACGCCTTGAGAAGACGCACGAGGGCGGGCGCGGTCGGAGACGACAGCTTGTTACGCTGCGCATTTGAGGCGGAACGGAATGGGAGTGTGGGCGTATTATGGCGCAAATAGCGCAGCCACGCTTGGGCATTTTCACGCGGAACAAGATCTATGGTGCTCAGCATAAGTTGAAACCCGAGGGGTGTCATGTCTGTTAGCATACCGATCTTGTTAAGGACAAAGACAAGCTTCTTCCCCTCGCTTTCTCGCCGCCGTACTTCCTCCTCAACCAGGCGACTCCTGCAGCCTTCGGGATCGCGCGCATCGAGCACCATGACAATGATATCACTCTCGCCGATGACTTTGTGTAGGGCACGAATGTAATGCCGGCGCAACTGCTCTTTGGTCTTTATGACGCCGCTCGACGACGAAGAGGGGTCGACTACAGGTCCATTCTCGGATGGCGTAAAAGACCCGGCTAGTGCTGCGAGTGAGGAAAGGGTAGGTTCAACTGCCATCTGTGCGTCAGGGTCGACGCGATGCGGGCCGGGATGCTGGGACAGGATGAGATCGTGTGTTGGGCAAAATATGATGTATGCGTACTGCATACGCGCGCGCTTTCTCTGTGTTGCGGGCCTTCAGACTCGGTAGGCGCGGGACTCCAGGATCCTTCTTGAGCTCTGGGAATGTATAAGATAGTGCGGCGAAGAATCATGACGGCTATGTACACACTAGATCTCGTAGGGACGTCCGGTTTGCGCGATTCTATGTCAGTGCTCAGTCTCAGCGAAGCAACTCCAGAATTCGAAATCGTACTGTTTCTTCCCATTTCGTCTTCCTGACACCGTGCAAGTCACAGTCAGTACTGCAGCAGGCCATTGTGGAGAAAACGGTTGAGGTGCTCACCAATCAGCGACAATACCCTGAGCTCGGGGACGGTTTCCGATTATTCAAGACACTTCGTATCTTGTTATTTGGCCTATGTTCGTGTGGTGAGTACTATTTGAGGCCCCCACTGAGTTTTTGCTTTTCTGCCACTAGCTTCAAGAAGTGTTAAAGTTATCAAAGACGGCGCTAATTTGGCGCCGTGTCCTTTGATCACGTGCCACCATACAAGTCTCATGGAGAGGCGCCCAGTGCGTCTCTGTTTCCAGCGCGCCTGCACGATGTTACGGTCTCACACAGGCTCTGCGAAGCCTTCTTCTTGAGAACTACTGGTTTATCTCCTCGCCATCTCATGTCTGACGGAGTGCTCTCGAGTATTATATCTGTCTCTTGCACTGCGTGCTTCGATGTTCTCGCTGGGATCTGCTTAGACTTTACCAGCGTTCGTCAGTGCTATTCTTAGAGTCTTTTGAAGTATCGTTTGGATACCTTGCAATCTAGGTCACTCGTGTACGGAGAATATGTGCCAATGCGACTGTAGCAAAGACACAACAACAACAGATTCCGGAGAACGCGAGCCTCTCATCCCTGCACGGGTCGTGGCGCCACCAGAGCCACAGCCGCAGATGCTCGTGCACAAGGACACTCGATGAGTGATCAGGATCAGGTGAGACATCGTATATAGCCTCGACGCATCGTCTACGTCTTAACAAATTCCAGTGAGGATCACTTAACACTCTTGTTGCGGGTACCAGCAGCATCAGCGGGAGACTGACACAGTTGTTTCGTACCTCGGCAATCCTACAAAACCCCAGAGACCGTGACTGCATTGTATAGCATATTCCATCTGACACCGATATTTTGCTTGTACTTCTTCCTCGCTGATAGCGGATTGCTGCGACGATGCTGCTTGTCGAACGACAGCCCGCGCCTTGCTTGTACCTGACCTAAATGTGAGGCTATCTCGCGTGTTCTCTTGTCAGGCGATTCTATCTTCATAGTCGTTTGGTTTGTTTTCATGATTGGGATTCGCAGCGTTCGTCCTTGACAAACTTCTCACGCAACTGCAGGCCCAATGACGCGACAATGTTTTTTTTAGTTGTTTGGGGTCAGGTCCGCGCGAGCAAGAGTACGCGGTATCGATGTGACTGAAACAAGGACATCCCGCTGCTCTCAGCGCAAGCTTTGTATTTCATCTAAGTGGACACTAGATCGCCCTCGAAGATCGCAGACATGAGAGACGCGGTCTTCGAGGGTGACCTGTTGCATGGAGCAAGTGTTCTCTTACTTGTCTGTACTGGAGGTATATCATGATGATGTTCTACACTACATTTTGCACTGCTCATGACAGTCGAGACTTTACAAGGAGTTCAACCCTCATCGAAGTAGAGATGTACACTACACTCCGTGAAATCATGAGACAGTCTGACACCTTGAAACTTGGGATGACTGTAGACTCAGTGCTGACATAGGAGGTTTGGCAAATCGGATGAACACTGCATTCCGCGGGTCATGAAAGAACAACCTTGCAAACGATTGTAGACCTATTTGATGCCAAATTACGACCTGGGTATGTATCTGCTTAACGATACAAAAAGGCGCGCCTGTGGCTAATTGTGGCTGTTGTATTCCGTCCTGTTTAGATCGGGATGATCGCGGATCCGGACATTGCGCGACGGATTCTTCGTCCTCCGCGTCGTCAATCTAGCGTGCATACGCCTGCGTTTGCTCTGCACTGATGCATTCGTGTGAATTGTACTGACGTTCCCAGATGGTATTATGGTCCTGTTCCTGCTACCCGATTCACTTGTCGGAGAGAGCTTCGTGACGGAGGACAAAAATATACTGGCTGTGAGGCGTGTGGCGGAGGCCAAGATGGGCATCAAGAACAGGGACATCAAGATATATCAGGTACGAATGGTGGGTCGTGTTTGTGATACAGGCTGAATCAAACTCGTAGATACAACAAGCCCGAAGACATGGTTGCAGTTTATCGCATCTACTGTGGCGCAGATTCCTGATTGGTATGCGGTCTAGATACTTCTTATCATCGAACTTCTCTACCATCATCATACAGGTATGCATTATTTTTAGTGGCCGTGTTATCGCTTTGCTGAGGTGCACTATAAGGATACTACAACATAGGGGATGGGTTTCATCACGCTGCAGACAGAGCTGCTCGACGCCGCCTCCGCCAGCCTATAGATCGCTAGTCTGATCGCTGCAGAGTGCGTCGAGTGTGTCGCGTGCCTATACCCAGGCGCTAATCAACATGGCTTGTAGTTTCGTCGCGACTCGCTTCATGAACGGTGTGCTATGGTTGAGCTTCGTCTTCTACTCATCATCCTCACTCCGCCGCAGTGCGCGTTGTCATCATGGCTGCCAGCAACATCACCTGCATTATCGCAGCCGCGTGCTTCACCTATCTACCCACTGACGAAAAGTGGAATCGTCTCGTCGCTTACTGGTTCACTTCATTCTAAGTGTGCTTTTATTGCTATAAGAAGATGTGATCTTTGGTGGTTGTGCAGTCGGTTGGGTTCTATCTCATTGGTCATGATCTCCAATAATGTGCGTACCATGATATAATGCAAAGGACATGTTGATTTGACCCCGCAGTAGACCGAAGGATTTACTAAGCGGACGTTCACGACGGTGTGGATATTCGGAACACGGTTCCACGGACCGCCTGTCTGTCATTTTCGCCCATTTGTGCTCTTGGTATTGTGTCGGGAATATGACTGGCTCGCACCTCCTCAATGTATGCGCTCTATTCCTACTGAACCCAAAGCCCTATCTCATCGTTTGGTCCGTCCAGTGAAGCAGCTACGTACCAGACCGGTACCCGGGCTATGTTTAATGGTGAGTTGACGAAGCTCATAGAGTATAGTATTAATTATCTCAGTTATTGGTTCGTCCGACATACATATGTCCTCTAAAAGGTCACTTCATCACCACGTCCGCGTCCCGCGATGGTCAAGCCTATCACGAACAAGGTGTTTGATCTTCTCGAAGCTGGTGGGATCTGTCGCATGATTAGAGTGAAAGACGCTTGTGCTTTACTAGATTTAGGATCTTCCTTGTACAGTACTGTTGTATGCTAAAATGCGCCTTCTCGAATTTGTGAACCACCTTGATATCAAGTTCTCAATAAGTTGTGAGAGATGTCTACAGTCTGGACAATCTAATCTATGATGCCGTGCCTGACGCTTGACGCCGGACATCATCCTGAACTGCAACCTGCGCTCGACATCGAATGCCTCGCTGACGACCACTTGTGTCCGTCGCCCCCGACGACCAGCGGCCGCACACAAAAATGCCGCCAGCACGGCGGCGCGTGTCCTATGTCATTCCTGCGCCCTCTGAACCAATTCCTCGCCTGCAGCTTCCCCCGCACGGCATACCGCGACACGGCGTCGTTGGTCCTCTGCTCGTTCCATATCATAACGCATCTCCTACACCCTCCTCCCCGACGCCCCATGCAGTTCTGCACCCGCGCCACCGCCTTGGTGTCGCCTCGCTCGCCCTCGATACGTCCACGCAGCTCATCGGCCGCCCGACTCCTGAAGGCATACTCTACACGGGCGGGCGCGACGGCTTAGTGATCTCGTGGGACCTTGGCCTCCCTCTCAAGCATCGGACCCGACGTTATGGTGTCCCCGAGAACGGCAGCAGCGGGCGCCGATGGGAGATTATGACGAACTGGGCAGATGACATTATCGAAGAGGAAACAGACGACGGCGAGGATTTCCGCAGCGACGGCGACGTACTTGGAGAGGTGACTGGCAGAGTCAAGCGGAGAGTAGTCGGCGTTCAGCAGTCGATTCCACTTGAGGAGCAGTGGGAGGCGGACGTTGAGGCCCTCGAGGCCCGCAAGGTGTGTCTCTTTCTACCTCCTGGATATCCCCAGAACTATTGGCACACCTGGAGAGACCATCGTCGCTATTATCGCTGTCGTGTTCGTCGTGCGATGTCCCCGAGTTGACGAGATATTATCACGTGCGTACGCGCTTACTGCCACATAAGGCAATTCCCGACGCCTCGACCCGCGGAGATATGGCCACAGTTTCTGCCCACCGAGCAATTGCGATGGCATTTGGCAGGTTGGTGGAATATGCACTTCCTAATATGGTATATAGTGCACCGTGGTCCCTATTATGGGGTTTACAGCCACAGTTGGCACAAGTCCGCCTCTAGGGATTCTGCCCACAACACTGACTGTGGCGCGCTAACGTACTCACGCGGTCGAAGTCAAAGGGCTATTCTTTGTGCATTAATATTGTTGACGAGGTAAATCTTGCCCAGCTGCAAGGATTCCACACAGACGCTGCTGGCTTTTAGATTTCACTGTTGGACCTCCTGTTCAACCTCAGAGCTGTCTTCATATACACTTCTCCAGAAGTCATTCTTCACAGTCTTGTGATTCATGGCATAACGACTACTGACTACATCCTTCAAGGCAGAACCTCCAGCGACACAGTTCCGACAATGTGCCCAAATGCATACCGATTGGGTAAACGATATTTTGCTGTGCAACCAGAATCAAACCCGTATGTACCCCACATGATTCCATTTAAAATCTGGTTCTCATTCCCCTGATGCACAGTTGTTTCTGCGTCTTCTGACGGCACTATCAGGACGTGGAATCCACACGCACAGGAACAATTGAGTCCATCGCAAGAACCTACCACCATTGGAACACATGGCGACTATGTTCGTTGCCTCGTACATAGGTACGTACGGCTTATTCTCAAGACGAGTCGTAATGAACACATTGGATAGTCGCGAACAACATTGGGTCGCATCAGGTTCATTCGACCGCACGATCAAATTATGGGATCTAGGCGCATCGTCTTCGTCTACACCCGTTGTAACTCTCAACGCACCAGAATCATCTGGTCCGAAAGCTTCTGTCTATGCTCTCGCGACTGATCCGTACGGGTCGATGATTGCGTCGGGCTCGCCCGAACGAGTAATTCGGATGTGGGATCCTCGTTCAGGGAGACGAATAGGCAAACTTGTTGGCCATACTGACAACATACGCGCCATGTTGCTCTCGGAAGACGCGAAATATGTGAGCAGAGTGTTCCAGCATCGATGGATTTAACTGAGATACCTCTGTAGCTGCTCACCGGATCAGCGGATGGTGAGCCTGACTATCTGGTGTAGTCATAGATGAAAGCTCATGGACTTTATAGCATCTATTAAGTTGTGGTCACTCTCCTCTCAACGCTGCCTTCACACGTTCACACATCACACTGAATCGGTGTGGTCTCTCTTCTCTCAACATCCCACGCTCGAGATATTCTTCTCGGGTGATCGCTCAGGGTTCGTGTGTAAGGTCGATGTGGAAGGCTGCGCAGACGTCTCTGAAGGTGAATGTGTCGTGTTATGCCAAGACACAAGCGACCACGGGAACGGGACAGGTGCTGCAGAGGGCGTGAACAAGATGGTCGGGATCGACGACACGTACCTCTGGACGGCTTCTGGGAGCTCGAGTTTCAAGCGTTGGAGAGTACCCCCGCGCAAGGCAGTCAGGGCATCCGCACTGAATGCGACGACCAGGGAAGGTGCTACAGGCGCCGAGAGCCCAGCAGTTTCCCCGACACCGCTCAGCGAGGGAGGGGACTACATCGACAGACGGACGGGTGCGAGGAACTCGCTGGAGTTTACCACCAGCGTATCGAGCACGCCTCCTCGATCTGCATCCCTACAGGGACATTTCAGGCCCAGCAGCCCCTTACCATCGAAGAAAGGTCAACGCCTGTCTCTTTCGCCCTCCCTAGCACCCTCCATGACGTCCTCGCAATCCATGATACCGCAAGAGCCGGACACCTTTGCAGACCGCGAAGGAGAGGAGACGTGGTATGGCATTCCATTCGAGAGCCTGGTGCGCTTGATGTCGCCGCACGACGCATTCTCTGGCTTTGGCGGGCACGGACCCTTCCCGCGCGGACGCGACCCGGAGATCGCGACACTGTACTCCGCCGCATCCATCATGAGCATGCCGCGCCTTACGCGTCCCCTGCACGCCGTGCTTGGCGGCGCGGCCCAGACGCGAAGCACGAGCGAGTTCCGACCGGACGACGCGCATTCGCACGTCCGCGTGGGCGAGGAGACACAGACGCTGCATCCAGGGACGCGCGCACGTGCCGCCTTCGAGGAGCGCGAGGTTGCCGCGGACGCGATCCCGCTCAGGACAGAGCCGGACGAGATCGTGCAGGGCGAGCACGGGCTCGTACGGTGCGCGATGTTGAACGACCGCGTGCACGCACTCACAGTGGACACGGCGGGCGAAGTTGCCGTGTGGGACGTCATACGGGGTGTGTGTCGTGGGCGGTTTCTGAGCGAGGACGTCGCCGCGGCGAGCTTCTGTGGGAGCGAGGCGAGCGTGATCACCGACTGTGACTCAGGCAAGTCGAGGAAAGAGCGCAGTCCACGTGAGGCGCTAGAGACTGTGCGGGAGCGGGTTGAGGGTGAGGCGGTAGTGCAGTCATGGGCGACAGTTGACACGAAGACGGGGGTGCTCACTGTCCATCTGAACGAGAGGTGCTTCGAGGCGGAGATCTATGCGGACGAAGCGGGGTATACGTCTGACCGACGACATGGGGATGAAACCCGATGTAAGTCGTTCTTCGAAAGCATGTTATCAATCCGTCATGCTGATTCGGTTCTGAACCAGTGAACATCGGCAAATGGGTGCTGCGCAATCTGTTCCACGGCTTTATCCGCGAGGAACAGCGGGAGCACGTTCGCCGCTCCAGAGATGCGGAGATGGCACATCGACTGCACCGCGGCAGTGCACCTAACCACATTGACGTTCAGGGGCACTCTCCTGAACGTCGTCGCAGAACCTCCACCGATTCATCACAACACTCGTCTGCCCATACCAGTCCTCCACGGAGCACCAGCATCGTGTCTTCGCCAAATATGCTCCCTGCTGTCTCTCCAGCCATCTCTGCCGCACCGCGAACGCCTCTCCTAACGCCTCTCATACCACTCAACCAAGGCATACGAGATTCCGTTTTGTCTCCCATCCCACAATCGCCGGCAGAAGGCACACCGACCGCGCGCACGCAGCCCGATGTCGCTTCGAGCGCACCACCGAGTTCCGACTACTTTTCTCTACGTACCCGACGGGGCTCCATGTCTACCGCCACGAGCACCTCAACTCCAGACGACTTCGCGTCTTGGGCTAGCAGGGAGCCCGGTCAGCAGACGCCGAGTACGCCGACGGCAGGCGGCCTCATGGGCCGAATACGAGCATTTGGGAAGAGCAATAAGCGGCAGGCAAGCGAGATTGGTCCGGCTACACCAGGAGGGACTTTAACTGGAAGTGATGTGCCCGTGACAGGAGTGAGTATCAGTTTTATTAGGTACACATTAGTTTATAAATACTAACTGGTCTCGTATATCCGTCTTAGAATAACTCACAGCAGGCTACATCCAAGAACCCTGCTCAGACGCTGCTTTCTGGCCCTATCAATCCCCCTTCCTCAAATGAAGCGCCAAATCTGTCTATCTCTCCGCACACATCCCTCATCATCTCTGAAGAGGCTGTCTCTGGCTGGACAACTTTATACAGAGGGCACGTTGCGAGCACTTCTGTTGATGTACGCACTCTGGAAGAAGTCTTGCCAGTCTGGCTCGCCGAGTACCTCCTGGCAAATCGGGTACCGCCCGTCCCTGTGACCAAGATCAGTTTTGTTCTTCTGCCTTTCCCTCATACAGATCCGAACGAGCAGTTGCCGGAACTTCTTAACACGTACGTGTATAGATGTGGTCCTTCAATGTCAGTGCTAACGTATTAGATACGTCAGCGCACAATCGAAGCTTACTGCTAGTCGCTTCTTGCGAGTGCGAAAGTTAACTACCCATGTAATGCGATGATCCCCGCCACGTGGAATTGTGCTGATAGTTCCTCCAGGTACAGGACAAACTCGACAAACTCGCGAGTTCTCGTGGTCCCACAATGCCGAACACGCCTCGATCCTCCTTCGACGCGCGTTCGATGTCCTCGAGAGGCGAAGGTCGACCACGGGCCGAGGATGTCTACGAGATCGTCTGCAATGACGTGGTACTCCCGTTGGACATGACCCTAGCCGCCGTGCGACAATTTGTATGGCGGCAGGGTGGCGAGCTCGCCATGTATTACAGGCGAAAGTACGCCCATCCTCAGTAACTTATTGTATTGCATACGCCGTATCCTCTACTGTCTCTGTGTGATCTAGTGTACTTAATGTAATCAGTAGTATCCTTTGCTATCGCCTCGAACCTACCCTTGTATGCCGTCAGATACATACACTTTTAGCGCCTGCCTGGTATGATTGGCTCGCAAAGGCACCGGCGACACCGTATGTGGAATCTTAATCTAATTATTAAGTGCTTATCACTGATCTGTAACTCCCTCCCAGTTTTGTTCGGGTGAGAAGGTAAACACTCATGCGATGTCTTTGTTTGGTTGAGCAATAAGTTGTTTTCGCGAAGCTCTGCGATCACTTCATGTGGCTGGCGCCCACGAGCTAAGAACCAAAATGAGCGGTTAGACAAATCCTGGTCTTGTATTGGTTGTCCGGCAGCCCGATGTAGCCCAACTCGACAACCGAAGGAACAGACCGTCCGGCAGAGTGCGTTTCAAGCAAGCGTCCAGCTGTTCCGCTGTGCAGATCCCGTACTGGATTGAGGCACAGTGGGCGCCTACAGGCTCGGAGCCGCCAGTGATCCGCTGCATCTGCAGTCCTTTTCAAAGTCGAAACAGCTCGGTTCGCGTTCCGAAATTCTGTGCCGTTCAGGTACGATCTGTGCACATGATGATTGCGTTTGAACACGTATCAGATGCTAATAACGCATAGGGACTGATATTGCCCCGGTGGCTTAGATATGTCACCTAGACCTTTGGAATTTGCAAGCGAACTTTAACTCTACATTTGAATGAAAGCTGCCCTCGCAAGTCAAGTGCCTGTTATCTGTAGGCGTGAAGAGACTGCCACGATAAGCCCACACACAGCCTTCTGGTACACTTGAGTGGAGCGAACAGCGCTCTGTTGTGCGACATTTCTTGAAACATCTTCAGGCAACACTAGTGACCGAGACGGATATGAGCGCTTTTCCAAGACGGGTGGTAATATATAGCCCATGGCCTCTAATCGGTGATCCCCCTGCCGAACCGTACCCTGCGTTCTCTTATGCCGCCGGGCCTCTCTACTTGCGGGGGCAATGTCGTCAATTGCCAGCACTGGGCATGTCATATCTGTTGAGCAGCCATTGTAAGTTCTTGTCGTATTCGAGATCCTTGGGTCGCTGGGCGTACACGTTATCCACAGGAGTACCGAAGTCTGCTGCGCTTTGGCTATCACCGGTGAGTGTATCCAGTAAATCGCCAATGTCATTGGTGACCCAATTCGCTTCAGTGCTCGTACTCTATGATTACTTGCTGACGGTGTCTGACGAAATACAATACGTCTGGATGAACAAAACCTCGACGGCTACTGTTATTTATTATCTCAATCGCTATATTATCATCTTCATGGCCTTAGTCGATGCTGTAGGTTTTTTCCCCTGGCGGACATCATTGGTGTGTACTCTCAACTAGATTCAACTTGAGTTATCTTCGCTGATATAAGCTCAGAGGTACTTAATTGTTGATTGTTACGGGGTAGGGCTAGCTGACACAGCTTATGCATGGAGCTGCGAGAACATCGAGCTACTGTATGCCACATTGGAAATCATGTGGTATGGCGTATGGGCCGGTCAGTTTGTCTTACCTTCCTCTACCGAATGCCGGACTTGACAACAAGTGGTGGTAGCATTCTCCTGTTTGCGGGTTTACGCTATCTCTGGTCGCGATTGGCGACTTGCCGCCTGCGCATTAGCCTTCGGCTTAGTGCCGTGTGGAACAAATCTTGTATGTGATGCCTCCAGTTGCGCAGAGCAGTTAACAAACGAGGGATCGCAGTTTGTGACGACCCAGACCGATTATTCTGTATCCTTAACCTCATTTACCGGCGTCTGCAATACATTAGTCAATCTGTCAACTGCAACTAGCGATAAGTAAGTGATAATCTTGTCTCGGTTTCCAGAGCAGATGATCTGAATGTCGATGTTCAGGTGTTAGAACTTCCATGTTGGCATGTCGAACAGGCTTCTCAATCCCGTTGATAGTGGTCATAATAACTCGAGTCTGCTTAATCATCTCCGACCTGGTGGTTATAATATCAACTTGGTACTACACACACAAGATCGACCGGACGACAATCCGAGCGAGCTCATCACGATCTGCAGTGTCGGTGCTACTGAGAGAAGGTATGTGCCCAAAAATGCAAGTCCTATCTGATGCTGAATATCTGTAGGGACATTGTATTTCGTGTAAGTTGATCTTATGCGTAGACATTAGGAGCGCGTTGTCCTAACGTAAAGCTCAGGCTCTTACTCGCAATGAATGTATTGCAAATCACACTGTTTGTTACCGAGGTTCGCAAGGAAGGATCCCCGTTCACCACCTCAAGCTCACTCATTTTTTATCCCGTAGATGTTCCCGTGCACGGTCGATTTCATCATTCGGTTCGTACAACGTCCCATCTGAACACTCGGCATTCTTGACATTTTTTCACTTTAGTATCACGGCCATCTTGCTCGCGCGGTACATCATCAGGCTACGCCAGCTCTTCGCTGGAGACGATGAGATCGTGTCAATGGGAGAGACAACGCTGAGCTCCGAAGGGACCCATTCGTCAATCCTCCATGCGCGGAATCAGTCATCCCACACCAGCAGCTCATTACTGCTCAGACACAAGCGCGATCTCTCACAGTCTTCTGTATATGACTCCATAGGAGGGTGGAAGGACTTTCCGGATGACTGGCTGTTTAAGGACGATGATGATTCGGGGGAGGAGGCGAGTGATGAGATCGAGCTGGGCATTGTTGTAACGCGGCGTATAAGCGTTAGCCGATCCATCTGAATGTTGTATCCATTGTCGAAGTACTCGTACGTGTTGGCAGTGTACATAGTGTAACTCACTTTGGGTTGGAGCATCGGTTTCTGCATTTGATATGGACACACCCTACGACGTGTAAAGGCCTATCGGAGACCTCATCATATACGCAACAGAATTCGTATTGAGTGCGTTCCGACGTTGACTCTCGTTTTTGGCACAACATCATATTAGTGTGTACGGAGGGACTGCTATAGCGCCGCTAAACCACGATTAACGTGCCCACCCATATCACCAACGCCTGGTGTATAGGGTTGTAACGACAACGCCTCATGGTGCCAATGGTGACACAGAGCTAACAATGTGCATAGCAATAAGTATAGGTCCACAACAATGCCTGGTCTTATGATTGATATGTTTTCAGACGCATGGTCGTCCCATCATCCTCAGTGTGGCTGAGCCCACGCGTCTCGATGATAACTGCCTTCAATTACTGTCAGCCATATGATGGAGAGTCAATACTCCTTCAAGTAGAACTTTCAACGACATTTGGACATTGGCCATGCCAGCCGAGCTCACAAAAAGGTGTCGGGAGTATATTCACACCACAAAACGTTCGTCCGTTAGTAGTACGAAGGATTACGTGACCCGCAGAAGAGCATCTGTACGGGAGACACTTCGATTTTGTCAGAGTTAGCAGGCGAGGTCACCGTCATTATTGGAGATGCAGGATCCTGATCAAGAGACGACAGATGAGGATTATTGGACTTGGGCATGAAGCGAGAATCTGCTGACCAAGGTCAACAATGGAACTTGTCTGGTTTCCTAATCCATTGCCGCAGGAGCACTGCATATATTCTCCCTCTTGAAACAGGGAGCACGAAGATACATCACAGGACACTGAAAAGTTTCCACTAGACAAGCCGTGTCAAAGCTGGGGGTTTGGCGAAAGTATAAGACAAGGGTAGTAATGTCCACTCACTCTGCGGCACAGGCGAGGTTACCGCCGTAGTTCGCAATGCAGTTGTCTAAGCTGACCGCGGTCTTTTGCTGCGTTCCGTTGTCCATAGTGCATGTTGCGACCAAATAATAGTTGAGAAGGCTTTCCTGCTGGCAGGTGGTCGTATAGTCGGCGGAGACAATCTGCAGCCATAGGAGAACGGCAGCAGTGGGTACAATAGAATGTAGAATCGCAGACATGAGTCGATGTATCTGGGGAGGGGGCTGTAGAACTAGTTGATGGGATAGGCTCGCGACGGGCTTGCTTTAATATGCGCCAGAGGCCTGCATATAGGCCCGTCGGGCTATCAATCGCAAGTGCGCGGATTCTGGAAGGACAAGAACGCATGCCAGGTATCGTTACGGCATCCTGAAGTCTGGTACCGAGACTGATCAGGATGGGGCCAGGCCCAAAGCGGGTGACGTACAGACCCCAGCCATCAGAATCGAGGTTGGCACCAAGCTTGTTGAGGCATTCAAAGAGCCACGGCTACAAGGAGAAGCGACGACTCAAGAGGCCATCCGCCACATGGTCTGAACCTGTCATGAAGCAATCTTCTAAAATAAGCAGAAGAGAGCCGCACATAGAAGTTTGACGATACGGCCGCCTACGACATCTTCAAATATTCTTCAGCCTCGCCTCAATGCACGGCTGCGTACCCGCAGAGCAATAGAACGAGATTAACAGTAACTGCTGAAGACCGTATCTGCTGCTTGGAAATAGTTGATGTATAGTAACAACTCTGAGGTGCATTGGCGTGAGCTGGGTATGGGTTGGTCCTGGAAGAGTCCTATAAGGAACAGAGCTGTTCACACCTGCCTGAGATAATATGGTGTGTACTGTTCGTGGTGCAGCGATTGCTCGAAGCGCATGGTACTGGGCGGGGTTCGCCCGCACCGTGTACCTAAGTTCGACGTGATTGTATCACTTGTGCGCTACGAGGGTCACTCCGTAGAGCTTGACGTACCTTAGTAGAAGACCGGCGAGGACGGAGAAACGATAAAGTTTGAAATCGCGAGAGTCGGCTGACCAAAGCTAACCGATGGGGTTGGCTACTCTTCGAAACGTTTTTTGCTCGTCGTGGCAGGGGTGGTGGTGCTGCTACCCGGAACGAACGATGGAAGGCGCGGAGGGACGCGTCCGTGCGTATACACTACCATGTATGGTGAGTATCATGCTGCGAGTCCGGCCTGGAGGGCTTAAAACCGACGGCAATGTATATCGTGTTTTGTGCTGGATACACAAGGGTCAGAACCTTTCCAGTTAGCATGCCGTTCTGCCCGGAAGAAGTCGGGACAATGTCATTTATGGCAGGATGTCTTCCTCCATGATCGCATCATTGCCTTTTCTTGCGCTGTGTGTCCTGCTCGAGCCATGACCGCAAGGCACATTTTGACATTGTGGTATATGGGATTGCCATAGAGAGAGTCCGATCACTGGTCCCTATGGTTCGAGGCTGCCAGGAAGATGGCTGAATTATGATACTTCAACCGACTTTCGAAGGCTCCGGATATTCGTAATTGGTGGACTAACCTTTCGCCCCGAACACGGATAGAGCGCGGTGGGTCTCGTAGCATTAATTAACATCAAGTTAAGTATCGGCTAATTACCGGATAATCAACCTGTAATATACCTAGGTCAAAATCCAGGATGTAAATCTGGGCGCAGTTGTGCCTGCCTGTACACGTGGAACATGGCAGCTATTGCGGACATGATTGGCGTCGGTGTGATGAAACGAATGGGTGTCCAGTTCGATCTGCTGTGCATGAATTTGAATCGGCCGCATCATGCAGTTCATCTTACGCTTACATCATTCGCGGGTCGCATGCGGTCCGGGGGGCGCGTATTGAAGCAGACCTTTAGAGTGCCCATCCTCTGACCATCAAAGAGGGCGCTCTATTCTAGGCTGCCTAGGGGAGACAAACGCTGTATTTCGCTCTCTCTCCGAGGCTGACGCGGCGTTCCCCGTAAGTCGCAATATGCTTATGTAATCATAGCAGAATCTTGCTGCGAAATTCCCGTCGGACTTCTAAAGTCTTCCAATTCAGGTAGGTAGGTGGTACTCAGCCACTAATAGCCTACTTGCGACACCTCTGCTATTTACACCCCTACTTAGTCTTCTTATTATACTAGCCTCTAATACAGAAGTCGCTCGAAATATGTCCTCCGAACACGAAAAGCTCGAGATCCGACTGCGCCTTGCTCAGAGCAGTCATCATGCAAGACCAGCTCGAGCACCTCCAGCACAAACAAGGCTGCGTCTACGGCCGTGCGTAGCCTGTTGACGAGCAGTACTAGTAGGCATTGTGCGAGATGTCAAGCATGCAGCACACATCAGTCGCTGCATGATGAATCTGTGGACTGATGTTAGCACATATATTCAGAGAGATTCGAAATACAGCGCGGAATCTGAGCTGGAATCTCCTCGAATCCGCGCTGGAGTCTGCACTGTGAACGCCCCTTGTGATAGGCTCTCTTCGCAATTTGCCCGTGCCCGGTGACCTCGTGTCAGAGTTCATTTACCAATAGGCAAGTGAGTATTCGTTACATTTCCGGTACTATACTACAAATGACGTTCGAGATCGCTGAAGGGAGAATTGCATTCCGCGCGCGGACGGCGGTGAAGCCTCTCACGATATTCTGATTTACTGATTCTTGATGAGGCCAATCCATCGCGTCAGAAGGACTTGTATAGCCTGATTTGGGTACAAATTATGCGTGTGCCATACAAGAATGTGCAGGCTCCTCGGCCAGGCATGAAACATGGAACAACTCAGTAACTGATAGCGCTCAGGCGTCACTTGCGAGCTCGCTAGGTGGTTCGTCCATCCCAACTGCAGCCTCAACTGCGTGTAACATTGCTCCAACCCCTCTACTGGCAGTCGCTCCGGGAGCCTCCTCAGCAGCGGACGAGGACGCGCTGGATGGGTCAACGAGGTATTTTACGGCATTGCTGCAAACGAGGAGTCAGCGTTATGACGCGGAACGCGGTACTTAACGAGGTGCTCACCCAGTCTCGTGTGCTGCGACCGACGATAGACTTGCAGGGGGAACGAACTCCCGGACGACACCTGCAATTGCGCCCGCCAGGTCGGTGCTAGAAACGCCCAGCGCTCTCGCAAGCTCCTCGATGCGCTGCTCCACGTCAGGCTCGCCTTCCTTTCGCTTGCTATCGTCCGGCTGCGCCGCCCACGCGCCATTCGCACCGTTCATGTGGTTCTGGTTCTGGATTGCAGGCGGCCGCCTGCCAAGCGCAAGGTTCCACCAGCCCCCCACCTCGGCCTTCCACTGCGCGACACGCCAGGCATAGAACGCGAGGAGCGCGGCAGCGAGGAGCGCGATGATGTAGTTGAAGCGCGAGAGCGGGACGTGGGAGAGCGGGGGAGACACGGAGCGCGTAACGCGTTTGCGCTCGCGCGGGGGCGGGAGGTCGGAAGACGACTGCACCGCGCTGGGCTGCTGCAGATTTTGCGACATGCTGTACTTCAAAAGGTGAACGAGCCGTCGCAGATTGGTGAGACTTGAGCTTGAACATACGAGCGTGCACCATGTTCTTATAGGGCTCGGCGAGCGCTAGAGACGTGGGGTCGACGGCGAACATGCCCACCCACAATGACGTCACAACGAGTCGTCACCGTGACTCTAGCTGCGCGATGCCACGTGCAAGTGACAGATCGCGTCTGTCACGTCATGGAAACCTCGTTCCTCGTTCCTACAACTGTAGCCTTAAATCCACCAGGTATGAGCAAGTATAGTTCTTTCTAAAACAAATAAGCAAGTAAGGATGCTAAACTTTAGTGTAAACGATGCATCTCTGCTAACTAAAACTTGAAGTAGGCAAGCGATCACTCCAACCTACATCTCAATCTTCAGCTATGTTCGTGTTGTGTTTGCGGTACAGTCACAAGTTTGCCAACTGAGGGGGTGCTGACCGTCTTGTTAGATTTTTGGCAGGGATCGAGACTGAAGACAATAGGATAAACCGTGTTTGACCCAGCTTGTAGCCAGCAAACACGTAAGGAACTAAGTACAAGTCGATTGGTGTAAGTACCATACTTGATCATGTGATCTACTACCGTAAGTATCGACTGCTATTTCCAACACGTCTAATTCTGACCAACAGCACAGGCTCATACAAGCGCAAGGGGCTATGCTTGAAACATGCATGCATGTAATGTTACACGTTATATTGTTCTCCTTACATTACAGCTGATTTCATATTTTTAGACCTGTCGAAGTCGAAGTCTGCGTACGCGGACTTCGGGCGGGAATGGGCGGGCTCTGCAAGCGACAGCCTACAGCTAACTCAACATCGATACACTTACCCCAGAATACTTGTGCGTACTTGTGCGTAAGCGGGGTCCATGTGGAATTCGGTATCAACAGTCGGGACTATGGACCCAGCAATATATCTTCTCGCTCAAAAATTACCAAACAAAGTTGTTGTTTCCAGTGCCTGCCCATTCCCGCCCGAGGTCCGCTCACGCACGCTTCGATTTCAGCAAATATAAGATGTAGAAGCAGCTGAAAATGAATGAATCGTGGCTTCGCAGGGTGCAGCCATGTCGGGACAATGGTCCCAACTTTTCATTCCGAATTTCTCATCAACCACGCTTGCGTACAAATGATCTTCGGGTAGGTCTAACAATATGAACCCTACGTATTGCATATATCTCGTGTAAGAGACAATCCTGACTGTCAGTTTGCAGATCACGGTGCAGCAGATGGCCATCGGGCGGAGCCGTCAATACCAACCAAGTCATGCCAACCAAGTCATCCGTTAGGCGATTTCAGCTCGGGACTTCCGGTCGGAACCGGCGGGCGCCACTCAAGTCATGGGTTTGTGCAGTATAAAATGGGACATAGGAGACGCGAATCATTATTATCTTCCTTCCTGCCTTACTACTAGGCTCCATCAACCACCCTACCGCGTTATCCGCAGAAACTAGACATCGGCCAAATGTCGGATTACAGCAAGCTCGGCCAGATTGACCCCGAATATGCCGCCGCGATAGCCAATTTTCCGGCGCCTGGAAAGATTGATCCTCGTTTGCGCGAGAAGCTTAATGGGGACTTTGAGGCACATATCAAAGAAGCCCTGAGGCCGCATCTTCCTCCGGGTGCGCCGGTCGCATGGCGCCGTATATTGAACGCTTTCCTAACGGCGACGAATCGTCCAGATGATTCGTACACTGTGGCAGACCACCACGTCCATCTTGATGACGAAAATGTGCTCGTCCGCTGTTTGACGCCTCGCGGCCCTGGGGATGTTTCTTTCCCTGTCTTGTTTTGGATCCATGGTGGAGGTATAGCACTGTTGTATCGTCAATACCAGTGGGTGACATATTTGTTAACCAGGATGGATTGTGGGCAACGTGAAGCTTGACGACTATCATCTGAGAATCATCTGCGTACAGTTGCAGATCGCCATAATCAGTGTCGAGTATCGGTACGTCCTTCGCCCCCTCGCTCACAGAGACGACTCAGACTGACATGCCCAAACAGCCTCGCACCAGAACACCCATTCCCCACCGGTCTCAACGATTGCTATGATGCGCTGAAATGGGTACCGTACTCGCGGAGTTGTGATGTAAGCTTTACAACTGACATCTACACAGACTGTCAACAACCAGACGCTCTTTGGCGGTGATATCTCGCGCGGCTTCCTAATAGGAGGACAGTCGTCGGGAGGCAACTATGCGGCGGTTCTCGCCCACCGTGCCCGAGACGACCCATTCTTCGAGAACCGCAGGCTTAGCGGAACCGCATTGCAGATTCCCATCGTACTACATCCAAAGGCGTATCCTGATAAGTACGACATAGCCCTATGTGTGGCAATGGATACATTAGATTGACATGCGTCTTTCAGGTACAAGGGCGAGCTGCTTTCCATGGAGGAATTCCGTGCTACTCCGCCGCTGTTGAACGGGGAGATGATAGAGGCCTGCTGGGGTAAATATTATTCGCGTAATTCTGGAGTGCCACTCTGATGTCGATGGTTGGCTTTGGCAGCGGCACTAGGCGCAGAGCCGCTCAATCCCGATGGCTCGCCCTTCCTGTATTCCTCGCACACAGGCCTCCCACCGACGTACGTGCAGGTGTGCGGACGGGATCCGCTCCGGGACGAAGCTCTGGTGTACGAGAAGCTTTTGAAAGAGCATAATGTTCCGACAAGGCTTGACGTGTGAGGGTATTCCCCCTCCAAACCCTGTCTAGATCTGAGACGCGCGTGATAGGTATCCTGGGGTGGGACATGGATTCCACCTCTATTTTACCACCCTTACTGCAGCTGTGAAGCTCAATGCAAACTTCAAGGCAGGTTTGACATGGCTTCTAGGTAGAGACTCCCGGTAGTTGAGAGCGTGAGGAATATGGTCACGAAAGTGCCACGTAATTAGTAGGACATACCCAGCTAATCGTTGTCACCATAGATATTATTGCTCCTTGCTTAATTATTTGGCAAGAGGGATTGTGCTATATTATAGCAAATGTCACGCGGTTGTACCGTGACATTGCGTTCCTACATGTTGTCGTTATCGAAGAATTCACGGGTGGTCCGTATGGCGAGACACACCTGCGCCATGTCTTATTAGGGGTCCGCGAGTGCTTGAGACATCGGGTCCAGGGGCAACGACGTCATAATGAGCCGTCGACGCGCCTATCGCGAGCGCGTGATGCATCATATAACTGTGACAGTTCGCGTTTGTCACGTCACAGAACCTTCAAACCCGTTACTTCGCCTGCAACCCTCGGTAATAGAACACATCTCACTTTATATTCTATATATTCCAAATATTTCTATCATGTGCAACAGTGGCGTTATGTGGAAGCGAGTACTGACGTTCAACACTTACCTGTGTGTTGGAACAAGAGTGCGAACGGCGCGGGGTGTGTTTGTTCACGGGCATAGCGATGCCCGTAAGGGACAATCTGTGAGAACGACGCCGGAAAGACCGCCGGCAGCCAACGTCCTCGATGGACAGGGATCAATGGTGGATAAGGTTACAAACCGATGGGGCTACCTATGGCGCGCAACGCCTACATAAGTCCTATTCCCACACCGGCACATGACCACGTGACCCAGGCCGGCAGCGACGCTTGCCCGACATACCCAAAAGTCAACACAATCGCGTGTGGTACGTACATCGCGCGGGGTCGTTATATACTACGATAGGGGCCTCCGGCCCCTGGCTACTCGCGCGCCCGAGCTTTCGAGCTCGTTCCTGACCACGCGGGGCTGCGCATTTCAACACTGTGGTCTGTTGTCGAAGCTATGAGGTAGGTGCCTTTGTGCCCTTTTCGCACTGTAGTCAATGTTGAAACCTTAACCCAGAGCTCCTTCCATCGATAGCACTGACAGTAGCTACTATGGGGTGTTAAACCTAACGTGGGACGAGAGCGCTGTACTGTACAAATAGTATATTTCAGTAGGCCGTAAGGGACGAACTCAGATAGGTATGCACCTGTACAAATAGTATATCTACGATACATTAGTATATTGATACTGTTGATATGTCTAAAGGTACTCACTGACTTCAGTAGGCCATAAGGGATGAACTGAAGTCAGCCTACGCGCGAGAGCAAGAGTTCTACGGTACGAAAATAAGGAACTGTATAGTGAGCCAAACAACGTCCAAACAATGTCCGGACTGCGCCACAGGCGCATCACCGCCAGACATCTCGTACGAACGAGCGTCTGTGCGGAAGGCCTTTCTATCCGCCTGCGGCAGAGCTTGAACGTCAATACTCCCCCTCAAGCCAAGCGCAGGCCAAGAAGAGCGACGAGCTTGCCAATCTTCGAGCGTGGGAGGGCCTTTGTAAGGATGTTGGCGATCATATCGCCCGTAGGGATGTATGTGATGGAAGCAGCACCCGAGTCTTGCACATACTGAATGAACCGGAACCGAATATCGATGTGCTTAGTCCGAGCGTGAAGCAGACCGGAGTCGACGATTGCGATCGCGCTCTGGTTGTCACAACGCAACGGCGTGGCCTTTTGTAATGGGTGAGTAAGTTCGCCGATGAGGTATCGGAGCCAGAGGAGCTCGCGACCAGCTTCGGAAGCTGCGACGTATTCTGCCTCCGTGGAAGACAGCAATATGATTGGTTGTTTACGAGAGCGCCAACTGACGGCTCCGCCTGAGAAGGTGAAAACATACCCCGAGATGGAGTGGCGGTGAGGTAAGGAACACCAGTCGGCATCTGTGAACCCGATTAATCCCTCATCGGACCCACTGAAAGTAAGGCGAAGGTCTCGCGTGCCCTTAAGGTAACGAAGGACGCGTTTTGCAGCATCCCAGTGCACCGGCACAGGGTCGCTCATGAATCGCGCGAGCAGCGAAACCGTGAATGCGACGTCGGGGCGTGTACCAATTGCCGTGTACATGAGGCTGCCGACGAGGCGGGCGTACGGGCGCGTCGCCATTTCACTACGGTCCTTCGCAGTCAGTTCGACGTCAAAAAGGTTGACATGAGGATCCAACGGCACCGATAGGGCATATGCGTCAGTCATTCGGAACCGCTCGAGGAGGGTTGCAATGTATCCCGCTTGCGAGAGGGTGAGGGTACGGGTATGTCGGTCACATTGGATTTCGAAGCCTAGGAGCCAACGAGCTTCTCCGAGGTCGACTATCTCATACTGGGAGCCGAGGTCGCTCTTCAACTTGATCATGAGCCCCTTAGAGCTCGTCACGAGGGTGCAGTCATCAACATGGATGACGATAATGATGACATCTCCTATGCGAAAGAGGAAGAATACCCCATAATCATGCTTGCTTCGGGTCAAACCCAGCTCCGCAAACAGCTCGCAGACCTTCTCGTACCACATGAGACCTGCCTGTTTGAGGCCGTATAATGCCTTGAGAAGCTTCCAGACCCAGTCGTCTCGTCCGGGCACTTTGAATCCGGGGGGGTTGACGCATGTAGATAGTCTCGTCGAGGTCTCCATTGAGGTAAGCATTTTTGAAGTCGATTTGATGAATCTCCCAGTCATTCTGGGCTGCGAGAGCTAGTACGAGGCGGAGGGACTCAAGGCGAGCAGTGGGGGCGGCGGTGTCCATGTAGTCGACACCATGCACCTGCGAAAAGCCCTGCGCACAGAGGCGAGATTTGAACTTAGCAATGTTATTGTTCTCATCTCGCTTCTTTCGCAGCACCTATGTGGACCCGACAATGTTGGTGCCTGGCGGCGGCGGCGGAACAAGCTCGTAAGTTCCCATCGATTCAATGCGTGCGAGTTCCTCGTGCATTGAGTCCAGCCAGGCCTCTCGCTCGGGGCCACTCAGTGCTTCATGATGAGACGGTTCATCTCCCGGCATAGCAGCGAGGGCATAGGTGCTGCTTTCGTCAGCTGCAAGGCTTCCATGCTCCAGTATTGATGAGGGAACCTTTTGCGCTCCCCGCCCGCCTGTGGTACCTGTGCCTGATTGTAGATCTTTGACCCATTGCGACGGCTTGCGCGCACGTTGTGCCCTTGGCTCGGGCAGAATGTGTGGAGGTGGATCGCAGTCGTGGTTTGCATCGCCATCAATAGCTGATTCCGGAACAGGTACAACATCTGTTCCGGGTGCATGTTGGCTGACTGGCTCGGCAGGAGGGTGCTGGTCGTGCAACAATTGCTCCCCCTCGAGCGGCACATCGACTGCAGCTACAGAAACGTCCGGCTCAAAATGGACATCACGTTCCATGCCAACAGTCCGCTTGTCCGGCCAGTAGACCCGGTGACCTTTGCTTTGCAGGTCAAAACCAACCCAACGGCCGCGCTTCGACTTGACATCGAGTTTGGTTGCAGGGTCGATGCGTACCCACACTGTGGCGCCAAAGCGAGGTAGCCCGGCGAGATTGGGTTTGTTGCCCGTGGCGAGCTCATGCGGGGTTGCACTGGGAGTGTTGCTTGTGGTCGTGCGGTTGCGAAGCCACACAGCGTGAGAGACAGCCTCACCCCAAAGAAACTTCGGGAGACTGGCATCAATGAGCATAGCGCGAGCATGCTCAGTCAAGGTGCGGTTCAGGCGCTCGGCTTTGCCGTTCTGTTGGGGCGAGTCGTGTACGGTGAGCCGGCGGATGGTTCCCTCCCCCTCGAGGTAAGCTTTGTATTCTTCACTTAGATACTCGCCCCCGCGGTCGCACTGTAGCTCCTTTGCATGTTCGGCGCTACGTTGTGTTTTAGCCCAAGCCCGATATGCTTTGTAACGGCCAAACGTGTCACTTTTCCGTCGCAAAAAGTGAACGATGGCCTCGTCGGAGTGATCATCGAGGAACAAGACATAGTATTCCTTGCCGCCGAGAGTAGCCACAGGCGCCTTTCCCCAGACATCCGTGTGAATGCGCTCACCGTACTTGGTAGCACGTGGGCTCGAGCGCTGCTTTGGGAAAGGCTCATGGGCGTGTTTGGCTCTCATGCATGAGTTGCAGAAGACGCTGGACTCGTCCGACAGCCTGATACCTTTGACCACACCCGCACGGACCATTTTGAGCAAAGCGGGGCTGTATGCATGGCCCATGCGACAATGCAGCTCATGCAGTGACACGGACATGACCTCCGCACTGAGCGCTCCCTCCTGTGCACTGCTATCTGTCGAGGTAGAGTACAGCCCCTGATGAGCGGGGATGAGCGACAAGGTGCGTCTGTTGGGGGCTATGAGATGACAGCCGTCGGGTTCAAAACGGACGGAGAAGCCAGCTTTGGTGGCCCGGCTGACGGAGATAAGGGAGTGGGGAATACTCAGTGTGTACAAAACATCCTGGAGCTTCACCTTCATCTTACTGCCCTTGTATTCAGTCGGCAGTAGGACATCTCCCTCTCCGGTAGTGTAAAACACCCGACCATCAGCCGTCCGGATAGGCTTAGGATGGATGCTGCGGAAGTTCGCAAAGTCTGTGCGTATGGGGTGCAAGTGTCGTGTTGCGCCCGAGTCCCAGAGGCGAGGTACGTTGCCGGTTGCAGAGCGCAAGTGGATGTCAGTGATGGGCAAGTCTATTGCTTTGAATGCGAAGACATCACCGTCATTGTCCAGCTCAGCGATGGCGGCTTTCGCGCTCTCATGCGCATCCGTTGCGGCCTTCTCACGGCGAGCTTTGCTCCTAGGTCCCTGGCCCTCCTTCCCTCCACCTTTACTCCAGCAATTTGGCTTGGTGTGGCCAGCGCGTCCGCAATTCAAGCACTTATTGGAGCTGTCTGCTACAAGAGCAGAGTCGTTGGCGAGAACAGGGCCGGCCAAGGCGAATTCATCTCGCGCTATTGCGTAGATTTGTTCAACCAGTGCAGTTGGAGATAGGCCAGAGCATGGTGTCGCGGAGGTGGTACCAGGCGGTGAAGGTGATGTACCCGGAGTGGGCACCGATGTTGCCAAAGCTATGAGGTGTGCAGAAGACAAGATGGTGCGTACCACACCTCTGTAGCTCAACGGCAGGCATTTGAGGATGATCGCCTTGTAGCCTGCGTCATCGAGGGAGCCTCCGGCGGCGGCGTACTCTGTGCATAGCCGCTGTAGCTCGTTGAGCGTCGGTCGAGGGTCGCTCCCATTCTCGGTGGTGAGGGCGTGCATACGGGTGAGAATGTCCATCTGAACAAACTCCCCTTGATTTTCGTATTGTTTGCAGACAAGGTTCCAGGCATCCGAGGCCTTCGGCAGGGAAAGGATGCGAAGCTTCATTGTCTCCGGAATGGTCTGGAAAAGGAGTGCGTGAATGGCTTCATGCTTCCCTGTCCAGATGTCGAGAGCATTCTCGTAATTTTCGTCAGCATCTGAATCGACGCCTGGAGCTGTCAGTTCGATAGGTATTTTGTTGCGACCTTCGAGGAACCGCAATAGGCCCTTGGACGACACCGTCGCCTTGAACTGGGCCTTGAACAAGACCCAGTTCGATCCATCCTCAGCGAGCTTGGGGAGGCGGCTGACGGGCGACTCATTGGAGCCGAGCGTGATCTCGTAAGTGTCGGTAGGGCTCATAACCTGTTAAACCTAACGTGGGACGAGAGCGCTGTACTGTACAAATAGTATATTTCAGTAGGCCGTAAGGGACGAACTCAGATAGGTATGCACCTGTACAAATAGTATATCTATGATACATTAGTATATTGATACTGTTGATATGTCTAAAGGTACTCACTGACTTCAGTAGGCCGTAAGGGATGAACTGAAGTCAGCCTACGCGCGAGAGCAAGAGTTCTACGGTACGAAAATAAGGAACTGTATAGTGAGCCAAACAACGTCCAAACAATGTCCGGACTGCGCCACAGGCGCATCACCGCCAGACGTCTCGTACGAATGAGCGTCTGTGCGGAAGGCCTTTCGATCCGCCTGCGGCAGAGCTTGAACGTCAATATGGGGTGTATAGAGTTGCTCAAGGCATAGAGTTGTTGAAACACGCTGACCTGTGTGGTCAGGAACGAGCCCGAAAGCTCGGGCGCGCAAGTAGCCGGGGGCCGGAGGCCCCTATCGTAGTATATAACGACCCCGCGCGATGTACGTACCACACGCGATTGTCCCTTACGGGCATCGCTACACCCGTGGACAAACGTGCCCCGCGCCGTTCGCACCCTTGTTCCAACAAGAGTTGCTCAAACCGCCTTGTACGGCCTTCCACATTTTAATTTAAAATCCCGAAAAATCAGTGAGAGTGTATATAGTCCCTATGGATGCCCCCATGGCACAGAAATAATATAATCATGAATGTGGAATGAGTAGCATGCTCAACAAGGCATTTTGACAACAGTGTACACAAATATTGAACTAGATCTCGCCCGAATGCGATGAGAATTTCACCCCGGAAGCTTTCAGTCTTCATTCTCTATTGATATAAATGTCTATCAACAAGCCTGATACTTTAAAGCACTTGAGATATGATGTAGACAAGCGTGGTGGGTGAGATCGTCTTGCTCCTGTGGCTGAATGTGACTGTAGTTTAGACTTCGCTCGGCACGTCGCACAGATGTGTTTGCAAGACCATGAAACATTTATCTTTCCATTCTATTTCTTGTACTACTAGCGCCCATACTGGCACCTGTCTGAGCGCTCACCCATGGGTTGAACATTATGTAGCTTACATAATGGGGTCCGTGCGCACTTCGTACCTGGTATTGTACCACTACGTTTCTTTCTTTACTAAACACGACCACACAGATACAGTGGTCCATGCATAGCCAGTACTTGTATAAATAGTTGTACCATTAGTCGGTCAAACCCTAAGTTCAACCTGGTTATTCATTCAAGTATCTGCTCCTCTTCACTTGGGGTAGTGGTCATTCTTGACTTCCTCGCTCGATCTTCAGGACGACGTACTGTCCATAAGCCCTCGCTCATTGTCTACGAGTCAGGCATCAATATAGGAGTATAGACCATTGTATCAGACCATGCTCGTCTCACTGCTGGCGGGTGTTGCCGCGTCGGAGTGTGAAAATGTCGCGGTGACATGCCGTGATGATTTGAGCAACTCTATGCCTATTACACCCTCAAAATGAGTTGTCCTCGTGGATTCGTGCCGGTACAAGTAAAACTCATTTTATTGCACTGAAAATATTCACAGGTGTGTAGAAGATCTCAATGCATCTGATGACACAAGAATCTTGAAAAAATGTGCAGTGCTTCGTGAACCCGAGGCTTGCGAACGCGGCCATGAGCAACTCTATACACCCCATAGTAAGATAACGGAATGTGCATACTCTGAGATACCGATTCCCAAGCATTCGAAACTTCGCTCATAACATGACAACTTTCTCTGCTGTGCATAAGTCTCGACGTGCATCTGAAAGCCCTTGGGGAATTGATCACTACAGGTGTCGATTTTCAGGTGTCTGTAAAAGCCCGTGTAATATTCCATCTCGGAATAACATTAGCAGACCAGAAGGAATGCTCCTCTCGTCTCGATCAGCCGACTAGCACTTTGATGGCACATTGATGCCTATCACCAATATGTGTGTTTTCGCAGACCCGGACATTGTCCTCGCCAACACCTGCACACACAATAACTAAGGCATGATTACACGCAGTGGCCCGTTCCTAGGAGGTTCTGTGAGGAAACTTTCCCGGCGACTAAATTCTGCTGACTCCGCACATAGCGTGCAGACTGCGGTATCACGTCACCGAGCCAAGTATAAATGATGAAGCATCGGAGACGCGAATCAATGCTTTCTTGCCCCCTGCATTACTAAACATCGCTGCCGCGACCCTACCACGGCCTCTGGACACGTGCTTTCCAAATGTCGAATTACAGCAAGCTCGGTCAGTTTGATCCCGAATATGCCGCTATAGTGACTGCGTTGCCTCCGCCGCCTCCGCCTGAGAAGCAGAGGGACCATTCTCGTTTGCGTGAGCAGTTTAATGTGCGCGTTGTTGGGATGACCAAGGACACCCTGAGACCGCATCTTCCTCCGGGTGCGTCAGACGCATCGCACCATATACTCTTTCCTAATGGAAACATGCAGAGGATGCGTATACTGTGGCAGACCACCATGTCCAGGTTGATGATGGGGAAATACTCGTACGCTGCCTGACACCTCGCGGTTCCGAGGACATCTCCTTCCCTATGTTACTTTGGATTCACGGTGGAGGTATTACATTGTGACTTTGGCAATACAAGTCGTTGATGTATGGGTCACGCAGGATGGATCGTGGGCAACGTGGAGCTTGACGACTACTATCTCAGAATCATCTGCGTAGAATTCCAAATCGCTATAATCAATGTCGAGTATCGGTACGTCTTGCGCCTCCTCACAAAGACAACTTTAACTGACATGTCGAAACAGCCTCGCACCAGAACACCCATCCCCCATCGGTCTCAACGACTGCTATGCTGCGCTGAAATGGGTACCGTACTCGCGAGGCCGTCATCTGAACCTCAGAGCTGACATTCTCGCAGACCGTCAACAATCAGGCGCTTTTTGGTGGCGACATCTCGCGCGGCTTCCTGGTAGGAGGACAATCGTCGGGAGGCAACTACGCAGCGGTTCTCGCCCACCGTGCCCGAGACGACCCATTCTTCGAGAACCGCAGGCTTAGCGGAACCATATTGCAGATTCCTATCGTATTGCATCCAAAGGCGTATCCTGATAAGTACGACATAGCTGTATGCGTGGCAGTTTATACAGTAGGTTGACATGCGTCCTTCAGGTACAAGGGCGAGCTGCTCTCCATGGAGGAATACCGCGGTACCTCGCCGTCGTTAAATGGAGAGCGGGTGGAGGCCTTCTGGGGTAAATACCGTTTGCGTGAACCTTGAGTGGCGCCCTGATATTGGTGATCGCTTTTGGCAGCGGATTTAGGCGCAGAGCCACTCAATCCCGAGTGCTCGCCTTTCCTGTATCCCTCGCACGCGGGTCTCCCACCAACGTACGTGCAGGCGTGCGGACGGGATCCGCTCCGGGATGAAGCTCTGGTGTACGAGAGGCTTCTGAAAGAGGACAACGTTCCGACGAGGCTTGATGTGTGAGCATACTTACCGTCCTGTGCATGTCTAAATCTGAGCTACGACGTGCGACAGGTATCCTGGAGTGGGACATGGATTCCATGTCTATTACCCCACCCTGACCGCAGCTGTGAAGCTCAATGCAGACTTCAAGGCAGGTTTGAGGTGGCTTTTAGGTAGAGACTCCCAGTAGCTGAGAGCGCGAGGCATGCGATCATGAAGATACTAGATATATACCGTCGTCACCGCAGAGATTACTGCTCTTCGCTGGATTGTTTGGCAAGGAGTGTGCGACATCAAATGTCGCGTGGCTGCCTTACGACGTTGCATTCCTCCAAGTTGTCCCTCGGTGGTGATCTCACGTGCAGTTCAAATGGCGAGGGACACTGTGCTAGATGAAGTCTCACGCGCCGCGACCGACGATAGACTCGCAGGAGGAACGGGCCCCCCTGACAACGCTTGCATCTGTATACGCGAGCTCGTCGTGAAGCTGGCCCTCCCTCAACCCTAGATCTTCCTGCAGTCCCTTGCGTGGTCGCATTCCGAACGTGAGGATGTGGTTGGACTGCGAGAGTGGTGAGTGTGGGGCTATGCGGGCAAGGTTCCACACATCCTCGGTACTGAAAACACTATTCGATCCAGATTGTATTCAATAGATATCCCAGAGTCGGAAACGTATTGTACATCAAAGATTCAACCGTTTCATCTCCATGTCCTTTGCATACCGAGACGCGGGGAGGATATAGTCTGTTGTAAGACCCCAATTATCATGCGTGAGGGAGTGGTGTCAAGCTAGTCAACCCCGTGTGAATGACGGCCTGCATGAACGAAGGAGACGAATGTAGTCGCCTGCAGCAAGCAATACTGGATTAAGAGCTTCTGGTTCGCCAACTGATCACTGCTCCATGGTGATGTTTGACCTGGTCCTCTTATTCGGCAATCCACTCTTGGATGATTTTCTGCTCCTTATGCACCGGGCGGGAAGGGAAGAGATATGGTCAGGATGCAGACCGAAGAAGTATCCTCACTATCAGCCTTCACCGTACATTCTCATGAATGGTTGAGGTCAACTTCATTGCGAATCTAGGCTGAATCCACGCAATCAACTGCCTCGATACCAATGTCCCACCTATACGTAGAGTCAATCCTTATAAATAAAATGTACCATACAAACCTGGACATGTGAGCCATCGGGAAGCCTCTGCCTGACTTTCTCATGTCTCAGACAGCTTTTGACGAGTAGTATGTATAGCACTTGTCACAAAGCGCAGGGCGAAGCCTGAGGGATGTATTGCATTCTAGTATCAGCACACCGAATCCTTACATGAAATGCGTCCAAGCAATATGCAGCCATTAAATGAGTGACACGGAGAAGTGTTTCTAAGGGAAATACATCCGCATCGGTAGGTCCGGTTTAGGGGCGAATTGAGCCAGCACCAACACCAGCTTACCACATCGCATCATGGTCAAACGTAGTTTGTACCACGTCGCTTGACTAACAGGAATCTTGCCGACGTAAAGAAGACAGCTCCAACCATCAGCACGGCCTGGCGCCGCAAAGTGAGTCAGGTAACTAATATGTCCAAGCCTGAGTGCTGAAGTACTCACTCCTGAAAACACAGTCGGCCGGTACCACCGAGGGTCATTGACGTTCCCGAGTAGTGCACCATCGATAGGCGCTCCAGTCAGGAACGCAAAGGAGCTTATGAAATATGCTAGACCAAGGCTCATGCTGTTTGAATACATGATTAGTGTCGTAAGAGGGTTTGATAGTAAGAACAAGTTACCCCGCTTCATCTACATTCTTCGCCATACCGAGAATAGCTGGCGCCGACAGAGACAGGACTGCGAGTAGATGTTAGATTTGTCACCTAAATACTAGTATTTCGCGTATCCACTTACATGCGCCGCTGAAGAATCCATATAGGATCGAAAACGCAATCACCGCCCCTGGACTGAGTACTCCAAATAGCGCAAATGTGAGGGCGCCCATGGCGACTATCACAATAATAAGCATATTGAACAAGCCTAGGTTGGTCGCCATAGCATTCATTATTACTCGTCCTGGAATGGAGCCAGCATTCATAATAGCGAGCTATGTCATATTTGTTCACGTATGAGGAAGATTGGCATGGAATCCGCGGAACAAACGATCCTCACCGTATAGAATGCGAGGTTGCTCGACATGCCATGCAGAGTAACCCACAGTTGGATGTAGTAATCTAGTACGTCAACGTGATTAACCTTGCAGTGGAGAAGGTGCACATACAGGGAAAGTTATAACCCCACAGGACCGTGAAGAACCTGTACAACCGAATCAGAAGTTTGACCGTATGAAGGCCTATTATACGAACCCTGCAAGCATTGACAGGTAGGCCCAGTCATGAGTAATGGACATGACAGAGACAGACGGCTTCGGTCGAACAGTATGCCTCGGAAGTTGAGTCGTCATGATGCAATTGGCAATACAGAGGAAACCCATTGTCAGAAATGCAGATGCACGTACTCCCCACGCAAATCCGAGGGGACCGTGTATCAGTCTGTTCAACATGATCGGGTATATGATGCCGCCGAAGCCGGAACCTGCACGAAAACGACGAGTTGAAACTTAGCCTATAAAAAGTATAAGAGCAGCATACCCGTGGCAACGATACCCATTGCAAGGGAGCGACGTTTCTCCCAATGATGTGACTGGACCGTCTGGGCTGGAACTAGGAGCATACCACTCCCCACTCCGAGGCCGACACCTTGCGACAGGACTAGCTGGTAGTAATCGTGAGGGTCGGTCAACGATAACATGAACATTCTGATTTAATTTGCAGCTTGCGTTTTCAGCAAAATTGGATGAACAGTCTAACGGGAAAAACTTACGAGAATACGAATAGCACTGATCCAACAATCATTGTTGTTCTCATATAGCCCATGTCGAGTAAGATTCCAGCAGGAAGTCCTAAGAAAGATGATAGCGAATACTGCAAAAGCTACTTGTGAGTATCACACCGAGTGATGAGCCTACCCGTACACACCTGCAGAGAACCGATCCAGCTTATATTAGACGATGATGACGAGTGTTCGAGTGTGTAGTAGTCTTGATATACGCCGAACGAGTTCGCGTAGCCGAATGTACAAAACAGAATCATCCATCTGGGATCGAGGATGGTTAGAGCGAAGGACATTTTCCCGAATATTTACGTACCCGCCAGCGACTGATAGCCAGGCCCAGAGACCTCCATCTACTTTGACATCCTCTCGGTATGCAGCATTATCCGTGGATTCTTGTGCAGGGGGACTGCGAGTCGGGTTTGCGCCCACCTCCTTGGTGTCTATCAAGCCCTTCGGCGCACTCGGGTCGGCATCAATGGACATGGTTGTACTACGTCAAGAGGTCCTGTGGAATACCGTTGGACGGAGTCTATCTGGCAAGGCACGACCCAAAACAACTTGTCCTTGTGAGACCTGTTGTCGAGCCGTTCTGACACACCGCATGATTGCACTGTCTCATTGCGAAATCCCGATTACGCTGGACGCCTCCTACGGATAGAGGGGTGAATTGCCTATGCTATGGCGCTAGACGTTGCGTAAGGACCGCGAACCGCGGAACCCTGAACCTTCGGAAAAATCCAATGATTGCGGGGTGGTGTCGGCATAGAAGCTGGTCGCGGCCTCGCCGTGATGCCATACAGGGTGTGGGAACAAGACAAGCTGATTCAAATACATCTGCTGGATGGAAGTATGTGGGTCCGCATGACAGAAGTATGAATGATATGGAATGATTGGACCCTTTGCGACATAAGAATATGTCAGCGGACATCACAGCTAACACATCATCAATTTTGGAGTTGAAGGAGATACGGATACTGTTGAACGCTGGCAGGACGTCAATCTTTATTGTAATCCGGGAAGTGACTACTGACGTTAAGAGACATGATGGTCAAGATTGCACCAGTAACAGGGCTTCTGAGTCGCTCCGGGTGTGACCACGATGCCCTTGGGCTGGAATCAGACATGTGATACACGATTGTATCGTGTTGCTGATGGTAAGCGCAGCCGCACAGACTTTCGACATCAATGTGTTGATTGATTACAGACTACGGCCAAAAGTGGCGATCTAGGACGACTTCTGCCATTGACGCTACCAAAAGCAAACGACTATCAACAAGTGCAAACAGATATTGCACCTCCATACCAATTGATTTGTCAACATCATGCTTATCTCCAATATGTATGCAGAAGTGCTCGCTGCCAAGCACTCTACCGACACAGCGGAACTTCCCATTGCCTCGTCGCTCACACGATCTTGTGTTACCCCAAACGCGTGGGTCTCGTGTTTCAACGCGCTATGAAATTGGATCTGCGTCGTTTGTGTCACGGTAAACCCCAAACTTCGGGGCAGATCTGTTTGTTCCCCGAATGATAGAAGGGTGAATTGCTGCTTGTTAAGGCGCACGTACAGAACGGATCATTGCGGTCGAATGGACTAATATACCTGGCGCCTCTGCAGCAAGCCATATGCTGAAGTGGTTGAACCGCCGTCCCATTCGAGCACAGCAGAAATCAAGCATAGCAACAGCAACAATGGCTCATAAGATGTCTCCCGAGTATCGTCAACTCGGACGGTCTGGTCTACGCGTGTCCGTCCCCATCGTGAGTGCAAAGCTGTTGTAATACTGCTTACAGGCAATAATCACCGGTTGCTGCAGCTGGGGGGTATGACTTTCGGAAATACCAAATGGAACGTGAGTTGGTTTCGAATATATGCCATTCAATGTGACGTGAAAATCTGATTGTGTCTGCCTCAAGCCGTGGCTGTTGACGGAGGAGCAGGTCTGTGTTTTGCTCCGTCGCGTTCTGTATTGGCCATGACCTTGAGCAGAGTCTTCCTTTGCTCAAAGCGGCTTGGGATGCGGGCGTGAATACCATCGATACCGCCAACACATACTCGAATGGGGATTCCGAGCGAATCATCGGAAACTTTATAAAGCAGGTATGTCTCTCGCCAATTACCAACCACGCATGTTCAGATAGTTATCAACTTTTGACCGCAGTACAGCATACCAAGAGAGACCCTCGTGATAATGACCAAAGCGCTGTTCCTTGTGTCCTCCGATCCAGGTGTGAAGACCATGCTCAATCCGAGCCTTGGCCAATCTCGCGACTTCGTAAACCAGGGCGGTTTGTCGCGCACCGCCATATTCAATCAGATCGACGCGTCGCTACTCAGATTAGGGACATCATACATAGATCTGCTTCAGATCCATGCTTTCGACCCCTCCACTCCCGTTGAGGAGACCATGAGAGCGCTGCATGACTTAGTTCTCAGCGGGAAAGTCCGTTATCTCGGTGCATGCAACCTTCGTGCTTGGCAGCTTGCAGAAATGAACAGGGTGGCCGAATTACATGGTTGGACACCATTTGTGAGCATCCAAGTGGAGCATTCGCTTCTCTACCGGCCCCAGGTACGCTCCCACTCATCACCTTTGAGCATAAACTCGATTTGTTTTCAACATACCTTTCAGGAGCTGGAGATGTTTGCTTATTGCAACTACAAAGGGATTGGTATACTATCATACTCTCCGTTGATGGACGGAAATCTAGCTCGGCCACTTGATGTGGAGACAGCAAGGGTCAAGAGCACAGGTAATTCACCGTTCAAGAAGAAACTCAGGGCATCAGACAGGGAAATTGTCAAGCGGGTTAATGAGGTGTCGCAAAGGCTCGAGTGGAAGATGAGCCAGGTGGCGCTTGCGTGGTCTGTCAGCAAGGTCACCAGTCCTATCGTCGGTGTCAATTCGGTCAGTGGACAGTCTCGTCAATAAGCCCGCCCGGATTGACTCTGCATGACAACTAGATCGAAAGACTGTACGATGCCATTGTCTCTGACCGCAAGCTATCTACGGAAGACATACAGTACCTCGAGGAACTGTGGGTGTCACCTATGGACTCGCCTTCGTTGACTATCTGATTACCATCAACAGCTATGAGCACCAAGGCCCGAGGTTCTAGAGAGTATGGTAGCATTGGATCTGTGTAGGCGATCTGAGCTTTGTTTAACATACAATATCCGTGGGACTCGCTGAATTATCCATCATGTTCACCGCTCAAACCGTCGAAAGACAAGCACGTCCTGCGCCCCGCGCCCTACGATGTCGCATCTTCTTGGCGACCTAATTGCCATTCTGCCAAAAGCGTAGTAGTACGAAGTGCAGATAACCTCTTAAATGGAAGTGGGCAATGGTATGCAGCGTTCGGCGACTGTGAAGCTTTCAGAAGTTGCTCGTATCACAGGCGTCAGATTGGACAGCCAAGCCCGTGTCTACGAACCTGATACGCAAGTGGATGTGTGATCGGGCGAATTCCGGAAACAAGAGCCCAATTTGGTGAGTTGTGGCTGTGATTACGCAGTGCCGGGCTTCGGCACCGTCCCAACCCGTGATTTCAAACGCCGCATCAACCGCACCGACGCCACACTTTGTGAACAGCAGGTCTGACATTAAGCGTTTAGCTGGAGCGGTCAATCACCGAAAACATGCTCTGGAGAGGTTTGGTATCCACCCTGATGCGCAGCTCCGAGGGGATATCCCCAATCGCGCATATCGTCATTGTCACTTCCAAGTTCCGGTTTCCCCGAGCCAATGATACCGATTGAGGGGTCTGATGAGGAGTAATGGAAATGCTTGAGTGCATCGTGGTACGTGGAATGTATCTCAAAGGAAGCAGAAGCAGAACTTGTCAGATTTCGTATAATGATATAATTCTTCGAAGCTCCGGACAGCAGGATAACGATCTACCCTGGCTGCTAGATATCTTCCGCAGCCCTTGCTCCCGTGTTCAACTTCGATAATTCTGAAGAGGAAGAAGGAGCTTTGCTCATGGTACCGTATGTACAGAAGCTTCATGCAGGTTATATACTCTGAATGTGGACGTGATCGCGCCCATCAACCAGCATGTCTCCGATTCGCATTGGGTTCGTTGGCCTCTCTACCCAAGGGTGGGCAGCCTTCATGCTCGCGCCCTCGCTTCTGCAGTCGCCACTCTCGGATCAGTATGCTCTCGCCGCTGTCTCGACCAGTAACCCACACTCTGCCCAAGCCAGCGCAAAAAAATATTCCGACTTGGCGAAAGGGCCCGTGAAGGCGTACCATAGTTCCACCGCCCACATAGCCGGAGACGGCGATGTCGATATGATCGCTATAGCAGTGAAAGCGACCGACCACAAAGCTGCAGCTCTGCCAGTAATTCAGGCAGGAAAGGACTTTTTTCTCGAATGGCCCGCAGGGCGCGGTCTCCGAGAAACGCGAGAAATAGCAGACGCCGCCAGAAGCGCCCGGATAAGGACCATGGTTGGATTGCAAGGAAGGCAGAGTCTCGTCATAAGGGAGGTAAGCTCGCTGCGCATTTTATTTGATTCGTTGGGCATGAACAGTGAGCTGACACAAACCATTTAAGATCAAAAGAATCATTGTTTCTGGGAAAATAGGACGCGTTTTATCGTCGACCGTAGTGAGCTCAGTTTTCTATTATCGAAGATCTGTCGTTGACTATTGGTGAACCCTCATTTCCAGACTGCGCGCCCTGCCAGGGAGCCGTATTATTGGGGCCCTTACATCGGCGAACGTAACCAGTATACGGCTACAGTGGAGAACGGTGCGACAATGCTGGATATAGCAGTCGGTCATTTCCTCGATTCGTTCATGTTCACCCTCGGCCCATTCTCATCAGTATCTGCCATACTGGAGAATCAGTTCCCGACTGCACAGCTCGTCGACGGGTCAGGAAGCCCTACCGGCGTGTCCATTGAACAGACAGGGTGTTCGCAGGCAGCAATATCTGGTGTGCTGAAGAGCGGAGCCGTCGTGAGCATTCATTGGCGTGGGGGTCTCGAGAGCAAGCATGGTAAGGACGGGACACCGTTCATATGGACGATTGACGGCGAGAGCGGATCCATCCGCGTCGAGAGCAGCGAACCTGGAGGCAGCTTTCTCCATATCCGTGACCCCGTATTGTACGTCGATGGGCAGGAAGTGAAGCTGGAGAGGAACGACGGCATGAGCAATACTGGAAGAGCGTGGGCGGAGTATGCGAATGGTAATCACGGGCTTTACCCGACCATAGACGACGCAGTTGAGGTAAAGACACTGCTGGAAGCTATTGTTGGTAGTGCGCGGGATGCCTGTGTTGTACACTTGTGATTATCAATAGGTCCACTATATAATTAGCTGAACATTGTATCCCGTGGTTGATGTTGCATCAGACGAGTTGCGTCCTTCACCATGAAGTATGATGCTGCAGAACTAGACATACTGTACAGCTGAAGACGTGCACTTGATATGAGACAGAAACCCGAGGCAAGCTCGCATAGACTGTCACTTCAGCCTGGACTTCGAGCTGTACACAACTCACGCTGGTAGCTAGAATTTCCGTTCCGTTCGATTCGCTCAGGCTGTTTGTACCCAAGCTTAACCATTCACCATTGATACAACGATTGGCTCTGACCATCCTCCGTCGTATTCCTCCAAGGAAGACGGAACGAAATGAAGACTTCACTCGTTAAAAGTCAGTAATCGGATCCTTGTTGCAATGTTTGGATGATTTTATGATCCATGATGCATCTCCTCCGAAAGCGTAAATCATGGACAGCGCAAATAATCGTCTATGAGGTAAATATTATAAATATAGCGCTGAGCTGGCGCTGTCACGTCTAGAAGTGTGTAAGACCACACGGTGACCTAAGCCGAGCGGTAGAACATGAAAGCAGGTTGTCCAATGAATTATGAATGATGTATTTCTTTTCGGCGATGGTAAGTAAACCGTCTCCAAGATTACCACAGGGCTGTGTTGGCCGAAATAGCGAGGACATATGTGACCCTCTAAGATTGAAGTCACCATTGAGGGCGGGTTGCGCTCGGGCACCCTCGGTGATACGTCGCACGGAGATGGCCAATTCCAAACTGGGAATGGGCGCTTGCTACCTCGCACCCTAAACTACAGGAAGTTCCGCTACCGCCGGATCCTTGTAATCCATCTGTGGCTTGACGCTGACGCTCTTCATGCCCTCCATTCTTATCCATTGATGGTCACTCCAGCGCTGTGCCACATTTTTCTCAGATCTAGGGCCAGCGTCGACCTCAAGAAGTTGTGAAGGACAGTTGTCGTAGCACACTCTACTTACTAAGGTCCGTATTCTGATCGGAGCGCTTTACCCACGAGACCCTGAGTGCTTCCTGAGGTGACCGCCGAGTCGATAAGGAACATGCAACCTGGACATTTTGAGCAAATGTCGACAGATATCCAAATCGATTTTCATGTCGCTGCTCACAGTTTTCCATAGAATAAGTACTGGACAGTCCAGTCAGATACTGTTGTCTGCAGTCTCAGTAACTGTCACAACTGCGTTGTGACAGTTGCGGTGACTAACTCAGCCACGAAGGTCATGGTACAATCAAAGTGTATTTCACTGCGGTCGTCCTTGTTTCGTTCTGATGGCGCCATGCACTTAGAAAGCCCCGAGGACGCGCGCATTACCATTTACGCGTTCGTTGTCTCATGGGCAAGGGCAACGCAAACCCCGATGGCTGCATGTGGAAGCAGTTGCTCTCGATCCATGCCCGAATTTATGTGTACCGTAGGGCAATTTGTCGACCTTCACCGATCAACAGAAAGTGTGCGAAGCCATACCGTTGCTCCCGTGCCCCTAAAGTTCATGAGGCATGCAAGCCCCCGAGGTTGTGCCCGGGATCTGTCATAGTTGATCCTTCATCAATCACTACATCATCTTCATCCCTGACATCTGCTAACTAGTGCTCGGGCAGTGTACAGAAATATCTGCAACCACATGAATTGTTTAGCGTCTTGCAGCACTGGGTAGTTGCACATCAGCCAAACAGATGCCCTCGTATTTGAACACAAATCGAACTCTTCACGCACTTCAACGAGTGCACAAATGAAGTCGCATGCTTTCATCCTCGCCGCATACATATTGCAGAGTCAAGCATGTGACCCTTTACCGAACCCTCCTTCAGGAAGTGACATCTCAGATTTCTTACGCGTCAACCTGGATTACATCATCATAGGTGATCAAGTTCGCTCTGGGTTGGTCTACCTGTGATATCGACAAGGCTTCCTACAGGTGGTGGTACGGCGGGTCTTGCTGTTGCAGCAAGGCGAGTATCAAACGCTCGCGACCTCTCATCCGTATTTTGACAATCTGCCTAGATTAGCAGAAGATTCTGGAGTACAGGTCGGAGTCCTCGAGGCTGGATACTTTCATCTTGGGGATCCCATTGTTGATATACCTGGTATGCGGTGCATCTCATATCACAACGTTCTCTTACATACGTCTTTCGCAGAGTATGCTTTCAGTCAGAAACACAACTTCTCGTATGACTGGGGCTTTGTCACGACAACTCAGCCAAATGCCGGTGGACGAAACATCTCTCTCCCTAGGTAAGAATTAGCTCTGCCCTTGGACAAACATACCTCTCGAGCGCCATTACAGAGGCAAGATGCTAGGTGGCTCAAGTGGTATCAACGGCATGGCGACAAATCGCGCTTCTAGAGTGGAATACGATACGTGGAGTGAATTTGCTCCAGAAAACGACTGGACCTGGGATGGGTTATTGCCATATTTCAAGAAGTCTGAGAACGTGTCATTATTACCGCGTAATCCGTATCCGGGAATCTCTCCCGCAGAGGCAGCGCAAGCGGCGATGAATTTACCCAATGTTGATGGTTTTTCGGGCCCTATTGTGGTACGTAACCATGCCCCCCTAGTCCTTTCAAGTGGATTTTGACCCAGCAAATATAGGCGTCCTATAATTCCTTCTACTTTGAAGACACTACATTGCTGACTGAAACCCTGAACACTATCGGGGTTCCCACAAACGCCCAGCCTGTGAGTGTGGATTTACTAGGCCATTGTTGATACGACTGACGACGACTCGTGATACGGGCAGCAAGGTGGCAACAGCACAGGCGTTTTCAATACCTTAGCCAGCGTTGACCCTCGCACAGGAACAAGGTCATACTCTGCGACAGGTTATTATTGTAATCAACCTGTACGACCCAACTTGCACATAATTGTCGATGCCCAGGTATTTCATACTTGTAGCCCGTATATGACACCAAAGTGAACACATGACCTTGCAGGTCACGATGATACATTTTGCCGAACAGAGCGAGCCATTGACCGCGACTTCGGTTCAGTTCTCCGTCGGATCTGCTTCCTACGTCGCGAATGCTTCACGCGAGATCATTCTATCGGCAGGCACTGTCCAGACCCCGCAAATATTGGAGCTCTCTGGTAAGTAATTTTCTCTGCTCTGCCACGTTCAGCCATATTGAGAGAGAATACAGGTATCGGAAATAGAAGTATACTCGAGGCCCAAGGCATACAAACACTGATTGATCTGCCATCTGTGGGCGAGAACCTGCAGGCAGGTCTCAGGCATCTGCGATTGTGATGGTGCTCTGAGACTCGAATAGGAACATCTGTACATCGCGGCACAATGGCAACTGAAACCAGGAGTGGAGACCTTTGGTAAGCATCCTACTCACGCAGGCTTGTAACTCAATCAATGCAGCACCGCATAGACATCCTGAGGAACAATGCAACATTTCTGGCTGAGCAAACTGAGCTATAGTGAGTGAAATTGTAACGACTGTTGCCTGAACACGAATGCAAATAGGTCCACACTAGTTACGCCAATCATACCGGTCTACTTGCGGCAACTGACAATACCATAACTATACTACCACTGCAAGCGTTCGTTGAGGAGGACGAGCTTGCGTCCTTGCTCGATCTGTTTGACAAGGAGGCCAAGCAACCCGACCTTTCTGCGCTCCAGGAGCTGCAATATCCCATCCAGCGCTCGTGGCTAGAGACGGGAGATGGGCCCTATATTGAGCTGATTCAGTGGAGCTTAGGTTATTACGACCCTCAACCAAATCAAAGCTATATTGCGATTCTTGGCGGGAATATGGTAAGCACAAGCCAGTAGGGGAAATCCTAATACTCATGCCATTCAGCATCCGACCAGTCGCGGGAGCGTGGTCAGTACACCGTCTCCTTTCCCTAGCCAGTCGCCTATTGACGTTTCTATAAGCATATTAACTCCGATGACCCGTTTGCACACCCAGCAATCGACCCCCAATTCCTCAGCCGCGAGTTTGGTATGACAGCAGTTGGTCTCATGAGCCGATGGATGTACTCATGCTTCACAGATGCAGCGGTATTATTGGCCACTGTCAAGTTCATGCAGCGAGTCGGGAACTTAAGCCCGTTCGCAGACATGATCGCAAATCAAAGCGATCCATCGCCCACAGCGCAAACGTCTGACGATCTTCTGAGGTAAGCAGTCTGTGATTTGAGTGCGATTAGGTCGGTTCTGATTGCCAGCTAGTTTCATTCGCAACAACACATCGGTAAGTGTTCCTCATATCGTCATCTATGCTCGAGTACTGACGGTGGTCATAGCCAGGAGACCACCTCATAGGCTAGTATACCAGATGCCGTCATTCACTCCAACTAACTAATGCAGTACCGTAGGGACAGCTGCAATGGCGCCACGCAATGCGGGAGGTGGGTGGAGCAATACTTGGCGCTGCTCAGTATCATGGCTAATGGCTGATCGAGATGCTCATAGGGGTCGTGAACTCGAGTCTCCTCGTGTATGGTACGCGCAATGTACGAGTTGTCGACGCTAGCATAATCCCGTTGCATATCGGCTGCCACATCCAGTCGACCACATATGCCATAGCCGAGAAAGTGAGCAGTCCACTTTGTCGCTGTTCATACGGGAATTGATTGTTGCACTATCAAAGGCTGCGGAGATAATAAAGGGGTCAAGCCGGACGCAGTCTGTGTGACGGCATCCATCTGCAATATATCGAGCGCGGAGCGGAGCTATCATATGTGGAGGCTTTTCACCTCGATTCACAGCAGCATAGGGAATGTCAACGTCGTTCAGCGTTCAGCGTATCGTAATGTTTATTGTGGTCCAATAAAAGTAGAAAATGTGATGCACGTAAGCCGGCTACATTTGTTTGAGTCGATGAGGCAACGGTGGGGTGCACACATCTCAATATGGCTCGGAATGCAGTTCCACTGCAAATAACCATGTAATCTCGGACATAGACTCGACCCTGACATATGATGTACCAGCTCATGTCACCGCGGGCCTATATTGGCGGCGTCTTGTGTCATCGACGTGTCCCGGTCCTATGGGAAGGCCGCTCACACACCGGATCTCTGATCGGGTGCATCGATCCAACTCCAATCTTCACCATGAATGCTCTCGGCCAAGTACAGGATCGCACGGCACTTGCACGCTAATAGGACAGACCCTGAGAATGTGACTAACGCCGTAACCTTTTGCGGGACACAGATCGTAACGGCGCTTAGCTCGATGCGGAGACTCCATGAATACCATCGCTAGCAATTGCACCAAAGTCATTTGCGCAATATGGCGCTTGCAAGTCGACGATCAGAATATGAATCCGTTTCGCTGCATAGTACTTGTTATCACACCACAAAAGCTCCTTTTGGCTACACATGGAGCAGTTATCTTGAAGGCGCAACTGACAAACACTGCATCGTCCACGTTTGCTAGCGAATCCGACCGCCAAACAAGTCTTCACTCCCGAGATGCTCCTCAACGAGAAAGCATTCTCCCTTGAGCTAGGAAGGTATTTGCTCGCAATTCCTATAGTCATTGTTCTCTGGCTTTGGCGTCAACGTCAACGCCGTGCATTCCCTCCCGGTCCTCCTGCTAGGTTCATAATAGGCAATATTCTCCAAGTATCTCCCCTGGGTGCTTGGTTCAAGTTCTGCCAGTACAAGGAGCAATATGGTTAGTTGCACGTTGACTGCACTTGTTGGCACACTTTGGAATTATTGACCCCGCGTTAGGTGACCTCCTGTTCTTCCATGGTCTTGGAAACCACGTCTTGGTACTCAATTCCATGAAGGCAATCAATGACCTTCTCGACAAGCGCAGTGGTATCTACTCCAACCGGCCAACCTTCACAGTAGTCAGTGAACTCATGGGACTTAGTCAAGTTAGCGATCACCATGTATTGACATGTGTAACATGAGCTAACATTGCACTTAGAGTATGCCGCTCCTTCCGTACGGAGAAGAATGGCGGGCGCATAGACGACTGGCACACACCGCCCTCAGTCCCGCGGCTGTGAAGCGTTATCATGGCGTCCAGGAAGATTTGGCCGCTCTACTCTGCCAACGGCTACTCCAGTCACCCGAGGATTTCTTCAACCATGTTCGCCTGTACGTGGTTTCCGTACCATTGCGCCGGTGGCGGGCTGATAACCTGCATGCAGTATAGCGGGAAATGTTATCTTATCGGTTGTGTATGGCCTCCCTGTTGAGACTGCCGAAGACGAGGTTTGTGTTGTGTGGGTAATGAGGTGTTCATGTCTCAACAACACGTCCAGTACATCGCTCATGCGGAGCGCACCATGCAAGTTATCAGTGAAGCTACGGTTCCCGGGGCGTACCTGTGCGACCTCATGCCTTTCCGTGAGTGAAGTCAGGGTCATGTTCATAATTCATCTGAGCGCCTTGTCCAGTGAAACATCTCCCTTCGTGGGTGCCTTTCCAGCGAGAGGCAAGCACGGGCCGCGAGATGATTGAGCGGCTCGTTTCGAAGCCGTATGAACACGTGAAGCGCGAGATGGTATGTGTCGGTCGTGTTTCCGAAGTGTCGTTAACGACGCATCACATCGCACTCGCAGGATGCTGGCAGGGCGCCTCCGTCTATGACGCAAGACTTACTGTCCGTGCGCATAAATGACATGCAGGACATCGAGCAACGAATCAAATGGACAGCCGGTGCTATGTATGGAGGTATGTCGCGAGGTCGCTTGGATGTAGAAGCAGCTGACGGGAATCACAGCTGGCGGCGAAACTGTACGCTACTTTGTGTTTTCTAGCGAGGCATTGCCTTACCCGCGTGACAGACATATTCGACGGTGCTTGTATTCATAATGGCAATGGCGCTGCATCCGGATAAGCAGCGGCGTGCGCAACAAGAGCTCGATAGCGTCGTCGGGACCGGGCGCTTTCCTAGTATTAGTGATCGCGCGCACCTCCCGTATGTCAACGCGGTGATCAAGGAGACGATGCGATGGCACCCTGTCCTTCCGCTGAGTGCGACGTCCTGGGCTCCCATTTCCATTGATCGTGACTTATCCCAGCAGGCATCGCTCGCATGTCGGCGCAGGACGACCTGTACAACGGATATTATATTCCAAAGGGCACTATCGTTATCCCGAATGTCTGGTGCGTATGTCTGACTTCATATGTGAAACCACGCTTGATACAATGCTATGCAGGGCTGTCGCACTCGACTGTCCCCAGGGGACAGAATTCATCCCTGAACGCTTCCTAGGTGACGATGCCCCTATCGACCCGGCCACCTGGGCATTCGGTTTCGCGAAACGGTGAGCGGCGTCAGGTACCTTTCTCCTGCGGCACCCACTGACGGACTCATCCAGGATCTGTCCCGGAAAGTATCTAGGCGAGAATTCCGTCTTCATTCTCATTACGACACTGCTTGCGATGTTCGACATTATGCCCGATCCGTCCGAGGACCTACGTCCGAACTTCACGCTCAACCTCGTGAGGTATGTATACATCGAACGATAGCTGACTTGCCTCTGCTGACACCGCTATTCGCACAGCTACCCGCATCCTTTCAAGTGCCGTATACAGCCACGGTCTGAAGCGCACGCGCAAATGATGCTGCTACGAGCGAGCAATTACTCTGCATAGTACACGATGTCCACACAAAGTTCATACCTATCATTCCATTTACCTTGTACCTAGGAGAATTTGTATAGCAGAATGGAGTTACTTGTACCCATCTGTCCATCGGGGTAGTTTATGTCATGACATCATTTTAGAAGACATCCGCGTTATGGTCCGGCGCTGCTTTATTACGAATCGTCACGGAAACCTACGTCGCACCGCGTTCAGCGCGATTGTTAACGAAGGCCCCTAATTAGATGATTGTGCTCAGCCTTGGCAGATCTGCTCGACAACAGTGGACATGATTTCCGGTGGCAACACACTGTGCCCTCTGATAACGAGAAGGCTTCTGATGAACTCAGTTCAACAAGCGTCCCTGCCTGTTTCTGTCATATCCAGGGTTGTCGTCAAACGATCCTGTGCTATCATTCGTCATTACGGGACCACAGTGGCCCATCCGTCCGCAGCACATGCGATATACCCATACGAGTGAACGAATGAGCGGCAAAAATTGAGCCGCCTTACGTACCGCGACAGATGGGGACATCCGGAGCCTGAGCCAAGTATCAAGGTCTGCTCTGAGACTAAGGTCGACGCTTTGCAACTCAGCGCTATAGTTGGATAAGGAAACTCCATCGTCATGTGAAGACGCAAACCTGTGGCGGCCTTGATCCGCTGTGCATAAAACAAGTCGCGTTTCACTGATTGTGTTGGGCATGTTCTAATTGACGCTTTCAGTATAAGCCCCCGAGGTCGATCATATTCGATCGGATAGCGATCGTACATACTTGCGTAGCATGTATATTCCCACGTCAGTACCCCTACCACCACGGTGTTGCCGCCGAATCCATTCCCTCATTACCCGTCACCAGTTTATCTCAGCATGGTAGGCTGGCTCCTAGTCACGCAATGCTTGATGCGCCAAAGTTGTTTGCAAGTCCGGTGAGCCGCCAAGGGCATTGTCACCGTGGTGGCCAACATGCTATCCCTTGTTGGTGAGTTGTTTGATGTTGCTCTGAGTTCGTAGGTTCGGCTCATTCCCAGACCAAGTCCGTCGTGATCGGGATTGCCCCCCGAAGCTACCGTTCTATCGCTTGTTCATTACTAGCACCGACATAAGATACACTTCACTGTGGAGAGTGAGTTATTCAATATTGTTTCTTACATATGATCGTGGCAGCTCGTTTATCCTGCGAAGATAAGTAACATCCGGAAACGCCGGGAATGAGATATTCACGCTTGTTTGCGAATCACAACCTTGTGCGCCTTTGCAAACCATGCACGCACCCTCGTACATAAACGTCGGCGAGGCATTAACATAGGGCAAACGGACGTTCGTTATGCTAATGCAGCTCCCTCGTCATCTGCACACTTTATTACTGTTCACGTGGACAGACTACAAGACCATATTCCTGCCTATTGTAAGCCTCGAGGTTACCCATGCTCCCGCTGATGCGAAGCTGATGTGTGCTCATTTAGACGGCCTTCGCGTGTGCGACAGCTCCCCTGCACTCTGCGTCGCGCTTATTGCAGGCATGGTCGTGGATCTGGCTGCACCAGCTTATGTGCAATGTCTCAAACCAGGCTCGATCGAAGGAGGAGGATGTACTCAACCGACCATGGAGACCACTTCCATCAGGACGAGTGTCCGAGGCAGCCGCTGTGCGCCTACGTCATCTCACGGTACTCGTGTGCTTACTGCACTCATATATGTGTGGCTGGGACATGGTTGCCGTAACTGCTGGCCTTATGCTCACCACGTACTTCTATGACAACGTTGGGCTCGCATCTCATCACTTGGGCAAGAGTCTATGCAACATAGGTGGATATACAGCTTTCGAGATAGGGGCAACAAAGCTCGTGGGTGAGCTTTGGAGTGCCATGAAGAATGTCGTTCAAAACTCAATCAGTCTGACGCTTGCTTTGTGAATAGGTGATACCCGTGCGCTGGATCATATTTCATGGATCGCGGTCGTCATCAGTGGGACCCTCATTTTCACTACCGTCCATACACAAGATTTCCCTGACGTCGAGGGAGATGCAAAGCTTGGTCGCGTCACCTTTCCGATATACGCCCCTGAAACCGCACGTCTATTCACCATCTGTGCGATGGTCATCTGGTCACTCTTCCTGTGCTGGTTCTGGAAGGTCGATACAGGAGTGAGCACCGCAATGTTCGCACTAGGGCTATTCGTTGGCCTCCGGTTCTATTGGTGGAGGACTCCAGAGCACGATGCGCGCTCTTACTTGATTTATAATGTGCGTGGAATATTTGCCCTAAAATGCGTGTCTCTCAATTAGTGTATCAGATCTGGCTGATGCTCGCGCATCTGCTTCCTGTGAAAGGAAGAATGCAGGGTACCAACATAGATTAGCCAGGTAAAGTGTGTGCATGTCAAGCATTGTATTTTTGTACCTAGAACACAGTTCTCATTCTTAGCATGACTACTCTCCGAGCTTTTGTAGCGAAACCGGTGGTTTGCGATTTCGTATTGTAGAGGATTGATTTGTGTCGTCAACTAGAAATGATGTTTTTGCAAACATTTCTTGTACGATGATTGAGTCTCTCGAGGGTACGGAATAATTCCAATGTCAGTCTTGGGCAGTTGCAGTATATTGAATATTTGCTAGTGGACAATGGGCCTGTAATCAACTTGTTATAGAAGGAAGGCACAGCTCTCGGATAGCTCATTGCAGACGCTTGTGCGCCCTGAGCAACTGCCCAATGTACGCGCCCTAGAGTAACGTAAACTTCAAGCCTCTCACTCGAGGCCAAATGGGTCGTATATGATCAACGACCCACTACATACAACATAATGGCGCCAGGGGAAACTGAATCTCCGAGCCCGAGCAGCATCGGATACAGAGATACTGTCCGGAGCGTGTATTCTGCTGTTCGAATCTCGATCCGGGGGATATACCATGAGAACGCAGCCTGCTACTTGGTGCCCTATGCGTACGGCTTCTTACAACGGAGCGCCCAACGCAGATGTCAGCGCATGTATGACCATCATTACCCACTTCGTTTGCTCACAGATACTGTGTGTTGACGCGGTGACACTGACGGAGGTACAACGTACCTTCCTATCAGAAATCACAGCAAGGTAGCATCCCTATGAGTTCGTTTGCTAAAGTCTCATCAGAAGGACACCATTGACGCACATATTAGCGCCGCAGTGGACTCGGTACGCCACACATATGCTTCTAGTCGTGAGTTCGACGAGATCCCCTGATCCGTGGAGCAAGGTCCCCTAGGGTCTGAAGGTCGTGAAATTAACTCGATTCTGAAGTGGCCCATACCCGGTCGCTAGCGGAATGTGGGCCTCGTGATGGGGTAATATGGATAAGATGTGATTTACTTGGTGGGAGGGAGACAACATCGTTCGTTGCCTTCGCCGATTTAGACGCTGTGACAATCTGCCTTTCATTTGGAACTTTGTCGCCCTCCACCGGTCGAGAATCTCTTGTTCTACCGCATATGAATTAATTTAAAGAGATACGTAGCCATCCGACCCGGATTGTCAGATTCACGATGTCAATTGCCATGAAAGAATGATCGCTGTGGAATGCGACTAATTAGACTGTCACGCGTGACTACACAGGGTCTATTACGTAATGCATGCATCTTCCCGTGATATCGCGACTATGTTTCATTCGCTTTTGCAATCGTCTATTTGTCTTCAATGGCTAGAGCGAACTGATGGAACAGGAAACTTCTGTTTGGTCCCACAGTCTCCGCAACTTGTTAGACGCTGGCTTCACGTCTGCCTGGCTTGGAAATCATGCTTCGCTCTGCCACGACTTCTTTGTGCCACATCGCGCGTCAAGTCCTTCATGCAGTCCTGCTAATCGCGTTCCGAAATGTTTCATCGCTTCACAATTGATACACTGTGACTCACTGAGAAAAATCAAAATGCCATCCCAGATGTAGAGGTTTAAAGCGTGAGCAAATTCTCGTTCAACTGCGCATGACGAGTCACAACTAACTTGGTTGAGGTCCGCGTTATTGTGAATCTGATTACTGTCGCTTGACTGTCAATCCCCGGGCTTGAGCGAATGAAGCGTCGTGACCCCGGAGATACCTCGTTGCGTCGATAAACCAGCATCTCATGATCACTGCATATGTGTACAACCATCTTCACGCTCCAGCATCATTATCGTGACAATTACATATGTCAACTACTATATATATAACGACTGTCAAAGGTGCTGGAACCAACGGCTGTCATGATGGCCTTTGGGATCATGTTTCCTGCATCTCTCGCTGAGCAAGCTACAAGTGTCATCCTCGTTCTTGCGCTCCTGTGGGCTGCTTCCAGTGTGCTTCGATCGAAGAGTATTGTACAGGCACTCCCCGTTCCCGTACGTCCACTTCCTTCGCATACGCTCTAGTGGTCGATACTGAATTATTGCTTAGTCCGGAGCAGAATGGGTTTGGGGACATGAAAAGACCGTCTTCATGAAGGAACCTGGCCGTGCCTGCCGAGAGTGGATCCATATACACGGTCTAACATTCAAGATCAAGGCCGCTTTCAGAGTGGGTCATGATCTCCCCAGTTACTTCATCCGCCAGGCTGACTTTACGCACCCGACGCAGGCACCGGACGTTGTGAGTGGATCATGTAATGACGACATGCTACCAGCGTGCTCATAGCGACAGCTTGTTCTCGGTGATCCCCTCGGGATCACGCACATTCTCCAAAAGAAAGTTTACGACTATCGTACGCCTCCTTCGCCACTCAAATCTTACGATGGGTCTTACTAATGGTCTTGCAATTGCTTTTATAGCACACAGTGAAGTCGTTCGTCCTAGGGTTGCAAGACTCCTCGGTCAAGGACTAGGATGGGTCGAAGGCGAAGCAGAACACAAGCGGATGCGCCATATGGTCAGCCCGTCGTTCTCGTACGTGCGACCTTAGATCCTTCCATGCACGCTGGCCGACATTAACGCTTTTCAGGCACGAAAACATCAAAGCCATGTCTCAGGATATCGCCGTAGCCTCGGTACAGGTACGTCGACCACGCAAAGCGGCGTGTGCACGCCTGATCTATTGTTCTGCAGGTAATCGATAATCTCACTCTTGAAGTTCAAGGCAGTAGCGACGGCGCTCTTATCAACGTTCTCGACTGGACAGCTAAGGCGACGTGAGTCCATAAGCCAAAATAATTCATATTACATTTGACATACGGCGCTGCCACCGCGTAACAGCCTGAACGTTATTGGTCGAGTGGTGTGAAGTCTCGTCAATCATCGTAGCTCACCTAAGCTGACAATCGCGCAGGTATTCCTCCATGACTTTCAAGGTGGAAATAGCGACGACGCGCAGCTCATCCTTAATGCGCGACGCCGTGGGGTCGGTCCCGTTCTGCAATATGCCGGATTCCTGGTGCGTTCTTCGTGCGTGCACTGCGAAGAGTGTATTGTTGACCGGATGATAATCTGCAGACGCTCATGCTATTGAGACGTTTCCCAATCCTGAACAAGCTTCCGATATCAGCAATACAGAGTCAAGGCCTCGCGAAGACGGTTATACAAGTACGATTCCAAAGCGTGGCTTAGTTTGGTATTACTGAACACGATGCCCAGTCTGGTGTAGCGCACGAGATGATTCGGCGAAACGAGGCTCTTGTTGCCAACAAGCAGCTTCAACAGAAGGACCTCCTGACACGGCTTTGTGAGTAGCATGTGTATATCCTCCATAAAATCAGCTCATATAATGCGTAGTGTCTGCCCATTCAACGGGCAAGCTCTCGCACGAAGAATTGCTCGAACAGGTGTGTTCTCCATCATTGTTACCGGATGACTCGAACTTGACACCACGTCCGCAGATATCTACCTTTGTGTTCGTAATTCCTCCACGAAGTCGCCATAGCGCTATACGCTGACGCCCACCTTTGCAGTGTGTCCGGGCACGAAACGACTACGCAAACGCTCGGCTTCACTGTCTTCGAGCTTGCGCGACACCCGGTTGTACAAGAACGCCTGCGCACTGAGCTCGCTGAGCTCGGGCACGAGCCAACCTATGACGATTTCCAGGCACGCCTCCCTTACCTCGATGCAGTCCTTAAGGAAACGTAAGCTACCTCATACAGATATGTTTACTACGACTGAACATACCTCCACGCCCTGCAGTCTACGTCTCTACCCTGGGCTCCCATATATGGAACGCACCGCTATCCGCGCGGACGTCATCCCGCTACGTGAACCAGTGCGATTGTCTAGTGGCGAGCTCATCTCTGCACTCCCTGTGTTGCCTGGACAGGTGTGTTCGTTGGTCGCTATTTGAATTCTGTATGCTCACGTACTGGGCACAGGTCGTCCTCATACCGATCATCGCTATCCAGCGATTAGATGCGGTTTGGAAGGACGCGGACACCTTCCGCCCTGATCGTTGGTTGCATGACCTGCCTCCTAGCGAGGCCCTATGCACGGGCTGGGCAAATACGCTGGCATTCAGCGACGGGCCACGCAGCTGCATTGGTATACGTCTGGGTGCGTCCCGCTCACACTTGTGTAACGAGGAGCTAGCTAACCGCGCTGGTGGTAGCAATATATCAGTACAAGGTAAGGACATGCAGTCGTCGAGTGAAGACTATGTCGACCCTGACAATACTTAGGTTATCCTCACGCAAATGATGGATCGCTTCAGGTTTGTTGACTCCGGAGCGGACATAATGCTTAAGGTGTCCTCCAGCCTGCAGGCTTGGGATTCGGCGGCCATCGAGAAAGGGCCGTGCATCCCAGTGCGCTATGAGCTGTTATAGACAGAATGCTGGATGTTCAATCAGAGTGGTGTTACGGCGACCTCAATTTGTTATATAGTGCTGCACTTGATGTCATCATGCCAAAGTTATTCGAGCTGTGTAGAAATATCTGCTAAAGTGTGGAAGAATGCAAGCCTCAATGCCCTTTCCCTGATGCGTCGGAAGGTATTCAACTCAAAGTCGACAAGCATGTTATGACCATGTGGAATGTCATTCAAAGCAGTTGTCTGTTTATTACAAGTATCCTAGATAGCCTCAAAGGTACCTCTATCAAGTGAATGTTTGTCATTATTCACCATAAGCATATATAGTATACACACCTTCGAAAGCTCTTCAGGATTAGTCTGATTGTGTGGTATCTCGACAACTCTGGATGTTGCAACCTTAATAGGTACAGAGGTATCCTAATAAGTGTGTTAGAGAGAGATCATAGGAATGATATACAAACAAACATGGGTTTCCTCTGTTCTGAATGAATTAGTATGACCCGTGCTCATAGGTTGCATAGCAATTACACCATCTTCAATGAATCCATTCATGGGAGCAATGCCACCGTGCCGTAAGTACTTCCTGGCATTCAGATTTGCAAGAAGAGCATTGATGTAAAGTGAGCTGAGCGAAAACTCAAAAGGTGTGTACTTGAGAGAACTCGGATTAGAAGCCAGCTGTGATCATTGGCAATTTCAAGTTAATATGCAAATATATTCTGAAATAATACATTACTGACCATTGCAAAGTCTACTGTGGCCACAATTGCAGTCCACAATCCAGTATTGATGGCAAGAATAATGAGGTGATAAATGAGTTTATTGGAGCTATTTACAAATTAGTAAAATGGTGGATCATGAAATATAAAACCACTCACAATATAAGCTCAGCATGTCTATGTTGCATGAGTATATATATAAGACATATGGTCACAGTGATGTCAATTGCAGCACCAACTGCACGGACTGCAATTTGTATACCCTACCCATTTAAACACTAATCCTGATACAATATCTGTCATAATAAAACTTAACTCACAATCATCTCTGCAGAAGACAGCTCAGAAAAGCTCTTGTTTGCAAGTCTTTTGGAAATCAGAGACATTTTTTAAGAAATGTTTTAGAACTTACCCCTTCACAACATATGCTTTCAATTTGATTTGTAAGCATATAGCTTCATATGCATGTTTCTGATTGTTTCACTTACGAATTGATCCTCCTATAGCATACCAATAATTACATCAAGTTATATTATGATTGACATTTGGTAGGAACCCACCAATTTGATACAGAGAAACAGGAACCTAACTTTCATGTTAGCTTTTTAATGATAAAACAAAAATGATCATACCAATGCAAAGATACCTGTCCATTTCCTGCCTCCAACTATGATTTGATGTAGTTAATATGCCAATAATAATACATGGTCATATAAACAAGACCTACACTTGTAAATTCTATACATAAAGAAAACTTGCACACCAACATCCACAATGGACTGGTAAAGGATGGTGAGAAGATTAGGTGGTTTGTCAAACTTCACACTTACAACAATCCATGTACGATGCTTTAAAAAGTGAATAACTCTTGTGGTCACTCAGTGATTATTTGAAAATACATACCAGAATCAATCTGAAATATGGAAGCATTTAGCAACATACATTTGTATATGTTTGTAAAGTTGCAAGGAACATAAACTCACGGTAAATATGGTTGTCCAGGACCAACCAATCTTTCCACATCCCCCCAGTGTAATATAAGTATTGGCCACACTGTCAATATCAAAACCTCAATTTTTTGTAAGTCCAGAAGTTGTATCAACCTACTTGAAAGTGCCAGACAAACTACATTTGCTGTGTCTAGTGACCTGAAATGCACATAAGCTTACAACATAAGCCAATGTTGCAATATATGTACCACATAATCATCACCTATTGTCAAATTTCAGATCAAAGTGTCATTTTTTGGATCAAATACACAAGTGACTTACAAAACCTTTCAACCATACAGAGTCTGCATCATAACTACATATTGTTAGTATGCAAACAATATTAATTAGAAAAACTATACATACACAAAAAAGTATATGAATCTAGCACAGTTGATTAGCCTGACAGTATACTTCATTAGCAAATGTGTAGCACTTACAATTGCACACATGTAATACCCCATAGTGCACATGAGAATAATACACCAATAAGCATTGGGCCAAATGAGGACATAAGGTTAATGGAAAGTGTGTCAGTAGTGGTTGATGTGGCCATCATGATAGCTGTAATCTGCAAAGTGGGTCAGGTATTCAACAGACCAACTGCTTTTATACTCAGAACCTACAACATTTTCAAACATTAATCACACAGTATGAAACACCTGTCAGGCCCCACAATGATGATGCAACTGTTGACATGGCCAATTTGGCAGATAGAGGATCAAGGAAATTACCTTCAGTCATAAAATCATATGCAGCAAATTGTTCATCAGATTGTACTTTTGATGAACATCAAGGTTTAATGATACCTGTAGTAAGTTTGATAGTTTCCGTGGCATTCTGAATAGACAATAACTTCATGGGAGGACACTAATATTGGTGTAGTTTTTAGCGGCATATCAGCGGCTAACGAAATCAAATATCCATATACGGCAAGTAGGCTGTCTTGATTTTGGGGTCCTGACCGACTTCCCGCGGTCTGTGGGTTCGAACGTTCAGATCCCGACACGTCCCACAACCTATGATTGTTACGCAAATAGCTGTAAATACTTATTCGGTATGTGTGCGATCGCGACAGTTGTCCCCATGGTAAGTATACAGTGCAATTTGCTGGCGCCCTGTTGATATGGGCCCAGCGTTCTTGTTCGTCGCACCTCTATCCTCCGCATAGCTCGCTCTCGCTTCTTGTGTAGATTCCGCTGGTTCGGACGTGAAACCGGTTGTTATCAACCCCGGTCTTAATAAAACGGCGCAGGCGAGAACAAGGGTTCTCATTTTGAAAGCTCTTCTGCCGCTCTAGATATTGTATGCACTGTACGGTGGCATGATCCGCTCACTAGTGTTCCTTCGATTTGCAACACCCCTTGAACTGACAACCTGAAGGACCCTGCTTGTCTCCCGAAGGGACATATACAGTCTGGTAATGTAGATACCCGAGCGTAGCATTCCTTCATCACAGAACACTCGACATCCAGCTGTCACTCCGTCGTGATTTGATGGTGAGATCCACTCTTCGCCCAACCAGTGTATCTTCCAGATATAGACCAATGACTCCGAAGCCCCACGTTTCAAATATGTGGCAATCGCTAGATGAACTTAATGCGCGCTTATCACACCGGCAAAGTGGGATTTGAGTGGAGTAAGTGACTTGATACTCTGTGACGTCGACCATTTCACTGATCATCAAGCCTATATGCGGAGTAACGCCGTGCAGGGCTCAAGATTCATTTTTTGATATGCCCACCAAGCACACTAACTCAGTTGGTTAGAGCTCCATTACAGTAAGCTGATAACCAGTATGCGTAACGCGGACACGGTCCGCATCATGCGGCACTCACGCGTCCTCCGTGACTTTCGTAGCGCTTTACAAGTTCGTAGGACTTGATATACCTTCTCCACGTTTAGGATAGGGGCTCGACGGTCACTGTTCCACTATGTTTGACTTCTGGCTCTGCGTTGCGATTGTAGTGGCTGCATATGCATTACTGTTGCGAGCACGGAAGAAACTGCTTCCTCTTCCACCTGGTATGTTAGGCCAACAACCTTCCCATACTCATCGAGGGTCATAGCATCTCGGCCAGGTCCAGGGTCGTACTTAGCAGGAGAACACGAACCCCCTTGGAAGACCTACCAGCGCTGGTCTCTGAAGATAGGTAAGTGCTTAGCTTATAGATGTATCGCAGCCAATAACAACGTATCGTTCAAGGACCTCTTGTCACTGTATCGAAACTGGGACATCCCATCATAGTCATTAATTCCGCGAAGGACGCTACCGAATTGCTAGATAAACGATCAACATTCGCCTCCAAGCCGCGCTGGCCGATGGCAGAACTCCTTGGCCGTCAGAACAACGTTGGCTTTCAGTACTACGGCGAGCGTCTCAAACGATCACGCAAGGTCCTACATGCCGCTCTTAATCCAGATGCCATCGCAAACAAGTGGAGCGAGTTGCTCGACACGCAGTCGATCAAATTGATGCGACAGCTTGCTTCTGACCCCTCTGCGTTCTACTCGCACATTCAGAAGTATGTTCTCCCTCAGTCAGTCAGTTCGGGACCTCATGTTTCTTTGGCAGTAACATCGAGGAGCTCGTCGTGCTATTTGCTTACGGACGGGAGCCTGAGCCGGAATACACAAGAATAGCCAAAGCTGTCATGGAGCAGACGAGCATAGCACTCCAACCAGGTCGATGGGCTGTCAATCGCATTCCAATATGTCGGTTCCTCGCCGTTTGTGCCGATAGCTACCTGACGCATAGTTCCGTTGCAAGTGAAGTATCTTCCGACATGGCTCCCCGGTGCAGGCTTCCAGCGCTGGGCTAAATCCGCCAGAACTCTGTTCTACCAGATGACCAGAGGCCCGTTCCTTGAAGTGAAGGCTGAGATGGTGAGCCAGCAGCGATGTCCATTCATTTTTGATACCATGACATGTGTTTTCCTCTGTAGGAACTGGGCACGGCAACGGATTCATTCGTGAAGCACTCCCTTGTGAACCTAGGACAAAATCGCACTGTTGACAGCGAAGATATCATCATGTGCGCCGCTGGGAGTCTATACAGTGGTGAGTAAATCGCATGCAATTGATATTAAATTACCTGACGTAGCCAATCAGCTGGGATAGAGACAGTACGCCCTGTCTCTACGGAATACATTTCGCCATACTAACCCTCACGCATGGGACAGCTTACTAGTACCATTCTCACTTTCATCCTCTTCATGGCCCGCCATCCTGAGGTACAGGACCGTGCATACAAGGAGATTATGCAAGTCGTGGGAAATCACCACCTCCCTGACATCACGGACCAACGCGCGCTGGTCTATGTCGACTGTGTGATACGAGAGGTGCATCGCATGAATCCTGCTATTCCCCTCGTGACACACAGCAACACTGAAGACGCCGACTATTCCGGATGCCACATACCTAAGCAAAGCTGGATCATGGGCAATATATGGTAAGTGCTCCAAGTTTCTTGTTGAGTCGAAGGCTCGAATACCACGCAACACGTTTTTGACGCAGGTCAATGCTGCATGACGAGACGGCGTATCCCAGAGCAGAAGAGTTCCTACCAGATCGTTACTTGCATGCGGGAGACGGAAGTGCTCCTAGGGATCCAAGAACACTTGTCTATGGTTTTGGTCGAAGGTATAATATCATGTAATGTCTGACTGACGCTTATACTCACTTTACGCTCAGGTTATGTCCAGGATTGCATTTTGCTAACACGGTGGTGTATCTTGTGGTGGCTCGTACCTTGGCTCTGTACAAGATTACGCCGGAAATAGTGAACGGCGAACCTCGTGTGTGTCCTCTCAAGTTTCTTGAAGGGCTCGTCCCGTGCGTTAGACGCATTCATTCTTCTACTTGCGCAGAACTCTGACCTTATCCTAGTACCCCTGTACGATTTGAATGCAGCATAGTGACACGAGGAGAAGGTCTAACGGACATGCTACATTAAATCACTCCCAATGATTGGTCGTGAATTGTTGCATCATCCTCCAGAAGGTCTGTTCTATAAACCCTGCAGGCGACTTTACCTACATATGTCCATAAACTCAGTGTTCCCTGGAACAAGTTTTTAAATCAATTTTAGATGAGATTGGCTTATTCACGGTATGTTCAAGAACTATCGCTGTTCTGCAGAAGTGTCGACGAGAAGTTACCTGAAGCGCTTCTCCCAAAATTCAATTGAGACATAGTAGATACCGTTTTGTGTGGCCGCGCAGGCGTAGACCTGGACAGGTGGTCTGAAAAAATGGAGTCGTGGTTCCTCAGGCTTCGAGAACAGTGGGACCAGGATTCAGCTCAGGCGCCCTGGAAGGTACGCATTTTTGCCTTCAAACTCAGTAACTGCGTTGTTACTGAGCCTTTCTCTCCAAGGAGATGGCACGCCACGCTGCAGTGTAGACACTGCAGGGAGCGCTACCAAAGACGACATCCAAAGACGAAGATCTATCGCCGATTGTTCAGTCCTAAGTCGCGAGATACATCGAGCGGAGTGGGGATTTAGGCGACAGTTGATCGCTCGCAGCACCATTATCCGCGTGTATACCTCGGACTACTGCTGCATACGGTGCATATTTAAAAGGATCCGGATAGCTCAATTGAACATCGGTATCGGCATAGAGAAGACAGCTATCGTTTAACATGAGCACCTGACGACGTTGAGCATGAAGTCAGCATGCAGGACCTCGGGTGATACCAGATATCTCAAATATCGCAAGGAGTGTCGCGTTAGTGATGATTGAGGCTTCGCAGGAGCAAAATGCCAGGACCGTGGATTGAACACGGGACCTCCAGAACACCGTCGGGCTTCAGTCTGTTGCTCTCCCAGCTGAGCTATCCCGGCCAATATAGAGCTTTCCTAACGTGGTATGATGACGGGCAGTCCAGATCAAATTCGCGCCGATGAAGATCGCGCCATCGAGGGGAGCATTCTGAGTCCATGCGATAGCTGCATACTAGGGTTTGTTGTTGTCCAGTGGAACCGCTACAACAAGCATTATGCCATCTCGGTAACTCGGGGTGTCGTTGCTGTCCGTGCTGTAGCTTTCTAATCCCGGAGGACACTGTACCTTGTGCCTTTGATTTACGACATCAGCGGCGTTGATAGACACCACTCCAAAGCAACACAGGTGGTAATGGTTCCTCCATATTGAATATGCTCTAGGAGCACTACTGGCTACTCATACCACCATGCGCATCTTCAGCTTGTCACCATCAACAATCTCCTGTCTCTTCGCCAGTAGCTCGTCAACATCCCACTGGCAACTGAAGTAACGCCCAGCCAACTAGTCTCTTCGCTCGCGCACCAGCCAGATGGTCGCATGCGCCGGCAACTCAGCGGTGTCGGTGAGAATACGCTTCATGTTATCTGGTAACCCTGCACTCATGTCAGTGAGGACAAAGCCCGGGTGTACTGCGATAGCTAGCACGCCTCGGGTGTGATACTCAGCCATTATGAGCTCCGTGAAACGAAGCAAGGCGAACTTCGCTGTCTGCGAAATGCGTCGTAAACAGCAGCTCGGGAAGGAACTAAGATTACAATACCAAATATGCAGAGCCATGCGGCACGACATAATGCGCGCCGACGCTCACCATATTGATGATCGTCTTGGCTCCCCCGCATTCACAGAGCAGCGGCAGGAATGTGCGGGTGACCAGGTACGTCCCACCCATATTCACCTCCCTTGTCTTCCACCACACCTCTAGATCCTGCTCATGCATGAGTCCGAGTCCGCCGTAGAATGCGGCGTTATTGATCAGGATATCAAGCTTCTTGAAGGACTCCTTGACTTTCTCCATGACGTGGATGACCTGCGCAACATCGGTGATGTCAGCGGTCATAGCGAGCACTCTCAGATGCTGGTTTGGGCGCTGAGCGGCTTCGCAGGCGGCCTTGACCTCAGCCAGATGTGATCGCGCAACGAGGACGAGGCCGTATACGCCCGCTTGTGAAAACGCAATGGCAATGGCCTTTCCAATCCCCTTTGATGCACCAGTGACGAGAACGACCTTCCCTGCTAGGTCCGCCTTGGTGGGATCAATGGACGAGTATGTATCATGGTGGATGGTGGGTACAAAATCGGAGCCTGGTCCACATGAACTTACATCTCGCAAGATCAGTAAGGAAACGTACCGCTGTGGTTGGACGTCATGCGATAATACCCGAACGGTAATGGGTGGTTGAGTTCTGTGTATGCGTTGGCTTGATATTTACAACAAAGGTTTGTGATTCCACGGGATTAGGACCAAGATGACTGTGATATCGGACTGTGATAGACCGCGTTTTACATTGCATGTCATGAGTGCTTTTCTCCAGGGCCACCTGAACACCGGTGTTACCTTGGAGGATACAATGTTCTTACGACTGTCAGTTATGATATAAGCTTACATCTGAACGTGATTGCGTTTCATTGAGGCCATGACTTCCCATCACCTATCTCGTCATAACCATGTGCTCTTTAATCTCGAAATGCAATAAAGATATCGTAAGAAGGTGGCCTTTGTAGCGCCATAAGATGCAACTAATACAATGATCGATCATAAGCAGGTTTCGTCTGCCGGTATCGAGTACTGTGCCCCAAATAACACTCGAGTCCAGGAGGCATGCTCCTAACTTGGGTCAACGTGAAATGCGGGACAGTCGGAAAATTAAGTTATGTGCCGGAGACCGAAGCGATTGGAAATATTGTCTGCCACCACGCTAGCTTAGCAAACTGTCACCATGGGTTCCATTCTACATTGGACAAGTCCAATTATTCCTGCTAAAAAGCCTTCTCACTGTCTGTCGGCCGCCGCATGATCAATTCTGCAGCATCAGAAAAGAGCTCTCCACCGAGTTCTCGGAGAGAGGAAGCGGTCCACTATCTCGCTAGTTGTAGCTTCGATAGCTTCGAGCCTTCGACTCTGTTGACGCTCTGCACTAGTGACTTAGAGAGCTAATGCCTCTTGACATGGGGCACACACACATCTTGGGCTTCAAGTGTTATCACTACTTCATCACATTCCCTTCGCATTTCCGTCAAGATGTTCGCAAATGACATCACAATGTTACACGCTTAATCATTGACCGATGCAATTACGAGGGTGTCGCTCTATGCCGGGAACTACATTCGTGTATGTATTGTAGCTAAACCCTCAAGAAATAGAGGCATATACAGCATCATATCAGGCAATATTACCTCCCCCTTACGATTTCACAAATTTCCCTATGCGATGGCAGAACAGCTGCTCCTCGCTCTCTTCCTCTATGCCCCATACCTCGCCCTTGCTCCAAAAGCCCATCTTTCGAATGAAGACACGAGTCGGTCGGTCGAGACAACAGCCGTCAAACGCGTTCTTCCAAATCGGCGTCCAGAATCGCTGCCGCCACGCAACATCGTCCCTCGGACTGAGCACATGCTCGAAGAACAGCAGCTGGCCTCCAGGTCTGAGCACGAGATCCACGAGATTGCTCAGCGCCTCTTCGGGCGAAGGGATGGAGCATAGCGAGAGGATCGAAATAAGTGTGTCGACCGAGTGTGGGGCGCCCAAGGCGGAGACGATGGACGCAGTGTCTTCAGCACCGTACGGCAGAATGAGAAGGGTGCCAGCCGACTCCATAAAGCCTGCGGCGGTAGCGCGTTTTCGGATCTCGTCGTGCATCAGCTCATTGGGTTCGAGTGCGCCATATTTTGTCACCGCCTCTGGATTGAGATAATTCACGGTATGGCCGTAGCCTGCACGTGGTCATGAGCTGAGACGGGCCATGTTCTTTTTTTTCGTCTGGTCACGATGCCTACCTGCGCCAATGTCAAGCATGACCCCGAGCGTTCGCGGGGATGAGCTGTTCTTTGACGGAATGACTGTTCCCGTCGATGCCATCACCGAAGGCCGACCATACATGGTTCATGAAAATCTGCGACACTGTACGCGGATGTAGCAGCACTGATGGCGCACGTAGAATTGCGCGCAGTGTGGGCAGGAATGCCAGCTGCATAGCCATCCGCAGGTCTGTGAGAACACCGATGGAAGCTGACAGCTTCATTGAGTCAGTGAAAGTAAGACTGAGACGGCGAGCGGACGTCAGTAAAAAAGAAATTAGACTAGGTAATAATGACAGCTTACAGCAGAGTCGCGGCACGGTCGAGCGATTGAGTTGCAGCAATGTTTTACCTCCGCTAGGAGGAAACAAGTTGAGCAACTTGTCAAGCTGCAATCATTTCAACAATCTCGAGTTCTCAGTCAGCCTTGAGATCACGCGTGAAGATATGAAGCTCAGCGCATGTGCAGACGAAGGCGCCCGCCTGTTTCGGAACCTTTAAATTTACATCTCTTAGTAAGATACGCCCTGAGCGAGACTGCAAGTTTAAAGCAAAGGAATGAACGTCTGTGCATCGATTAGGCTATGCGCCGGTGTTGGTCACGTGTCAGCATAACTATTTAAAGATGATATGTGCTGCCGGGATAGCTCAGCTGGGAGAGCAACAGACTGAAGTTAACCGGTGTTCTGGAGGTCCCGTGTTCAATCCACGGTCCTGGCATTTTGCTCCTGCGAAGCCTCAATCATCACTAACGCGACACTCCTTGCGATATTTGAGATATCTGGTATCACCCGAGGTCCTGCATGCTGACTTCATGCTCAACGTCATCAGGTGCTCATGTTAAACGATAGCTGTCTTCTCTGTGCCGATACCGATGTTCAATTGAGCTATCCGGATCCTTCCAAATATGCACCGTATGCAGCAGTAGTCTGAGGTATACACGCGGATAATGGTGCTGCGAGCGATCAACTCACTAAAACCAGCTTCGACCTTGAGATGACGATATAGATACTGAGGAATGTCCTAGGGTACGAAAGGTACGGTACTGACATTCCTACTGCTCGGATACGATGCGCAACACGTGCCCTCATTCAGATCCCGCAGGTAGTTCTCCTTCTCTAATTGCTCTATCAGAAACCTAGAGTATCGAGGCGTTCGTACACCCTGGCCCTGCTAAATAGCTGAGTTATCTGAAGAAGTCCCCACGGTTATAGGCTGTTACTCATGCACTAGGAAGACTCGGCGATCCGGCAGACATTTCTCGATAACGCTGTCCGCTCCTCGCTTGTTCAGTACATCTTCCGACTACGGAACGGTGACGTCGAGGACGATCAGATTGTGTTGATGTGCTGTCCTCCCGCTTTCATATTGACCGAGATATGCTCGGTATGTAGCCATTGCAGCGCTCGCTTCTTGGTGCAATGTGTCCCTCCTTGATATGAATGTTGATGACGAAGCAAATGGAAAGTTTCTCGGGCGCTTGCGAGAGGTTCTCGAGAGTTTCGGCAAGCCAGCTACAATTGAAATGCCGTCGGTCAAGCCAGATGTTGAGCGATATGTCCACAAGTCGATTTGTGTTGCGTAACAGTGAGAAGTGATGCGCTGGATATCAAAACAATAAGCCTTCAGGTCTGTGGCATTGGACAAAAAACAGCACTTACGTATGTCTCCAATCGCAGTCAGAGAAAATCTCCTGAGCGCTGGGCCCGCTTCTTGCAAGATCTCTTGGAGCTCCAGCGGAGAGCTCGACACAGCGCCACCGAGCCCAGAGGAACCCCAAGCAAGTCGGAGCCATGGCATCCATGGGTCGTTATGAACCTTGGCGGCAAGTAAAACTTGCGCGAAGACAGCACAAGATAGTGCATCCAAATCACAAAGAGTGAGGCCGAAGCGATGTCCCATTAATGTTCGAGTGTTCTGACTGCACATGCGTCTGCGGAGATGGCCAGGTATAGAAGGATCCTTGAACTTGACACGAGATAGTGTGAGTGATCTCAGACCACCGCCTGCACTTGACGCCGCGACAAGGTTGATGAACACGACAGCAGAAGGTAGAGTGACATCGTGTAGCGTCAACGTCCTGATTGTGCTCCATCCAGCAAAGTGGAAAACTTCGTCTGGATGGAATTCGCCAACGATCCAGTCGCCATGCCTGATCGTCAATAAGACCTTCCTGCCCGCCCACTTCCCCTTGAGCGACGATGCTGCGAGTGATCCCAAGTGACGGAGTGATCCTGTGCTCTGCAGAGGAGCTTCCTTCTGCCCTTCAGCAATGACTCGCCAGTATTTGCCTTCGAGGGCCTTCCAAGCTTCCTCCACCCACTCTGGCTCGTTTTGTTTCCAGAGCCGTCCCCAATGAAATCTGCTGCAGGGGCAAGACTCCTCTCTCGCGGTAAGGAAGACATCTCTTTGACTCTTCAGAAAAATGCCTTCTTCCGGCATGTGCTTCCGACAACTCAGAGCCCAACTCCTACAAACACCCACGCATTTCATGAGCGCTGTAGAGTCGTACTGCAAGTACTCCAAGATCATATCCTAGATCTTAGAAGCAAGCCGGATGTCGAAAGGCCTATTTGGCTGGTATTCGTCTGCCTGTCGCGACCCTTGCGGATGTTTTTGTACGTCGCCTTGCCTTATCGTGCGCTTTTCAGGACGCGAAGTAAACATCGTCACATGGAGTTACGTACATCCAGTTTCTCGACTCTTCCATTGAGCCCTCAGGCACGATATCAAGTGCCTGGTAAAGAGTTTCTGGTATATGCTGTTCGTCGAGATGCCATATTTCATTTGAGAGCGGTGTAGAGCTGGCCTGGGATTGAAGGATCTCATGTCCTGCTTCATTTTGCGGGTGCGCTGAGAAGAACCTAGAAACAATCGACTTAATGGCCGGCTGTTTTGACGTTTGGTCCAGGAAGGTACTGTCGCGTGGTTTCCTGAGCGACGCCGGCCCTTGAATTTCAACTTAGATATTGTAGCATCCCTCTGTACATGTTGCGGATGCCTAGGATGATCTGATGGTGGATTTGCTCTGATGTACACAGGTTTACTTGCAGATGAAACATCTTGTGTCGCGCAAATAGCTCGTGCTCCGAGCTGAGGCTGACCTGAGCTGCTGAACGGCATCAATAGGCTTTCGCTCGATCGAGGTATGTCTCACCGAATCCCAGAGACCTCGCTTGGAACGTCGTCCTCAAGGGTCTTTCCTCGCCAGAGTACCGCTGACCGGCCGGCTTCACGATTTACAGCATGATACTGCACAAAGTCCGGGCTGTCGGCGCTGTCATGCAAAGCGAAGCTTGTAGACGAGCTATGCATGAAGTTGGAACGATCACTTCTGACATCCATGTGTTCGAGCAAATGGATGCCAAGTCGGTCAGTAGCCATTGGTGACGATGGGTAGTGGGAGTAATGGAGGAGGCGCAGGCACAGGCTAAAAAATATGCCCGAGAGTACAGCAAGGCATTCTGCAGCAACGCACCGCATTCATCTCCAGTGCAAAGCCGTACGGACACTGATGTAAACCGGACAGTAGTACTGGTACTGCTGTAGTCTGGAAAGATAAGGGGATGTTTCGTGACAGACACAGCCTCGCGATCATAGAACCATTATACGTACGAGAACAATAAGCCACTCTGACTACCAATTCACTTGCTCTCAAATGGGCAATGGAGGAAGTACTATGGCACAACGGAGGACCACCATGCTGACGTAGCGCACTAATTATCCTTAATGGCCTCTGAAAGGGGGAATAGGCAGGGACCAGGACAATCGTGCACCTGCTTGTCACCGATTTAATGCATGCCTGGTCTACGATTTGACCATGTCCGTATCCGATCGTTTTGCCGTCCATGCGAGGTGTTAGATCGAACGAGCTCAATCCCAGTGCTCTGCGAGGGGATGCACATCGTCGGGTCTAGAAAAGGAACGAAAGGAACGTTGTCAACGAAGTAGAAAGCAGCAGGAACGCCAGGCTTACACGAGGCCGATGGGTGCAGCTATCAGGACCAGAAGATTCTGAGACGGGTCGACGCTAATACTTGCGATCATCCCCTCGGTAAGGGTCATCGGAATTATTCGCTCGTACTCTTCGATTCCCAGCGGTGGACAAGGAAGCTGCAGACAGTAGACCTCGTTGTCCTCATCCAACTGTAGGAACAGGCCATATGAGTCGCGAAAGGCCGTGCGTAACTATATCGATTGCCCCAATATGAGCGTAGGACTGAGGCGCATTCAGTTCGGAGCTCGGGAATTCTCGAGCCTGTCGTACATCAAAGAATGACAAGACGTTTCGTCGACCATCTCGAGTTGTCAAGCCTAATCTTGTAGTGCAAAGCAAGGGTGTCCCGTATGATCCCCCGAGAGAACTGACAGACCTTCCGAGACTCAAGGGATCTTGCCTTGAAACGCGGAAACAACCAAAGTAGCAAGCGGATATGAGAGACCATTCTCTTGCTGGAAAAGAGGCCACTACGGTATCCAATATGGTATAATCGCAGAGTCACTGGGCGCAGTGCATATTTTGCAACCTTTCTGCGCTTCGCAAGACATCCCGACTTTTGCGAAGACCGCGTTGCGATTCAGAGACGTTTCCCGGGGCTGTTCTTCGAGAGTCGATGTATCTTAGTATGCGGCCGCAGCGCAGAAGACGTTAGGTTGTCTCAATGTGCTCAATACAGCATGTAGGAGCATTCGGATCTGTTGGGAGCGTCAAATTCTGTGCTGGAGAGGAAGATGCGACCACGCACCGTCCAATAGCAATCCATATCGACAACGATATTGAAACTTTGAATGGTTCCACGGCATCAGTCAATCCGAACAGAAGATCACGTATGGGACCTGAATTAACGTACAAGTACACAGCGAGAATAGGGAAGTCTGGACTTAGCGATACACATATACCACAAGCGAAAACAGCAACGACGACAGGGGGCAAACTGGCAAAGGCAAAGCGGCGGACACGTCCGGAACCGTGGTATACGACTAGCGTGAGAGAGAATCAACTGGAGACCGGGAGAACCAGACTAATATACACAGAAACGACATTGTCCGACACCATAACTGGACGACGATAACATAGAGCCGATAACCAAGCATAAGCCGACGTGACGGCAGACTAGGCCCCGGAGCTCCCGCCCGCCTGAGGGCGTGATTCATCGTCAACATCCGCGTCCGCATCGCCAGCGCTTGCCACCGCAGGAGGCGGAGGCGGCGGGTACCCGTAGTGCGGCCACGGCATGCCAGGCGGGTAGCTCGCATACGCGTGCGGATGCGCATAGTATTGCGGGTAGTGTGACCCGGCGTAGGCGGGGTCGGTATAGCCAGCGTACGCAGGCGCAGGCGGCGATGGCTGGCCCTGCTGCGGTGGGGAAGGCGTGCTCGTTGGTGGTGGCACCGCGGGGTACGTCCCAGAATACATTGGCGGTACAGGATACCCTGGCGGCGGCACCTGGTAGTAGCCGTATGATGCGTAGTGCGGTGGTACGGGCGCTGCAGGATCACCGCTCGCGTAGCCTGGTTGCGGCTGGTGCACCGAGACGGCAAGCGGTTGCGGCGGAGTCTCAGACGTAGTATCCTGGCCTGGCGGTGTGCTCTTGACCTTGCGCGCGCGTTTGGGTGGGTTGCTGCTGTAAGGGTCGTAGCGTTTGCCACGCTTAGACGAGCCAGAGTCTGCTTCGGCGTAGGGGCTCGGCGGTGATAGGGAGGCAGGGAGCATGTGCGGCGACGTATCCGCATCATCGGCCTCGCCACGGTAACGTGGTACACCGTCTACGCCAATCTCCACCTTTGGCGGGTTGCGGAAGTGCGTCTTGTCGAGGTATTCTGGACTGATGTCGAGCGACGCGAGCTCGGGCAGCGATGAGGGCGAACGCAGCCGACCATGTTCCACGTCTTCGATCTTGTAGTACGAGATAAGGTGTTGCGCGACACCTCCGATCGACAATGAAAATGTCTGCGCGAGACAGGTTAAGCGTTAAGGATGTGCCAGTATCCCAGCATCGCACAAAAATTGGTATGGTCCACTCGTATGGATGGTGGACGACGGCGATATCACTTCTTTGAAACCCAGGGACATCTGAAGAAGACAGCCCTTTTGTAATTCCTCGAGCTCAGCTCGGTACGCCGTAAGCCAAAATTATGCTCCCGATGGACCAGTGCAGGTGACGAACTCCTCGTGAGCTGCTCGGCATGCAGGCAACGAGACATGTTTGCGCAAGTGCCCGAAGACGGGTACTTGCGACATCACGTTCAACGCCCACGTTGAGCAGTGAGGGTACCATCAGTGAGCACACTCGGACCATAGCTCGGCACGCTAAGGAGCAAGACACTCGAGCGACATCGAGTGTGACTATCCACTTGAAGAGAAACGCAAGGTACACCACGAAGCATACGAAGCACTGGCAGGGACGCAACTGATGACGCACCTTCTTCATCATGCCCCCAGGCTTGAACTTGTAGCTGTTCGTCAGACTGCCGACCAGGCTGCGTTCGCGCTGCCGATCGACGCTCGCAAGACGGTGTGCCTCGCTCTTCGGTCTGCTCAGTGTCTGGCCCTCGTTCTTGACAGGCTCTTGGTACTGCGGTTCAATTTCTACGTTGGCCTGCTCGGAGCGTGCGCTCCTATGACCGGCGCCTCGCTTCTCCGTCTCGCGGTAGAGGAGGAAGTTGCCAAGTATACGACTCGGGCTCCAGAAGAATCCGTCCGTCCACCGCTTGATACCACTTTCGTCCTCATCAAAGACGAAGACAGACCCCGAGGTGATCATCTTGCGCTCCGAATCAACAAGTCGGCGGGTGACGCGCGGTATGAGACCGCGCCTGGCGGCCTCGAGAATGAGCAGCGCATCGCCGGTGGTCTCTATCCACCCCGTCCAAGGAGGCTCTGTCCAGGTATTCGCGGCGGGAGGGTTGGTGGGAGATGTTGGGGAATGATGAGAGTCGTGGGACATGCCGCACAGCCTGGATGAGGTGTCATTGCGGTGTTGGACAGCGTCGCGGACGTCGAGGCCGATGAGCGATGAGATGATGGTCAGCAAAAATGAAGTATAAAGTTTGGAAACAAAGTTGACTGACCGCGAGCTAGATTTCGTCGGGGTGGGAGGAGGAAAGAAGGTTCGCGCCCCGCCGTGCTGCTTGCGCCACAATTAGGGGGTCCCGTGAGAATATTTCGTTCGCGGAGCTGGAATGGCTGTGGCTGCCGTCGTTGGCAGGCTGCTCAACGTCTTTCTCGACTACTAGTCTCTCGACCGCGGGGGCGGGCGTAGCGGGTAGCGGGACAAGGTTGGGTGGTCTGTGTGCTATCGGAGTACTGACCGCTTCGGACTATCTATTGCTAATACCATCAGCGTCCGTGCATGCCCACTTTAGCCTCGTGTGGAGTTTGTTATCGCCCACTGGCCGTCCTGCCCCTCCAAATACGCATGTCTGACTTCTCTGGTCTCTTGCGACGCCTCCTATTCGTTCTCGCTCGATGTCGCCAGCTGCGTGCGCGGTGCACCCCCGCGACCAGTCCATCTCGCTTCAATGAATGTCCGACCCACATCCAGAAGCTCCGTCGCAACGCGGACATAGCTCGCCCGATCGCGCATCTCATTTGGTCATGCGTCTACCATTCTTCTCACAGATCTCAACCGCGAACACGAAAAGATGAGTCGGGTAAGCGTTGGTTGGCTACTACATGTACATTGAGTCGTGCTCAAATATTCAGGATATACATACATCGCAGCGTGTCGGGGCGGAACATCTAGACCCTGGCCTTGCACCTGTGATGTATCATCACCGGGTGGTTCAGAGCCTTGCGCCAGCCGTGCGATCTGTTATCACCTGAATTCGCAGCGCTTCCCCGCCAGAACATCTCCATTTACGAAGGATCTGCATTCTGTCTTGGTCCACCTTGCTGTGCGTGGTGTCTGGTTGTTCAGTGCCTCTGGAAAGCCTCGGGGACTCAGCTAAACACACCTCCATCCGTATACTAGCTGACAGGGCATGGAATGGACGATGCTTTTGATCGTATGCATCGTGCCGTAGATAGCAATACTGGAGCCTGCGTTATGGCGAACCAAGGGGATCAGATCATGATGTCGGCCATGCTCACGATACTTCCATACCGTACATCCAGAATTTGTCTGGTGGTCTGAAACCCTTCGGCAGGCGCGTCTTGACAGCAGCTCACACGCCGCTGGCGTCGCGTCTCTGATCTCCCCTACTGCCTGTGCGACGCGTGCGTCTATCTCGAATGTCAACGGCGATCGGTGAACATTTGCTCCTGCTATTCCGAGGTTCGGCGACTGGAGCACATACTACAGGGCGGGACATGATATCTATCAACTGGTCATGGTACCCAGATGTGTCTTGATTAATGAATCCTGGGAGTGATGATGGCTTGGACCCTCACTTCGCACGGTCTTGTGTTAATGGGCAGTCGCACGGCGGCGATTTGAGGTAGGTCACAAGGTGTGCCGCTCATCATCTGCTTCAGGTGCCTGAACACGGAGCCGTCCTAGGGTCCGATGTCCTGGATTCATGGTGCGATTCTCACTGACGGACTGTCGTGTATCACCCTTTCACGGGTACAGTTCGCCCACAGCTTTTGTGGTGGCGGTCTAGTATCCATATCGTACCTCAGGAGGGTGTGAATCGCGCCCGATGGTGCCTGATTGTATGTAGAGCGGCCCGTGTGTTGGATATTACCACCATCTGCCACGTCCAGTGAGCGCAGCCTCTGCGCGCTGGTCGATCGACATCTATCCACAGAGAGGTGTGGGTTTACAGGTCGTATAATGCCCGCGAGCGTTCTCAGTATTCACTGCGGTCGGACTTGGTCCGAATCAACGTTCTCAAGTCAAGTGCCAGCGGACCGCAGGCCTGTGGACCCGCAGCTGAGCTAGGATTGCATGACTGTCCTGTAGTGCCATTTCGAACGTGCGCCACAAGAGATGTAGGGTTATCTTCTCTGAGCTCCGCGAACTGTCTCCGATCGTATCGCCTATCTGTGTGTCCTCCCTCCCGGGTCCCACTCTCAACTAGTAGCTATACCCGATTTGTATATGTCGTGCTCGTGAGTCACGATGGTTGCATTGTATGGAACCCTACACCCCACAAGTGCAGTGGTTGTGATGCTCACGAGGGTGTACGAGGTTTATCAAACACGGTGGTAGCCGACAATGTAATCGTCATGGCTTTGCATGTGCAGTGACGATTGAGGCGAAGATGTTCCCTGATTCACTCATGCGATTACAGCTATCAGGGTGAGTCCTAAGATACCCCCCTACTTACCATCCCTTTGATCATTTCAAAGGAGACACGTCGGGAAAATTCACGGATGTCTCAGCCACCTGACACCGCGTACTAACTACAGCGTGCCTGATTCTGGACAGTAAGCGAAGATCAAGCATCCAGCCGCTGTACTTGAATGCTGACAGGTAATCTCTCACCTATCTCTGGGGCGCGGGGAACAGAACATGCCTATCGGGGCACTGAGACACTATCAGGCCACTCTGGACTGTTCGTACCTCAGCGCAGATGCATATCAACGTCGCCGCTAGACTCGAAGCCGTCGAAGATGATCGATCCTGCCTGATGATAATTCTGCTTCAAGGAACGAGCTGGGGCGGCGAGTGGCAATGGTGACACTGTGTGCCTTGGCTAGTGCTGGCAGGGCTTTCAATCTTCAGTCGGGCAATGTCTTCTGGGAAGGAAGTAATGAAGACTATATATCCACATGACACCTCTATATGTGGGCCGTATCGCAGGTTCGTTGGAGCTCTTGACCAAAACTGACTTTGGATCTGCAGATGTGGAATACTATCATCGTCTCGCCTTGACAAGCCCTTCTATCTCCGCGACACTGGCACAAGAAGTGAATGCTGCATAACAGATCACTCAGTAACCAAATCATTGCAAGAATGAGAACATGATACGGAGATAATAATTTTGTTGGACGCATCACGCGTAGCTGGCCACTGGGCGTCTCTATACCAGCGTCTCGACTCGGCCGGAAACGTGCCGCCGCCTTGGGCTATTCTTGCGTCCAGGGTGCTCATCTAAAAATACTGGAAGCTATAAGTCATCGCCATGGCCAACTGCTAGTGAAAGCCCATGGTCGCTCACACTCCGTCAAACATGCACTCATATCTTACTCTGGTCACTCTGAGAGAGACAAGCGTAGAACAGGGTGTAAACATCCTTACCGCGCTAGCCGACGCCGTGGCCAACTTTGGCAAGTATGAGCCTTCTTAACATTCGGACAGCTGAGTCTTTATGACGTTGAATTATATAACAGCGAATACTCGAACTGTTCGATTGGCTACACACAACAGTCTTGGCATTCGTGACACCGCGCCTCGGACGCGACGATTCTAGGCTGTGTAACACGTCCTGCAGCACGCTCTGCCAGTCGTGTCTCCGACCGATTCAATCTCCCTGCTGCCACTAGTACTCTTGATCAAGCGATAAGTATGCCGCCGAAGCGAATAAGCCAGGAACGACAGATCCAGCGAGGTGCACAAACAGTACTCCTCATGGATCGCCTGCTACTAATGAGACGACGGAACACATAGGGCTTCATGAGAAACATGCAAGGGTGCTCAACTGCCTTAGTTGTGCTAACCCTCCGAATCTCGCATCATTTGTTCCACAAGCCACGCTAGGACCGTCGACCATGGGATGTCATATTTCATGTGGATGCGCCGATTGCGCTCAATTCTGTACTTCCTCATCCGGTACTATTTGGAACACGGGCACGCGCAGCGGGGAACACAAGCCGAGGTAGACGGGCTGTCAATAGTCAATAAGACTATTCAGTCGTCGACGTTCGGACACGGGAACGCCTTTGCCTACCCCGAATGCAGTTCTTGATCGGGCCCAGCCCTCTCCGAGCGTTTGAGGCGCGCAGTGGACCGTTTTGGGCGTGCATTGTTACCGCTTCGCTGGAGAGGGCTGGCAAAATCGACCGATATACGGCACATCCAAAATTCGGATTAAATAAGTGGCCTAGACGCGTTTATTTTCACCGCCGCGAAGTCTGCACGCTTTCTTTCTTTGGTGTTGCTGGGCGGTTAGCCCAGTACAAAAAGGCCGCCTTTGAGGTGCCTTCGTTAAGGCTGCGTCACCCTTGAGTATTATCCATCTCGGGCTGCCTAGGAGTCGGCGAGGATGGTGGTTCTCGTTCCCTTCGTTGTGTTGCTCAGCGCAACATTTCCCCTGGTACGTAATGTAACATGCTGCTATCGTCAGACTGACGGAACGTATGCTTATGCTTTGCAGTCTCAAGCATCCAGAGTCTTTCCTAGAGGGCTCCTTCATCGTCGCCAGAGTAGCGGAAGCCCTACCCTTCCTGGGAATTGGACGTACGAAGGATGTTACACGTAGGACAATACAGCCCTTGCCAAGAGATGCGCTCACTTATGGGATTCGTCGTGACAGGGATAACACGGGCGCTAGGACCTTGACCGGGGCGTCCTACACAGACACAACCAATATGACCGTCGAGGCTTGTGTCAACTACTGCATTCAACAGGAATTCGTCTATGCCGGTGTGGAATATGCATCGCAATGCTGTACGCCAAGGCCAGGAAATATTGATTAGCGCCCTGATGACTGACATCTTCTGGTTCAGTCTGCGGCAATGGGATTGATAATGGGGGGACCTTAGCCAATGCTAGTGATTGCAACTTCCAATGTGCTGGGGACGCGTCTGAAACGTGCGGCGCGGGCAGTACGTGTCCGTCATGTGATCGCGTTCGTGCCTCGTTCATATTGCATAGATCGCCTGAACGTGTATTGGAGTGGGGTGCAACCTCCCGCACCCCCAATTACCGTTCCGAGTATCGGTTTATGGCAGTCTCTCGGATGCTACAGGTGCGTTTCATAGTGTACTCCGTGTATGACAATGCCAATTCACATTCGTCCTTAGCGATTCCGTCAACGCTCGCACGCTCGCAGTGACACCTGCGGTCACGGGAGACGTTGACATCGAGTCATGTACGTCTGCCTGTTACAATGCAGGGTATCCTCTGGCTGGTGCGGAATATGCAGACCAATGTTGTAAGTACTGCCTTAGTCGTTGCTTTTTTGTGACTCATTCGCCCTGAAGATTGCGGTCTTGAGTTCGATAATGGAGGCGCACCGATCGCCATCAGTGACTGTAACATGGCCTGTGCAGGAAACAGTTCCGAGTTTTGTGGCGGTCCCAACGCACTGAATGTATGTGCGTCCACGCTCATCACTGAATTAGACACTAACTCCTTGTAGGTTTACAATTACACCGGCACACTACCACATGAGCCACAACCTCCAGGAGGAGGAGGTGGTGGTGGAGGTGGAGGTGGAGGTACCTCTAGCTCTGTCTATCCGGTCACATCTGGCCTCCCTGCTCCTTGGCAGTATGCTGCATGCTATGTGTAAGACATTTCATTGCTCGATCCCCTCCTTCTGATTAGAGTTGTAGTGACAACGTCAATGGCCGTGTTTTCGCAAACGAGCTCCCAGACAACCAAAACCTGACCGTTGAATCATGTATTGCCAACTGTACAGCCGAAAATTACACCCTCGCTGGTCTTGAATACAGTGTTCAATGCTGTAAGTGATCACGCATATCGGACCCGGCTCTCAGTTAATCTACGCTATCGTATAGTCTGTGGTGACAATCTGGTCAACGGCGCGGTCACTGCAGATGAGAGTGACTGCAACATGGGCTGTGGTGGAAATGCTACGTACGTATGGACACCGTTGAACGGCTCGATAGCTCCTCACACATTGCGCGTAGGGAGGCGTGCGGCGGACCTAATCGACTTTCGGTACGCAGTACCGCATATGACTGCCGTCGTCTATTGATCCGTGCATGCAGGTGTACACATCGACCGGCAACGTTACCGCCTACCCAGTCTCCATTGTGCTGAACACTAGTCTTCCTGGCCAATGGCAATACCAAGGCTGCCTCGAGTAAGCAGTGTGGTATAACTCATCCACCTGTCAGTATTTATTTAGATCTCAGGGAGCCTGGCGCCAATAGAACTTTCCCGTATCAGAATATTTGGACCGACAACAATACCGTCGAAGCTTGCCTCAATCAATGTGCCTTGTTCGGATACCCAGCAGCCGGTATGGAATATGGCGACGAGTGCTGTGAGACCGATCCGTGCAGCTCTCCGCTGGACCATATTAATGATGAATTAGGGTGCGGCGATGTTTCGGACGTTATACAGTACAGCCCTGGATTCTCCGCGGAGTCTGACTGCTCGATGCCTTGCTCTGGAGATCCTCTACATCTTTGTGGTGGGCCTGAGCGTCTACAGGTCAGTCATGTTGTCTTGATTTCATCGAATACTAGTGCGATCGACCCTGCCAGCTCTACTATTGGAATGGCGGTTTGCAAACATGGCACACCCCAGCGAACACAGGCCGATACGAGGTGAATACGCATGGGTCCATACTAACGGATGTATCTGACGACAAGTGTAGTTCCTGATTGGCGGAGTAGTGGTTCCGCTTTTAGCGACTGTGGGCATCAATGGCAAAGTTGCTTTCCTGGAGAAGTGGGGAACGAGCGAGTATGAGAACTCCACAGGAGCATACGAGCTTGATCTCAGCCTCGTCGACAACTTCGATCTGGCGTGGCGTACTATGCATGTCAAAACCGATGTCTTCTGCTCTGCAGCCATCGTTTTGCCGGATAGAGGCGCGCGACAACTGAATATCGGTGGCTGGAGCCTCGAAAGTACTTACGGTGTCAGATTGTATACGCCTGACGGCAGTGCCGGCGTGAATGGTACAAATGACTGGGAAGAGAACTATGAGGAGCTCGCCCTTCAGGTACGTCATAACCTGTCGACATTGACAATATGCTGAACATGTCCAGCGAGGACGCTGGTACCCGTCAGCGCTATTGCTTTCAAACGGCAGTGTCCTGGTGGTTGGTGGCGAAGTCGGTAGCAATGGTGCACCAGAGCCCTCTTTGGAGATCCTGCCTACGCCAGCAGGGGGGCCCACGTGGAAGTTCCTTGACTATCTCAACCGGACGGATCCCAATAATTTGTATCCGTTCCTCATGATGCTCCCCAGTGGCAATATCTTCATCGGTATGGCCATCTTTGTCCCGATTCATCTTATCTAACATTTTGCTAGGATACTACAACGAGGCCCGTATCCTCGAACCTGTCAACTTCGACACCGTCACTGTTCTGCCCAACATACCGGGGTCAGTAACCAGCTTCTTAGCCGGAAGGACCTACCCCATGGAGGCGACAGCGGTCCTCTTTCCCCAGTATCCTCCCTACACAGATCCAGTGACGGTCCTGATCTGTGGAGGGTCTAACTTCGGCATTGCTCTTGACAACTGCATAAACATTCAACCTGAAGTCGAGAACCCAGAGTGGACAATTGAAAGAATGGTACGTGGCATAGATGTCGACTCAGGATCGTACTTGAGGCTGACAACTTTATCAGCCTTCGAAGAGAGTCATGACCTGCATCGTAAGTAATATATTTGCTGTTGTATTGTTTGCTCACTCTGATCTATGGCTGCTTTGTATATTCCCTAGTCCCGTATGCCTCCACGTATAGAGCATAGTGTCGCAGTACTGACCGATTAACAGCGCTTCCGGACGGCACTTTCCTCATTGTCAATGGTGCTCAAGCAGGAGTTGCTGGCTTCGGATTAGGCTCAGATCCGAACTACCAAGCTCTCCTCTATGATCCCAGTCAACCGGTAAACCAGCGCATCTCCATATTGAACACTACAATCGTCGCACGTATGTACCACTCGGAGTCTACTGTACGTCGCACCTGTGATACATCGTCCATCATGCCCACTGACAATATTGTTCCTACCCAGCTGCTTCCTGACGGACGAGTTTTAATCTCTGGTAGTGATCCTGAAACCCCTGGATACCCAGAAGAGATGAGGGTGGAAGTGTACATCCCGCCCTACCTGACGCAAGGGTTCATACAGCCGAACGTTTCCGTGGAGCAGAACGACTGGGATTATGGCGGAACATACACGATCACCGTCACCCTCTATCAAGGGACAACGGATACAATGAGAGTGTCCTTACTTGCTGGTGCGTACAACACCTGATACGTACACTCATACATACTTACAAGAGGACCAGCAACTTCGAGCACCCACGGTAACAATATGGGTTCGAGGACAATCTTCCCCGAGTTCTCGTGCAATGGAAATACGTGTACTGTCACGGCGCCGCCCAACCAGTACGTTTCGCCTCCCGCCTGGCATCAGCTATTTGTCCTCGACGGGCCCACGCCGTCGCATTCGCAGTGGGTGCGCATCGGCGGAGATCCCGGAGAGCTCGGAAACTGGCCTGACTTCCCCGACTTCACGAGACCTGGAGTGGGTCCGCTGTGACGACGCATGTCGAATAACGGCTCTCGTGAGGCTATCCAAACAATAACGAGGGTTGTAGCACAGTAAGCGTTGATAACATTGTCTCCTGCAGAATTGTCGGTTCTTCCTACTAGTCACTGTGGTATATAGTCGTCGGGACGTCAGGATACACGGACACCAGATGGACCATGATTGTTTTTGTATACTGCACGGATAGTGAATATATAATGAACTCTGTGCTTGTGCTATACGCGCTGCGACCCCGCAACTGGCATTCGACCTGGGCTGTTCCTTCAGAAGAAACACGACTATCTTCGACCGGCTAAGCTGTCATCTGCTGTTAAGGTACGCACGAAGAATTGATGACGCCTCTATACCAGAACAATTGCGTCAGAAAACCGGCTGGGACTACGCTGTACACGCTGCTGTAAAAGCAAGGGTGAAAAGAAGGCTAGTAAAGGCACGATAAACGTGAGATGTATATGGGTTGTCTGGCTGAAATAAAGTCAAAATTCGAGGAACATAGCACCTGGAACAAAGCATTCAGCCAAAATGAAACAATCAACTCGATGCGCGTTGCAGCTGGTTATGAGCAAAAATGCCAGAACCGTGGATTGAACACGGGACCTCCAGAAGACAAGTATACTTCAGTCTGTTGCTCTCCCAGCTGAGCTATTCCGGCGTTGAATTCCTTTTCCAGACGTACATTAATGTCACGCCCGGCGTCGCTCTACCGACACATGCCCACGCTCCTTGTCCCCGTTCACCATGGCCTTCCCTCTCCTCCACGTACTGTGCTGCTCGGCGCTGCCATCCTCGACCCCGTATAAAGCGTCGAAACCCTCGCCACGCACCATTCCAACTCCCTTCGGCACGTTGCCCGTGCTGTCGCGCAATGGCTCACCGATTTCGATGGTCGCGAAGGCCTCGAGCTTCCCGATGCGGATTATGTTCCCAGCTTCTCGGAGACGTACCCCTACTCGCATTCCCTCTTGTAGATACTCATGCACTTGGTGATGTGATACACATGCAGCAGGTTTGCACTGAGTTTGACGCAGCTATAAAGTCTGCGATGCTCCGAGGTGTATTATACACTATCGCATTTGCACACACATACTCCCCGGACGTCCGGGGAGTTTTGCTGACATGGGCACTCACCATATACCACACGAAAACTCATTGAATACCCGGTGAGCTCGGCAGTCATTGTGGCCATGCCCAGTGGTGTGTTACGCCCAAGGTCACGAAGCAGCGCGGCGCGGAGAGGATGCGTTTGCACGTGCTGTATGTCCTGCTAGTGTCATAACAAAACACCGCGAAGAATTTCACGAGCACGTCCGCCATCAACTGGTCGCCACCCACCGCTTTCTCGTGACATATGTCCCCCCACGTCGAGGAGCGCATGCACTATGTCACCAATCATGTTTTTGGCGGAGGACATCCTTGGACTCCGACGTGGTCGGCGTCATCCCAGGCAAGTGTTTTGCGGTATAGCCTTTGGACTTCCCTTCGCTACTGAGGAATAATCCGGAGATTATCTTTATGCAATTTCTTTTGCCACGTTCAGCACCCTATCTCATGCGTAAATACCACACGCATACGTATACAGCATCAGGTGGATCCGTGCTGTATATTGTCCGCATTATCACATCAAGCCATATTACCTCCCCCCGAGCAGTCTCCCTTACGATTTCACAAATTTCCCCATGCGATGGCAGAACAGCTGCTCCTCGTTTTCTTCCTCTATGCCCCATACCTCGCCCTTGCTCCAAAAGCCCATCTTTCGAATGAAGACATGAGTCGGCCGATCGAGACAGCAGCCGTCGAATGCGTTCTTCCAAATCGGCGTCCAGAATCGCTGCCACCAAGCAACGTCGTCCCTCGGACTGAGCACATGCTCGAAGAACAGCAGCTGGCCTCCGGGTCTGAGAACGAGATCCACGAGATTGCTTAGCGCCTCTTCGGAAGAAGGGATGGAGCATAGCGAGAGGATCGAAATAAGTGTGTCGACCGAGTGTGGGGCGCCCAAGGCGGAGACGATGGACGCAGTGTCTTCAGCACCGTACGGCAGAATGAGAAGGGTGCCAGCCGACTCCATAAAGCCTGCGGCGGTAGCGCGTTTTCGGATCTCGTCGTGCATCAGCTCATTGGGTTCGAGGGCGACATATTTTGTCACCGCCTCGGGCTTGAGATAATTCACGGTGTGGCCGTAGCCTGTGCATAGTCATAAGCTGAGACGTGCCATGCTTCGTTTTTCGTCTAATCACGATGCCTACCTGCACCAATGTCGAGCACAACCCCCCGAGCGTTTGCGGGGATGAGGTTCTCTTTAACAGGACGACTGTTCCCGTCGATGCCATCACCGAAGGCCGACCACACATGGTTCATGAAAATCTGCGACACTGTACGCGGATGTAGCAGCACTGATGGCGCACGTAGAATTGCGCGCAGTGTGGGCAGAAATGCCAGCTGCATAGCCTCCCGCAAATGTATGAGGAGACTGATGGAACCTGACAGCTTCATTGTATTGACAGTAAGACTGAGACGGCGAGCGGACTTCAGACTTCAGTAAGCATTAAATAGCTAATAAAGACGGCTTACAGAGAAATCGCGGCGGCCCGGTCCAGCGATTGAGTTGCAGCAATGTTTCACCTCCGTTGGGAAGAATCAAGCTGAACAACTTGTCAAGCTACAGTCATTTCAACAAATCTTGAGTTCTTAAGCTGTCCATATCAGCGCGCCTTGAGACCACGCGCGAAGTTTTGAAGCCCAGCGCATGCAGTGCAGACGAAGGCGCGCACTTGTCTCGGCACCTCTACATCTCTTAGTAAGATATGACCCGGTCCAGCTCGCGACATGTATGTTTAGGGGGCATTACTGTAATCATCTGCATTTCTCAGAATGCACGCCCGTCTTCTTATATTCTCGTGCGCTTTGCTCGGCCTACCGCCGTATACAACGCAGTGCTGAGACAACTGTCACGAATGGCTGTCGATGGCGCGGCCAACGCTCACGACCAACCATACTAAATAGCGAATTTGCTAGTCAAATGATTGCTGTTGTTGAGACGTACGAGTGCTCTCGTGATGGGAAACAACTCGCTGACGGGTATTCAATATCTTAGTTCATTGACTTTCAGAGACATACATCGTTCAAGCGCTTAAGCTATGCATATCGAGTGTTTATTTCTCTTAGTTACCTATGCTTTACATACCTTTCGCTCTGACTTACTTGGCACAATATTAAGCAATGTTACGGCACAGCCTGCAAGGCTGCATCGAAGTCCGCGATGATATCCGCGATATTTTCGATACCAACAGATACCTGTAATGACCCATCAGCCGCATACTCGCCAACCAACAGGCACGACGCACCCGGATGAGATCAGGCGTCACGCCCGACGCAAACTGCTCCTCGGTCGTGAGCTGCTGGTGCGTCGTCGTCGCGGGGTGGATCACAAGCGTCTTCGCGTCGCCCACATTCGCAAGGTTGCTTGCGAGGCGCAGGTTGTCGACGATCTTGCTGCCAATTTTTGCGTCGCCTTTGACGCCGAAGCTCAGCACGCCGCCGTAGATGTTTGGCCTGCAGAGCCGTTTCGCGACTGCGTGCGAGGAGTGCGACTCGAGCCCGAGGTACGATACCCACGCGACCTTGTCGTGCTTCTCCAGCCATCTGGCGTGCCATGGGTGTGTCAGCTTCATCATATGAACAATCGGTTATTCAGGAAAGTAGGGACGCACTGTGCAAGAATGAGGGCATTGTCAGAGTGACGCTGTCCTCGCAAGCTGAGCGTTTCGAGGCCCTGCAGTAGCAGGAACGCAGCGAAGGGATTCATCGACGACCCAAGGTCACGCAGCACTTCCACGCGGCACTTGATTGCGAAGGCAATAGGCCCAAACGTTTCGCTGTATCGCAAGCCGTGGTAGCCTTCCGAGGGCTCAGTGAATGTGGGGAACTTTCCGGAGCGTGCCCAGTCAAATTTGCCTACAGTAGGGTCACTATATGCGCATGAAAACGGGATGTACTTGGATGATGTCTATACCTGAGTCAATGACGACGCCTGCAATGGTGTTTCCGTGTCCACCAATCCACTTCGTCGCACTGTGCACTAGGGATGATATGTCAGACAACGAAGGGAGATTCTCCACGCGAACCTACCTACGATGTCGGCACCGTGCTCAATTGGGCGAATCAAATATCCTGATTCAACTTAGGTAACGTATACGGGATAGACGAAGTATGTCAAGCCTACCACCCATGCCGAATGTGTTGTCTACGATAAGGGGGATGTTGTTGTCGTGGGCAACCTGACAAAAGCATTCAGATAAGCTGTATTATGAGCTATATGCGCATCACTTAGGCACCTTGGCAAGCTCGGGTAGCGGTGCGACGTTGTACTTTGGGTTGCCAATACTCTCGACATATATAGCCTTCGTGTTTTCGTCGATCGCAGCCGCGAACGCCGCCGGATCTTCGCTGGTGACGAATTTGACCCCGATATTGAACTTCTTCAGATACACTGATAGGTATGTTCATTATATGCGCGTGGCCAAACAGATCCATGAAATTTACCTTTGAACTGGTTATAGGTCTGCCGTCAAATTGCAGTAAGTCTCGAGTCTTGTATGGACGCCTGCGACGTATCAGACACTCACACCGCCATATAAATACGAACTGTTTGATGAGACATTTTCAGTTTCACGAAAATCTGGCGCATTAGCTTCGGGACTCACGTCGAGACGATGTTGTCTCCAGCACCGGCAATAGTGGAGATTGCCATAAACTGCGCCGCCTGACCACTCGAAGCCGCAACTGCTGCAGCACCTCCTTCGAGAGCTGCCATCCGTTTCTCAAAGACTTCCTATACCCGGAGTGCATGAGAAATCCTCTGGACGAGTATGTACCGAAGTGCACTTACAACGGTCGGATTTCCAATACGAGAATAGATGTTCCCAAATGCCCTTTAGACACGTCATGAGCTAACAAATACATGGGTTGATCCACTGCGCCATGCCGCTAACCTAAGGCCAAAGAGATCTGCCGCATGCTGAAAAATTGGTTAGGATTCAATTCAAGGCCGTAAGTACTAACAAGGCTCACCTCGGAGTTGTTGAAAACGAAGCTAGACGTTGCGTAGATGGGCACCGCTCGCGCATTTGTCGTTGGATCGGGCTCTTGCCCCGCATGTAGCTGTAGTGTCTCGAACTCGGGCTCCCTGTATGATCAATCCCGCCCTTGTGAACAGTGTCGCGAGTGACAACGGTCGACACGACTCACTTATGGAATTGGTGCGCCATGATAGAAAGAAGACAAGGTGTCGAGCCGCCCTATCGCCCACGGTTGGAGACTTAGACTCATGAGTATTCCCGCCCTCGAGCTGCGATTGGATCGATCACGTCATCCGCGGCGAATTTGACGAGAAATTGAGCACCCTTGTCAATGGGTTCGCTGTTGCCCACATGATGCGGGCAGGTGTCCTAAAATGTTCTTGAGTCCAGCAGAGATGCCTGAGAGGAACAGAATTGAGTCAACAGAATGTAGCCGACGTGCTGAAGAGAGTATCTAGCGCCCCAAGAAGCCGAGACGCAATGCATTTAGGCGCCAACAATCAAATTAAAGGTCTGGTATTCAAATTCGACCCAAAATCCTACCTTGATCCTTGCTTCTTTCCGGGTTCTCCAAAGAATAATCTAGCGGTAAATATCAAGATCCATAGATCGCGTATAAGGGGTATAATATGTATTGATGATATATCTGGTCACTTGAGAACCTCAGCACTGTATGTGTGCTTCAGGTAACAGAGTGCGATAAGCAGGCGCACAATGGTGCCTATAGCGATGAAGCATACTACTATGTGTGCTATGTCGTACTATATGTGCTGCAGGGCTGTCTGCAGTGTTCTACAGATCTGGGGACAAACTACAGCATTAGGTGTGCTATACACGCTATATACTGCAATGTATTTAGTCAGATATTTCCTGATGCAGCAACAAATTTATTAGAATGCGCACTGTGACATAGACGATCAGGATTCAATTGTAGCTCGTGCATGGGTAGGCTTGTGGGACATATGTCGTAAATTTGTTGTTGATGACTTCCGAGGCGCATAAGGAGCCGTCAGGTTCGCCTTCGTCGATAACTGTATAGTACAGGGAATGATGCTACATTCACTACAACCTACATATTCACATTTCTAGATCACCCAACGGAAGCTCATGTCGATGCACCCGGCACAATTCCAAGCACATCCTCGTAAAAGTGCAACTCCTGCTCCAACGCAACCTTGATAGTCTCTGCTTTCCTCCATCCGTGTCCTTCGCCTTCAAAGATAGTATACTCGACGCGCCCGCCTCGCTTCTTGATGGCATCGACAATCACCTGGGCTTGCTGAGGTGGCACTACTGCGTCGATAGCGCCTTGCAACACCTATGGCATGGCAAGTCAGTGAGCGGCCGTCTCCACACACGTAAACTACACAAGGCTACTCACAAGCAGCGGACTCTTGATCTTGTCAGCATGGAACATCGGCGAGCGATCCTTGTACACTTCGGGGATCTCCTCGATCGTCCCGCCCATCAGCTTCTCCATGTAGTGCGACTCGAACTTGTGTGTGTCTTCGGCAAGCCCGCGCAGGTCCGCAATCCCAAACAGCGACGTGGCCGCGGCGAACGTGTCGGGATAGCTGCATACCGTCACGAGCGTGGTGTATCCTCCAGCAGACCCTCCGCGGATGACGCTCCGCTGCGAGTCGATGAGGGAATACGGGGCGGCCGCCAGCTGCTGCATCGCGTGCACGCAGTCGTCCACGTCGACGATCCCCCACTTTCCTGCTAGGCGCTCGCTGTGGTGCATCAGAGGCATGGCATGTCAACGAAAGGATGCGCACGCGTACATGTATCTTCGTCCATAGCCAGAGCTGCCTCCGTAGTTGACGTCAAGCCTGGTGATCTCATCGTTAGGTTTGGGACCGAGGCAGGAACGGGAAGTGGATGAACACTACTGACCACACCCAGCCACGGCTCGTGAAATATTGCTTCTCCCAGCTCAGCGCTAGGGACGCGCGACCGGTAGGACCGCCGTGCGCATTCACGATGCAGGGCGGCTTCTCTCCCTCGGGCGCGGTGTACTCAGGGTTCTTTGGCGGAAGGTACAGCACATGCAGCGGCTCGCCATCCGGGCCGACCTTCAGCTCGATCGACTGTGCCTCCGAGATGAGCGAATGCGGGAACGGCGCCGCCGCATCTGCCTTTGCCCCGAGCGTGACGTACGCAGGCTTCTTGTAGTCCGTCAGCGTGCACACGACGATGCCGCCCGCCGCGTCCGCCCGGTCCGCAAGGAACACAACCGACTCTTCTGTCACGCGCTTGACCGCGCTGATCCCGACGTACGGGCACGCCAGCTCCTCCAGCGCCCCGCTCTTCAGCGTGACGACGTACAGCACGCTGCGGCCATCGCGCAGGGCTGCGTACAGCGCTTTCGTTGCGCCCGCGTCAAGCGCCGTGCCGTATTCTATCCCCAGGCTGTGTGCTGGCTCCGCAAAGTCGTGCGCTACGGGCTCCGGGAGTACCGGTGCGGCGCGCCCCGCTGTGACGTCGTACTTCCAGGGGTTCTGGTACCCGGAGACGTCGCTCGTGAAGAGCAGCAGCTCGCTGGACGCCCAGCAGGGATACGACGCGCTGATGTCGATCTTCTTGCCCGCAACATATGTGAGGTCATGCACGGAGAGGCGTTGCGCGTCCGCGGACACCGCCGCGACGTAAATTTCGGCGCCTTCCCAAGGCATGTCCGGGTGGGACCACTGCTGCCAGGCAAGCCGCGTGCCGTCGGGGGAGAAGTACGGGAAGGCGTAGAAGTCCGCGCCAGAGACGAGCGTGGTCACGGTGCGCGTCTGGGTGTTGATCACGCATAGCGTCGTCACGACGTCGGGCGGCGCGGGTTTAGTGTGGTCCTCCATGATCGCGACCAGGAGGTGGTTGTGCACCGGGTGCACGTCGATCTTGGCGAACCGGTGGTTGGTGTTGTCTGCGTGTCCAATGCTCGATGATGCGGCGCATGAGCCATCCAGAACATGCACTCACCTGGAGTCACGGGTGTCGGCTGCTGCCCGTCCGTCACCTTGTATACTCTGTTGTCGGAGAAGTTGGAGAAGTAGACAACTCCATTGTGTGCAACGGCCGCGCCTCCGCCATACTGCGCTTGTCTCGTCAGCGCGTGCAGCAGGTGAAGAAATGAAATCACCTCTTGGACGCCTGTCCTGGCGTTGAACTCCCGCCCTATGACATCGCGAGCGTCCTCTGTCTTCACGATGACATTCCTCCCGCCCTCGAGCGGTCTACCTTCGATATGGTAGATCGTAGATGTGATGGGGTCCACGAAGAGTTCAATGAGCTTAGCACCCTATATAAAACAATACATTCATTATTGAGGAACCTCGACCCTACCTATTAGCGACCTACTCCCTGCAAGATTGCATCAGTTGTTATTGGTGAGGTCCAGGTTCCATAAGGCGCAGTCTTTGTCATTTTGAAGGAAAGGCGTGCGTTCTACGAGTTTAGACGATTTCTGTGAATCAGCACACTGCACTGCATTGTTCAGTCAGTGATTAAGCATCGAGCATGTGTTAGCCACACTAACGTTATTATTGCAAGGTGGCTGTGATTGATATCCAAATTCAGGGTCCTCAAGTATGATTACGTAAGTAATTGACTAGGTTCCCGCATTACTGTTCCGGGAAAAACCCTTAGGTTTTTGACATGTTCTTAAATACGTTATTGATTATGTCGAACACTCGAGGCGTTTTTTGGACGTTAATAACATGTGATACTGGCTGTTCGCCGAGACACAGGTGCAGCCTCTGAGATACCATTTGCTAGCAGTGCACTGCAATTATGGTCCCTTCAACCAAACAGATATACAACGACCAGGGCTTCGTCATTGTGCGCGACCTCATCCCCGTAGACTCTCGTAAGTCTCTCGAAGAGGCTGCTGACCGCGCGATTGCACGAACGCGCTCGGGCAGTTGGAAGCTGAGGCGTACGGTGAGCTCTTTTTCTGTTCTTTGCAGTGAGCGAGAACAGCCTAACAGGCCGTCCGGCGACCGCAGGTAGGACGCCAGTTTCCCCCGTATGGCGACGATGACCCGGACTCGTGGGGCGTGCAACACGTCATGCACCCCGAGCTGCGCGAGCCTGCCTTCGCGCAGTGGTACACGTCCGACCCCCTCGTGAACGTCGTGAAAGAGCTCCTCGGATGTCAGGAGGACGAGCTGCAGATGGGTGCGCCGCGCTGCGCTGCATTGCCCGCGTGATTCCGCATGCAATCTGACGGGCCCAGAGCTGTTCAACATGCTGATCAATCCCGAGTCGCATGCGTTTGCCTTGCGCTGGCACCGCGATGATGTGCGTGAGAGCGCCGCCGACGATGAAGAGCGGACCGCCCTGGGCATCTGGCATCATGGCGTGCGTGCTTTGCTCCAGTCTCCGCTCCAATGCAGAAACGACTGAACAGATGTTGCGCGTATCTAGGTGCAATGGAACACGTTTGTCTCCTACCCTTCCTCTTATCTGCCGTAAGCCCATCGGAAACATATAGGGCCCTCTATACGGATTCGTGTCTCTATGTTGTGCCCGGGTCTCACAAGGTCCCCCGCACTCCGGCGCAGCGCGCACACTCGTCCACGCTTGACCCTCCTACGAACCCCATGCACATGCCCGGGGCGATCCAGGTGACCCTGCAACGTATGTTCGGAATCTCTCAGCGCCGCTTCTTTCAAGCTTACCGCTACAGCCGGAGAGACGGTCTTTTACAACAACAACATCCTGCACTGCGCGACGTACGACCCAAAGCAGCGTCGCGCGACTCTTCATGCGTCTATGGGCGATACACGTGGCGGAGCGACTCGTGCTCGGAATGTCCTGCAGCACGGGCTGATGTGGATGAAGGAGGCACGCTTCCGCGAGAGTCTGAATGAGCGCGGCAAAGTGATGCTAGACCGACTCATCACGCTGCAGGAGAGCATCGAGGGAGATGTGGGCTACTCTCTCGCCAACTGATGGGCGACGACAACGTGTGGAATATACAGAGGAATGGGTATATTGGGGGTGTATGAGTATATATGTACTGTTTCTTGTTACGATGTAGTCAAGTAGGTGAGTTGACTGGAGGGCCATGAAAGCAGCTTGTGTATATTGCCGTTTTCACGAAAGGTGTCGCGCGCATCAAACACAAACAAATTCTCGCTGAACGACCTCCCACTGAAAACACGAATATCTCATCTACATTATGTGTAACATAGATTTCATTATCGATATCATTTCAAAGACAATACCAAGTGCTTGTGGTTATAAGGACACTGGTACCTACATGGCATATCATTTGTACTTAATCATACTGTATCCATGTGTCGCAACCCAGAGGCTAGGGAAATGCTGCAGTGATAGGAGAGGATGGTAGAAGGGGTCAGTAGGGGCACAAATGCAAGATACAATCCATAGAAACAAACGAAGGGATGTTTTTGAGATGTGCAAAGGAACAAGGAAGGACACGACAGTCGCCCCCAAGAATGTGAATGGCACAAAGTGGAGCAACTGTGAATGACATACCACTAGTATACCACACCCTCCGTAGCACCTATCCACATCCAGGGAGACCTTTTCGGCAAGTTTCTGATGTCGCGTTCGTGAGCAGGATCGATTCTGCATCAGAGGGATGCCGAAGATGTCGAAATTTCAATGTTGGAAATTCACGATGCTTTTGGTACCAGGATCTGCGGGACGACGAGGCGAGTCTAGCGCAGAAAAAATGAAGATGATACGCTCAGTAATTGTCGAGATATTCGTGTTTTCAGTGGGAGGTCGTTCAGCGAGAATTTGTTTGTGTTTGACGCGCGCGACACCTTTCGTGAAAACGGCAATAAGATGCGGCTCGACAAGACAACCCTCGTTGCAAACCTACAGTCTAGTTTTCGTATCCATCGCTGTTTGTAACAGGAAACGATGCTGTTCGTCTGCCCTTCCGTCTTGTTTGCAAACTACCGTATTGAAGACCCTCGTCATCACTCTCGGCCCTGCGCTTCAAACTAGTCCTTCGCATTTTCCTCGGCAGAGATGGCATCACCACGCCAACAAACACCTGCCGGCACGGTTTGGGTGGCGCGGGCAATACAACCCCCTCGAAAATTGGCTTGCTGTCTTTGCGTGCAAGCCCTCGCGAGCTGAGACGGGCTGAGCCCTCGCCTCCGAGCTTGCGCTTTCGAGCGCGCTGGTTCCCTGCACCAGATCCGCCGCCCTGAGAGCGCTCGAGCCTCTTGATCACTGCATCCACTGAACCGCACAATGCGTCAAGGCACTCGCACCCTTTCGTATTTGATAACGACTCACGGCCATCCTTCTCGACCTGTTGCAGGCGCTGGGCCATCTCTTCATGCCTCTCAGTGTACGCTGCGAGACCTAGGTCCTTGAGAATAGCTCTCATGGTGTCCGTCTTCAACATGCCCCATGGCATTTGAGATTCGGTTTCCATCACTGCTTCAAGAGCCCGGTGGTTGTTCTGAGACGCCAACAATGCTGCCAACAAGTGGCAACGAATATCGCAGATTTTGAGACTTCAGCAAGACGGGTTCGCAGTCACAGTGTTGTGGACCATCATGTTCGACCGCTCGTCGGCGAGGACATGGGAGAGATCTTAAAGAGATCCACCAATCCCGCCATCAGTCGGCATATCTCAATCAGGTTGGTAGTCGGCAATAGGCGCGCCGTGTATAGGACCGTATCAATTTGCATTTTGAAGTATACTCAAGTACTATGGGTGGTAAACGCAGTCTCGCTCAAATCCTATTATTGCCGTTATCACTCGACCTGTCAGTCGGGCCAAACACACATAAATTTCGCGCCTCGCGTCGCTCTGAGCACCTCGAACTGAGAACACGGATATCTCTTGAAATACTCATTGTATAGCCTTGATTCTTGCTGCGTTCGACTCTGCTCGTCGCCCCGGAGGGCCTGATACCAATAATATTGCGATCTGTCCATGCGTGACTATTGTCAGCTCCACCACCACCCTTTGGATGCAGGATCGGTTTCGCTCGCGAATGCAAGCGTGTATTCTTGTCGGAGTGACTGCATTTGGTCAAGGTGGATACTAGGGAGGGCCCGGTATCATTTTTGGTGCGTCCCCTAACCCATATTTCTTTCCTTGGTCTGTTCTCTGCACTCGAGCATCACACAAGCTATGGTTGTCCATCTGTAGCCTTGTGTTCTTCGCCCATCTGACATCTCAGCCTAGTAGCCTACTACTGGTGTGTTTCTAGCTTTACAAGACATCTATCATCTGTTTAGCGGCTGTCTGCGCGTCACTGTCAACGCCCTGCGTGCGCACTATGGAATGGCATAAACAGCATGCAATTCACAGAATCCCAGCCTTCAAATCGATGTTGATGGACTCCCAAACTTCCAGCACATGTCCAGCTCTCCCGGAGAGACAGTTATCTGTGTTTGGCTCACTGTTGGTATGTCTGACACCAGAGCCAAGCTCTGTTTCGTAATCAAGTTGCTCTACGCATTGTATCTTACATAGGTAATGCTCTTAATAGACACATATCAATCATTTCACATATTGGACGATGTAATGTGTGTAGATGTCCTGGTAAGTCTCAATCTAAGGCCTACTAAGATGATATCAAGGCGGGGTAGAGTGATGGTGTGACATACTGTGCACAGCATCTCATGTAGCCTCTCTTGCGCTGTATGCAGGTTGGTTGCGAGGATAAGAGGTGATGGAACTAGAGGGCAGCGCAACTATTAGTCCATCAAGTATGCAGTAGAAGCTGTCCTAGATGGCGCGAGAGCCTCTTTGTGATTGAATGCCAATGACAGATGAGGGGAACAGGTTCACACCATAAGATAGCTCTCATGGCTTTATATGATATATTACATGGGTTGGGGATACTGGAAAATAGATCCCAAGCAATCTGTACTGATGGCATGGAGGAGTGCTAGCAGTATGGCGACAATAGCATATAGTGAAGATAGTCTTACTGGGGGACACACTAAACCCATACCGGGCCCTCCCTAGTATCCACTTTGACCCAACGCAGTCATTCCGACACGAACAGATGCTTGCATTCGCGGGCGAAAACAATCCTGCGTCCAGAAGGGAGTGGCGGAGCTGACAACAGTCACGCATGGATAGATTGCAATATTATTGGTATCAGGCCCTCCGGGGCGACGAGCAGAGTCGAACGCAGCAAGAATCAAGGCTATACAATGAGTATTTCAAGAGATATCCGTGTTCTCAGTTCGAGGTGCTCAGAGCGACGCGAGGCGCGAAATTTATGTGTGTTTGGCCCGACTGACAGGTTGAGTGATAACGGCAATAACACGGAGGCTCGAGACTATACCAGGCAAGACAATACAGGGTCATCACAAACAAATGGCAGGGGTATGGGGTTCAACCAGCAGTCATCTTGTACCGCCTTCAACATTCGATTTTAAATACCAGAAAATTGTGAGAGTGTATATAGTCCCTAAAGATGCCCCCATGGGACTCAAATTTCAAACAACTGCTATTTAGGTACCAGTGTAAGTATTTGACCTGACACTGGATCAAATAATTGCCGCCCGTTTTTGTGGCTGGAATTGTGGCTCGTGGCGCCGGTAGCTGAGATTGTGGCGCTGGTGGCTGACGCCCTGCGTGTCGTGTTCGCCTCAGGCTTTGAGGCGGCTGCATTGTGTCTTGTGTCCTACGCTGTAGGTTCATTCAGGCAGAGATGTACGAGAACACGAATGCAGGACCGGTAGGACATTGAATGTGCACCTGCGTGAGGCGTCGGCAGCGACGGCTATAGGATGAGTCGGGGCGCGCCAGGTTCATCACTCGGCACACCATCCTCGCTATTTTTCACCGTGTCGCCGAGCATGCAATCGCGTGGGAAGGTCATCAAAGACAAACACCGCAAATTCCGAGTCATGAAAGGAATTGTGCAAAGAACTCTATGTCAAGTCCTCGTCTTTCTACTCACAACTTCGCGCCCAAGTTCCTCTACCTTACGCTGCAACAATGCCGTCACCGCGCTCCGGACACTTGCGACCGCTGCCACTGTATCTCGTCCCGGCTCCTCAAGTAGCTCCGGATTTGCAGCCTCACCTAGCCAAGCTGCGCGCAAGATTTCACTGCTTTTCTGTTCCTCTTGTGGCCGTCGGGGATCGGATAGTCCGCCACTGGTGCTCCCTGACACCCCTGGCGTAGCGCGATGTGTGTGAAGTGCATTGCGTATCTCATTAGCATCGACTGGCTTGCCAAATGTTACGCTCAGAGAAACGCGCGGCCGGGGAATGAACTTCCACAGGAGCGAACGCCCTTCAGGCATCAGGCGGTCAAATCCTGGAGTTACTCCGTGAATCAGAATCCAATTTGACTTAATTGTAAGGAGATGGCGCACCTGTCAGCCACATGGGTATGATTACGGGAGTATTCGCGGTCTCCATGACTATACGACCTCTAGTTCGCACGTGAGTGGACGTCACCAGCTAAGATGCGATTTTTGACGTACACACCCCACTTGAATCTTAGCAGCTTCGCCGGGTCTTGTGTGGGATCGGTGGCAGGCTGGTTGACCTTTCCTTCGCCGAATAGATGAATCTAGACGCGTCGTGAAGGAGTGTACAGGCCCCTCTGCAATGGTAACCTACCCAAGCACCACCGTTCAGCTTCTCGATCGCATCGTCAACGGCAGGCTGGAAAATTCCTTTGCCTCGGAACGTTTCGATGACTTGCCCATGGCGGAAAAAGAATGAGAACAGTCTATCTAGCAGAGAACACTCAAGTTCAGACAGGCAAGTATGGTGCACTGGTAGCGCGTTACTTACGGATTCGTAAACATTATGTCTGACGCCCCCAATGTCCATCTTGTGAGTCGAGAGCTCAGATAGTAGCGAGAGGGGAGGATGCCCCAAACCACAGGGTCATCCAGTCTGCTTAAATCCTCAATACTTCGAAGGAAGCCGTAAGTAACACACTCACGTAGAGATGTGATTGGCGACTAGGAGATGAAAATTATAACGCGCCGAAGAGATGCTCGATTGTGTGCACTTACTGGTGACTACACCACATCCTACCGTCCTCCCACTGCTCTCCAATGCCTCACGCAAATTCTCGAAACCATGGATGGTGACAGAGGAACAATACCCGATGTTCAAGAATGTTTTGCAAAGCAGCCCAACTGCACCTACTGTCGCTTTCGATAGTAGGCTCATGGGGACATGTGAACAAGAAACGATTCAGTAGAAGTTCAGACAGTCCCAGGAGCCAGGTCAACCCGACAATATGCTTGTAGGTACTGAGCTAAGTTCGCAGTGAGCAAATGGGCCGGCGCGAATTAGCCGCCCGTACCGCTGGGTGCGCACGTGCAATTATACGAGCTCTTCGGCGGCAGCGACAACGACCACGACAACGACGACGTCCACGCCTGATTCGGTGGGAACAACAGCACCGGTATCTTGACCCGCGCTCGATACCTCAGAGACCTACGCATCTCTGACTGGTCGCGGTACGCTTCTGCCGGACACCGACGGACGTTGCTCACCTACATCTCAATACAGCTGTTTGCTAGCATGAGTTTCTCAAAGCAGCAGCTACCACGCCCGCTCCAGCGAGTCTGGACGGCGTTCATGGCCGCGGTCGGCCGTCTCGACAAGTCGCTCTCGCCGCGGGACACCATCAGCCGTCTACGCCAACACTCCTTCACCTTCTCCGACTCCATATATCTATTCCACCTCGCCCTGGCCACCTTCTGGATCACCATCATGCAAGTCCCCGGCTTCCCGCTCAAGCTCATGATACCCGTACTCTACGCCATCGCGCTCCTCATACCCCTCACGTCGCAGTTCTTCATCCCCGCGACCCCGGTGTTCGCATGGCTGCTGACCTTCTACACGTCGCGCTTCATCCCTGCGGCGTGGCGCCCGAACATCTCTGTCGTCCTGCTGCCGACGCTCGAGTCCGTGCTGTACGGGGCCAACATCTCGGACATTCTCACGCGCTTCACGCACCCGGTGCTCGACATCTTTGCGTGGCTGCCGTACGGCGTGATCCACTTCACGTTCCCGTTCGTCGTCGCCGCGTTCCTGTGGCTGTTCCGCACGAAGGAGGCGCTGCACCTGTGGGCGCGCGCATTCGGCTACATGAACCTGATCGGGGTGATGGTGCAGATCCTGCTGCCGTGTGCGCCGCCGTGGTACGAGCTGATCTACGGCCTGACGCCCGCGAACTACTCGATGCCCGGGTCGGCGGGCGGGCTGGCGCGCATCGACAAGCTGTTCCACTCGCACGGGTACACGGTCGCGTTCAGCAACTCGCCGGTGGTGTTCGGGGCGTTCCCGTCGCTGCACTCGGGCTGCGCGACGATGGAGGCGCTGTTCGTGTCGCACTTCTTCCCGCACGCGACCAAGTTCATCTGGACGTACACGGCGGTGCTGTACTGGGCGACGATGTACCTGACGCACCACTACCTGATCGACGTCGTGGTGGGCTCGTGCCTGGCGATCACATGCTTTTACCTGTATCTGCCGGACGAACTCAAGGGCGCGAATGCCCTTGCGCCGCCGGGTGGGTTGAACTCGCCGTACGGCACGCGGCGATCAAAGTACGAGCTGTATGACCTAGAGGAGCCGCGCACGGCACGTGGACGGGCTTCCAACGGCAGCATCATGCGCGACGCGGCAGACTACGACCTTGAGGACCCTTCGGACAGAGAGTCGGACGAGGAGGAGATGGACATTACGTTTCGGTCGCCAGTCCCGCCAACTACGCCTAACTCAGCGACGCCGTTGATGAAGCCGAAGGGCATGTCTTCGTCGAAGAAAAGCCATCGGCACACGGCGAGCATCGCGAGTCTAATACGGGCAGAGGAGAGGGCGGAGGACGGGTGGAGTCCGATAGGCGGCACTTTCAACATCCCGCCACCGCGGGCTGCTGAGGATCAGAAGGCGTTAAGGCATTGATGGGTGGGTTTTGTACATGAACTTCTAATTGCGGGTCTTCGTCTCCATCTCCTGGTGTATTTATGTAGCGTCCACGTATTGTCAGCATACTCACATGTCCGTCGCTTTTATCGCTCAGAACGCACACATTAATCCCCCCCTAAACACACATGTCGTGAGCAGGACCGGCTCATATCTTACTAAGAGATGTAAAGGTGCCGAGACAGGTGTGCGCCTTCGTCTGCACATGCGCTGAGCTTCAAAACTTCACGCGTGATCTCAAGGCCGCCATGGACAGCTTGAGAACTCGAGATTTGTCGAAATGATTGCAGCTTGACAAGTCGTCAACTCGTTTCTTACCAACAAAGGTGAAACGTTGCTGCAACGCAATTCGCTTGACCGCGTCGCAACTCCGCTGTAAGCTGTCTTATCAGCCTATGTCGGTAGTATAATCCTTTACTAACGTCCGCCCGCCTCGGTCTTACATTCAGTACCGGGATGAAGCTGTCGGCTTCCATCGGTCTCCTCACAGATTTGCGCTTGGCTGTGCAGCTGGCATTCCTGCCCACTCTGCGCGCAGTTATACATGCCCCATCAGTGCTGCTACATCCGCGCACAGTATCGCAGATTTTCATGAACCATGTGTGGTCGGCCTTCGGTGATGGCATCGACGGGAACAGTCGTCCTGTTAAAGAGAACCTCATCCCCGCAAACGCTCGGGGGGTTGTGCTCGACATTGGTGCAGGTAGGCATCGTGATTAGACGAAAAACGAAGCATGGCACGTCTCAGCTTATGACTATGCACAGGCTATGGCCACACCGTGAATTATCTCAATCCAGGAGCGGTGACAAAATATGTCGCCCTCGAACCCAATGAGCTGATGCACGACGAGATCCGAAAACGCGCTACCGCCGCCGGCTTTACGGAGTCGGCTGGCACCCTTCTCATTCTGCCGTACGGTGCTGAAGACACTGCGTCCATCGTCTCCGCCTTGGGCGCCCCACATTCGGTCGACACCCTCATTTCGATCCTCTCGCTATGCTCCATCCCTTCTTCCGAAGAGGCGCTAAGCAATCTCGTGGATCTCGCTCTCAGACCTGGAGGCCAGCTGCTGTTCTTCGAGCATGTGCTCAGTCCGAGGGACGACGTTGCTTGGTGGCAGCGATTCTGGACGCCGATTTGGAAGAACGCGTTTGACGGCTGCTGTCTCGACCGACCGACTCATGTCTTCATTCGAAAGATGGGTTTTTGGAGCAAGGGCGAGGTATGGGGCATAGAGGAAGAGAGCGAGGAGCATCTGTTCTGGCATCGCATAGGGAAATTTGTGAAATCATAAGGAATGCTGCTCGGAGGGTGCTAATATGGCCTGACTCTATGATAAAATATCAGACACCCATCCGCCGATGGTATATGTGTATACCTGCAATATGTACACATGAGACGGAGTGCTAAATTAGGCAAAAAGAGTCACAACATTATAAGATCTGAACCACTACCCTCTAATGGTGCAGTCTTGGTCCACAGCTTCGTCAAGATGATTTTGCACCTCGATTCGGCGCACTCGTTTTGACTCGGTTGTGGTACGCAAAATACTTGCTCGGGATGAGGATCGAACTCATGACCTCAGGATTACGGGATTAAATAATCCCTCACACTTACGTATGAGACCTGCGCTCTAACCAACTGAGCCACCCAAGCTGTCGTGAAATGTATCGTACAGTACAGTATTATTTGAGCGGTTTGATCAGCAAACCCTTCAACGCACTAAACGTCTCGCACTTGTAAAGATACTAAAGAAAGGACACCAAGGCACATCATAAAAATCATGAAATTTAAGGACAGAAACATGCGCTCAATATACTGCACTTCAGGACACATGCCTTTTCATTGGCAGGGGTACTGTACCGGGGGAAAACTGTGGAACAATTCGTGCGACAAAAGGGCTATTTCGATGCGGGCGGTGTGCGAGCAGGGCAAAAATAGCCATCGAGGCGCAGGGTTTATGGAATACGATGCAGCGATATCCAGTCTTACTGCACGACCGATCAGGTCCAGCAAGTGAGTGTGCGCAAGGGCTCGAAATGACAAAATGTCCATAGTGGCGATACGCAGATTGTGACCTTACGGCACCAGTGGCGCGACACTTGTCATCTAGTGCGATAGGCCTGCCCAAGTATACCCGGCGGGTGATGGAAGGTGATGGTATAGAGCTTTCATGAGGCACAACTCCCAAGGTGTTGTTACGAACGTAAACAATAAAGGGCTGTTGCCCAGCATCCTCGACGATTCCCGTGAAGTACACAACAAAGCAGAAGTCAGAATGCATTGACCAGCCAGTATACATCTCGGCCTACACAACTATCACATCATACAGAGTAACGATCGAACTATCCTTCATACCCGATGTGGTCATCCTCTTGCGTGCACTTACCAGCGACCACGGCACAACAACGAGCAATCGTTTAAGATTGCGTACGACCAGGAAGCGTAAGAGAACATACCTCATCAATATTCCTTGAGACTATTCATCCTCTTGGAGCCCACCGTTGACGTCGTATGTCATACATGAGACGTATGGTGTCATGCCACGTAGGCACAGCGCTTCTAGCAGGAGTAGAGCTGTACTCGTCCTTCGATTCAGGGGGATCCTCATGACGCGACAAGATATTGAGCGGGTTCTCTTGATCATCGACGCCAGTGCCATCCTCGCTAACAGAGCCTGCATCATCCCCGTCGTCAGCGTCCGCGCTGCCTTCGTTATCAGAGTCACCTCCTTCTCCGGAGGAAGCGTCATCTTCCACCGATTCATCGTTCACTATACTTCCTAACATATAGCCGAGGTCCAGATTCGGCGCCATGGAATCGATGTAACGTGCCAGGAAATCTGGGTGTGGCACGGCTGTGCTTTTGCAATATCCGAAATCAAGCCAATAAAGGGCAGAGGACTTGAATGGCGGCAGTGTGGTCAAAGCATCCGGGGACATGTCGACCTTCGGCACGACTAGCGTCTCTAGTTTCGGACAAAGTTGCAAGAACTCCGCCATGACACGAGGATGAAGGACCGGTGGGCTGTGAGGATCGCATGCCCATCTGGAGTCGAAGAGAGTGTTGCAGGTGCGTAAGTTGGACCAGGAGCGTGCCATTCTCGAGAAGTCACGCTCCTTCAAGTGCCGGCGGTCGCACCCAGACACTTCTAAGCTTAGGACCTCAAGGCCATGTATCGAGTAGATTGGCTCCATGAGCTCTGCAAATATGAGATTTTGCGTATTCTCGGAGTCGCCTGTATACACGTGGATAGAGATGGAACGCAACGACGACGAAAATTGGGAGGAGACGATGGACAAGCATTCATGCCACTTCTCCAGGGTGCCCTCGTTAACTTGTGTTTCGAACTGGTGAAGAACTGGTGACTGGACGCTGGGCAATATATCCGTAACCAGCTGCAGATTTCTGCCCAGAGAAAGGGTCCGCAGTGCGCAGAAGCCGAAAGAATGCGTGACTTCACCCGTAATATGATCCGCCATCAATTCGAGCGTCTCTAGGCGCTCCAAGCTCCGGAGCGCATTGATGATATCGACACCCACATGTGGACAATCGAGGTTGACGGAACGGAGATTGCATGACCAGAGAGTTGGCGGATAAGCGGATGGGTGCGAGATGTAGTGGATGGCTATACGCTGCAGCGATGCGGCTGTGACGGAGGATATAATCTGTAGTGAGACCTTGTGATGAATGTCGTCCTCGCATCGTATGATATTGCTCCGGAAGCAATCATGCAGCACTCGGGATGCACTGAAGTCGATGCAGCGAAGACCAGGGCACACAACGTACTTAATGCTGGAGTCCAAGATCGAACTGCGAATCCAATTAACAGAGCGCAGGCCTGGGAACAAGAGTGTGCGGTAGGGGTTCAGACGTGTTAGGTGTGCAAGCACTGCAGCTCCGGGGGTGGGAGAGAGTCCAAAATCTAAGCGAAGAGTTCGTACTCGCAACGCATATGAGCGGAAGCGAATCCATTCCTGCAAAGGAATGCTGGTAGCGCTGAGATGCTGTCAGAGAATGGTAAGTATGTCAGCTATCCTAGGCTTGAGTTCTTGTCCAACTCACGTAGTGCAGGGGCGAGCCCCTGCTATATGCACCAGCACTAAACGCCTCGAAATGTTTACGCGCAGGGATGCCTTCGAACGCCGTGAACAATCTGAAGGCGTATACGACATCGTCGAGTTCCTCCCAAAGCAGGTCGAGAGCGATCTGCGAAAAGGTTTTGTTGACGAGGGCGAGGCACATCAAGACATTCCTGAAGAATGACACAGGAGCATTGAAATAGAGGCAAATCTCACGAACAACCTCGACTATCTGGAGAGCTCGGTGAGGGGGCATGATAAACTGGTTGCTTTGTAGATCCACGAACTCGCGAATAAACAGGTTTGGAACGGAGTAGTCCTGAGTTGACAAGATGTGTGAATCAGTTCTCTCGAGAGGCTTCGCATTATAACGCCTTTGTCTTGCATTGTCTCTCCAGAGCCACGAGCTGCCCTTTCAGTGGCGAGCGCCCGGGTGTCGACTACATGCAACACGTGACCAGCAAAGTTGAATCAAGAACTAAATAACCGAGCAAGATTGGCGGTGCAACAAAAAGAACAGCAGGTTCTTGAGCAAACAAGAGTTGACACGCCCGGCGGACACTGACCTGATGAATCTCATGACCTTGATTAACATCGACCTAATTTCCCGTTTGATAATTGTAACCTGTCATTTTCCTGGGTCGAAATCCAGAGTGTAAATTTGAGCAAATCTGAAAAGTCGGTGTAACATAGAGAGGATAACAACCTGCCGGACTTCTGCAAGACGTCCTGATAGTGTCTCTTCGGATGGAACTACAGGAGCGCGGTCGAATGTTAGCGACTATCGCGAGCTCGATATTTGCATAGAAAACCTGGACTGGGATACTTGTCAATTATGGCGAGATTTACCCGCTTTGGACTAGTTTACGCTGATTATGTGTAGACGCCTGGGATTGTCAATTCGTCGGTGAATTAGGAAGTAACTCGATTCGTAAAATCGCCGCTGAGTCGTCGCACAATCAGTCACCTTGGTACAAGGCCGCGCTATAGTACCAGTTTCAATCAGCAAGCATGTACATTTCAAAGAGCTGTAGCCTCGACTCTCGTATGAAGCAGTTTTCTGGGGTTTCTCAACGGCCCGGAGCTGGCATGTCTCAGAAACGGCATGAGCTGAGCGGAATTGGTTTGCAGACTGAATTCTGCATGCTTCTGAGTTTCATGCAGGATGGTTTATAATGCTAGTTGCACAATGTCTATTCCTCGCTCTGCAGAATGAATCGCCGCCAATTTCCCGTTCAGGATCCACATTTTCTCTTCGGTAGACTCGGACCTAGTAGCACTCCCGAGTCTCAAGTTAAAGCCGTGAGGAAGTCACTTGCGCGAAGATAATGGTATGCCTGTGCATGTTTTCTTTGTCTGCGAAAGTGAGTGTTTGGTGCCTCTAACAGACTACAGGGTCATAGCTGCATTTACATAATTCTTCCAGAAAATGAATCTAACGAGAGCGCAGATCGACTGCATAGGCCTCTGATGTTTCTTTGTTTTTCGAATTTGTAATCAGCTGCGGCCCTCGTGGACTACAATGGTACGTTGTGATGTTAATGGTACCGTTGGTGGCCGTTGATGGCGACATAAAAGGCAGGTACCAATGTGGCGTTCTTTTGCTCACCTTTACCCTCAACCACCACCAAGAACTTGCTTTCAATTCTATCCTCACACTCATCCCAAATGTCGCAGCTCGCTCAAATCAAGAAGCTTGGCCGTGAAGGCACCATCAATATGCAGGCCTCTCTCTCGCCTAGTTCCTCTGGGCGCGACGCCACCGACCGGCGAAACCGCCGAGAAGTCGACAGGAAGTTCCTCAGGGGTCTCAACAAAGACCAAGTGAAAAGCTATGCCATTGTATGTCGAGTTTTGCTCCTGTAGATGTATTTGCGATGACGACTGGTGGCACAGGCCCACGGTGTCGACCCTCATCTGACGCAGGAACAAATCATCAATTCTATCTTTGCTAACAAAAGGGTGGTTCCGCTGCTACCCATGAAGAAGATGGTGCGGCGTCGAGTCATTGAAGGCCTGACATACGAAGAAGTACAGAGATATGCTAAGGTACGTCTCCTTTGTCAGCATGTCACGCCACAGTTAGATGTACAGTTCTCAATGCAAAAAAAAACAGGCCCTCAAGGTCGATCCAGAGCTGCCCAAGGAGGAAATAATCAATCGACTGTACAAAGATAGAGATTTGATACCCTGGTTCCGTGTGGGCCGCAGCTTCCGCGGGCCCACCCTCGAGGGGCCAATCATCAAGCAGGTACTGCCCGGATGTGACGTCTTGATTCAGGAGAAGGCGCATAACGCAGGGTACAACCCACATAAGAGACATATTGTGGAGCACGAGCGAATGTATGGGGAAGACCCCCTCCCACCGGGAGCCCCAACTCCTCCCGCGTCGCCATCACCAGAGTCGCAGACAGTACTACCTGGCGGGCAGTCGGAGCATAGCCTCTCAATTCCATTCAATACTCACCGTAAAGGCCTTCCGTCGCGTAAACGCCCTGCTAACATGCTCGAGGAAGGAGGTGAGTGTATGTAGAGTTCCCCCTTCTCCTGACTAGATGTTAACGAGCCATTTGTCACAGTCGTCGCCGGGTCCTCTGGCCAGCAGAGTACAATCGTTCCAACTTCTGCTTCACTTGGCGACACTGGAAGTAATACGCCACCATACAAAAAGAGAAGACGGGCCACAAGTCATACTGTCTCTGAATGCGTGACCACGGACGACGACGACGACGAACTATACTACGATAGCGACATCTATGGGAGCGCTTTGAGCGAGGCTGAGAATGAGAACAACTGTGGCCCCTCTAATTCCAGGGGCAATCAACGTCACGGAGAGGATGATGGCAGCACCGACCGTGACGGAGGGAACGATGGTGGACCTCCGACCAGCCAGGCATGTTGAAGCGTCCGCGCCTGTCATCGGAAGAATGATGACCGAGATTATTTGTCGGCCAAAGTGAGCTGCAGCGATTAGCATTAGAACTCACCGCGTTCTCGACGAGTGTTATACATCTAGATCTCAACAATGCCCCATTTGCATGAAAGGCGGTTGGAAGGGGAAGAATTGATGGTTCTGAAATGTTCTACGGCACTGAGAGTTCCTCCAACCGCGGATGGCGGAAAAGCCGCATAGATTTCTGTAAATATGCGGCGAGTCCCCCATAGTCACCGCAGTTACCATATGTATGCATGGCCCACGTTTTGCCGTGACTTTTGTGTTTAACCTTTATTTTGATACACTCTCCTTTATAAGAGACCTTATTCCACGGCGATTCGCCTTTCCTGCATCGCTTCTGTGTCTGAAAATGCAAGAATACCGGGAGCGCCACCTTAAAGACGCGGGTCACGTGCACAACGCGTCCATTGCGCGCGATCCACGACGCGTCCTGAGCTCGCATTTTTCTTCTCATCCTTCATGACGTCTCGACTATCAATTTCGATCTGTGGTGATGTATATATTGCTCGGCAACACATGCTACATTTTTCCAATAGCATATATTCGCAGCGAGAGGTCCTGCATTCTTTTCCACACTCAAAACCTGATCAATCACGATCCTCTCATACGCGACGTTTAGCTTCAAACAGAAGACATAATCAAGGCCCAGGGACTGGTGCGATGCGATACCGGGGAGCCCAGGCTTACATCGTGAGTATCGCAATCGAATTTGTCTAACCGGAGAGCTGAGCGCTGAGGTGCCGATATAGTTACTCAGATCGGTAGCACCCCTACTAGACTATCCTTCAAAAACATATTGAAGCATCAAGGAATGCCATCGCACGCTGTGTGCCTGTCCAAGGCGGCATTCGCTCGAGCCGGCAACCGTAACGACCGCATCTCGTTCCGCGTGAACAAGAGACACTATTCCAGATACCCCGGTGTGGTCATCTGCATCAATGGCTGGTTCGGTTCTGACTGACCTGTTCAGCTCAGCATGGGTTTACGGACAGTACCGCACGCAACCCATGATCATCACGGTCATGACCTCAGCGTTGGTTCGTTTTCGGATGTATGGCCACAGGCCTGTGCCCCCTGTCCAAGCAGGCCGCGAACGACAGGGAACATGAGAAATCGAGCTCACTGCCGTTCTAACCGCTATCGGTATTGGGTGATATGATATGACAGCGCCGCGATATGCGGGCGGCAGCGGCTGGTGCCCTTTGGTGCCAGTGACGACAGCACTTGGAAACTCACAAGATTTCTCAACTCGTGGGCACCGGACAGCCAATGAACTGCTAAAGCGCAGCGGACATCAACAAAGCTGGGAAGTGATTATATGGGCCTAGTTCCAAGGAGGCTATGGCGATAGCCCCAGAACAGCTTTCGTGGGATCCAAGTACCCTCAATCAGGAGGAGACAGGGTCACCACGAGACAACACACGACCAGAACACGACCCGCGGAGACAGATCAAGAGCGCCTGTGCGAGGCGCTGCGCCAATCGGGAATGCGCCAAATTGGGTAGTGTCACGTCGCGTGGCGCGTCTCCGTGAGATAAGAAAGCCGCGTACGCCGCCCTCCCCTGGTTACTCCCCAACCACCACCTCACCATCCTTCTCTGTGGGGGGTTCACCAGCTCGACTTACACTCAGTGTCAATTCCTCTCCTTCTGTCACGATGCGTCGTTTACTCGTCGCTTCGATCGCTGCACTCGGCCTCGCCGGTGCATTTGCCCATTCCGGCGGCAATGACAACCTAATTCGTCGTCGCAAGACCCTCGGGTTTGGCCCTGTTCATCCGCACGCTGTCTACCACGCGGAACCTGCCTATTCATCCAGCAGCTTCGTAGGCGCGAACAGTGACCCCTATGAGGTTGCGCAGCGCTTCGTCGAAGAGATCACCCGTGACTCATCACCCGCAAGCTCGTTCGTGATCCGCAAGGACTCATACACCGACAAGAGCACGGGCGTCACACATATTTATGTCCGCCAGTACATGCACGGCATTGAGGTTGCAGACGGTGATATCAACCTCAACGTGAAGGACGGCGTCGTTCTGTCATATGGTGACTCGGTGAGTTGCTCTGGCAGTACAGTTGATCGGTCGCTGACGTCAGTGTTCACAGTTCTACCGCGGTGCTGAGCAAGATCCGTTCATCCCTGCCCTCGCTAGAGGTCTTCCTGATGTCCACACCGAGCATTGTGTCAGCCTTTTCAACGAGCTCGAGACGCGGGCAATCCAGATCGAGGAGCTGGTAACAAATGAGGAGTTGTACAGCACGCAGGGTGATCAGGTTGCGCTCGGTCGCTCTGATCCTTCCGCCATTGCCGATGAAGTTTATGGTGACCTTCCGTACTTGTTTGACTGGAACTGCGCACACGTCCAGACTCCCTTTGTGATGTCGTACCACCCTGCGTTTTCTGGTCAGGAGGACTCGTTTGGCGACCCCACTCGGGCTCTGCTACAGTTCATGATCGCAGCGACGCCGAATGAGAAGCTCGCGCAGAAGCTGCAGGTCAACCCATCTGAGTACCTCGACAAGATGCAGTCGACTTGGGAGACGCACTTTGTCGGTGGTCACGGTACCATCTCGGCTACGGTTGACAACGTCCCTGATGCCGTCAGTCCTGTCAAGGCCAAGGCGGCCTTTGTGCAGGTCCCTAACGGCGATTCGACTTCTCTCGAGCTCGTGTGGAAGGTCTGTATTTGCCTGAATATCGCGTCTTCCCAGTTACTGACATGGAACACAGTTCGAGGTCGAGATGGAGGACAACTGGTACGAGGCTGCTGTGTCCGCTGCGCTCCCCCACCGCATCGTCTCCGTTGTCGACTGGGCGTCCGACTCTCCGATGCCCGTCGCCCCGATTCCGCCAACCGAGCACAAGCCCGGGCTCTATAAAGTCTTTGCCTGGGGCGTCAACGACCCGACTGTCGGCAACCGCTCAGATGAGAAGGAGAACTTTGATCGCGCTGCGAGTCCCGCGGGCTGGCACTCACTTCCGTATGCGAACGACCCACTGATGCTTGCGACTCGGGTCAAGAGTGGACCGAAGGGCGAGACGTTCCGCAACACAACCACGACGTGGGGTAACAACGTGTTTGCACACGAGAACTGGGATGGCCGCAACGACTGGATGTACAACTACCGACCTGACGCTGGCAAGGAGATGGTGTTCGACTACCCTTACGACCCGCAGGTGACGGACCGTACGGATGCGCTGGACGAGGCGAAGAAGCATATCAATGCGACGGTCACGCAGTTGTTTTACACGGCGAACCTAATTCACGATCTTTACTACCGCTACGGTTTCGACGAGGTCTCGGGCAACTTCCAGCAGCACAACTTTGGTCGCGGTGGAGAAGAGAACGATGCTGTCATCACGAATGCGCAGGACGGTAGCGGATACAACAACGCGAACTTCATGACGCCTCCTGACGGCCAGAACGGCCGCTGCAGGATGTACCTCTGGAATACCGCCATGCCGTACCGTGACGGCGACATGGAGGCGGGCATTGTCATTCACGAGTACAGCCACGGTCTTAGCACTCGTCTGACTGGCGGTCCCGCCAACTCTGGCTGTCTCGGCTGGGGCGAGTCCGGCGGTATGGGCGAGGGCTGGGGCGACTTCCTCGCGACGACGATCCGGAGCACGAAGAAGTACTCGGACTACGCGATGGGTGCGTGGGCGGCAAACCGGCCGACCGGCATTCGGAACTACATGTACTCGCTGAACACGACAATCAACCCTTCCACGTACAAGACGCTGGACAAGCCGGGCTACTGGGGTGTGCACGCGATCGGTGAGGTGTGGGCAGAGCTCCTGTGGGTTGTCTCGCAGCGCCTCATCAGCAAATACGGTTTCGTCGACACGCTGTTCCCGCCCGAGCCGCTCGAGAACGGCACCATCCCCGAGGGCGACTTCTACCGCCCAGCCGAGTTCACGGAGGCGGGCGTGCGCAAGCCCCTGATCCCCAAGCACGGCAACTCGTTGATTGTGCAGTGCGTGTTTCTTTTCCGTCTGTTTATCCAACTTGGGTGCTGATCATAGTCGTTGACAGGCTCGTGATCAACGCGATGAAGCTACAGCCATGTCGGCCGTCGTTCTTCGATGCTCGTGACGCTATCATCTCTGCCGACCAGATCCTGACTGGCGGCGAGAACCATTGTGACCTGTGGGTTGCGTTTGCTGAGCGCGGGCTTGGTCCTGATGCATCGGTTGAGGGCCGTACGCCGTGGGGTGGAGGAGTCCGCACTAACGTGAGTCCTTTTGTTGTATCTGGCTTTTTCAATGTCTCATATCCGACTTCTCCTTAGGACTTCGACGTCCCTACGAAGTGCAAGTCTTCGCAGTAGGTGTTCACTCCCCACTTGTAGATGCATGGTGTTCGTTGGTGGCCACCCTCGCTTATATGTAGGACGGGGGTCTACCTTGTACTATTAGACTTGTCACTCTGGATTCTGTAATAGATTACTAGCTCAGTATTTCTGGATGTGTGCGGACTTGCAAGCTGTTCTGGACCACGCTGTGTACTGTCACTAGACAATCCTCAAGCAACACCAAGTTCAATCAAATATTCAGAATTAGAAAGTCATGGCGTTATCTATGTCATGCCCATTGGCTAGATGTATGAATCGTTAACTGCCATGGGTATCTATGATGTACAATGAAAATCCAGTAGAGCAACTAGAGAGCGACACACTCGCGCAAGAGCGGCATCCTAGTGCGCAGCTGCGCAGCCCAAAACTCAGCATCTCAACACGCGCAGCCGCCTCCACTCGACCCTTCGCCGTCCTGGGTTTCGCTCAGGTTGATGCTGCCAGGCATGCTGCCCTGCGCACTGCCGTTCGCGCCGCCGAGGCCCGTACCGCGCTTCTGGCCCGCGGCCGCCCAGAGCTCCGGCGTGTCGAGGATCTTCTCGACGACCTCCTGGAACGCCTCGCGCACGCCCGTGGCCGTCTTCGCGGACGCCTCCATGAACAGCGAGCCCATGCGCTCTGCGAAGCGCTGCCCGTCGGAGTACGGCACTTGCCGCGAGAACTCCTGCGCATGCGCAGGGAGACGGGGTTCGGGGATCAGTGGCGGGAGGACAGGGGGGAGAGGGCAGTGCGCACCTTGTCGACCTTGTTCCCGACGATGATCTTGACGACCGACTTGGAGACGTACGTCTCGAGCTCGGAGTACCAGCGCGGGAGCGCCTCGAACGATTCGCGGTTCGAGACGTCGTATACCAGAATGATCCCCTGCGCGCCGCGATAATATGAGGACGTGATCGTCCGGAAGCGTTCCTGGCCCGCCGTGTCCTAGTACGAATAAGAGAGATGAACGGCAGCGGCGACCGACTGCGCTTCTGCTCACCCATATGCTAAGCTTGACCTTTCGCCCTTTCACATCCAACTTGTGGACCTGTGGCGCGAGCACAAGTTCAGACTGGTAGCCCCGCAACTAGCGACTCGCTCGGACTACACTCACCCTGAAGTCCACACCGATAGTCGCACTCGACTCGTCCTCTGGGAGCCATTGCTCGTCCGAGAATCTGAGCAGTAGACTGCTCTTCCCCACGGAGGAGTTGCCGATCAGCAGCAGCTTGACGTTCACGGGGCCTGTCTGCTCCTTGCTCTGAGCCATGTCGACGTGAGTTGGGGTCGTAGACGGTTCGAATACAGTTTACAAATAAGCTTTCGCGGAAGATGTGAGTCAGTGAATAGGAGAGATGGTGAAACGTTAGGTCGTAAAGCTGAGAGTAAGACGGCCTGAAGCGGCGTGCCAGAGCAGGGGAGGTAAGGCAGACATAACGCGACGCGTCGAGGTCTGTACGTAACGCTGTGGCATACCGCCTGCACGTGTATCACTCTCTTCATGTCGTTGTCCTCGCAGTCTGTGGCAGTGAGTTTCATGTTGATACCGTGATGACAACGTTTTGTGTTGTTCATGATTTGCACTGTAGCCTGACGCTAAACAAGAGGCTTGCACATAGCATGAGTGCCGGGAAGCAGACACCGACTTCGTTCAACAAAACCCCAATAGACTTGGATACAATGTAAATCACGAAACAGAAAAAACTACAACGTATGTACAACCAACAAAAAAGATCATTTTACACGACTTGAAGAGTAGCTCTCAAGTCTCATCGTCGCCGACGTCGCTGCTGCACCTCACGCGCCGCGATTCTCTCAAGCTCCAGCTCCTCATATTCCCTTTGACCTTCATATGTGTGTAGCAGCAGGTTTATTTGATCGTCATAGTCCATACCAGCATCCACAACGGGGTTTCCGTACTCGTCTTCCACAATGTGGTCGAAATGGCGCCTCAGTTGGCTAGGATGCGACGAATTCGGGTCCGGTGGATTGTCGATTGTCATTCCTGTGCGATCAACGAATTCATATAGTTCTTCAGGCCTTCCCCTCGCGGCTAGGTCTTCCAGGTGCGAGCCACCCTCGCTTCCGTGCCAGGATCCCTCTTCGGGGTCGTATTCTTCATTGTCCTCTCGGCCCTCGCCATGCGAGTAATCGTCGTCTTCGGAGCCGTTGTGCATTTCGAACCCATCGGGATCGTCCGAACTGTCCTCATCACCCTGATCGCCTTCACCGCCCTCATTATCCTCGTCGACATCTGCATCCGCCTCAGCAGGGACGTCATCTACCACTGCGTCATCCGCTACTGCGTCCCCCGTGTTAGCCGGGAACACCTCAATCTGGAATTGCGACTGAAACAGCTCGACGTCGAACTCCGTGTCGTCCGAGTTGGGCTCTCGCACAACGTCGAAGTTGAGGTGTATGCCGCCGCCTAGGTGGGGCGAAGGTGAATCCTCGACCGGGAAGACAAGCAGTGGCGAAGGGGGCAGGGCGACCTCGTCCTCCCCTGGGTCCTGGAGGTTGGCGTGCCAGAAAGGTGGAGTTGCCGGACGAGGTGCCGGTTGCACCTCGACAGCCCCAAATGCCGGTTCCTGGTGCTCGTCGTCGGCTGTTTGTATGGGAGCCGCGCTAGGGGCCTCGGGCTTGACTTGAGGCTCTTCGGCGGCTTGAGGCTCTTCAGCTACCGGTGCCACTGGGAAAGCCGGGGCTTCTTCCGCGCCATCGTGGACGGCGTCCAAGCCGACGATCTGGCGTTCTGCCGCGCGCGCAGCAGACGGGGTCATGCCCCACAGTTGCTGCATCTGCGCGGCATTCCGCTGGATTTCTTCGTCGGCCTCGGGCTCTTCTTTGAGCACTACTGCCGGCGATCCAAGGGGCATGTTCTTCAGCTCTGACTTGAGCACAAGCCGTTGGCGCTTGTAGTTGCGGCGGACCTTGGGACCACCGCCGTGCCCCTCTTCGCCGCTGCTGCTGTCGCCGACATTGTCGTCTCCGTCATCTCTGGGGCGCTTTGTCGGTGTGTGGAAACCAGGGATGCGTGGAAAGTCATTATTCCCAGCCTGGCGGGGCCGATAGCTGTCGACGTCGCTCTCGTCTGACAGATTGCCGTCTCCGGCCGCCACACGCTGGTTCAGCCACACGCCGAACTGGGGGCCTGCCAGCCTCCCAAGCAGCGTGACGACAGCTTGCGAGAGCTTCAGCTCCTGTTCGAGCTGGAGCTCCGCAACGCGCAGCTCGCGCGCCACATCGCCGAGGACAGACTCGGTTGCGAGGATGTTGTCCCCGACGAAGCGCTGCTCTCTGTGTCGCTGCTGGAACATCTTCTCGAGCCATTGGGGGTCATCTTCATCTAGTGGTGCCTCGACGGGGTAGGCGTAATGGATCGGGTTGTCGAAAGGGGCGCGCCTGTGGTCCAGTTGAGCCTGCTGGGGCAGTGGCGCAGTCGGGTCAGAGTCCACTGAAATGGTTTGGATGGTTCTATTCGAAGGAGGAGCTACAGAAAGCAGCGAAGGCAGGTGAGAACTAGGGGCATGGTTCTGTACGGGCGGGGGCCCACGCTCCAGTGGCAAAGATGGGGAGGTGCCGACAAGTCGGTCTTGTCTTTGAGAGAATATATGAGCCGCTATGGAAAATGGCACATCAGGGACGGCTCGCTGTAGAAAAGTAGGAGATGCATTTACAATCTGGCTCCAATCCAGGCGTGCAAGCGGAACTGGTGGCGCCAGCCACGAGATGGTTGCCTTCGACCGCCGCGAGTTTCTGTTCAGCATTTTGATGGCCAAACATTGAGTGAGGGAGCTTTGACATCGCGTATGAGTTAAGTAGATTATAGGTGATTGTGGTGTTGTGGCGGAAGTGTTGGGAGCTAGGTGGTGGTTGGTGGTTAAAGGAAAGGGGGCGGCGCCACAGGTCCCTCCCGTTATGATCAGCCAGTGCCACTCATTGGTGCCACTCATCTCGACGCGTCTCGATTATTGCTATTTTTCCACCTAACACGAGGCGATAATGTATGGTTGGTTGGATGACGCAGATATGATGCACCAGAACCGGGCATCCTTACCTTAATCTACGCTTACCTTTACACGAACCGGTGCCCTTGAATCTTGCACTGATTTCACATTAGTCTCACATTGTAAGAAAATCAAGACTGACAAGACTGTCACGAACAAACCCAAACTCGATTTGTGTTCACGGTAGTAACTTCAAGTCCGGCACATGCTACGACAACATTCGTCTTTGTGCAACTTCAGGGCTCTGGAACTGTGGAGAATGAGATCATCCCAGGTAGCTACTCACGTTGGTATTAATGAGTCGAGCAGAAGCAGCATACAAAATGCAGGCAGTCGTCGGCGTCGTGGTCTACGAGCACGAGCTGCCGCCCTACCAGGTTGTCTGGCTTTCTTTGTAAATGTCTTCGAATGTATGCTTTCTCAAGGGCAGTGACTGAACGCGCTTCCATTGTCTCTGAACGCCTGTATCGGAAACAATACTCGAGACAAGTAGACAAGGATAAAGATCCGTACGGTGTGAACAGATTCGAGGTGTGGGTTCCCCAAGGGACCCCAGCCTTCAGCGTCAACGTTCAAGGTAGACTTCTAGTCCTCCTACTATGTACTGACGCGTAACCGAGACATACAACCAGTGCTATGCGGTTTAACCTATCAAGCCTCCCCATCCAGCTCTACAATCTTCGATGTTCTCCGTGAGATCCTCTTCATTGATCTACACCAGCTCATACATACAACTTGAGCTGCTCCCGTGATCATGAAGCGCGGTACCGTCACCACTCATGCCTAGAATATGAGACGTTTTGCGCCTGATGAGACGCGGTGGTCGGTGAGCTAGTGCTGACGCTAATGTTGATGCGGGTGCCAGTGCCAGTGCGGGCGCCAGAGAGGCTAACGGGCTACTGACGAGATTGCTGGTTGCAAAGATAGTGAGGATGGGCAAGCTAGTTCATTTTCGAGGCGTTCGCTCAAGCCGAAATTCCCGAGAGTTAACCTTCATGCAGATGATCTTCCTCCCAGTCTATGCCATACCACTCGGCGTCAGCGTCAAGGATATTGTCTGCCATTGGCACGTCAAGGGAGCCAGGGCCTTGTTCCTCGAAATCCACACCGGCATGCGCGACCGACGAACAAAGTGCTTTATGAGAGCCGTCTTCTGCAGCGAGCGAGCTTTTGACAGCCTCCTGCGCAAGTACTGCTCGCGCCTCGCTCGCGTTGAGACCCCAGAGTGCATGCCTTCGTAGCTGATCTTCTGTGGGCTGCACCTCCGATACCGTCGTCAATCCATATAGGGGAACCTCTTTCAGTTTATCCTTCAGCAACAGGCGGCGGCGCTTGTACTCGTGGCGGACGCGGGGTCCAACGTCGTTCCCCTCTGCGCTCCTGTCGTCGACATCATCTTCTCTGATGCGTTTCTTACGGACAGGCGGGCCGGGAAAGCCGGGGTAGCAATATCCGCCATCATCGTCGTCGTCGTCGTTCGCTTGCCAGTCATATATGTCCTCGTCGCTCTCTGCAGAAAGCTCCCCCTGGCCGGCAGCCCGATGCTGATTGACCCATTCTAGGTACCTGGGGCCCGCCAGATTCCCGATTAGCTTGTAGACAGCCCTCGAGATCTTCCGCTCTCGATGCAGCTCGAGTTCTGCAAGGCGCATATCTTTCGCTGCATCAACCACAAACATCTGCGACATCCATTTGTGGGAGTTGATGGACTTGCGATCTTTCCGTAGTTGTTTGTTCATGTCCTTGAGCCAATCGGGGCTACCCGGGTCTAGCGGGGGCTCGACTGGGTACACATATTTTATGGACCCAGTAAAAGGAACATGGTCCTCAAATTCGTCCTCGCTGGAACGTTCTTCGTCTGCCTCGTTTGGGGTATCTTCGGACCTCTCGACAGGTTGTGGCGTAGGAGGATTGAGAGGTTGACGACGTGCAGACGGGCGAGAGGGCCGGTTCCCGACCGAGGGGAGACGCTTTCGAAGCATCAAGTCATCGGATTCAGCTGCTGTCTCTGCAGCTTTTGATGAGCCAGCAACGACTATGAATGTGAGCGCCCGTGAGTGTCGATCATGGATACAGAACGAACGATTATATCACACACACTCCGGCTGCTGCATCTCCACTGGTTCGGCGGGTCGATCATCTCGAAGTTTGGCAGATCGTGTTCTGCGGTGGCTGCCCTCAGCGACCGTAGGGGCAGGAAGAGTGATTTTGACTGTGGCGCCCTTGTGGCTGGCGCTAACAGCAGCTCGACGGTGAAGGATTTCTTGCTTTGATTCTTGTGGCATTGTATGTGAGCTAGGATTTGAATGTGCGTGTAGAAGCGGCAATGTATGTGACACAATGGGGGTGATAATCAAGGTCGGTAAGTGAACATCAAAGCGCCCTTGGCCCTTTAAAAGGAGCGAGGGCCAAAGCGTCGGCGACCGGCGCTCGGCCGAGCGCCGGTGCATGACCGACGGCCCAAGCGCGCCGCGGTGTTCGATGTTCTATTTCTTTTGCACGATGTTGAACAAACCATTATTGTCTTGTCCTCAATACAACGTGAGCTCAAGATAGTTTATGCGAGAAGTCCCTTATCCGTACGCATCACTGCTTGATTGACCACGGCCAGATGACTTACCTGTATTTGTTCCCATTCACCAGCTGTTATACACGGCGATGCTGGAAAGCTGCATGAACTCAAAGGTGATAGATTATACAGAAAGCAAGAATCAGAAGAGACGCACAATATAGCAAACACAGATACCCTACATCTAGTACACAAAGCCACATTATAGATGCGTCGAGAGATCATCATGTTCTGCTGGGTATACATAATGGTTCTGTCCAGCCATGACCAGTGGCGTAACGAGTTGCTCCGCAGACGGCCTGTTTGGAGTGAGTACGCATGGCACTATGCCAACTGTAGTGAAAACACTAACCCAAAGTTTAGACGCAAAAGCTCGTCGAGCAATGCGTCCTTGCGCTCTTTCCAGCACTTCTCCTCGTACTTCAGTACACGCAGCTCCTCGAGCAGCGCCTCGTGGTGCTCGAGCACCCAGCGGTATTTGGCCTTCATTAGCAGATACCGGACCATCAGCGGTGTGCGCCCCATAATGAGGCCCGTTGCGCGATCCATTTGCGCCAGAAGATGTGGTGGGATCTCATCCTCAAAGTCGTCGTACTCAACGAGCTCGGGGCTGAACGGTCGCGGCATCGCGCCGGGGTATGCGCCGTTTGTGTCGCCGGGCGACATGCGCATGTCCTCGTCGTCGGGGTGCGTGTTTGGCTCAATCTTGAACGTGCTGTAGCCATACGGTGGCTGTTCTGGCACATTTCCGCCAGCATCGGGCTCCTCCCGCTTCCGCTTGCGATTGCCGCCGCGGCCAGGGAGTGGTGGGGATATGTTGTGCTGGATCCGCATGTGCTTCGCCAGTGCATCCGAGCGGGTGAAGGATTTGTCGCATTCTATCGGGGTATAGACGTCAGAGTGTTGTCATGTCGAAGATGAAATACATTCTGATGGCACAGAGACAGGCGGAGCTGACGGTTTGCAGCGATGTGACCACAAAAACTCCTCGGGAGAAAGGGAGAACGCAGAGGACCCGACCTCTGTTTATAGGAGCCAATGCGATGCATATGACAGAATAAGAGCCGACCTTCTATGTCAATGCACCAGGGGGGGGATGATCATACACAATATTCATTCGAGCGTGAGATGCACATGCACACAATCACAATATGATAATAGGATACCCGGAATGGTACTTAGGGTATACCATCGTTGAACGCTTCCACTCGTCCAGAAGGTCTCGCTGATCGAACAAAATCCCCTGCCAAATATTCGCAAGAACAAGGGGACGTTCAGGGAAGAATGATGTGAACACCGTGCCAAAGAAATGACACAGAGCGGCACACGCATTGAGATTTGCCTAGCCCGGCGGTCTACCACAATATCATCGTATCCGGGGCGCCGACTGAAAGACGACCAACAAGAGGGGATATGCGTACGTACCTGGCCTCGGACACGTGAATGGTTTCTCGCCAGTGTGCGAGCGAATGTGTGAGATGAGCGCGAATCGGGAAGTTTGGGCAATGCCCCGTCGAGTGCACGTAGCCCATTCACATGTGTAATTCGATTTGTGGACGCCAATGTGGTCTGGAGTGCCATTGGTAGTCAGCTTCCGATCTTGGTTTCCGCGGATCGATGAATTCACCGTTATGTATATGCTCAATCAACGAAGGAAGGTGATTGAAGACCTTGCTGCACTGTTCCCATTGGCAAGTCATGGTGTCTGCCTCTGCCTCTTCATCTTGACCTTGTGCATCTGTGGGTCCAGACCCGGGGGACCCTGGGCGAGATACAGATTGGCTATACTCCGCGACTTCACCTCCGTACGAAGCGAGGTCGTCATTGTCCGACGAATCCGAGAAATGGTCCGAGGAGCTGAGACTCGGAGACGGCGATGGACTGTACTTGCGTTCCATGTTCAGACCTGTTTTCAAGTGTTGAGTGGGGTCCGTCGTCGACAAGAGAACTGCAACAGTCGGCCGTGCGGTCATTGCTTCGTGCATGGTCACGAATTGGTCACGGATCTTCCGTGTCACGCTATCTGCTCTGGGCGCTTGTGTAGTCAATGTCTCCCAGCTCACATACTATCCTTTCCTTGACGCTTTGTTTCAACACAGCGCTCCTCAAGATACCCTATAGTCCGATTTTATCATAATTTAATTTACTACCCAGTCAAAACTCTCTGAGCGCCCTCCTTCAAGTTGTCACATCCCCTTGCCCTACTATAGGCCTCAACCGACAACACGCTTTGATAAAGCAAGAGTCCACTACAAAATTCTAGGCCTTGCAGACCACACGATTCCAGCTTACTTCCGGTCAAACTTGACCTCCTCTGCGTCATTTGAATCCCAGTACAAACAAATTGCACCTCTCAGCTGGTTTGTTAAGACATACCTGAACCGGCTTCTATAGGGAGCATATTCATCGCGATTGATGCACGCTTATGTCCTTTAACGTGCATTTGTCATATTCTCTTACCCCTGAATCGGCAGGAGATTACATTTCGCGTTCTCAGATGAGTTGATGCAGCAATATTAGCATCCCACCTTGACGCGGCAATTAAGATCACGTGGTCGTACTACGGGTTTTGCCGAGACGCGTGCGCGACGCGTCGAATTCAAGCGCATCATTGCTCTTTACCGAATACTCGACTGTAACCTCGCGCACCGAAGCCCTTCATTCGTTCCCATGGAGGCGGAGCTACGAATTTCTTGTCTTTGATGTTGTCTCTGGGCCATTGACCTCCTCGCACAACGACCGACCAAAACCGCTAAATACTCGTGCATATCTCTTACCATAATGATCAAGTGCGCCATTAGAGATATACTGTCGTCCGACATAGATTCACAAAAATATGGGACAATCACTAGGTCAAACGCCTCATTTTTAGAGAGAGCTTCTTGCAGATGAAGATGAGATAACTTCTCCCAGACGGTGAGGGTATTGCGCCGAGATGTATTTTCTCGTCACTGAAGCCTAGCGAAGTTACATTTCAGGCGCATATACCTGCCCAAGTACCGCATATAACCACTTCTGGATCACATTTACTCATCCCTGAACTCTTCCGGGACGCATACATCCCATCAAGCCACAAATGGGCCCACAGTCAGCGTCACGCGAGACGCGGATGACCTTTTCTGGCTTCATGGAAGGCCAAGCAGCCAAGCAGATAGTAAGACTGCTACGCGACTGTGAGACCGTAGTACTCGCGTGCGTAACGGCAGCGAAGGTCGACTCGACCACCTATTCCACGGTTCTGCCTGGTTCTGATGGCACAACGGTTGGGATATAAACAGAGGTGGGCCCGTTTCCTTTGATCTTGCGGCAATTCCGGCTCTGAAATAAATAGGCGATCCGTCCAGCTCTTGAAGAGGACTATGTCATCTTCGTGGCCGCCTACCAGGCCAAGGACAAAGCCGATCTAATGCAACGGCGCGAGCAAATTCGACAAGGACAAGTCCTGCAAGCACAAACAGTTAGGAAGCTGAATGTGTTCGTCCACACCGTAAATAAAAGTTATTCTGCTTGTTTCAATGATGCAGAAGCTGACATTTCTCACCGTAACAACGCTAGGCTACCTGTTCATGCCCAGTATAGCGCCTGCTACAACGTAGATGCAAGCAATTGCAAATCGTACGGCAACTCGCGTAGCGCTAGTCGGCGAATTGAACTGAACATGCAGTTCCGCTTCTCGCGGGTGCATCGGACTGAAGGCCCCACAACCACCAGGTTGTGATAGGGATGCTGAACGTATATAGATTTGCCTGTCACGGTTCCGCCTCTGGATCGCTGACCACCATTCGAAATGAAGTGAGCGCCTTACTCTGTCGACGGATCCTAAAATCCAGCATGGACATGAATTACGCTGATCTCCGTGAGATGCCCGCCGTTTCATTTGTATGAAATGTTAACTGGCTTCGACAGATCCGGACAGAACGCACGCTACAATACGGATGCATGGACTAAGAAGCGCGGTGCACACATGCATCTGCGCCAGCTTGCTGTCAAGCTGCAACAGTAGTCGCGCGCCACGCGTCCGGGGCCATGCAATGCAGGTGGTCCAATCTCCCAGGAATGATCCGTGCGCTCGCCGAGCACATGGCCCGCCAACCCTGCGCCCACAAGGGACAAACGCTCACAGCGTGACGGCCCTCGGAACCGAGGCTGACGATGGTAAAGCGGCACATATGGAAGCGCAAATCGTTGAAACTTGTTGGTTTCGTACAGGGCGCGCGCCGCAGCCATGTGGACGATCGGCCTGCGCACTTGGGTCGATCACACCGAGATGCAATCCCAGATGCGCCGTTACAGTCGCAGCGGGGGCAAGCAGGCGTCAAGTCTCCAGCATTCGTTACTCACACGATGGCCGCTATTGGCCGATTGCAGTTGACCAACATCGAGTGGTTGAGGCTGACTACAGCAATGCATCTGCTGACATAAGATCTCAGTGCAGGCAGGACACTTACCCCATTCTACAAGTTACATGTTCGCTCACAATCTGACCGTATGTACAGGCTAAAACCTCCATCCGAAAGCTACCGTAAACCAAGACGCTCGTCGGCCGACCAAGATGGGATGAATTCAAGGCCTCTGCCGAGCTACTCGAGATCTAGCGCAAGATTTGTGCATCGATCTAAGGCAAGCGAATCTCATCGGATGGAATACCCAGAGAAACAGGCCGACCTACCTATATAAGGAAGGTCTCTAGGAATAGTCCGTGAGAATTGCGGGAGAAGCCGGGCGCGCATCCCTCTGCCCTTGGCGTCGCTCGCCGACTTCAGGGGCTGCTCGACATTAGTGTGGGCGGGGAGGGGGGGATCCACCGCGGCAAGCAACCGGCACGCACCGGTAGGATACGTATCTGCAAGTCCACTGCATAGGCGTGGCGGCACGAGTTATCTGGGGTTTCAGCGCGGGCCGCAAGTGGGGGATGTGATCGGGCACAACGAAACGGATGCAGGAAACAACGATAGGAGCTTGCGGGTGAACGGATCCAGCCCGGCGCAGCGCCCTGCGTTGCCTGCTGGGCGTCGGAACCAGGGCGGCTGGGCGGGGGTGGTGCGGGACACTGCATCAGCTGCCTTGTCCAGGTGCCTAGGTAGTGTGCGAATCAGAAGCAGCGTACTGCTACCTTGGCCAATCGCGCGCGAAGAGGCCGAATTTGTAGCTCTCGGGCCCTTTGCGGGGTCTGGATGAGTGACGAGCATCATTATCTGGTAGGTGAGACGTCTCGCTAGGCGGTGCGATGACGCAAGGCCGAGAGCAGGAAGACATGCGCCAGCGTTTGCTGGAGAGCAACGCCATACGCTCGCGCTGCGCTGCAAAGCTGGTGGTGACGCACCAGCGCTACGCAAGTGCTCTCGCAGTGGCGCGGATTCTAGAGGCATGGTCATTACATCATGCAGATGCGTACACTGAGCAATGACACAGGAGAGCAGCGAAGGCTGTCGTGGCACTTACTAACTCGGTATATCCTCGGATAGGCAAGCGCGTACATTTGCTCATTGGGGCGGCAGACTGGCAGCGAACAAGACGGGCTCCGATACGAAACATGGGCATCCAAAAATACGGAGCGACGCGTAAGCGCACACGCAAGCACGACAACAGATGCGTCATTTGCTGAGGGCTCGGGCGGCGGTACAGCCTCGACAGGAAGATCGGAACTTGTTGAAAGCCGTAGACCAGAGATCGTGTGCACTAGGAGAAGCGGCAAGGGATCTCGGAAGACTGGCGGATTAGGCGAGTGGATCGCAAAATACCATGTACACAAAGGTGTGCAAGCAGACTTCCAAGTATGATGCTTGACTTCAGCGGCTGGCTTTCAGGGCGAGAACGGCAGGCCGACCCTTGAATTTGGTCAAGTGCCTGCGGTCCTTTGCAGCCACAATGAAGCCTAACTTCCCGTCCACTGGCGGAACATAATAAACGGCCACGTCAGTCAACGCGCTTGCCTTGGCTGCACGAACCCCCGACGTGTGCATGCCACGCCGTACTGATGGCGTATGAAATGGTGCGCACAGCAATGCGGGAGCAATAGACGACAGCGCGCCGCTAGAGAAGTGGGTGCACATCTGACCCGCGATGCGCGTGAGGCACATCGACATACGAAAGGCAAGCACATGAAATCGGGTTATGCCCCTGCCCTCGCCGTTTGCATTGAATGTACCTCGCGTGAGTCAGCAAAGCCTGGCACAGAACCACGGAGCTTCGCCTGGAGCCACAGAAGCCACGTCAGCCCACACAGCGTTCCCCGGGTGTGCGGGTACATCTGTGGGCCGGACGCTACGCGCAAGTACTAGTGGTATACTTGCCTGAAGCAAGCGCGAGCGACAATGTGCGCAGCTAACGTGTGCGACAGCGACTTCGATGTCAATGATCCTGCCGGTGTTTCGTTATGAAAACACTCGCAGGCATAGGAGATTAGCAAGCCCCGTGGGGGCCCATCCTACTGCGGTATGGAGTGGCAACATAAGTGGGGCGCCAACCCATCGAACCGGCTATGAATCGACACCACTGAGCCGGACTGCGATGAATATGAATATGAAGAGTAGGTATGTCAGGACGCACCGCTTCTGCCAACGCACGCGGGAGTGGTCAGCACAAACGTATACGGGCATGCCTCGGGTGCCCCAGTGGCGCCGAGAAACTTCGGCGGCTAGCTGGATTTGGCAAGCTCATCAGCGGTTGAAGGTGTCCGGATCGCGAGCGGGCCCGACGTGGCGCCCGCTGACAGGAAATGGACCTGGGCGGAGTGCGCAAAGGTGAAACCCCGATGGAGACTACGCGTCGGGCGAGGAGAACAAGTGGGGGTGGCAGCGCGAGCACGGCATGCGATCTGGCCGAGAGTCACGGCCGTGTCACAGCAACTGGCGCCATCCTCCACTTCCAAACCAGGGGATATGCAAATATGAGGTAAGCCATGTTTTGGAGTCCACGACTTTCCCTACTAACCTATGAGAAGTTGTACTGCCATGGGTGCAGTTATGATTCAACAAAACATGAAGAGTCTACAGCAAACAACTTCGATGTTTGAGCTCTGGACGTTACGCTAGTCGGCATGCGAATGCACCTGTGACTGCCGCGGCACTGGCATCGGCACCCGCCCAAGCGGCTAAACTGCTCGGCCGACCGGCAGGAGTCCGGGTATGCGGCAAGTGCCGCATAATCACAGACCCGGGCGGGATATGGGGGCGGGCGTCGGGGTGTTGTATCGGCGGGCGACAGCCTCGATCGGACAGTGGACGATCATCCCTCTCACGTGAAGGGCGGGAAGGCGGGCGGTGCGCTGTCCGTTTGGACGGCTGCTCCGCGCTGGTGGTGGCCATTCCTCGGCTGCGAAGGTGGTCGGAACACTGTTAGGGGCAGTGCAGAGCCGTTTATGGCACAAGGGCTGCAGCACTCGATCTGTGAGCTGATCAAGCAGGGCGGACCACGTTCACGAGGTGGTCATGAGCTGTACATGCGCGGCCGGCTATTGTCGCCCACGTCCAAGAGGGTGGGAGATGCCGTGGCAGTAGATGGGAATGTGCGGGTGTGCATATGTGTGCGTGACGGTGCGTGTACGGCATGTGCTAGCGCGACCCAACTGCGTGCTGCGTGCGCCATGTCGGTCGGTCTCGATAGGACTTCTGAGCGACTGTCGTGGAGCTGCTGGGCGAGACTGCGGCCAGGCCGCACAGCCAGCTGGGGCGGGAGGATCAAGCAGGAAGGCACACTGCCCTGGCGGGGCGTGGGAAAGCGGGGTGGATGCATAGCAGCCATAGCTGGATAAAGGGTATGGCGGCCAAACAAGACCACACGGGCATTTGATAATGCGACCATAGCGCATGGCGCTAAATGGACGGTATATTATCCGCGCCTACATCAGCCGTCTCCGCCCATCCCCTCTCCCGTCGACATCAGCGACGACGATCCCTACCTCGACTAGCAGGAACTAGCTAGACGTCCCCAAACCCCTCACGATCTCTTCAGGCATACGATCTAATAATGGCCACCCCAATCGCCTTCAACCCGGCTCAAAACAGTGACATTCATATGGCCTCTGGTTCGTTCACTGGCCAGAACGGCTCGTTCAACTCTGCGTCGTACACCCGCCGTTTCTTTGGCTCACCAGCATCATGGCGGATGGGCTCGTTTGGAAGTCACCTTTTCGCAGGAGCGTCACCAGGACAGCTTTTGGGCCCCTTAGAGTGAGTTGCAGGCCCCTAACTTGTCGTACTCGTTGATTCTAATCCCCTCCGTTGCGCCTTAGCCCCCATGACTTTAGGTTCCCCAAGATGTCCTCATCAATAGAGAGTGACCGCGGGTCCATCGCAAACGCCTTGAGTGTGTTCGAGCGTCAAGATGATATGGTGAGCTTCCTAGCCCTTCATGTCCCCCTGATCGAAACTGACACCCAAAAGTGCCGTGACTACACCTGCTGTGGGCTGCAACTCAGCGACCTGCATGCGCTTGTTGACCACTTCGAGGAATGCCATGTCGTCGTCGTGGACCCTTACGCACCACAGTCGTCTATGCAAAGCGCGCAGCCAGCGCTCGCGGGACAACCACAGGACTTCTTCGCTCATGCTAATGGTGCTCAGGTAGCGCCCAGTTACTCGCAAGGTCACTTTGACATGGACGACATGGACCTTGACACGGAGCATATGAGCGCTCCGTCATCGGGGGCATCCTCTCCACCTGACACGCCTGTGTCTACTCCGCTCTCGTCCTACCCCAACGTCTATCCTGGCTCCCACCCTTCATCTACTTGTTCATCACCCCATCCGGCGCCCATCTCCGCTTTCGACACCACGACAGTCCTTCCCTCGCGTTCAGGGCACTCGCCCCTCTCTGTGGGATTCCCGCCTGCGACTCGCCCAAACATGAACGGCCGAGCGGAGGAAGCGTTCAACGCATATGCCGGCTATTCCGATTATTCCTCGCTTCTTCCTGGCACTGTTCCCTCGCCTACCGCTGCTTCCGCACCGGGAGCCGATGGCTCGGCAATTGCCGATCCGAACAATCAGTACGCTTCGCGCTCGACATGCGCCCCTGCGGCTTTGTTGCTCAGCAACAGCGCGAGCAACACGCCAAATAGCACTCCCGCATCATCACGCGTCGCGTCGCCTGCGCCGGCCTCGTCGGTTTTCCGCACGGTTGCTGCCGCGCCCTCGACATCAGCCGCGGGAATGAGCGCGAACGGGCAGACTCCCCGCGCGAGTACGACGCTGTCGCGCCCCGCTTCGTCGCTTTTGTTGTCCAAGCCGTTCAAATGCCCGAAGCCGAACTGCAACAAGTCGTACAAGCAGGCGAATGGGCTCAAGTACCACATGACGCACGGCTCGTGCAACTTTGCGCCGCCGAAGGACCTCGAGCATATTCAAGCCCTGCTCGAGTCGAAGCGCAGCCAGAAGGACAACGGCGAGCCGATCAGCGAATCAGAGCTGCGCGAGGTCGAGCGCGAGGCCGAGCGGAGATTAAGGCCGTACGCGTGCGGTGTCGGCGACTGCCAGAGGCGGTACAAGAATATGAACGGTCTGAGTAAGCTCGCGCTCTATTACTGATCCTGGAACATCTCGCTTATCGTGCTTCGCAGGGTACCACTACCAGCACTCCGGTGAGCATGGTGCGATCGGACTGGCTCTGCTCGCGAGTGGCCAGCACGAGTGCCTGCAGCACTCCAAGTCAAGACACAACACGCCCTCGACCGCGTCAAACTCTGCTGCAGCCTCGACTGTCACGTCGCGCACATCGTCCCCCCTTGCCACGCCGACCGCACCCCGCGCACAGGTGTCCACGAGCAGTTACGCCGCTGCGTTACCGTCGTACCAGCACGCATCGATGCACCCCCCTACGTACTCACATCAGCCGCAGTACGGAATCGTCGTGCACAACACATCGTCCGTGCAGATGCCGTCATATACGATGGCGTCTATGACGTGAACGTGCGACGCCGCCGTGGAGGATGATACAGGAAGAAAACGCTCGACTGTACGATTCCGACTGTCATTTCGTGTGGTGCCCGTATCCATAGAAGTCTCGTCAGGGGCGGCTGGCTCGTTCGCGCCGCTGAATACTCGTACACCGCGTAATAGAGCCCTACTCCCTCTCTCGACTCCGCGGCTCCGACAACCAAAAAGTACATGCTCCAGGTCCAGTGTAATGGTTTCCGTCATCGCTCCCGCTGTCAGATGCATCTCGTTTCTCCTCTTCTGTCGATCCACTCCCCGCCTCCGTTTGTGCCACCACCGTTTTCTCTGTCTCACTCGAGGTCATCCGCACATATCCTGGGTGATATGTTAATTCCAGGGTGCTGTTGTTAGTTTCGCTCTCAGGCTTGTGTCCGGTGTGTAATACTCTACTTCTCGCGGCCTAATGTACATATCTCGGTCGTGCTCGCTGTCGTTATACTGTTTCATTATCTTCCCCGCACTCTTAAGCGAGCATCTCCACTATGCCCCCCTTCCGACGTAATGTCCTCCCCTGTGTTGTAAAAGATGGCGTGCAGCTGTCACCTATCCCTTCTGTCTTGCCTCGCCTTCGCTCCATGTTTTATTGCCTTATTGTTGACGCAACGCTATCATAGATTATGTAGCCAGGTACCACTTTTTAGGTACCCGCAATGCGATATGCCCACTGGTATGCCTGAACGATCCGAGTGCGCCTCGCTGTCGGGATTGCAACCGTGAGGGTGAGAACAGACCCGCTTGCGACAGATGCCCGCCCAGGGCTCGGGCGGAGATAGGCTGATAGAAGGTTGTTAGACCATTCCCTAGCGCTGGCCACGATGCAGCAAGAAGCCGTCCATGAGAGAAACAGTTAGACATGTACACCACGCCGTCGGAAAGCCGGAATACGCGCGCACACACGGCCCGCGGTGGGATCGAGGCGACCGGCTGAGCACAAGCGATAGCCAGCTTCGAGAATGAGACCAGCTTCACTTCAGTCGGGTGAAGCGGCGCTGAGAGGCTGGGTGGGCAAAAGAAAGAAAGAAAGAGACAGGCCGGGCTGACGGCTGACTGCAGTTCCATAATTGCGATGACGTAGCAAGTCAGACCGGGAACAAGCATGCCTCCAGACTGGTTCTCGCTCCTGCAGACGAGGCCTCGACCGCGTCAATGTCACTCGACAGGCGTGGTGGGGATGCACGACTTCAGGATGACATTTCTTGGGCGGATTTCATGGACTGGGCCGCTTGATCCTCCTGGCTAGATTGGGATTGTTATGTCTCGACGTACGAAGTTTGGAAACATCGATAGGACACGAGGATGACGGAAGCTAACAGTGGTCAGGTCTATCTGTAACATAGCGCCAGCCGTGTGCAGTAGCGCACCACGCTTTCAGAATCTCTTAACTGAAAGTAATGCTACGTTAGCGGGGTGACTCCCAGCAGGGGATCGCTCACAGGTCATGCTTGGATCACATCTTGCGCCTACATCATGCTTGGGATGCCATAGTACTGCAGTGTTGGGCCAGGGACAAGACGATTTGTTGCCAGCAGCGTTAGTCGCATCACTTCATAGCGGTCGTGTATTTATGTAGCCAGAGACCAGGACAACGGGACTTGATCAGACTTTGGTAGCTCAGATCTTAAAGAATATTCAGCATATCTGCGTGGCTGCAACAAAAATGAGAGAGAAGATACGCCGCAGAGCAAACTTCTTTCGACATGCATTTTTTTGCGAGGTTCAAGGCCAATATGGGGGCGTCTTGCACAGCCATGGTTTCAGATGCTCAGAGAAGCCCGTTTCTGAATCGCGCATTCTGAATTCGAGCCGAGCTCGATTTGAAGACTTTCAGCGGAGACAATCTGTATGTTGGTCTTGTTTATTGGACTGTACGGTTTCTCCTATACGAACTTGACATCTGTAACGATCGGCTTTGAGAAGTCCTTGACAATTTTTGGCGGCAAAGCCCCGAATTGATTTGCCTTTTACACGGTCAAGGAGCCTGGTGTCATCAGGCTTGGCATTTCTCTTGCAAAACATTCCGCCTACGCGCGTTCGTACGATTATAATCGTGAAATGTCTGCAGTGGGTGTCATGCATTGCCCTATGTCAGTAGACGCTCTATGTAAGCCTTTCTCAATATCGCATACTTTTGGCCGATCAGTCATACCAGTTCGATCATAGCTCCGGGAGGAAGATACATCTTGCTCCCGCCGTTACGGCAACGACGCATCTAGGAATGCATCTTGGTATGATCACCTTGACATCCTCCACTGTATAGGCCGATCATGCATATGGCAGCGGCGCGCAGGGCGCTCGGAAGCAGTGTGTGGGGCCAACCAAGTCCCAACAATTGTGCTTCCATTCCCGCTGCCATCTGCTGCTGGCCAGACTGCTGTCGGCTTCGATCCGTTGCACCGGAACCACGGGGATGTTTGTGCCTTGTGGGCGCAGGGTTGGCAGAGGCGCGTGAAACAATCCTGAACCACACTGCATCGCATGGCCACGGGCGCGACGCCCAAGCGTCGCGGCCTGGAAGGTGGTTAGCGCGCATGCATGTGTGCACTGCGCTTCGCGATGACCATTGTACTTGTTCCGTAGCGCGTATCCTGTCCGATTTGCTTTCGGTGGGGTTAGATGGCTACACGCGCGCCTTGTGGTCTACGCAACGTTCGCGGAATGCGCAAGGAATTGAAAATAATCACCGGGACAAGATTCAATGTGAAAACAGAATCCATGCTCCTCACTGGGCCTTTGGGTCGGATACTATCCCATCGACTGGGGCGCCGAGTAGGATATTCCAACATTGGCCAGCAAACCTGTGACAATCGCGTCGCATGGCGACAGGCAGATATACACATCCGGCATGACTATCACAATTTGGTGCTTGTAGAGTGTTTGAGTTCCAAGGCACCCACGAGTAGCAGAAACGCATGTTTGGTTCAATTCACCGGAGGGCGCTACGATTCACCACAGGATTTGCAATCGTGGGCAAGTATCTACTTGCAACAAGCGCTGCACCGGGCGTGTAATATAAGCCGACAATTGGGCGTTGCTACGGAAAGAAAGATCAGCGTCAGCATAATTGGAAAGAATGTCGTGATCGTTATTTATGGGGTGGACAGACTCAATTGTGCTTGAAACATGAGGTGGCCCGATGCACGCCTGTCGGCTTGTCAACGCATCAATGCAATCCGTTGGTTTGAATATGCAGGACTTCGCCATGTCATCGTGTCTGATTGAGGGCTATGTGGCAATGCTACGCTATCAACCTGCCCGAAGGAGGCTCATCCGCACATCGCCGAGGTGAACGAATATCAGCCCAATCGCCATGTTGTAGTTCTCGAGCGCGGTATGCCTTTTCACAAGGGAGCGACTCTATCCGGTGTATAATCAAAAGTCCCATGCGGAGGTTGCTCCGGCCAGCCATGCCTCAAAATAATTCTCAAGTAGGGGGTGAAAATCGGAGTGAAGACGCGTACCTTCAAGTTGTCGTTTATGACCCGTAGCCGAATATGCGATCCCATCGAGACTTGTTGCAACCGTTTTTATCGTCCGTATCAGCATTCGATAAGGTGAACGGTATTGCAATATTCCAGCCGTGCAATGCTGCCCTTGAGAGCTTGCCACTATTCCGTGCGCGTTGGGACATACGTGAGGAGCAGGAAGGGACTGCTTGGAACTCTCTGAGGAAGACATCGGCATAGAGCTGGCCATATACAGCCCTCACCCTATAGTGCACAGGCAAATATAGCGATAGTAGTCACCTTGTGCAGCATTGGCGAGTATGGTCATCGCGGAGTCAGTGCTTCTTGTGGAAAGTGATTGTCGATGGTCAACAGGTAGGCGTACAGTTCTCGAGCAATGCTGCTAGAATATAATCTGTCGACGGGTATAAGGACAGGAGCTTCGCAGTTCGAGATAGCAGCCAAACATGAAAAACGTGCAGGAGCTCGACACGTCTGGTGAGCGTCCTGGCGAAGTCCGCGGCGCGATCATGTGTTGCAGCGTCGCAGACTGAGCGCTGAGCAGTGAATAGTACACATTACGACGCAGAGTGCTTTATGTTTTTTTTCGGAAAAGGACACTTTGATGTACAGCTATAGATAATCAGACTGGAGTGTTCCTGTTTTCCATTGGTGCGGTTACCTGCAGGTATGAGCTCGCATGACGAGAAAATCATAATATCTTCACCATGTCTTAGCGACCTATGGGGTACCATTTGTATGTCCACTGACGTGCATAAGGGAGAGTTACATAATCTAGTGACAAGGAAATAATTGGGAATACTTACACTCAAGACATTGCTAAAAAGAGAAGAGCTTACCACGGTGACTTGAACGAGTTGGTGGCTTTTGTATATATTAAGTACCTACCGACAGTAGCCTCTTTTGAAAGGGTGCGATCATATTATGATGTTACGAGTGCTTCTCGTACAAAGGCTGACGTTCCAGACGCGACATTGCAGCCATTAACAGTCAGAAAACACATCGAACGGATCAGGATTATCACGTACCCCTGATAATACATATGTAGCGTTGGTCGGATACATACGTTTCACAGCATTGCTATGTCGTCCAAATCATAGGTCTCACCCAGCAAGGATAACAAATTAATACAGGTAAGAGTAAAATCTGTCCACATGGGAATACATATATGACAAATAGCAAGGTGACCTGCTCGGGTTCGAACAAAATCAGGAGGTCCAGGCAAAAGCGCTGCAGGCAGAAATAAGGAATATACTAACCTAAGAGAGCTGGCACCATATTCACCAGTCGTACAAACTGGTTTACCGCACAAACAGCCGTTTGCCCCTCAACGGCCGTGCTGCACCGACGCGCCCTGTTTCTTGCTGATACGCCCTGTAGGCCTCTCGCAGATGGTCTGGCGAGAGCGGCCCGGCTTCCCCTCGTCGATCCTGCACCGCTCGCGCTGTTACAAGATTTCCCGTGAGAAGCCAGCCAACGGCCAAAGAGAGATGCGAACCCTTTTCCACCATCTCGCCAACGAACACCTTGGCGAAGCCAGCCACAATTTGAGCGACAGGCTGTGAGACTTGTTGTCCGAGTGTTTGTTGAATGACCTGATCCCGGGTAAGAAATACTATCAACGCCTCTGCAGAATGGAAGGTCTCGAACCTTGCGAACAGCCTGTTTAGGTAGAGCATGTCGACGATACGCTTCAAATCGGTCGTACTGCCCATGACTGAAATTGTCCATGAGGACTCTGGAACATAGAATTCGATTAGATTATCAAATGCGAGTAAATAACGGTACATGGCATACTTCAGGTTGTCCTTCGATTGACTCTGGAATGATGCCTGTGCAGAGTAGTCGTCCTCGGCCATCGCAGGCAACATCTCATCCTCACCCTCGCCGTCCTCCTCGCCAGGCGCACCCACCCCGACCGGACGCGGCAGTGTCGTGTCCACTGCAGTCGCAGTGCCGCCAGGACTGACATCCGTGAGGCTGATCACGCCCCCGGTCTCCGAGCCCAACGCGGATTGCGCTGGCTGCTGCTGGGCTTGTTCAGCAGCGCCACCCATGGTGCTTCCCGCCACTGAAGATGCGTTCGGACTCGTGCTACTCTGCACGTGCCACTGTAGCTCGGTGGGTTGGCTAGAGCTAGGGAGCGGTGTGGCGGAAGTAGGGCGAGGAGAGTTGGCGGTGGACGTACTGCCCGCGGCCTTCGGTTTACGTCCGCGCTTGGAGGCTGTTCCTCTAGCTGCTGGGGCACCTCCTCGTGCTAATGGAGTTCCAGGAACACTTGCCTGGATAAAAGTGCGTTCTGGTGCGGGATACGAGGCGAAAGGAGAAGTCATAATGAATATGACACCCAGTTAGTTATGTTATGTTAAATGGACTTTTCTGGGGAGAATATCCGGACAAGAGTGTTATTCACGGGAATAAGGCGAAGCACGTTTCCACCTCAGGTATTTCGTCAGGTACTGTATCAGGCAAAGTATTGGGCGTAGGTTGTCAAAGGTGCAAGCAAGCTGAAGGGTGGTGGTTAATAAGCGCCGTGGTCGTGCTTACCTTCGGAGGGTGCCGAAGAGGCGTCGACTTTGATTTTGACTTTCATATAATAAAGTAGCGGGCCTGGGTCGTTGTTAGTTTGTTGTGCCGTCTTATTCTCATGCACACGTCGTATACATCGGCCAGTGATCCCGTCCCTACCTCGTACGGTAGCTACATAGGAAAAGATTAAAGACGCGACTATCACGACTGATACGCGTATGTCACGAGCTCTCAGACTTTTCGGCCGTAATGTCATTGTGACTCTGTTTCCTTACGCTCCAACTAAGATACCCTCAGGTTCTTGTAACCGCTGAGCTGGCAGAAAGGACGTACTACCAGCACATAATGCCGTCACGACAACCATATGATGCTTCGACACCGGATAGGACGCACTTCGGTTCTGATATCCCCCTTGCTCGTCTGGACGCTGTGCTGTCAGACCAATCTCTGGGGCCTTCACTGCACAGGTCAGCAGAATTGAGCCCCGACTGGTCTTTACGCTTCCGCACCAGGTGGAAATCCTTTTCTTCTCGATGTGTAGAAACATTTCGAAACAACACAGGCCTGCTCTTGATTGCAGCGTCTCAGGCGTTCGGGGCGACCATGAGCCTGTTCGTGAAGAAGCTGAATAGCCTGGACCCACCAGTGCCGACACTCGAGGTCCGTGGCGTCAAGGTGTACTGCTGGTACACGAAGGTCTGATCATGATATCCGAACAGCTCATATGTGTTCGCATGGTCAGCGATAGGCGAATGACGTCAATGCATGGGTGCTAATTAATATGCAGGCAATCACTTGGGCGTGCTGTGTGACATACATGTAAGTACTCCATCACATTGTATGGCGGTTGATCTTAATGATAGCAGGGTCCTATCGAAAGTCCCTGACCCGATCCTGGGCCCGAAGGAAGTCCGTCTGCTTTTGGCTTTCAGAGGTGTCTGCGGGTAAGTTGGTACTTCATCATCTTTTGGCCCATAACTCGACCGCATACATTCAGGTTCATGGGCCTCTTCGGGTCATACCATTCTCTGCAATATCTCTCACTTTCAGATGCGACTGTCCTACAGTTTCTGGCACCCATGTGCACCGCCGTCGTCGGTGCGCTGGTCCTGAAGGAGGAGTTCAAGCGCAGCCAAGCGGTAGCAAGTTGTGAGCATTGCACGACCTCAGCACGTCAAGATAGTGCCTGACTTAAGTGGGGGCCGCAGTATGCAGTCTACTTGGTGTGGTGCTCATTGCACGTCCCACGTTCCTGTTTGGTCACGTACCATCGGGGGTTGCGACCGATCCGAGCATCGTGATAGATGCGAGGCACTATGCTCTTGTTGCCAGGGCGGTGGCGACGGTTACCGCTGCTGACAGGTTGCGCGCCGTGATGTATATCCCACCTCATTCGTATATCCTGCCCTGGAGCTGACGATGTCTTCAGGGCCGCCATGCTCGGTGTGCTGGGAGCAACAGGAGCATGTAAAACACCTACAGCACGATCATTGCGTGGTCAATGCTGACGAGGTGGCTGACAGACACATCTATCCGTGCAATTGGCAAGCGCGCACACCCCCTGCACAGTGTGGTGGCATTTTCGACGCAGTGTGTGGTTACATCTTCAATAGCGTAAGCGCACATCCAGACCACTCCTTTGCTACATCTCGTTGGATGATATTAATGATGCCCATGCAGCATGCTGATCGTAAGACCTCACCTCATTGTGCCGACCAGACTTGACTGGATCGGGATGCTATTTGCGATTGGCTTGCTAGGATTCGGTGGACAGGTGGTCTACTTCGTTGTCCAGTCGATCACCGAAGTACTGAGCTTTTGTAGATGCTCATGACCATGGGGCTACAGCGGGAGACGGCAGGCCGGGGGACCATGGGCACCTACATTCAGGTTTGTCGTATGGGGGACACAGCAATGGTCTACTCACGTATGCGATCTTATACAGATAATCTTCGCCACGTTCAACGACCTTGTGTTTTTCCACGCGCCACCATCCGTGCTATCCATCATTGGCACGGTTATTATCATGTCATCTGCCATATACGTTGCCGTACGTTCTCTCGTCGTTGACAGACGTGGCGCGCAATCCTGACTCCACACGGCAGGTCACAAAGGGTGTGGCGAAAGACAAGGTCGGCATGCACAAGCGAAACCGAAGCATGATGCCTCCCGAGGAGGACCCATCACTTGAAGAAGGATTGCTCGCGAGTGACGAGCAAGAGCAAGATCCTCCAGCTGCCGCATCCACTAATGGCGATGTTTCTGTATACCCAGAGGAAGGCGCTGTTGATCACAATGAGAAGGTGATATCCCAGTAGGCTTACGACTGCCGTACTTTGGGAGTAAAAAATAGAGTCGTATTCTTGATTATAGTATATATGGTCACCTATCGACACAGCGGACTTATGAGTTGCCCTGTGGACAAAAGGAAAACATTATACTGTGGTGCTCGGATCTGGTCTGCTGGCTGACACAACGAATTTTTCCATTTACGCCTGACAGCTTTCCGTTACCAACGAGAAGTCTTCATGGTCGCACAAGATTTGCAGTTCCGCACACCTGATTTTATCATGCAATCACAAAGGATGTAGAAAAATATTTATGTTAGTCCTATTATACAGTGCGTGTCTCCTACACTCCGTTGAAAATGGATCAACCCTCTCCCACCCTCAACGAGACTTCTTAGAGGCTGTTGTTTAAAATCGTGGTTTTACCGCTGCATTGATCGTACACATTCTCCACATGCCACAGCGACGCTAGCTATGTCTGACGGCACCGCCCGACTCCATCGTAACCTCTATTATGTCGGCGTTTTGAGTCTAGTGCGGCGAGCTACCGCCTATTGTAGTCAAACGATGGCAACGAAAGTACCGCAAACAATCTAGTCCACCTCCAGCTCTCCACGGATTCCCAAACGGGGACGTTCACAGCTTGCAAGCGAACAGTGAAGAAGGCTCCCTCAAAGAATACTGGCTACCACGGATGTGAGTACTAATGAACACAGTTCATGATATGTTACTTGATCACGGGGATTATTGTGTACGTCCTGAAATTATGTGTGTGATTTGAGGCCCTGCGTTATGCGTTCATGCATGCATAAGATTGGCTGGCTCTACGTCGTCCCGTCGTTCGCGGCCGTTGCATTCACTGAGGAATCTACAGATAGCAAGGTAATTGAGACTCGTTCGTGATCGGCATTTGCCGCCCGAAGTTGATGTATGTCACATCGTTTCAGCCTGCAAGAGGCAATGCGGGCTTGGCCTCGTTTAAGGATAAGGTCATTGTTTTTCTCTTGCGACGTGAGCTACAGCCCGCTTGCAACCAACGTTTAGTGTACTTGTCGCGCTTGGTGTACTCCAGCCTTTGGTTGCAAAAGCTAACTTCCCAGCTCCTCGCTCGTGAGATCGTGGTTTGCCGGCACAAGCTGCCATAGAGAAAATGTCCAAGGGGCTGCTCACTGTTCCCGCGACCAAAACAAAATCGGCAAGATTGAGTGTGCGTAGGTCTTGGAACTCCACCCATCTAATCCCTACTCCAGGAGAAGACGAGCAACGACCACCCCGCTATGTGAGCAGCAAGTTTGAAACCTCGTGCAGGACTACTCTGAGACCTCGTGAGCACAGGTTCCGTGGGGGCTGAGACCGTGGCTTGTTTTCACATTGTGTTTCCTCATGGTAGCAATGGGTATTGGTATCGAAATCGGTTGGCATTTTTCAACGGTGAACAATGGTTAGACTTTACTATGCATATTCCGAAAAGATTTAATGCTGATATTCTGAGCCCTAGGCTTTGGTGTTCGTCAAGACAACGTCTTCGACTTCATCGCACCCTCCTTCCTTATTGTAGGTCTGCTTCGGTACAGCTTGAAACATCAACATGCAAAAACGTCCCACGTTTTGCAGTACCGTCGGTTGAGCATAATTACAAGATGGCTGATACATGTCCTTACAGTCCTTTGTACCCATCGTCCTGATCTTCCCAATTGCAAGATTGTGGGCCACGGCTGATTGGGGCATTCAATACGTACAGGTCAGTTCCGTGTCCCCCCGCATAGGCCGCTGTTGACGCTTTCCTCAGCCTTACATAATGCTTGCAAATGGCAACGCGCGAGCAGAAGACAGTGTTCTGCTTGATTATGTGCGTTCTGTTCCTGGTCGATGTTTACGCCCGCACAATATGAAATAAGGCGTGTTAGATGCCTCTGAAGTGAGTAAGCATCGATGATTCAGGAGACGTTGAGACCCTATAGGATTTCCAGTCGCTTTCAGGCTATTTTCGTCTCTGCAAGGCGAAAACATTGGCTCGTGAATGCCTCGATCAACACCGTGTTCATTGCTGCATTATTCCAGCCGCTGGCAGGGTCGTTGTTCAGCTTAGACATGCGCTCACATACAGAAGGTTGTTCCATATCATTAGTTTCCTGTTATTATCACTGACATGACATGAACTTCACGATCAGCATTCAGGACGTACAGTACACAGATAATCGGGCTTTCTTCCAACAATAGTCTCGTGGAGGCATTCTCAGCTTCAGCGGGTGTAAGGGTGATTTCCTGTGACAATCTCAGTCGTCTCTTCTGAATATCGCTTTTCTAGTTTGTAGATGCGGCCACTTATAATAATCTCCCAGACCCCTCTTATGTGTATGCGGGCTGGGCGGTACCCAATCTCAAGGTACGCTCAATATTCTCATCGTCCTGTAGACCAATCCATGTCGGACTGATATAATACTCCCAAGACGGAGGGAACACCTGCCGCAAGCGCGACTTACATAACATTCAACACAAGCGCAGTCCTATCGTCTCCCAATTGCGAAAACCCATCCATACTTAACCTAGACACACCGACCGGAACGCCTCTCTATATCATCAACGCAACTGCTGCTGACGGTTGCTCAGGGTCCGTGGCATTCACCCCAACTGTCGCCGACGAACAATTCGGCGTGAGCCAAGTCGATGCGACATCCTGCGGATTGAGCAACCAGACAGACACTGGCTTGCTCCCTGTGTTCTTCTGGTTCTATAACGTGCGTTTGGGCGACCAGGGACAGTCGACGCCGGAAGCGAAAGCCGTGATCTGTAGGCCTTCTATCGCGCTGCGCAACGTTCGAGCCACGCTCAATGTGAGCTCCATGTCGATCGATACGATCGTCGACCTGGGCGCATTCTCTGCAACGAACAACGTAACGAGCGGCTCACTGGAAGGCAAGGCATACAACGGGTACGTGCTAGTCAAGCAACGTTTGCGAGTACCGACCGACATATGTGCGCAGTGTAATTTTTAGCAACATCAGTAGTGAAATCCTCAAAGCTCGCGCGACGTCAATTCAAATTGGTCTACCTGGATCCATATACCGATCTGCCTCACAGACCACAGAGCTTTTGGATAGCTTGTTCTCTTCGGAAGACGGGTTCCTGAATCTGACTCAACAGATCTATGTAAGTCTTGTCATGACGGCGGGTGTGTGTGACGATTCCTCATATTTGGAGCTTGCAGACCCAATTTCTCGCTGTCGCCGCAAAATCGGTGTACCTCATACAGATACAGGAAGAGGAGCCTATAACTGCATACGCTACTGCACAGGTTCAGCGCCTTGTGATAGAGTATGCACTTCTCTCCTCAATCTGAGACTTCGCCGCTGATATAATGTTGATGCTGCAGCACACTCGCTGCACATTTTCTCGCCATGGGACTTCTCACCGTGGGCGTAGTCGGCGCAATCATACACTACCTCCATCTACCGTATCGACGTCGACTGCACCTCACCGCCCCTCCTGGGTCTATTGCGACCTCTGTCGCACTGGCATTCCACTCGGGTTTCGGTGACCGACTTAGACCATACGATGACGACAAGAGCATGATGCGCAAGCTATCCAACTTCCGCTTCGTCACGGACACCAGGACGGGAGCGATCATTGCCGAAGAGCTGGACCACGACGAAGACTCTATGGAGCTCGGTCCACTCGATCAAGACAAAGACACTGTTGCGCTACTGCACGATGAACGAAGCGAAGAACACTACGATGAACACTAGTCGACTGATCATCATGTTACCGCGTATTTACGTGACCTTGCCCAAAGTTTTCCTTCCAACATGATCAACTGCCGCTACTAAATATATGCACGTTTTAGCATGTAGATCCTTCCTTCAGGCGATTGAGACATATTCTCTGCGCACTTAAGACATACGCAGAATAGAGAAGCTAAGCCCATCCACCGTACAATGCGCAAACCCGTGAAGGGACATCAGATTCATGATACGGAACGATAACGGAACCAACGACACAGGTATGCAGACTAGGGGTAACTTGATGCCAGCGTGGCGTGGATCACGGTAGAAGGTAGGGTACGTAACAGAAAACACATGGAACAAGCTCATGAAGGTGACCAATAAAACGTGGATATGGCGTAAGGGAACGAACGATGGTGCTTTTGGCAATACTAAGTAGCGAGCAGCGAGACTAGGAAGCTGAGGGCATAGCGAGAGACGCGCTTATTCCTCCTCAACCGGGACCTCCTCCTCATACTCGCCCTCCTCTTCGGCACTAAGGATGATGCATCAGTGACTATCTCTGAGACATAAGGTAAAAGTCACATACGTCGCGTCCTGGTACTGCTGGTACTCGGCGACAAGATCCTGCATGTTGGACTCGGCTTCGGTGAACTGGAGTGGCGCCGTTAGCTGATGGTACTACACCCAACGCCTCACAATGACACACCTCCATCTCGTCCATACCCTCCTGGGTGTACCAATGCAAAAAGGCCTTCCTCTTGAACATGGCTGTGAACTGGTCACTGACACGCTTGAACAGCTCCTGGATCGCTGTCGAGTTGCCCAGGAATGTGACGGCCATCTTGAGACCGCGAGGGGCAATGTCACACTGCGCGGTGAGCACATTGTTGGGAATCCACTCGACGAAGTAGGCAGAGTTCCTGGTCTGGACATTCTGCATCTGCTCCTCAACCTCCTTCATGGACACCTTGCCACGGAACACAGCAGCAACCTGTATTATATTGATCAGTAACAAGTAAGACAGACGAGATCACAGCGGCCTACAGTGAGGTAACGACCATGACGGGGGTCAGACGCCGCCATCATGTTCTTCGCGTCGAACATCTGCTGTGTCAACTCGGGGACAGTGACAGCACGGTACTGCTGGCTTCCCCGCGCAGTCAATGGCGCAAAACCAGTCATGAAGAAGTGCAGACGCGGGAAGGGAACTAGATAATGCGTCATGATACATTCTCAACCCATGATAGACAGGGAACATACCCATGTTGACAGCCAGCTTACGGAGGTCGGAGTTGAGCTGACCAGGGAAACGCAGACACGTTGTGATACCGGACATCACAATGGACACGAGGTGGTTCAGATCACCGTATGTTGGTGTCGACAGCTTGAGCGTACGGAAGCAGATGTCGTAGAGCGCCTCGTTGTCAATGCAGAATGTCTCGTCAGAGTTCTCAACGAGCTGGTGAACGGAGAGCGTCGCGTTGTAAGGCTAAACAGAAGATGGTTAGCCTGAATGTTCGATGTGATTGCACTTTGCACAAACCTCAACGACGGTGTCCGACACCTTCGGACTCGGGACAACAGAGTACGTTGCCATCATGCGATCGGGATACTCCTCTCGGATTTTCGAGATGAGGAGCGTACCCATACCCGCACCAGTACCACCACCAAGTGAATGCGTAATCTGGAAACCTAAAGATAACGGTTGAGTCACAGTCACATCAAGCGTGACGCGTCACATCGTGGCTTCGAACACCAAGTCAACACTAACCTTGCAGCGCATCGGTACCCTCAGCCTCCTTACGAACGACATCAAGAACTGAGTCAACCAGCTCGGCACCCTCTGTGTAATCTAGAGTGTATGTACGTCAGCATACACGCACAACACGATCCGGGCGGCGCGTCGACTTACGGCCCTTGGCCCAGTTGTTGCCCGCACCGCTCTGGCCAAAGACGAAGTTGTCCGGGCGGAAGAGGCTGCCGAGCGGGCCAGAGCGGACGGAATCCATCGTGCCGGGCTCGAGATCGATGAGCACCGCGCGAGGCACGTACTTGTTCGCGCCGACCTCGTTGTAGTAGACGTTGATCCGCTCGAGCTGCTGATCGTTGGTGCCCTTGTACTGGCCGTCCGCCTCAATACCGTGCTCATCTGAGACAACCTCCCAGAACTTGGCACCTGGAGCAGATCGGCGTCAAACATCGCGGATGCAGCTGGCAGATGCGCGGTACATACCGATCTGGTTACCGCACTACGAGATACCATGCGTAAGACTCGTGCAGAGAGACACAGCGCGCTCTGCTTACCTGGCCGGTCTGGAGGTGGACAATTTCACGCATGCTGGAAAACTATAGTCAGCGCACAGTTCGACAACTCAGCAAAATCGAGACACGTCAAGACCACGCGTCGCACGCCGCACCGCGCGTCGCATAGGGCGCGCGGGGTCGTCATACGCCGTGCAGGTCGTCAAACACGTACATGAAGAATCAGAGATGAGCTGGAGGTGGACGGGAGGTGATGAACCGCGAGGGATGGGGTCAAAAAGGGAACACGACTTCACGGTCTAGGGTATCGCCCTTTCGGGCGGAGCTTGAATTAAGAACGTGTTCATTGTGGCGCGCTCCCCAAAGTCCTCTTTATTTGTCTGTCTCTCACTGTCTCTATTCCCCGGGAGCATATATTCCCGTTAAAGCGGAATGTATGCGCAACCTGTTTTCATCGCAAATTCCAATCTCCTTGTTCAAACCTGCGTGTCGCGCGAGACTAGCGCAGCGAAATGAATTACTAAGAGAAGTCCAGCTCGGACTCAATATCGTTTTGCTGCGCCAAACAAGATGGGCATTTAGCTATTGTTTGGTAAGTTTTCCCGAGCAATTGTGCGCTGAAGGGGAAAAAGTTACGGCATCGGAGAGGCGCCTAGCCGGCAACGGAGGCGACGCTGCAGCGATGTCCAGAGTAGGTTACGCAGTGTACTGTGAGTGGATCTTGGTCTCGCCAAGAACACGGCTGACAATGTGTGCAATGCTACAGCAAGTGCATGACTGTTTTATGTACTGTGTCATCAGGTCAGCCGCCCCAATGTATGCATTGGAACCCGTTCATTACGAGAAATGACCTGACAAGCTGCGTCTATTAGGCAAGCGTGATCCTTCCCAGAATTTCAATGCTGTCGGACTGACCGCCCATCGTCTTTTTGCTGACCAGGCACGAGGACACCGACCAATGGTCGACGTCGTCGTGCAAGAAGCACACGGTAGAGGCAAATCTCCTTGGAAATTGGATGTGTGGCTCTACCCTCCGTGACAGGCAGACTTGGCGATCGCACTGGCGGCACACAAGTCACCAATAAGCTAAATGTCTCGTTATCGAAGTTTGTTGTAGTCCGACGGCTGTCCTTCCTCGCCGCGCGCTATGTCAGCGCACACGACTTGTTCCGTGCGTGGCGGAAACATACCCGTCGATGCACATGTCACCGACCTCGGTATAGTGTGAAGTGGCGACTCCGGCCCACGCTTGTGCCTCGCATCCGATGCCCAGCAGAACCGGGCGACGAGCATGCACACTTTACATAGTTGCAAGTTCCTTCCAGCTCCCACAAGGCGCGGCGCACGGCGAAGCTGTCAGTCTGCGTCCCACGCACACTCACCATTTTTGCACCCCCGAATGCGGACATCATCGCGCCATCCGAGGTGCACTATCAGTTGCGAGCTGATTCCGGTAAGATCGTCTTGCTGCTCGATCACATCAGCAGCTCAGATCCGCTACCAAAATCTGGGAGGTTGACAAAATGCACCAGGAATGCTCGCAACGGGAACGATTCTCAAGCACAAATATGGCAACGGTTTGATACTTCAAGCTTGAAAAGAGTAATACAATTACGTAGCAAAGGTAAGTTAACTGACGGATCGGGCGGCCCCGATCATTTGGTCGGGGGTTGATCGCCTCCGATACAGCCCTGCCCAGAGGGGTTTGAAACTCCAATACCGACACTCCGTGTGTATCCACGCGCATCATCATTCAGCGTCTGCATTATTCATGAATGTCGCCCATGGCAGGGTCCCTCGCATATATATCACTTCCTGATACCCGTGAGCACTATCGTGTTTTACCCACCTGCCTCTGTCTGACCTAGCCGCCATGCACCCAGACAGCTACTATCGTTTACGACTCCTCAATGACTTTGCACGCATCTTCGTCGCACCCTCAATCCTACTGTGTTTTATTCTGCGGACAGCAGATATTTCTTTGGGCTTTCTCACCATACCAGCATACCCCATCTGTATAGCCTTGTGCGCCTATGCGCGACTCGCGTATCGGGATTGGCAGCAAGACCAGGAAGCCCACCGTCTGGGGGCACGACGTATTCCCCAGGTCGTCGGCAAATGGCCGGGGAATTTAGATATCTATTTGAAGTTACTCAAGTCCACTCAGACGACGTATCTTGGTTCTTTCCACCTAAGCCTATTCGAGGAATACCAAACGACCACCCTCAACCTCAGGCTATTGTGGCAGGATGTAGTGAGTCATTGCTCTTAGTCATTATCTTTTCCAAATCATGCTTCCATTAACTTAAATCAATAAACTGGTCTAACGTCCCTGCCTGCTTACCAGGTCATGACCATGGATGAGAAACATGTGCAATTCATACTTGCCACAGGGTTCAATAAGTTTTGGAGAGGTGCCAGGCAAAAAGAGCGCATGTGCGTTGATTTTATGGTGATCTCCACCGTCTGCTCTATATCTCAGTTTAGGGAAGCCTTCCTAGGCAAGGGAATCTTTAACCGCGATGGCGATGTAAGTGACTCGCTACATGGCCTGGAATCTGACACTAAATCATTACCTGTGTAGGAATGGAAGGCGGTCAGTCGGCTAAATTAGCTACGCCGAGAAATTATGACGCTGACTCCCGCCTAGCACCGCGCTCTTGCGCGCCCATTTTTTGCACGCGACCGCATCGCCGACTTCGAGCTCTTCGATCGCTACACCCAGAGCACACTCTCGCTCATGGCCTCCCTCGCTGCGCAGAATCGTCCGATAGATGTGCAGGACATCTATTCGCGCTTCGCTCTCGATGCCGCGTCAGAGTTCCTGTTCGGCAAAAATGTCGACACGCTCTCCTGGCAGCTCCCCTTGCCCGGCACTGCGCTCATTGGCCCGAAGGGCTCCGCGACGGCAGATGAGTTTGGGTCGTTCGCGCAAGCATTCGAGAATGCGCAGGTTACTGTAATGCGTCGGTCACGAAGGGGATACTTCTGGCCTGCATATGAACTATTGCAGCGCGATCCCCATGAGGTGGACATGAAGATCATCCAACAGTGGGTTGATCCGCTTGTGGAGCGTGTGTTGGAGAACAAGTCAAACATGCGCAAGGCGGGTGTGCAAAATTCGTTGGATCAGAGCGTCTTCCTCGAATACCTTGCCGACAACACTGAAGGTCAGTTGCCTGGCCAGATGACCGTTACTTCTGCTAACATTACGGCGTTCAGACCGCAAGGTGATCCAAGACCAACTCCTCAACATTCTTTTGGCCTCAAGAGACACCGTAAATGCTACTCGTAGTGTATCCCAGATCCATGTCTGACTTATCGTATAGACATCTATGCTCCTTACATTTGTGACCTATTTGCTCGCCTTGCATCCTGACGTCGCGAAGAGGCTCCGCGCTGAGGTCCTGCAGCACTGCGGCGTGGATGGCGCACCAACGTTTGAGACGATCAAGAACATGAATTACAGTGCGTCCGCCCTCTTCCCCAACCCGTACCGACCCGCCTACTGACACCCTCCTGCCACTCCTTCCAGTGCGTGCCGTCATCAACGAGACCCTCCGCGTCTTCCCGCCTGTGCCCACCAATGGTCGCGAGAGCCGCCCAGAGCCGTGTCTCTTCCCGCAGTCCGATGGAACATACCCAGAGCGCCCCGAGCCGCTCTATGTGCCCCCTTCGACCCAGGTCATCTACCTGCCCATCCTTACGCAGCGCAACCCAGCGCTGTGGGGTGCTGACGCGGACGTATTCGACCCCGACCGCTGGCTCGATGACCGGCTCAAAATATTCACCAGCAACCCGATGATCTTTACGCCATTCAGCGCTGGCCCGCGCATCGTGAGTATATTCCTGTGGCCCTTGTGTTGTGGAGTGTTGGAGTTGACGTATCTGGCTGTGCAGTGCATAGGGCAGAATTACGCGCTCAACGAGGCGTCGTTCTTCCTCACACGCCTGCTGCAGCAGTTTGACACGTTCACGCTGGCACCCGAGGCGCAGCCAGAGGGCTCGCTGCCGCCGCCAGAATGGAAGCACGGCAAGGGACGCGAGACTTACGAGAGATTGTGGCTTAATTCGGCTCTTACCGCCTACGTAAAAGTGCGCATAGCCTTCCGTCTGCTTCTCCTGCTAAAACACAGCTGACCGCCACATGCGATACCAGGGGGGTCTTTGGGTGCGTTTCGGCAAACAGGAATAGAGCAGCACTCTTATCATAAATTATTAACTTATTACTTTTGGGTTTGGAGGGTAGTATGGCTATGTGATCTGCATACACGGGACATCATTGAGGTTGACAAGCCATATAGATTTGTCTGTATCATGCATGAATCACTGTTTGGACTGGACAGTCAGGTTGACGCCTGCAAGAAAGCCCGGAGGCGTCTTCCTTCAAATCAGTATAAGTACCGAGGCACAAGTTCTCAGCTCAAGATATTCATCACAGGGTATTCAAAAAAATTGCAAACAGACAACGTACAACTACTTATGATAATGTCCGAGTACTTCAAGGCCCCCATCCATACCCATCCGTTGTCTCCACCAGTCGAGTGATCAGCAGCCGAGACACAAACATGTGCCGGCAAACCCGTTGTGACGAGTCCAACTCAAGGGGTACGCATGGGAACATCAGGACAGCCAATCAAGGAAAATTAGGACGCACGAAAGCCGGAGACCTAGACTAAGCGAGAAGGGAAGAACAAGGAGCTTGGCAGATAAACAAGAGACATCCGATGTCATATGGAGAAGAACGGTTGCTCTGCACTTTGCTGAGGCTGCTGCTGGGCGAACGGATTGTGACTTGACTGGGGCTGTCCCGTAGGCTGGCCAACCAGGCGATTGGCATGTTGCCCGTACCTGTACAGTGCGTCAGATCGAGCCGAAGACAGCCGTACCGAGACGCGTACCTGAGCTGCCCGAAATTGCCGAACGTGTCGACGCCGTCGTCCCGATTGGCGAACAGGTTTGCCAGATGTGCGTGCTGTTCGTCGGCACGTGTCTTCACCTGCAGCGTGCCCTGCCGGGACGGAGATGCCTGCGCAGGTGGCGATGACGATGGTGCGGGGCTGGCGTTGTTTGCGTTTGCGTATGGGCTGGGACTACTGTTGGCGCTCGCGTACGTTCCTTGGAGGTTGAATACAGGCGCGGTCTGTGGCCCCGGCGACGCACTGAGATGCTGAGAGAATGACGGTAATGACGTAGTCGATAGCGATGGAGAAGGCGCAAACGGATTGTTTGACCTGGACATGTGTGAGTTTCGTAGCCAGCGCCTAGTCAAGTGTCAGTCCTCACCCAAAGCCTGTGGGTTGCGCCATAAGCATCTGCTGCTGTTGCTGCTGCTGTTGTTGTTGCTGCTGTTGCATAGCAAGGAACTGCTGCTGCCGAACCCATTCTTCCTGTTGTGCAGCTTGCAACTGTGCGGCTTGCTGAGCCTGCAGCTGTTGTTGCTGCTGTGCCCATTCCTGCTGCTGCCGTAGGTATTCTGCTTGCATAGCCTCCTGCTGCATCTGCTGCTGATATGGGTTGAACGATGTCATCTGTGGCTGTATTGTGAACTGCGGTTGCAAGTTCGCAGAGGTGTCAACTAGAGGGAAAGGATTTGAACCGTTCGTCCTGCACGAGGGGGTAATGCAAAGTCAGTCAGGTCACCGGAGTTACAGCGTTCTGGAATGCACGCACTGTCGGCTCTGATCGTCAAAGAGTGAGGACTGATTTGATTCTGCGATCGCTCTGGCACGGTTCGCTTCCTCCTCCTCACTGAGTCGGATTGCTTGCTGGAGATCGCGTTCTTCCGCTGTGAGACGCTCCCGGGCTTGCTCTTCAGCAAGTGATCTCTTGCTTTCCTCGATCGCCTTCTGCAAATCTGCATCTGTTTCACCCCGGGCAGGTTGCCGTGGCGGGAGACTGCGTGAACGTCTCTGCGAGTTCTCATCCTCCACCTCCTCGCCATCAAGCCCCCTTCCGCGTACCATGCGATCGCGCATGTGTGCGCGCGAGCGGCGTTCTTGTCGCAGCCGCGATTCGTCCTGAAGGAGATTGGTGATGTCTTTGGCCTTTTGACGCACATTCGCACCCTGATCCTTGCCCTCTTCGTCGATGTATTGGAACTCCTTCAGAGTCTTGACGACGTAGATATTGTCCCGGAAATACAAGACGACGTTCTCTGAACCGGCATGCAAGAGGTAGTCGAGGACGGTGAGAGACTAGGTGGCGGTTAGATGTGGCCGTTGCACGACATAGCAAACCAATCACCTTGAATACATGCCGCCAATTCTTGCCTTTATCGTTGAGACGTTTATCCAACATCTCCATGATCTCAATGAAGTCGGTCCTACCCGGCTCAAACCGTCAGTGCGCGATGATACCCAGAGATGACAGTAAGAGCGCACTGGTTGTATGTCAGCTGTGCGATCTCGTTCATCTGCGTGCCCGATGGCCCCCATGGATCGTTGGACGTTGCGTCGCGTACTTTCGCTTGTACATCCGAATAGCCTTTGGTGTAATTCTTGGCCACACGCATCACACCTTTGCCAAAGTGCTGCATGGTGGACATGATTGATGATTGTGCGGTCGCCTAGTCAGTTAACGAGTGAAAGATGTCTTGAGGTTGTGGAGAAGAGAGAAGGAAGGAAGGTGTGTGAGCGGGTCAGGCCACTGCGCAGCCTCGATCTAACATTGGTATCGGGAGCGACAGCTTGGCTGAGACTACAATAACACTTTTGTAACAAGGTAACCAGCGGAGTTACAATTACACGTTGCTCCAATCCACATTACAATCTGGTCATGGTAAAACCGCGCCACTGGTTATAATGTGCGCTCCAGTGCCGACACAATCATAGGTTTGCATCGTTGAGTAGCCTCAGCATAGGACTTGGATGATATTACAGTGTACGACGGGCATGTCAGTGTTCGATATGACTGGACTTTATTCGACCAAATCTGGTAAGCACACACACATGATCTCTACTTCTTGGAACGTTCGCTCTTCTGCGCCTCGAGCAATACAAGTACGACGCCATACCATGTAAGGACCTTAGACTCGTCTGCTTCTATGAACCGGGCTAGTAGGGACTGTAACATAACACGAACCGAAGGCTTGGTGACTGCGCCATCACTGGTTTCATTCTGGGACACAGAACTACATTATAGCGGGTTCTGCAGTGCACGGATGTCTTCGACGTCCAAGCCAGATGTGTTTGCCAAAGATTGCGTATGGACGTTGGCATGTCCGTCGGTATCATTCAAATGGCCTGCGCTCACCGAAAAGAGCGCTTCGTCCCCGCCACCGGGTTCGTCTGCAACGTTGAGAGTGAGTGTGTCATCAACATATCGGCCATGAATCGTGTTTCTGGGACCGGACTGTTCTTCTGACACGCAACTATTACCCTCTTTTCCCGAATCATGTTGGTCCGTATCATCTTTTCCGGAATCATGTTGGCCACAATGGTTAGACTCAGGCTTGTCATCGTGAGGCGGACAAGGTGTGTCGTCCAGTGTTCCTGCGTTGCTCTCAGGATTGACTGTGTCGCAGATAACGTCCTCTGACCCGCTGGGAATCTCACCCGTCGGAGACCGAGCGTTGCACTCATACTTACCGGCAAAGTCGCCACGAGAGTAGGATACGTATCGAGTTTCCGGAGGCCACGCGTAGTACCCGGATCCCAGCTTGGGGAATCCTACCATATAACAAGGGTCATCCGAAGGCAAGAATCGAGTTTCCTCCAGAGGTAGAGACCGCGTTTCGTCCTCAAGGTCAGATTCAGGTGGGTCTTCAAACATGGACTCGGCTCTGCCTGAGACTGTTCCTGTAAGACCTGTCTCATTCACACCGCTGGCCTCGTCCTCATCTGACGCAGAAAGAGAGCTGTCGCCGCGTGTTACACTCGCCAGGAGATCGATTCTATGCGTAGGTGAAACTCGCGGTTCGTCCTCGCCATCGAAGTCAGTTGACATGTCATCTGTGAATTCAGAAGTGTCGGCAGAGCGGTTGTCGTTCTCATCTGTAGTATCTGAATCGACATCGCCAGCATAGCCTGTCTCGTCCTCGATATCGGGGCCGGCTTCTGACGCAATAGCAGCGTCTTCAAAATCCGAAGTAGTCTCCGACGCAGAAGCTGCGTCTTCATCGCGTCCCGAGCCATTCTCTGATGCCGACGCAAGGCCATCATCAACATGTTCAGGGTCAACTTCGGGTGCTGGAGTAATGTTGCCATTATCCTCGTTGAGGTCTGATTCGTGCTTTAAGGGCACAAAATAGTGCCCGATGTTTAATTTCGGCGCAAGACAAACGAGGTAATACATCAACGCCAGGGGATTTTGCACTAACGTGTTCCTCCGATAGCCGAACTCTAGGATCTCCAGCAATGGCGCTTTGATGGGCGTAGTGTAGGGTTGGTACGCGTGTCGCATGTTCACTTTGGGAAGGATCAGCGTATGCAGGTTGGGGCAAAGTCGCACAAACTCCTCTATGACGCGAGGTTCCAGCACAGCGGGAGCATCGGGGTCGCGGGTGTCCTCGCCGAATCGGAAGGTAAAGGAAGTCAGGCTGGGACAGCCAGTAGCGAACTCCAACAAGTCCTGTTCTTCCCAATGCATGCGGCCGCAACCCAATATCTCAATCTCGAGGGTGTTCAGTCCGTGAGCCGACAACAGCGGCCGGGAAAAGGCTGCAAATGATGAGCATTCCAGCTCTGGCGGATCATCCATCGCTATGTTGAGGAAAAATTGCTTAAGCGACGCCGCAGACTTGGCTGAGATGGCAGAAAGGCATTTGTGCCACTCGAGCATGGTGCCCCTCGTGACACCGTCGTAGCCCTCGATGGAGAGCCACTCTAGGCTCGGAGACCCGATGCTGGCAAACAGACGTAGTACGACGCTAGGGTGTGCAGTTACGGCGAGGTTCTTGAGAAACTTGAAGCCGGTTGGTAGGACCAGTTCATCATCTCTCGGACCCACTGAACCCGTTATAAGCACCAGGGTCTTCAAATTTTCGAGACTCTGGAGCACGGTGAAGAGTTCTATATCCAGAGGATCGCATTCCAACTTGATGTAAGTCAGATTCTGCGTCCATAAAGAAGGCACAAGAGAAGACGAATGAAGACCATAGTGGAAACGGATGACCTGTGGCGATGCGACGGAGAATACGGTATGCAGAAGCGATTTGAGACTGTCGTCCCTTGGATATTGACCAAACAGAGAAGCCTGCATCTCATTGGATGCGATAAAGTTGATTTTGCGAAGAGAGGAACACACAAGGTGCTCGAGACTTGTATCGGAGAGCGAGCTGCGCACCCACTCCACAGAACGCAACCCAGGAAACAAGGGGGCGCTGCGGGAATTCAGGCTCGTCAAGCGGGCGAGGACCTCAGTTCCAGACGTGGGAGAGGCACCAAAATCCAGACGTAGCTTCCGGACGCGTCGTGCATACCGTCGGAAGAGTGTCCACTCATCAGGAGATATGTCGCTGCCGAGGTCCTATTTGAGTTTGGTGGTACAGGTTAGAGACGGCGATGCATGCGATGCAAACGGCGACAACGGTCCACTCACGTAGTAAGCAGGTTCGTCGCCACCTTCTATATCTCGGTCTGAATCACGACGGGCTTTATGCTCATGTTCCTGGACTGGAAGGCCTTTGAATGCCGAAAAAAGCTTAAATGCGTACGCGATGTCGTCCAATTCCTGCCACAGCAGATCAAGAGCGATTTGCGAGAATATCCTATTGACGCGGGCAATCCGAGCCAGATCTTGTCTGTGGTCACTACTTGGCTGGTAATGTAGCAGGATTTCGTGGATAACGTCAAATATCTGGAGGGCTCGATGAGCCGGAGGGGGCATGGTCAATGGCTTGTGTGATAGCCGGGGTGGTCGGGCGTCCAGTTCTACTTATACCACTACCGCCAAATGGACACGCGGACTACACATGGGATGCATCGCCATAGAGTCTTCATGTGGTGAGTACTTTGTCTGTCGTCTCTCATGATCTCCGGCAGTCCCCAGATATTCAGAGTCCGCGACTGCGCGGGCAATCATCAGGCTTCAGCGAGACCGAACACTGACCACCATTCAGCATGAGGCAGTCTTAGAGCAGAAAGACGCGGTCGAAGCAAGGTAATCAAGGAACCAGCTAGTGAGTTGTTGAAAACGAGAGCCATGAAATTCATCGGGATATTGGGAATAACTAGGAGCCGCTCACTATCTATATCCTCTATAGCATATTGCATGGCCGCAATTACATTGATTCACTCTCAATTAATGCTCTGCATGCTCCTTTACTGGCGCCAACAGAACCTGTATCCAATAGATGAGTATCTACTTGACTGGAGCGTTCTGAATATCGTGCATCCTGAGTGCGGCGTCGCATGCGTCTCGGAAGATCCTCGGAATGCCAAAGACGTACCCCGGTCTACGTACTAGATGCGCGCTGGAACTTCACGGATAAGCTTCTTGTTAAAATTGCCTATCAAAGTGATTGTTACGGCTTCTGCTGCCCTCAGCGGTCCGATCTAAGAAGGTTTCATCTTTGTAACACATAACAGGAGAGGCGCTCCACTGTCATTCACGCGCGGCAAAGTTACTATCGCGCCTTTTTCACTGGTGCTACTTATCTGTTTCGTGATGTCATCACTTATAGTCCCACCAGTACCTGGCAGGATGATATATCATCCGCAGCTGGCCACCGTAAATTGGTGATACATCCACTGACCGCAGCTACCATTCCCAAACCGGGGCCCTTTTTTAGGTCCGGTGAAGTTAGTTTAGGTTCGGTTAAGTTAGGTTAGTTCGAGGTTAGGTTAGGGCTAGGTTAGAACTAGGTGGTATATCTTGAAAAGAATCAGTATTTGTATTGCATAACGCTTATTGGTGCGACTTTCATGTATGTTTTGATTTGAGGCTATAAAACTCGACATAGTGAACTCTAAAATGTCGAAGTAGGCAGATTGCGTTTTTGTGCATAGATCATGTGAATGGGAACTTAACGCATGTGACCACAAGAACCTCAAGGCGTGTGAACATAGAAAAAGCAAATCACGTGATTTATTTTCCACGGCGGCCAGCATCAGATGATATATCATCTTGACACATACGCCTAGGCCCACTGCATGCGGTATTCAATTTTCTAGTACACGAAATCAAATAAAAATTGAAAGAAAAGTTAAATCACCTAATGAGTACTCTAGCGCCTATCATGGAAGTGAACTCGAAGGAAAATCGATTATGTAATCCATCTTCCATTGTCTCTTTCAATTTTCCTTCAATTTTTCTTCAATTTCCATTCAATTTCTACATCAGTAAGATTCAATAGGTGCTATTTGCTTTTCATTTAATTATGATTTGATATTTTGTGCAGGAAGATTGATTCCTGCATGCAGTGTATGTCAGCAAGGGACTATCAGGCACTGCATGCAGAAATCAATTTTCCTGCACAAAATATCAAATCATAATTAAATGAAAAGCAAATAGCACCTATTGAATCTTACTGATGTAGAAATTGAATGGAAATTGAAGAAAAATTGAAGGAAAATTGAAAGAGACAATGGAAGATGGATTACATAATCGATTTTCCTTCGAGTTCACTTCCATATTAGGCGCCAGAGTACTCATTAGGTAAATTAACTTTTATTTCGATTTTTATCTGATTTTTTGTACTAGAAATTTGAATACTGCATGCAGTGATACCGTGAGTAGCGGTACAGCAGATGCCTCAATCCCGAAAACATCGGCGTCATCCGATGATCGGTATTAAGTGAAGCTCTGAAGATCGGCTGCTCCCGATTGCTCTGTAACTGGCAAGCATAAACGACTACGGAGGCGTCAACCAAGAATTACTTGAAGACTGTCTGCAGCAGAGCAGCGTCAACCAAGGACGCTCCTTGAGCCCACTGTAACGGAGCCGCGCGCATACGCAACCATACTTCCATCAAGGTGTCACAGCAATCACCTGCGCAGGTTGTTTGTCCGCGGAGGATCGCTATTGCGTACCTCTCTATTACGATGAGTGCCAGATGCCGAACGCGTCGCTGAAACAGCACCAGGTGGCGATGTGATGCCACAGCCTGCGGCAGGCCCTTCTTGCAGAGGCGTACGTGTATCCCCGGCAGGTCGGGATGCTGCTGCTGCTTTTGTGAATTGTGGTGTCTCTGTAATGCAGGATTGCTAAGCAGACGACAGGGGGATATAAGAATATGCCTTGCGAGCGAGTATTATCCACATCGACCACATTTTACCGTTGTACAAGCACGCCATGCCAATCCACACAGGTGAGTTCGATCATGTCTGTGGTGTGGCCTGATCTGATCGAGAACAGGAGCCGACTTCGTGACCACTGTTCGCCACGACACATATCCTGCGATTGATCCAGCCAAGGCGGACCTCGCCGGCAAGGTTGTCCTCATCACCGGAGCGTCGAAAGGCATAGGCAAGGCTATCGCCATCGCCTTCGCACAGGCCGGGGCATCTGGCCTCGTGCTCTTTGCACGATCCGACATGTCCGCGGCCACGGCTGCCTGCGAAGCTGCCGCGCGCCCTGGTCAGGATCTGAAAGTACTTGCCATCTCTGTCGACACCACCGACGCCGCCCAGGTTGCCGACGCCCTCGCGAAGGTGAAGGCGGCCTTTGGGCGGCTCGACATTCTGGTCAACAACGCGGGCTACATGGAGCATTATAAGCTGATACATGAGCAGGACCCGGAGGAGTGGTGGAAGCCTTTTGAGGTGAATCTGCGCGGGACGTATCTTGTAACCCGCGCGTTTTTGCCGTTGCTCATCGAGTGCGGTGGAGAGAGGACAATCATCAACATGTCGAGCGTTGCTGCACATATGATCCATCCGGCCTTTTCTGCCTACCTGGTATGAGTATCTCTCATCTCAGCGGAGAGTTGTGCTGACATTGAGATCCATAGACGACTAAGCTGGCCCTCCTCCGCTTCACGGAGCTGATCGTAGAAGAGTACAAGGACAAGGGCGTACTTGCAATTGCAGTGCATCCGGGATCTATTCCGACAGACATGGCAGCCAGCATGCCTGATGAGTTGATGCACATTCTCGTTGACACGCTTGAGGTGGCGACTCACACGATTGTCTGGCTTGTGAATGAACGTAGAGACTGGCTAGCTGGGCGCTACGTCGCCTGTCAGTGGGATGTGGATGAGCTTCTGGCGAAGAAGCAGGAGATTGTGGACGGGGATAAGCTGAAAGTGCGCATGGTCGTGTAGCCCGTCAGCGGTTCACATCATAGTACAGCGTAACAAATGTACCTGGACTGTTCAACTTGAAGGATAGTAATGATGGTTGTTATTTTTGCGAATCCAATATGCCTCCAGTCCAAGTTTTTCCTTTCCAGGGCAAGCTCCGTGATACACGGTGTGTTCAATGCTTGGCTCATAGATCAGCCCTCGTATGCGGACTTAGGGTGACCGTGAGTCTCTGACAGTCGTTCCTCTGGACCTCTATATTACTCAACGGCTTGAAGGTAGGTGACACGTCGATGGCACGATGCAGGTATGTATCTGAGACAGGTGCAATTCTTAGCTTTTCACGATGACAGGGACGAGTACACGGCGAAAAATATTATTCGCCTTGAAGTCCATGGCACTCGATATAGTGCGCGAAATCGAATATTAGACGCCCGAATTCGACCATTTAAGTAAGCGCCGTACGTTTTGTAATCATGCCCTCCACCTTGGCCATGATCTCATTTCCTGCGGTAAACTAAATATCAATGTCGCTCTGAATGTCGAAATGGTATGAAAACTTAGATTTGTCGACAAAATGTGCGAGATAAATCGCAGAATTGATCATCTCGGTGTACTCGAGGCCGATGAGTCAGTGACCCTCTTCTCGCCGAACTCATTGAGGGTGGAAAGACCTATGAGCCACACACAACAGGCGGATACCAACTCTCGGCGGCTGATAAGTGAGCTTCTTCCCTACTAGACTCCGTTGCACGGGCTCATTCGGCGTCGCCTAAGTGGGTCTTTGGGTGGGCACTGCTTCCGGCCAAGCTTGCATTGTCAAGCAGGCGAGTACGTGATTATGCATGCATCTGTCTGATTATCATGTTGTCGCTTCATAACGACCTTGTTCGTTGTCCCGGTGGTTCTTCCCACACAGTCTAGCTGCTACCGCCGCTTGGCACAGCTCGGTGCTCACACACTGAAGTTGCTGCGTTGCGCGTGAGATGCGAATCCGTTCATTCGGCACTCAGATACAAGCTATGATTGTGTACAGGGGTACCGAGCCGACGGCCAGTGTATTTTGACAGGCTGTGCATGATCCTGCTCTCCCTTGATTTGATCATGGATGACATACCGACGACGTATGCACACACAAATGTCAGCTTGATGAGCATAGGCGGAGTGGCGAACTGGTTCTTGGGTCCCTGCAGCCGTCATGTGTATGCGCTTACATACGTGATACTGGTAACGGGTGTCCTGTCTTACCTAGTACAGTGCATACTGGCGTCCGAAACGGTGCGATCAAGCGTCCTTTTCCTAATGGCGTACCGTGAACTCCGCTGTGTCTTCCACTCATACGAGATGCATTGACGCGGAGGAATCGCGGAGACGTTGAGCCGATTATCGGAAGCCTCGACCTAAGCCTGTTATCAGCCGTAGCCTGTTCTAGCATACTCCGGGCTGCCCGAAAAGAAGTCGAAGGAGGTACCACGAGGAGAGTGAGCTACATCGGTGCCCGGAGAAGTTGGGTGAGGTGACACAATCCCAGCTTCGTGTGCGTCTGATTGCTAGACGAGTACACTTTGTACATACTTGGATCGCGTCTAGACACGGCAGAGGACAGCGGAAGGTACGAACAAGACATTGCAGAGTCCTCGTGACTTTCGACGCACATTGAGTGGCAGAGGCGTACCCTCGTGCTCTATACACCCCTTTTCAAGCGGTGAGAGGGATCTCAAGGACCGAAAGGCCTAGGTTCTGGCATATGCGAGGAGCAAAGTTGACAGTGGTTCCATTCAATGATAATTGAACCTTGAGGCTACATCTGATCAACACCAACCCCGCCCGAAGATCTCTGAACATGAATATCACGGAGCTTACTACTGCTGACAGCAGCTCTACTCGCTTCTTCGCAGCACATGAACTGATTAAATTGGACTGGGCCATGATTTGACTTCTAGAATCGCGAGCGTCTGACTGCCACCATCCCGGTATCAATGTCACGCTCGACCATGGGCGCGCTGTGCTACTAAGCGCCTCCTACGGATCCAGGAATGTAACATGTCTGACGCATGGTCTAAGTGATATACGTTATGATGGCCGCGATTTGTTAATTTATGCTACGCTGAATGAAACTTCAGATGAAGTGAGACTTGAACCAATCGCGATCTCCTGCGATGCAGGCGCTTGTACATGATCACTTACCGGAGCGCTCGACGATGGGGGATCGAAACGCCTGTGCCACTTGCGGATGAATCGCGCTGGCAGTGTCGTAGCTGTGAAAATGCGGGAATATACCCCCCGTGAGTAGCCCGCTAGCTTCTTCTCGTCGAGTCATAAGTCCAGAACATGACCTAATATCCATAGAAGGTCATATGCAGCTCGCGGCTTTCAGCCGAAGTATGCCTCGTGCAGTGGAACCTACCACGGTTCCGTCCCTGCATAGCTTGCAGTCATAGATGACATTAGCCATCTCTGCGGGCACCGTGACAGATGGACTACGCTGTGGCTGACACTGTCTGTTGGAGATACTGCCCGAATATGGCTATCCTGATATCCGCAGTTTACGGACTAGCACGGCCCACAACATCGCACAGTGCTGTGCGAGCGGACAGTCGTCCATGTTTGACTTATCAGAATGATCTCGCCGCCTCGAGGTATATGTACCTGGCTTCTAAGACCGCATTTAAAGACCGAAGTCGTCACCCTGCAGCAACACACCCACGGTATCCCCGCGAACTGTGCAATGTCTTCCCTTGACTTTATCAACAGTTCGACTTATCTTGCGGACTCTGTGTCTTTCCATAGCACTACGATGCCTGCTTCTTTTCTTGCCTCTCTGCGCGCTTGGATCGCATTGTCTACCATCGGGCAACGCATCCTCCTGGCCCTTGCCTTAGGGTTACTGCTTATCACCGCTCGGGTAATTTCCAAATCTAAAGGAACCATGCCACCGGGCCCTCGCGGACTACCGCTGCTTGGAAATATCTTCCAGCTGCCGAAGCTACCATGGTACCGTTTCACAGAGTGGAAAGAAGAATTTGGTATGTCCCTCCTAGCGCTGCCTGCTTGTTCCTTATCCGGGCACCAGGTCCCATCTTCTCCTTAAATTTCGCGGGAACCCCCGTCGTTGTACTCAACAGTCATGAGGTCGTCGGTGACCTGCTCGGTAGGTGGCCGGCGCGCCTGATTCGAAGTGATGGCCGGGATCTCTGACAGTGTCTCGTTTCTCAGAACGGAAGTCGACAATATACAGTGATCGACCTCGGTTCATCATGGCAGGAGAAATCCTGACTGGCGGGATGCTGATCGTGTTTACCGGATATGGCAAAGTGTGCGTTCCAGGATGTAACACATCAAAGCTTTCCTGTCTCATGCCAAATTAGGTGGCGCAAACTTCGCCGCGCAGGTCAGGAAGGCCTCAACGTCCGTGCATCTGAAAAATACCAGCCGCTCCAGGAGAGCGAGGCTCGGTTGTTGACGACTAACATGCTCCGGGAGCCCGCAGAATGGGATGCCCACCTGAAACGGTATGTCGAGATATGACTGCTATAGATCAAGCGCTTATTCATGTCTCCAGAGCCGCTGCGTCCAGCATCGCCTCCGCGGTCTACGCTTGGCCACCTCTCACCAAGTCTGACGACGGACTAGTCCATAGGATCGATGAACTCATGCGTCGCCTCGTCATGGCAGGGCTTCCAGGCCGATACCTTGTCGAGATATTCCCTATCATGAAGCATCTTCCGACGTGGATGGCGAAATGGAAGCGCGAGGGTCTAGAGTGGCACCGGAAGGATACCGAGATGTTTGAAGGCTTCTATGATAACGTCGCAAGATCCATGGTGAGTGCTCTTCACAGACGCCCGTTACTGGGCTTCTGATGATGCAGTGAAGGCTTCCGGGAAGTACAAACCGAGCTTGACCGCTGGGCTTATCGAGAGGCAAGAGAAGAATGGCCTCAGCAAGAAGGAGGTCTCATGGCTCGCAGGTACCATGATGTAGGTATTGCATCTATGCGACGTCATCCATGAGATCTAATAGTCCATTCTGCAGTGGAGCTGGTGCGGAGACTGTGCGTCCAGAAACATTAACTTGATGTCATAGACTTCTCACATTCAGTCCTAGACGGCCGCCTCGCTGTCTGTATTCATGCTTGCCATGACATTGTATCCCGACGTCATGCGTAAGGCTCAAGCTGAGATTGACGCCCTCGTCGGCCGTGAGCGCATGCCCACATTTGCGGACCGGCCGCAACTGCCATATGTTTGCGCTCTTGTCAAGGAAGTACTAAGATGGCGTCCCGTCGGTCCCGTCGGTATGTCATCGAATTGAATTGTCGATCGGAGTGCCTTTCCTTACGTCAGGTTAGGTGTACCTCGGCGGACATCAGAGGTGGGTGAGCGCACGAATGTTTGCGTGCTCAAGCTGACCCAGATTTGTATAGGACGATTGGTATAAAGGGTATTTCATCCCTAAGGGCACCCTCGTGATTGCGAATGTCTGGTAGGCATCCTGTTCTCTGCCGTTTTGCTCAGAGTGGATACTTATTCCAACCCTTAGGGCAATGAATCGGTATGTATCGACAATGGTATTGTTTGAACATGCATTGAACAATACCTTAAGCGACCCTGCCATCTATCCTGACTACGACGAATTCCGTCCCGATCGCTTTCTCGATGCAAGTGGCAACGAGATTGACATAGCAGGGACGCACGGCCAGGGACACGGTCAGTACAGGTCGGACATCTTTATGATATGATCGTACTCACGCTCGAACATCAGTGACGTATGGATTCGGCAGAAGGTGAGATGACTAGCTACTGTTTTTGGACCCGATCTGAACTTTGAGATAGAATATGCATCGGGATGCATGTGGCCAATCAAGCGCTCTTCATAGACATCGCTGCACTCCTATGGGCCTTCAATATCGAAGCGCCGACCGGACCAGATGGAACTCCAATTCTTCCATCAAGAACAGACTTTGTTGACGAGGGCTTGGTATTGTGAGTAACACATCGAACACTATACGGTGTGGATTCTGATTACCGTCGCTCAGCCGGCCTGCCGCGTTCCGGTGTAAGGTTACTCCCCGTATCGATGATGTGGCGGCAATGCTTGCTACATTAGAAAAGGATGTATAACATGATCTGAATGGTTCATAATTATTCGTATCTATTGGAGGCTTGCTCCGCGAAGACTTAGATTACGCGGTCTGATATTAGTAGATTATGTCCGACTAGAATGTCTCGTGAGGCGATTGTACTTTCAAATCAAGTTTATTTTTGAAAATTTAACATCTAATACTTGCCACCTTGGTGTCTCTACGACCGGTAGAGCAGCCGGAGTAAGGCTTACGAACGACCCAGAAGGAGAACGCGATCTCATCGCGGTCACGTGCAAGTGTTCATATAGCGTCAACTGGCGGAGTAAATTGCTACACAGCGCATACCATATACCAAATCAGCTATAATCACGGAAGCTGTAAGCTCTGCATTAGGATTGTATATAATTTCCGACTGATATTGCCTGTGTCATAGATTGCTTGGGATCTGTGAGTACATTGCGACTGATAGTCGTCTTACTCGTCTTAACCTTGAAAAATCACAGTCAATTTGAGTCTGAAGACAGATATTGCAATGACACGTTTACGTCGTGATACCCAAGACTCTTCTGCATCATCGTCGCAACGCCCTTTCCGAGTAGTTGCGTGTGGGACGCTATTCTTGACCCATACACTATCACTACCCACTCACCCAGAACCGAGTACTGTTGTACGGGCAAGCTCCGTGACACGCTCTCGAGGCGGACCGGCCAGCACGTGTCTTGCGATATTGGCCCAATTTCCAGCAGTTCATGCTATACTAGTTGCACCGCTCGGAGGAAACGACGACGGCAAACAGATAATCCGTGAACTTGAAACCGAGAGGGTGAGTACGAAGTACTGCAAGATCTGGGAAGAAGCCGGTGTGCCTAGCGCTTGGGTATTGCATGCAGGTCTTTGTCGCGTCTCAATGTGTCCGTCGTCTCACTGATTTTGCGTTCTGTAGATGACACAGATGCACGCACCGTGATCAATAACAACCCGCTTCCAGATATCACTCATGAAGATTTTATCTCTCTTCTTGGGCCGCTTATCGCGCCGGAGAATTATGCATATTTGCCGCCTACGTCTCAAGCAGCCGCGGGCCCTACCCATCCTATTGGAAGTATTCCCCACGCTGTCCAGCCGCGTAAATCTCTCTCAAACCTGCATGCTGCTGTGGAAAGATCAACTGTGAATACCAATACTCCAGCCCCCTTTGAGTGGATACACTTCGAAGGCCGCTCAGTGAAGACAACCTTGAGCAACATCATGGGTCTCGAAGGTTTAGCAAGAGAACGCAAGTGGCGAAATCACTGCACGTTTAGCGTTGACATCGGACGACGAGCGCGACAAGGTGTCGAGGCGGTGCGACACTCAGCTTGTGGTTACCCTCATCGGGCTCGTTCTGATTGATGCGCCATCAGCTGATTCCTTACGCGGACGTGGTATTCCTCAATAAACATTATGCACGAGCACACTCGCCGCAATATGCTTCATCGCCCCGCGCATTCCTCCTCTCGCTCACGGCTCTCGTGCCACCACACGCGCTGCTGGTCGCTTACTGGGGTGAAGAAGGCGCCGCTGTTCTCTCTGTTCCGACGCGCGAATACTTTCAAAGCTCTGGCTGGGTCGGCCTCGACAGCACAAATCCCATTCCTGAGGTGTCTGCACTTAGCATGAGAACTGGCACTGATCCAGGAGATCACGATCCGGAGGACCGAGTGGAAATGGTATCCGTGCGAACAGAGAGCGACTTCTGGGCAGGCCAGCATACAGACTCTTCGAGTATCTTCACAGCTGGTGCTTTCTCGCAGTCGTTTTCTGCCTCACCCTCGCCCACACTACCTAGACCGCCGGAAAATGTGCATGCTACCTCCGCGTGGACACGGGAAACGCACCGTCACAGACGTAGCGAGTCATCTGACTCTGATGGGACACAAATTGGAGCGCACCGCACAGATCAAGGCAAAACGCAACGTGTGGACAATGCAGCCTTGCGCGGAGCAAGCATAGGTACACAGCACTCCCATAGTGCTGTCATCGACGAAGTGGGTGCACAGGATGCCTTTATTGCGGGCATGATTCTCGCACTTGGTCGCCGCATGCTGCCTGGAGAGCCCTACACACCTATGTCAGGCGGTCGCAATAACGCAGACGCTGGAGAAGGGGAGAAGGGGAGGTGGAGATTAGAGGAATGTCTTCGGTATGTTGTGATGCTAATGTGAATGCCACAAATGACGGATTGGCGTGCGCAGCTTTGCGACGGAACTTGCAGGCAGGAAGGGACGAAGAAAGGGGTGGGATGGATTGGCGGATGAAATGGCTAGGGCTGGTTGGCTTGAGATCTAATACCTCCATGGACCCTGTATACCGCGTACAGAGCTGACGTGCATATTGAACGGAGTCCTCACCAGGCTACTAGTGTCTTCTGTAATTTCGTGCAGATGAATGCCTTGTGCGCATAATATCTGGTACTGACACCAGAAATGTATCATTGACCTTGATGGGACTGGGACTGCGGGGACGATTATGGAATGGTGGCCCAATGTAATCATAGCATTCATACTTTTACTACTATATCTACAAACAGGGGGTAAATCGCGTTCAGCGTCTATAAAACCCCCTCCTTCCTGGAGTAACTTCAAATGTATTTGACGGTTAATTTTAAGCTGCCAGTCACTCGTAGGGAAAGTTTGTCCCGTACCCAGACTCACCGTGTCCGCATCTCACCACAGCAAATTGCAGAAACAGGTACGAGACAAGATAATATAAGGAGCATAAGCGCTCCCTGAACCCACGTTGCTGGTACCAACATCACGTGATAACTCCCCTAAATGGAAAGGTTTATTCTCCCGTAGCCGCTGAAGATCCCCGATATCCGTATGCGAAGTAGCTCTCTCTACTGAAGCGATAAGCTCCGGGTTTGCGCTGCACAAAACTTGAAAGAACCACGGACTATAGTCGCATATAACATCTCTTCCCTCAAACCGGTATGTTGCTTGCGGTGTCACACATTTGCAAGTTGAACAATTGCCCTAAGACGCATTGGGGACCGACCTCAATCACGCTGATATCTCTCGCTCGCTGCCGTCGGCTCTGGATCTCCTCCAGGATGTCTGATCCATATCCTGCGCAAAGGTCAGGACACCGAAGGCATAAGCATCGTGACAGAGGCCATCACGAACGCGGAGACTGGTACGCTGCGAGCAGCGATACGCATCCTAGCTCTTCTCAGTCTGGATACCAACATGCCGAATATGAAGAGCCCTTCGACGCAAACGCTTCGTTCCGTGGCGCGTCTTCAGCTCGCGAGGCGAGGTACACGAGCTCCCAGTTCATTCAGGGGCACGGTCAATCTCACTACAGCGCATATGCCCACGACGCCCGAGCTTACGAGGTCACACAGGAATCATCAAGCCCTCCTCGTTATCCTGAGCGACAATCCCGCGTAGCACGCCCAGAGCCACAGCGTTCCCCATCCCCTCGCTATCTTTCCTTGGCTGAAGAACCTTCTGCGACGCTTTCTGACCCCTCCAGCTCTCGCAAGTTGCTCATCCTGGATCTCAACGGCACGCTCGTGTTTCGGTCACCGCACGCCAGCAAAGCAAAGACGAGGGGCGGCTTCAACCGTGGTCATGAACTGCCGCGTCTGCGCCCAGTACACCCGCGTCCTTACATGCCTGCGTTCAGGTCATACCTGTTTGCACCTCAAACGAAAGCATGGTTAGATGTGATGATCTGGTCCTCTGCACAGCCACACAGTGTCTCTAGCATGGTGGACCGATGTTTTGGCCACTGGAAGAACGAGCTGCTAGCGATATGGGCTAGAGATACGCTAGGCTTGACGGAGGATAATTATAGTACGCATCTACTTTCGAGCCCGTCTGGTCATAGGAGCTGGCGGTGATGCGTGGGTGCCCTCGAGGCACCTGTACGTGGGCCGCCAGCTCAACCGGGCTTCTCCGCATATATCTGATTCTGCCTCGATTACAGGACGGAAGGTGCAAACTGTGAAGGACCTCAGCAAGCCTTGGTCGCAACTGCCCGCAATCTTGACACCGCTGCCACCCTCCCCCCGCTTGTCTGAATCTGAAGCCAGCACCTCTCGATCTGACGGGTCTTTGAGTTCTCGTAGCCCTCGGACCTACATGCCGCCACACAGACGCAGGCAGAACACCCCGCAGGCGCACTCAGCCCTTACGACAATCCTTCTTGACGACTCCCCTCTCAAGGCTGTGCTACAGCCTTATAACCACATATGCATCGGAGAGTATTCCGCAGAGCGGCGCGCCCAAGATCTAGCAAGCCTTGAGCAGGAGCGTGAATGGGAACTGTTCGTTGCGGCTAGAGCGCAAGTCAAAGCTGACGAAAGTGCTGTGCAAGAAAACGTGGTGGTGCCCGGTACATTCTTGTCATCGCGCGCCGACGATGTACGCCAAGAGGAACGGTCAGAAGACGTGGCTCAAGAGAAGACATCCAGGGAAAAGCGCAAGCGCAAGAACAAGGAGGTCCATCAAGATGCAATCGCACAGGAGGGTCCTATGCAGGAAAATGCCTATTCCTCTTCATCCTCTCCGTCTGACAGCACTTCGTCTTTGCTCTCGAATCAAGACAAAGGCGGCGACCGTGTGGAACTGAACTCGAAGAAGCGCCAGCGCAAGAGCAAACGGCAAAAGAAGCTCGAGACACTCGCGCACGACGCTGGTGTGACGGAGCCCGAGCGCCAGTACGATGAGACGCTCCTGGCCGTCGTCGGTGTCCTTGACGCGGTGAAGCAACAGCGTAATGTTGCAGCATGGATCCGATCTGGTGGCCTGTGGCATCCGACAGTGGAGCCTGTACCCGCGATCACAAACGTACGGGATGCTGTTAGTGGCCCGTCTGAGGGTGTGTTGGAGGACGCCGGAGATGGTGTCGGAGGAATTGCATTTGATGATCGGGAAGACGGAGCCAAGCGTCGAAGACGAAAGCGGCGTCATCGAGATGCCGCAGCAAGCGATAAGCACGCCGACGCGTCTACAGTTGTTGCTAATCCAGGGAACGATGCAGTCACCACAGTTGAAACATCTGTTCCCGAACTGAATCCCCCCTCCCATGTCAAGGACGCCTCAGTGACAACGATACCATCAGACTCGATGTGGTTTGAAGATGTCAAAACTGTAGCATACTGGGCGGAGCGCGGGCGCAGAGCCCTGGAAGGGCTAGGGATTCCAGTGGAACATGGAATAGATCGGTAGCTCGAGCAAGGTGTCGTGTATGATCTTGCAGGGTACTTTGACTCTTTCAAGGACACCGCTTCTCAAGCGGATATAAAACTGGATTTCTTTTTCAAAAAAAAGAACACCGCTGTTACCGATGCATGGCCTTTCTTGCGCATCTTAAGCTGATTTTACGATCAGTCCACCAGGCTACAGCATCGCAAGTGTACGCATACAGCACGGCGTCACGGCGACGACTGGTCGACTTGGTCTCTCAGAGATGGGCTATGAAATTTTGTATGTAAGAGCAGGGCATTCTTGGTCCAGTGGTCTAGTATGTCTTCGCCGAAAAGTTCTTCAACTATTGTCACTGGTGATCGATCCGAGTCTTTCGTCAACAAATATAATCGAACAGGTGTATGGCTTGTCCAGATCCCTGGCCCGATACCGCTGACTAAGCAATCTGCTCTCAGTCGCGCGTCCCCATTTTAACAATCTCTTCAAGTGTTCAAAGGACTGGGCACGTCCGACTATCAAAGCCTACTATTCACTGTGACCGTTCAACACACAAAATGCCGCGTGCACCCTCACCTTCGATACCAGAGAAGGAGTTCCTATATAGCTCTCTCAAGCAGTCGCTGCGCCTCGACGGCCGAAATACGCTCGAGATGCGGACACCGACGCTCACGTTCGGACCTGAGCTCGGCTGGGTGGAGTGCTCGCTTGGGAAGACACGGTGAGTGGCCGAGATCCTGACGTGGCCGAGTGATTCCTCACGAGAATACCAGAGTCATCGCGCAAGTCGACGCAAAAATGGTGAAGCCCCCGCCGGAGCGCCCCCTCGAAGGGATCATTTCCATCCACTCTGAGATCTCGCCCATGGCGTCGAGCGACTACGAACCCGGACGGTGGGTACGTGTGTCGCCGTCTCGCCAGCCTGTGCCTCTCACGTGTCAGTGCTCGCAGGCCGTCCGATGAAGAAGTGACCATCACGCGCATGCTGGACAAGGTCCTGCGACGGAGCGATGTCGTGGACAAGGAGTCGCTCTGTGTGCTTGCCGGGCAGCGCGTACGCCTTCTCCTTGCGCTGCATTTGTGTGCCCAGGACTGACGTCTTCCCGTCCTCAGGTATGGCATCTCCGCCTGACGATACACTGTCTGGCCGACGCAGGGAACATGCTGGACTGTTCGTGTCTCGCCGGCATTATTGCGCTCAAGCATTTCCGCAGACCCGAGGTCGAGGTTGTGGGCGACGAAGTCACCATAGTGCGTGCCCCCTGTTCTCCCTCTCCTTCCCGCGAGTCTCACGCGCACGCGCACCTGGCCAGCACCACCCGTCGGAGCGCGCACCCGTGCCTCTGTCCATGCACCACATGCCGTACTGCCTGACGTTCGCGTACTTCCCCGACACCACGATCGCGCCCGTACTCGACCCGTCGCGCCTCGAGCAGCGCCTCAGCGCCGGCTTGCTCTCGATTGCGCTGAATGCGCAGCGCGAGCTGTGTGTCGTGCAAAAGGCTGGCGGCGTACCGCTCGATCCAGACGAGGTGCTGCGGATAGTGGACATCGCGGTGGGCAAGGTGAAGGAGCTAGATGGAATTGTGGAGGCGCGACTGAAGGAGGACTGGGCGGGGCGCGTCGTCGAGGTTCTGTAACGCAATTGGGCACATTCTCATGTAGCAATAGACCTTACACTATATCAATGTGAATACAGTAGGGTACGGTGAAGTATGTAGGTACAGTGCTTAACCGGCTAATTAGCCTAAGCCTGTGCGAGAGGTCAAATTAACCTATGTAATTCACGGCTAATTAGCCGCTATAGAACATGGCCTGATGAGCACTTCTAGCCACTAAAGTAGCTTTATCTAATGGTTAAGTCGCCCAGCGATTGCGTCCAGATAGTGTCTGAACATCTCCAAAATCAGCGCAGGTGACTTGATCCTATTTAACCATATTTAACCCTTGTTTTTCGGGCCTCGTGCAATTTACCGCTAATTAGCAAGAGTTAATTAGTCGAAGCTAATTAGCCCGGCCTATTCCACCGTACCCTACTCCCGACACGAGCGGTTGTAGCTTCATACTCGACGTCGCCCACGATGGCCTCCATCTTGTCTCCGTTTAGGCAGACATACCGTTACCTGGTGCGTACAGAACATTCAATATGCTGATACTCAGAAATTAATCACGTCCGCGATGTCTAAACGCACCCGCATCCCGCCATTTACCGCCCCGAACTACGACTTGTGTCTGCGATCTAGCAACGGCAAGCACACGAGTCACCCGTCATCTTCTTCTCCTGCGTCCTCGGCGCCATCGGGCCCCTCATGGTCATAACTGTGCCGCCAATTCGCACGAGCCTGGGCTGGAAGCCGGCGGAGTCGATACCCACCACGTATCCCTGTACGTCCCCGCGTTTGCTGTCTTGCAGGCATCGCTCTGACCTGCATGCCGCGCTCAAGTGCCGAACCGACCAAGGAGACCGGTGCAGGGCTACGAGGACGAATGAGTTCTGCGGCATGTTCTCTGCTTAGACAATGGACTGCAATCGAAGGCTTTCGACCACCCGACTGAGTTCTGGGGAGAACCCTGGCGGCGGAAGCGACACCCGCGGACTCGGAAGATCTGTACCATTATGCACCCGCTGCACGGGGAGTGGCGCGCGAAGCATTTAATTCTATGACCAAGGCTGCATAACCGCAACTTCAGTGGACACCAAGATTGTCCTGATCAAATACCGAAGCACTTCTCTTCATTCGCAGTGCCTGATATATTTAAGTTAATTTGCATGCCACGGAGGATATTGCTCAAGACAATCACTTGCTGCACAACTGCTAGGCGCTTGAGTGGTTCGCCACCAAGACAGTGCCATGGAATTATCAAAACTCACCAAAATTGATACGCAGAAACATGGAGGAAGAGCTTATGATCCATTCAGAACTCAAATGATGAGAATTGGTGGACTTGTGAATGACTTACAGCGTACTTAATGCTTAGTTGTCTTTGCGAGAGCGAGGTCTCACCAGCAACCCCCATGTCGATATGCTCGCTTCGCTCGCAATCGGCGTGCTGGTACAAGGACAATGACTTGAGCGCTGTCTGTGGTCTTCTCAAATGTGTCGCATGATATTGCATAATGCTATCGATACATTGTTGGATGTCCTGCCTACCCTACAGCGCACGCCTCCCCTCTACTCCAAGGTAATGTACAAATGCTTGCTCGTCAACAGCGCCCGCGCCCCAGGTATGAGCACGATCGTCTGTGTGTTGTCGATGATCATCGCCGGGCCCTCGATAACGTCCCCATCCGCGAGATCCGGCAGGAGGTACACCGGCGTGTCGTTGACACGCCCGACGCGGTCAAAGTAGACGCTCCAAGTTGTGTCCGCCTTCTTCTGGTCGACCGCGCGCGTCTCCATTTTGGCGACCTCGGCGAAGACGGACTCGCCGAGCGTGTCGAATGTCTTGCCAATACCACGGACCTGTGCGGCAAGTTGTAAGTTAAACGGGTGCCCGTAAAATCAGACACGAGCGGCATGTTCACCTTGATGTCGTCGACGATGATCGACTTGGTGTCCAGCAGGAAGCCGAACTCGGCCTTGTATGCGCGCTTGAATGCAGCCTCGAAGTCCTCCTGGCCGTCACCATCCTTCGCATGGGGCAGCACCATCAGTGCTGTGTCTGTGCCGTCAAAGCGCATGTTGAGCATGCGCTCTGTGTGGACGTGCTCGCCCTCGAAGCCCTGGCGCGCGAGCTCAGCGCGCACGTCCGCGTCGAGCTTGTCGAGCCGCGTGAGGAGCGTCTGTCGGTTGTCCGGCGTGTAAAACGTGGAGGAGGGCTGCTGCAGCTCGTACACGCTGTCGCGGGTGAGGGGTGTCAGTCGGTATCCGCACGGTACGTGGAAAGAGTGTTTACCGGTCGGCGAGCGCCAGCCCGTAGGCGGAGAGGATGGAGCTGTATCGGTGGATGAGGATGGTCTTGATGCCGAGCAGCTGCGCAATCTCGCAGGCGTGCTGACCGCCCGCACCGCCGAAGCTCGCGAGACTACCACACAATTAGAATACAGCTGAGAAGTCACTTATGCGTCACACCCACATATGCTTAGACAATGCATATCCTCTTGCTTCCGTCAACGCGCGGATTGGTCGCGCCATGGTCTCATTCGCGACCTTGATGAAACTGGGGAGGTCGTGAGCGCGCAACGTACATGGCTGGAACAGAGCATGAGCTTACCCGTAGACGATCTCGTCGAGGTCTAGCTGCTTTTCTTGGTTCGCGTTGATCTCCTTCGCCAGCGTTTCAAACGCAGACCGCGACGCCTCCGTGTCCAGAGGCTCCTTCTCCGACTTGCCGAAGATCTTGGGGAAGTAGTCGGGCACCAGGCGGCCGAGGACCAGGTTAGCGTCGGTCACCGCCAGCGGTCCGCCCTTACTGTGAACCCAACGCCTGTGAGCTCACGCTTCGTGATCACGACTCTATCTGCTCACCGATAACATGCAGGACCAGGCTCTGCACCCGCGCTCTCCGGGCCTGCCAGGAAGAGTCCGTTGCGGAACGTGAGACACGAGCCGCCACCAGCTGCGACGGTGTTGATGTCCAGCTGTGGCGACTGAATGGTCACGCCGGCAGTCGTGGTCTCGTACACGACCTCGTACCGGCCGTCGTAGCGAGAGACGTCCGTCGATGTACCGCCCACATCGAGGCTGGGGCATGGCAGGCGTCAGAGCAAGCCATCTCGCGGAAAGCGCAATGCTTACCCAATGATGGGATGCTTGCGTTCCTCGTCCCAGCTGGTGAGCGCATAGCCGACGACACCGCCCGCCGGCCCGCTCAGAATGCTCTTCAGCCCCGTGAAGTTCGTCAGGTCCAGTAGGCCGCCGTCGCTGCCCATGAACTCGACGCGCGGGCTGCGCAGCCGGCCGTCCTTGAGCTGCGCGTCGAACCCGCTGAAGAAGCCGTCGAGGTAGTCGCGCAGGATCGGCGTCAGGTACGCGTCCGCCGTCGACGACACCCCGCGCGGCACCATCTTGATCATCGGCAGCAGACGCGACGACTCGGACACGTGCGTGAAACCGACCTCGCGCGCGACCGCGCCCACCGCCGACTCGTGCTCCGGGAACGTGTACGAGTGGCAGAACACGATCGCCAGCGAGCGGTAGCCCTCGCTGTACAGCCGCTGCAGGTCCGCGCGCACCGGGCCGAGCTCTGTGTGCGTGCGCCCAGTCAGACGGGCGCGCTGAGCACGCGGAGGACGCACCTGGCCGCTTCAGAATGCGTACTGCCTCGCCAGACAGACCCTGGACAATCTCGCCGGGGCCCTCCGCATCGCCCGCGCCGTCCCAGCCCTTGCCGCGGTATCCACGCGTGACCTTGCCGTGCTCGTCGAACTGCACTGCGTGCTCCTCCGACTTGGGGTCAGACGTGTAGCCGACGAGCGTGACACGCTCGTCGACCTCGAGCACCGTCGAGTAGAGCGGCGCGGGGCGGCGGACGTTGAGGTCGAAGATCTTGGGGCGCGACTGGTTCCCGATGAGCAGGAGGTCCTTGAAGCCGCGCGTGATGAGGAGCGCGTGTTTGTGCCCCTTGCGCTCGAGCAGCGCGTTCGTGGCTACGGTAGTCGAGAGACGGATGTAATCTATCGTGCACTCGATCAGAGCAGCTCATACAAGGCGGTAGGTGATAGACGGACCGATCTTGTCCGTCTGCAGGACCTCTCCACGAGGAATCTGTGTGCCCGTTGCGATCTCTAGCACCCGCCTGATGCCTTCAGTAGGCGCATCGCGGTAGTTGGCTGGATCCTGAGACACTACAAATTTATGAGATTAGGGTTTTAGACGGCACAGGCAGTACTCACGCAACTTCACGACAATTTCCTTCCTCTCCTTGGGATTCTCTGGGTCGGGGAACGATGCATGTACATCGCAGAATGTCCCTCCCCTGTCGGCACATATCCGGATAGATCGGTCTGGGATAGTCATCTGCATGTTCTAGTCAGTCTTCCCTTGCCACAATTCACGGCTGCAACATACGCTGCAATAGGTCCTTCGTGGGATCTGCGGTCTACCTAACCGCGCACAGGAAGTGGTCGTCCGGCGTAAATCTGAGTAGTGCTCTGGTCTTTGCTCGGCCTATAAGCTGTTCATTGAATGCTGATCCTATACGACTATGACTCGACGACGGGAACAACGGAATTCCCTAGGAGTGCCGTGATGGAAGGCTCGAGGGGTAACATGAACGACGCGACTAGGCGCTTCGTCTGAATGCCACTGGCACGATAAGATAAACCCCTTTCGAATGGGTTAAACTTTGAGTCTTCCACGGCACGCCGATGGTCAGGACAGCCAGATATACGACGAGTGCTGTGCGCACCCTCCAGCGACAATATTTAGAGAACTTGTCGGCGAAGACATACTAGGGGGTGCTCAATTCTTCTCGCTCGCTCATTCGTTCGCAGAATGCCCACCTTTTTTGGTAGGTATTTCCAACCCCGACTGATCCCTCAGCCACCCGCGATCGACGCGACCCAGCCAATGTTGAGCTCGTGTTATACTAGGCCACAGATTTTAGGACGAATCAGTACTGGTACGGGGGAGAAAGACAAGACAAACATACCTGCGGGGGAGCGAGGTATAAGTATGTAGAGTAGGTATCACGTGGAGGTAGACAGAGAATGAGCTACGGGATCGGATTGTGACGTAGGGAGCGTGGATCGCGACCGCGGACGTCAAGCGTTGCGGGGGAGTCAGAATCCGACACAGATGAATTCTAGAGAAACAATCTTCAAGCTTCAAGAATATACTACTTACAAACAGCTCAAAGGTTGCAATTGCAGGCAGTCACAGTTGTTCAGATCATTCCTTGGATACCTTAGAGCCTTATAAAAAGCCTCATCATTGGCTGTATTAAGTAGTACTTGTATAATCGTGAGTAATTATGAGACTTGCGATTGCGGTCGCTGTCGATCGCGGGTGGCTGAGGGATCCGTCGGGGTTGCAGGTACTTCCAAAAAAGGCGAGTGCTCCGTGAACGAACGAGCAACCCTCTAAGGCAAATCGCTTAGTCATTAATATCGGGCCCGCGATCTGGACAATCTACTGCGCATCCAAAATGATATTTCTTTTGTGAGAGTAAGAACCAAACTCTTGTTCGGGACCCTCTGCCTCATACATGAGAAAGTGGGAATTCTATCATATAATATTTCTGACTGAGAATATATCTCCTACAGAGCGAGAAACGAGTATTGCTGTGATAGATCCACAGCCGGAATACCGGAATCTGCCGGCTGGCAAAGAATTGCTTTCCCCATTACGAGATCGAGATCGACCGTCATTGCGTCCTACGTTTTGAACCGCTCCTCCGCGCCAGAATGGTCCGCCTAATCACCCACAACCTACTCGCGTGCCACGCCAAAGGCTGCACCTCAAACAACTTTCCCCTGCAGCTCAAGGACGTGCAGGTCGAGCTGAGAGACGCCGAGTACAACGCCGACTTCTTGCGCGGGTTTATTTCGCGCATAGAATGGCCCGCACTCGTCGACGCAGCGCGACAGGTGCGAGCAGTGTATTCTCCAGGACCGCTGTGCCGATTCTGATTCTGACGCGCTGCACAGCTGGGGGACACATCCCTGCCCAACGAGCCGCCGGAAATGATGGACGACGACTTCCTGCAAAAACTGCACCATGTCCTCCTAGAGGTGTGTCCTGTTGCTCCGCTTTTCTCCTGCGGCGCAGTGCTTCCATACCATGACACACGGCTACCAGATCCACATAGAGGAGGGTGCCATGATCTGCCCAAATTGCGCGCATGTATACCCCATCTCGAACGGCATCCCAAACATGGTGCGCCCCCGCTCGCTTTTCCTTGTGCTCACGCAGCTCGCACTCATCCCCCGTGCCCCAGCTGCTCGCAGAACACGAGATCGGCTGATCGTCATGCTGCAATGCAGTCACAGACCATCGATATTGTATGACCTCCACAGTGTATCGGGCTCGTGTAATCACACTCAGTCAGAAGCGAAAGCGCTGTCCCTTTTGCCTGCTTACAGGAACCACGCCGGGTAGGGTCTCATTACTGCACGCTCGTATCGCTGTTATGCACGCACTAGGCGTCCTTCTACGTCAACTGTGAATGCGGAACCATATGGGTACTGTTACCATGACACGGAGGCTTGTTGTCACCGGTACATCCACAACAATGGGACTTACTTCTGGGTCCACCCCAGCTGTAACGATATCTGTACCTGCAGACAGCCAGAGTTTTATTTTATTTTATTTTATTTATATCCAGTTTTATATCCGCTGGAGGGACAGCCGGAGTTAATGTCGGTGGGCCTGCTGTGCATACAACGTCACTTTGTTGTACGTATTGCGTGCCCATATTTTCTCCCTTTGAATACGAGTGCATGACGCTTGCAATCAACATCAGATTGCTTGCTGTCATCATACATAATAGCCAGACAAGTCTGGAGCCTAGTGAACAACAAAGCCGCAGGAACGTTCCATTTGGTTGTTTCCCGAAAGGTCCTTGTGCAACTAGTCACGAATGGGTATTTTGATCACGTCGAATCCTACAGACACAAGGGAGACAGCACGACAATCAATTACAGGGGATGCAAGTATGCAAGATTTTACATTCAATACGTTCAGATAGCTATTAGCACTGGCCGTACTGCAAAGTAGGGGGGTTTTCCGCATCTATACAAAGCAACAGACGAACGAGCACAAACGTCTATCGCCTCTGGCCAAGAGATCTAGCGAGTCTTCTCTACATTCTAGGGGGTTAGTCACGTCTATGGTTCTTGAATTGGTTTCATCGGAAAGGGAACCACACAGATTCGCGACTGCCGCCTAGTGGCCTGGATGCCGGAAAACGTTGAGGGTGAGCGATCAGTCTATACGTGGACGCTTGCGGGATTGCTCGCCATTTGCGCCACCAGCGGTGCTGAAGTACTCCAGCTTGCCGTGAGGGTCCGTCTTGATCGTCTGGCTACCCTCAGTCCAGTTGGCAGGGCACACTTCACCGTGCTCGTCCTGCAAGTGTTCAGTCAGTGTCGACAGCAAGGACAGTGCCAAGCCAGAGGAACGCACGGTGAATTGGAAGGCCTTGACGAGACGGATGGTCTCGTCGACAGAGCGGCCAACAGGCAGGTCGTTGACGGTGATTTGCCTAGGCCATAGATATGAGCGCCGACGCCACATATTGCCAGCTCATGGTTTTACACACCTGAGCGTGCCCTTGGGGTCGATGAGGAACAGGCCGCGGAGAGCAATGCCCTCCTCCTCGATGAGAACGCCGTAGTCACGGGAGATCGACATGCTCTTGTCCGCGATCATGGGCAGCTTGAGGTCGGGACCGAGACCACCCTGCTTGCGGTCCTGCGTCGCCCACGCGAAGTGGGAAAAGTGCGAGTCCGTCGAGACACCTGCATGACCAGACCAGCGATGAGGTGTGCCTGTTCCGAGTCTAAAAAGATGCCATACTGAGGACGGTGGTGTTCAGCTGCTTGAATTGGGGCAAAGCATCATTGAACGCAAGAATCTCGGTCGGGCACACAAACGTGAAATCGCTGGGGCAGGTCAGTTACGCGTTTTGGCAGTCCTGGGAATACGCACAGAGGGTAGAAGAAGAGAACCACCCTGACAAATATAATCATGAGCCAAAAGGGCTATTAATACGAGTGGCTATGTCGATCTCACCATTGACCGAGATAATCTGACAACGAGATGTCCTGGAAGAGGCCATCCACGACAGCAGGGGCCTTGAAACCGGGGGCGGGCTTTTGAACAGTGGCGACCATGGCGAGCAGCGATACAGACAACGACGAGTACGAAGCGAGCCTCGAGAGTATAGGACATTTATTTCCGCGATATTTGGCGTTGTTTGCCCGGATACGCCCACGTGATGGATGACACCGCGGGGTCGTGACCCGCTTACATCCAACATCGCCAGGGCTGGCGTGCTGGAACTCTCCTCGGCCGTGCTCGGCCCTTCCACGCAATCTGGCGGAACATGGATGATCAGACACGTTTGATTCCAGAGCACGAAGAAGCAGAAAAAACCAATAGCAATGTGCAGAACTACAGCGTCATACAGTACTCTCAGATATTAAAGGTATGCCTACTGTGACAAGACCGGTGTCCGCCCATCATGGGTATATGGCTCTTATGGCCGAGGCGTTTGCTGTGCTCCTATACTTTCAACGTGACTCCGTCCGACGATGTGATCGCCTTGCCGATTACGCGCTCCCAGCTTGGTCGAGTCGTACGGCACATCGCCCAAATTTGTCAGATCGCGCCAGCGCTGTCACTGGTCAGCGTGCACATGAGTGGTAATCGCAAAGCACTCCGTTGATGAATAACCCGCTGCACCGTCAGTCCCGACATGACGTCAAGCCGACGAATCGGAACGTCGGCGCGGGCAGATGCTCGCCAGGCATCAAAAACGCGCTGATACGCTCGCGGCGCCATCTGGCGCCAGATAGGAATACAACTTCTCGTAGCGAGGAGCAGTGCTTGCCCCAAGAGCTCAGGTACGCTTCTTCGCGTGCACGAGGAGGCTGTGAGCCCGAACCGCTGGCCGCTGAGCCCGGTCGACTAATAGGAAAGGGCGACGGGAGAGGGGTCGGCAGAGCAGAGGGCGGCGGTATGTTCGTTGCCGTTAGAGGGGGAGTAGGCAGGTCCTCCATCGGAGATTCGGATGATGATAGCGGGAGCAAGCCCGTACGATACATGCGCAACACGTGCAGTGTGCGATGTCGAGGCATCATCGGAAGTACCTGTTTGTAAAGCACCTGCAGAGAATTTAGCGATCATGCCATCACGGTACATCTCTACTGACATCACACATACCTCGTCGCCGAGAACCCACTCAATGTCCAGAACCTCCAGCTGACCGCCCAACTCGGATCCCGCGGACATAAAGAGTCGCTCAAGAGTCCGTGCATCAACGTGGGTTGACGTTGACTTTATGGTGAGGTGGGTCAAGCAAGCACTCGATTGCGTCAGCCCGGACATGACGGCAGAGGGCTTTAGACCCTCCCACAGGGTCGAGTGCACATGAATTACAGCAGTCGACACGGGGCGTCCTGGAACTACCACCGCAGCCATTGATGCCGGGCCATGGAAGGAAATCAGGTGAGGAAGTAGATGAGCGGGCCATAGTCGCCTGGTCGTCGTAGATTGTGTGGGTGTGTCTGGCAATTCCGTCTGAGAGGACTGCTCGGAAGCACCGATATCAAGGTCATATGGCTTGTCGAGATGGAGGTCAGGAAAGGAGATGTCGACTAAGGCGGTCTGATCAGCGAGCCAGGACATCAATGCGCGGTACTCGTCCGCGGATATGGACTGCGAGAGGAGGGTGAGTGACTTCAAGCGGAACGTCGTGTGACGGAATATATGTGCATCGAACCATGGGATAACGAGTGATTGCAGCCGGTCCATGTTGTTGAATGCAATAGCGTAAGTCACGATGCCGAAAGAGGGTGCGCTATCCTTAGATGAAGGCAGCGTACCGCTAGCAAACTCGTGTACGCAGGTGGCGACAGATCTCTTGGAGGCGAACAACGACATGCACTGTTCCACATGGTCTGGGGAGATGATGCGCATGTCGATCTTGCGGTATAAAACGCGCAGGGCAGGAATGAGGAATGCTTTTGAGACGCGTGACAACGCCAGGACATCCGAGCGCGACGCGAACGAGAACACGACCTGCCAGAGCTCTGAAGGTATGCGGGTGATGACCGGACTGTCTTCCGCTGTCGACCCGAGCTTCGCACCCAGCTGCTTCTGTTCGCTCCCCACGCGGTTTGGTAGACTGATGGACCTTCGGCGGCGTTCGCGTGTGGGCGTGCGCGGTGTTTGAGGTGCATCCTCTGCGTCTCCCATCATGCTCGCGGGCCTTCCCAGCCCTAACGGCATGCGAATTTCCTCCAGCGAAGGTGTCGGAGAGGGCGTGCTCTCGCGTGAGAACGTCCGCGGGAAATCGACAGTGTGTCCAACCGGGGCGGCCATACTCAAGCCACTCGAGGATTTTGGCCGCTTCCCCAGCGGCGAGAACTTCGCGCTGAGGAGCGAGAACGTCTGCAGTCTTTTGCCCGCCCGCGGGGTCCCAAGCTTGCTGAGGAGCGAGGCCGAGTCGCCATTCAATGTCGGTGTGCGCGACGGGGGCCCCGGCATAACGATGCTAGAGCGCATGCTGGTGTTGTCGGCATCTTGCTGAACCCTGCGGCGGCTGCGAAAGAAAGACATGGCATAGCCTGGTCAAGGACTGCCGGCGGAGGCAATGAAGGTCGCTACCAGCAACATATATACTGACCGTCGTCGCCGACGAAGTTCGATTGGCTGCGGGGCAGGCTTCTGCCGGCTCATTCAATCATGATCTCGCGTATATCATTGTATTTAGGTAAATTCGAGGGCATGGGCGCATCATATTCTCATGTCACTGCATATCCAAGTTCGACATAAAGTATAAGCTGCTTGCCAATTTTGGAATGGATTGGGCACCGTCTGCGGTCGTGTGACAATACCTAGTTCTGTAGGGCGTTGATCTCAACAGAACGAAGGGCGTATCGAAGCAGGAAAGTTGGGCGAAGTGTTAATTATCCGAAAACAGGCATGAGGACTGAGAGGATGTCGATATCCCAAAAGGAAGCGTGCTAAAACGTGTGCCTTCGGTGAACCACACTTCTTTCGTTGGGACGATGGCGGAAATGGGCCCGCCCTACATAGTCTCTCTTGACTCACGTATGTTGCGCACCGGTACACAAGAGAGTAGTGAGTTCACCTCTGTCTCGTGCATAGAAAGTAGGAGCGAGTCGGTCACACCAGCAGCTTAGTCGAGCATTACACAGCCGCTATTCCTTACATCATTTTCTGCCTCCGCCGCCATCACCCATCACCGAGCAGAGAAGACATTACCATAGTGACTGCTTCCCATCCACGCCTTCCGTAAATGATCCCCGACGACGCGGGGAAGCAAGCACTGTTGTGTTCCCGAGCAATGGCACCGGCCGGCGGCTCTTACGAGTTGTGGTTCGTGCGAAGAGAAGGGACACTGGCAAGCATACATACCTGACAACTCGCGTCGTATTATTAGCACACTGTGCAGACGTTGAATATCCAGAAGAGCTCCTTAGCACTGTCAATGCCGAACGTCGTCCAAATCCTGAAAGCCAGCGTGTTGTATAGACCGTGCACCTTATACAGTCTGCCGTATAGCCGCCACTGACTGATAAGATTGCGTAGTGGCTCTCTACACCTACCTCCATGTGTTACCGTCGCTCCCCACACTGAGTGCGAAGCTATCCCTGAAGGCTGCCATGCTGTCCTGGATCCCGCTACATTCAGGACTTGCGGCCCGAATGGCATATGCGTCGGCCAGCAACCCCTCCAGACGCTACCAGGAAATGAGCGGTGGTGTCGAGAATAGAAGAGGAGACGTAAATGACGACTGACCTTCACGCGTTGTTCGGACGGAGGGTGCGTGCTGATGAAACTCAGGGTACGCCCGCCGTTGCGCTTCTCCAGCTGCCCAAGGCGAGTGAACATCCTATGTGTGGCGCATCAGTATGACACGGAATCCTCGTCATTCAAAGGTACACACTCCGGCGCTGCCTGCGGGTCGAAACACGCCTTAGCCGCTAACTTCAGCCCGACTTGGTCAGCTGTGTAGAAATACATACAACGTCAACTGAGGCACAACTTGCGACGCGTGGAACTCACCCTCCAGCTCTTGTGTACGAGAATTGGGCAGGTCGTACAAAAGACTCGTGATGAGCCGTGCAATGCCCAAGTCGAGGCCGGCGACCTCGAGCGCAGTCGCAAGCGCGAGCAGTACTTTCATGGAGGAATAGCGTTCTGAATTGTGCCGCAGGACTGTCCGCCCAAGAGTCAAGACGAGAAGCACATCAAATCAGGTCGCGGACTGACCTACGTGGCCGATTTCTACAGCCAATCGTCAGACCAATTCATAGCGTGCAGCGCGATATGCGTACCATGCCCCAGAACAGCCGCGAGGCCTTGCTCGTCCTTCGCCGCGGGCAGAATGCCTGTGAATACGACTATATTTCCTGGCGTGCGCTTCAGCTGCCGTCCCACTAGCAAGATGACAGATACCACCGCTCACCATAGCTCGCCGCAGCGTTGACGATTCTGTCGTCATTCACGACCATAAGGTTCCATTGCCGTCCTCCAGCACCCGGTGGTACATCGTCAGTCTGTGTCTGTGGCGACCACAGGTCATCGGAGGCACCGTGCGTTGGGAGGTAAGTTGACTCGGGGCTGGACAAGGTGCCGAGGTTTGAGGACTCAAGAATGCGCGTGACGACACGGCGGACATGCCGGGCGACCGGGTGGTTCTCAGGCAGGACCTTCCCCCGGAACTCAGCAAGCAGCTCATCATGGGAAGCTTTGGCTAGCTGGTATGGAAATGTTCAATAACAGTAAGTCGCTGGTCTCATTACCAGACAGCTCGCGAGGTACCCTGAGGGGCCTTAGGCGGCGCCTGTCTGGTACGAGACAGTCGAGCAATAAATGCACACCTTGGCTTCAAATTTCGGGTTGATGTCCATGAAACGCCATCGCCCGGTTTCTGGGATCTGCTCCAAGCTATCGGTCGGAATGAGAAGGTAGAAACATATCAGCAAGCCGCAAGGTCTGCGTGAGGAAGTGAGCATGAGTGACACACGCACTGGGTGACATAGTACACACCGCCACCGACCACGACCGCCACAAATATCTGTGTTCCGAGGTCCCATTTCCGGACATTGAGAGGCTGCTCAGGGTCGACATCGAAGCGGACATAGCGTTGTTTCTGTGATGGGCAACTCCTCGAGAATTGGCGTATGAGCGGACTTCTTGAATTCGCTACATTTCGTCGGACAACATGGGCTGATGTCGACGAGAGACGCAAAGCGCGTAGCGCACTGAAGCATAGGCGAGCAGTCATCGGAAGTACAGAACAAGGGAATGCCAAAGGGCAAGCTTGGGCTTCGGTCATCGGAAGCTTGCATACTACTTGGGACTGTATTATGTATAAGATTTATCTCCGATATGGTGTAGTGGCTAACATTATCGCCTCTCATTTATGTGGTCGCGATAGCCCGGGGTTCAATTCCCCGTGTCGGAATTTTTGCTCCGTTGATCTGTCATTACAGGAGACATAATAAAAGACCATCAGGAGTTCGAAACTGTGTGAACCCAGCTATCCTGACTATCACCGTCATCATGGTGGAAGCTACCTTGATTTCAATACCTCTAGAGCTGGTCGAGAACATTCTTGTATATTGTGTTGCAGATGGTTCTTCATCGTCTATCGCGTCGCTTGCTAGCACATGCCGCGCCTTGCGAGCAGTCATCTACAACGCGTCCGACCATCATCTATGGCGCCGAATATTCCTCACCACCTTCGATGACCCGCGCAGGCCATCTTCAGTAAAGCCAGGTAAGTTTATTACAAGTTTGTAGCATGCGGGCCGTTTCTAGCGGAGAAGTGTTTCGTGGAATTACCTCCTCTCCACGTACACTGCGGGTATCTATGCAGCTACCGATGCTTGTTTGTGCAACAATACTGGCATAGCCGTACGCATGGGGAGCTGATGTATGCGTTTTAATCGCAAGCCCACCAGCGGTGGAGTGTGCATCCCTCGTTACGGATGTGCCTCAGCCACTGGGATGTGTCGTGGTTTGGAATTTCCGCTATGTGTGCGTTTACACAAACATGACATGATTAACTACTTGACTATGGCAAGGTCAATTTAGAAAGATCAGCGGTTGGAGCTCTCCTAACGCCTAACGAAACTCGTTTGCGTGGGTGGCACCAGAGCAGCCTATTACTGTTCGTAGATCGCTACATAGCCTCCCTCATTGTCTATCTGAGGCGAGCTTAGTGAAGAGACTCATGCCGCTACGCAGATGACTTCGATTGGCGTGCAGAATTCACGCGACGCCTCCAAGCGAAGCTCTTTCTTCAGCGTCATACGCAGCCACTGCGCGTGCAGAGGGTATACCACCTCCGCTCTAGAGTGGCAATGTCCCTTGTCGACCTCACTCCAGCATATGACGACGCAAGCAGCGCCAGAGCATTGCGCAGTATCTTGTCGGTCGTGAGCTCTGCAGAACCATGCAACAGCCATATCAAACATACGCAAGACAGTGACGGAGTTACTACCCTATCAGCTCAACCATTGGCGCGGGCACACGCAGCCAGTCCCATGTATCCGCCTCAGATCAAAGACCAAGACATGTCACTCAACATCCCCTGGCTCAAGACCGTGCTCTCCCGAGGCCTCCCGCCACCGCTCGTGAGTAAGATCGCGGGCGAGCACCGTGACCCTGCATGGGATAAGTCAGCCGAAGCGCAAGCCCTCGGAGCGCTGCTCTGTTGCACTGGCTTCCTGCCCGTGCGCGAGGTGCACGAGGAACGCACCGGCCGGCTCTCCTCCGGGTCTGCGTCTAGCACGCGGCAGGATACATCGAATATGTCTGGCCTGCAAATGGACGTACAAGAGCAGCAACGGCGCGCTTTGCACTGCGCACGCGAGCTTGTGTACAACATGGCATACCTCACTCGCCGTCAGCACTGGGGCCCGTTCGTTCCCGTAGACCCTGCGGCCGCTGAGGCCGTGCGCACAGAGGTATCTACAAACCATGCACAGGGATACCTGCGACGCTGGGTGCGCACGCACTTTGAAATGGACTCAGACTCAGAGGACGTCGACTACGTACCGCCCGGCGGCGACGGACGTTCATTGTCGTCTGCTTCGTCTGCCTCGTCGATATCTCCGCCGACACCCAAACATGAACCCGAGGCGCAAGAGGCGGTGCCCGCGCGCCGTCGCCGTCGCGTGCTGCCTGGAGCGCACGAGCTGTTGCCTGACTGGGCGTGGCTTGCAGCGGCGCGCATTATCTCGGAAGCAAACCTTCGCGAGCAGGGTGTCACCGAAGGGCTGGACGATTTCATAGATTGGAACTCGTTGCGGCAGGGTGCATGGCTGACCACTGTACAGCTCAAATTCGATAGCACCGAGGTATCAGAGGAAAGTGAGAAGAAAATTGTTGAGGGTAGCGTGCAAGGATGGGACTGGGCCGGTGCTGAAGGGGTGTGGAGGTGTGTCTTGTATATGTCCATGCAATATGAGGACTTACAGCCCGTTCAGGCGGTGCGTATCGTGGCTCGACTATGCGGACCTCGTTCGTGCGTATAATCACATTCGCTTGTAATACAACTCAAGTTCTCACGTATATTACTCCAGATCACAACGTAAGCAATGGTTGTATTGCAGGGGACTTACTGCTGATCGAATCACAGATATACGGGCATTTCGACCCCGCGCTTGAGGAGTGCATGCTTGTCGTGCCGCAGACCATCCGTATCGTTGGCTATGACCCGCCCGCAGTACCTGCATATCCAGACCGCCCTACTATCAGAATTGAAGGAGAGATGGGTGGTGCCGGCTGGCAGGGTGCACCCGATGGTACGAATGAAGACGTACGATGGATCCACGGCACAGTGAGCGTCGTCGCCGACGGTAGCATTCGCTGGCGCATCGTGAGTTATGGGCAGTCAACTTAGCAGGCTCATGTGCTTAACATGTGTGTTTGTGCGATACAGTATTCCAGCGTCGAAGACAATCCGCATGAAGACCAGTGGGTGTCGGAAGGGATACAGATCGGGGGTGCAGGCTCACAAATCGGTGTGTTGGGAATGTGGACAGGAGCAAGTCACGACATCGACGATCCGCTGGGTGAGTCTGGCCTGATCTTCGAGTTATTCCCTCTGCTCACATTTCCTACTTCCATGAAGGTCCGTTTTGGCAATGGAGGGTTGCATAAGTAACATCAAAATATCGATTGGATATGTGATATATACATCCGTTCGTCATTTGTCATTAGGTAGCACCCGAAAATTGGGGCGTTATGCAGTCCCGACAAGACATACTATCACTGCAAGACAACTAGCACCTCACCGGGGCTCACCTGGGCGCCTTCCCGTACGCCTTTGCCGAAACCAAGCACCTTACGTCCTACATTTTCTTCGCCAGCCTCTACATTGATCTCTGTCTTCATCGCCTCAAGGATGACCACAACATCCTCCGGTGTTTTGATTGTTGTTCCAGGAGTGCACTTGACCTTCCATATGGATGCTGATAATGAAGACACCACACTCGCCGTAGCCCCCTCAAATCCTACATGCGCTGTCAATAGTGTCTCATATTACACTTGTCACCACACTCGCCTGAGAACTCCTCGCTACCAGCAGGTTCCTGAGCAGTCGCTGCCTGCTTGTTGGCCATCCATTTCGCGGATAATTCGCGTTCCCTGTAAGATCAACGCAATTCATATAGTTTATCGGAAAAAGCAGACGGGACAACTTGCGTACCGCGTTTCTTCAGAAGCAACCCCTCGTGTTTGTCTTTCTTTGAAGCGCTCCACGTCATCTGCCACGCTAGCAACAAACGTGTTGTATTCCGACATCGAGAAATTGCTTTGTTCGACCTCGAGCAAGCACTTTATGGCACATGCATATTAGAGCAGTCATCCGACTCACCTTGAAGATGTATCTTCCCGCATCGAATTGGCTTTCCATCTAAGGCGCTCATGTTGTCATAAGAGGGCTATATGAACGAGAATACAATACGAACCTCAACATATTGCTCCTCGGTAACTGGCTCAAAATGGACCTACGTATTGCATAAGGTGGGAAGTACAGTATTCACTGACCGAGATCATACCTGGTCAAAGGGTTGTAGCAACCAAGGTTTTTGCAGGGAGAAACCACGACCCTTGCCCCATGTTTGCCAAGCTGGCAGTGTACGACCAAATAGCTGATAGCCACCTGGTGACTCGATTGGGTATATTGCTGCAACTAGGCCTGCTATGCCGACTGCGCCCTAGACATATATGTTAATGTGATGATAGTTTTGCGCAGACGTGAGTTCGCATTACGCGTGGAGTATATGTTCGCGAAGGGTTCATTTTCTGTCCGACAAGTCTACACCTTGGATCCACCTAATGCAGAGTTATAGTAGTTATTGTAAGCATGTAAGGTTATACAGGTCGTACCGGTATCAAGAACGGACAGGCGTCATAGAACCCCACTCCAAAAACGAGCTGAAGTGAGCACTAGAATGAGTACAGGGGCTCGCAGACTGGGGTGAGGACATACCCAATCTGAAGATACGAGTAGCTGCAGAGCTTCATCCGCACCGCCCTCAAGGCCGTTATTTCGGGCCAAATACGCTATATTGCTGGGCAGGTATACTGCCTCGTCCCGCATCGATCGCATATACCTCTCCAGGGCTTGCCGATTCCATCGGTCATCCAAAACGATGGGAAAAGTGATACGTCGAGCTGGGAACACAATCTCGCTGAGGCTATCCGGAAGCCCAGTTTCTACTTGTATGAGAGTGCGTAGGAGGTCGCTTTGTGAGATGACAGCAGGATCATAGTGGATCTACAAGTGACGGGTAAATCATAATTTCTTTACGCAGAACACTTTCAAAAGAGCGAACCATCGTCGAGCGAATGCAAGGAGCAAGTTGCCATACACCGGCTATGTCACGTTTGCGTAGCTCTGTTTCGAAAGCGTGTATTCTGGCCCGAAGTCGAAAGTCTAGTTTCCGCTCGCCGTATTCCACAAGGATAGCGGAATCTCCGGCCTGTTATTTCAGTTCACACCATAAGAAAGCCCATGTCAAGATATACGCACTTGGCGAAACACGACCATCGGCCGCGGGTCACTAGCAAATATTACATGCAGTTTGGGATCTTGCAGCGACGGCTCCCAGCTTGCTGTAAACAGCTCATGGCAGACATTCACATTGGGAGGTTCTGAACCGGAGATAACCTGTGACAATTGCTCGAAGTAACATTCGCGGATACCAATCATACTGACGGCTTGCGCGAATGTGACTCTCCTGAATTGAATGGTGCAACCAGGCCGTAACTGGCCGATCTTCCATCTAGGAGGCAGTAAATATCTTGTGTCCAGATAGCGGGCGACAAGACGGACTCACAGATCTTCGGAGACAATCGCACATAGACAGGTGTAGCCTCCCATATCGGGCCCGTCGTTCGTGAGGATGACCGGAGTGTCGCCATTCACATTGATCGTGCCGAAAGCGTACCCATTATCGTGTATGTTGGATGGGTGAGAACCCCCTTCGCCACCACTCTCGCGTGCCCACCCAATAGGTGGGCCTTCTAAGCGAATTCCCATCCGATTACTTGCGGAGCTGACCTTCCATTTGGCCGAGAAGAACTCATCGCATCCATCGAGAGTCACGAACTCAGCATCGCAGTGTGGACCTGCGAGACAGTGCAGGACCCACTCTGTCGGGTATGTAGGTACCATTGACGGAGGACAGGCCTTATGTTGCTCATTTAGTGCGGGCGAGCAGTTTCCCAGTGCGATATGATCACCGGCGGTCAATGGCCGGCCCTGCGAGTGGCTCAATAAAATGCTCCAGGAGACGAGCTATTACTGCGCATACCTGATAACCACCAAGGCCTATAGACGTAGACTTGGATCCAAGGTAGTTTGGTATTCTAGGGAAACCGCCCCTGATAGCGAGATATACCCGAAAGCCAGTGTCTTTGACGGTGCCCACAGAGACTTTACCGCCAGCTGGAACTATCACACTCCTCCACATATCGACTTGCTCACCGTCGACGGTCACTCTGGCTATCGCCCCCGTGATGGCGATGACGGAAGAGACATGGAAGAATAATCGACATCCTGTGAGCGTGATTTCTAGTGCTTCCACGCCTGGAGCATTGCCTGCGAGAACATTGGCGACTCGAAAGGCGAGCGAATCCATGGGGCCACCTCTAGGGATACCCATTCCAATTCGCCGACCTGGATAGTCTTGCACAGTAGTTTCCAACCCGCCGCTGAGTACATCCATGGCCCTGGGGTGCCTACGTTCAGCCGAAAGTTGAAAAATGAATCGAGAAGCATACCGGGGGATGAAGGTGAACGTATCAAGGAAAGTGGTCGTCGCATTTCCTGCGCGGAACGCGTCGGATTCGCATATCGCCCGGAGGTAGGTCACATTATTTGGGGGCCCGTATATCTTGCTATCCTGCAATGCGACCAGCAGTCGATTGATCGCTTCGCTTCGCGTTGGGGCGGTGACGATAAGCTTGCAGGCCAGGGGGTCAAAGTAGGGCGTGATCGTTGTACCTGTCTCAACCTATACGCCATGAGTATCTGGTTTGTCATGATAGTGAAGCGACTAACCCAGCTCTCTACACGGAGCCATTCTGCTTTCATCAGTTCTACAAACTGGAGTACTCCTGGACTAGGCTTGAATTGCGCAGCGGGATTCTCGCAATATATACGAGCTTCAATTGCGTGAAGAGGCTTTTGATTCGGAGCCACCATGTAACGCGCCTGATCTAGCTCGCCGGGAGGAAGCCCACCAGCGTCAGAATCATGTTGAGCTACTCCTTGTCGAATCATGAGCTCAACAATGTCAAGACCGGGGTTTGCGGCTTCGGTAACTGGATGTTCGACCTTTGACATGACTAAGTGGGGTGTGACCGGGAGGACGGCTGTTTCCTACCTGCAACCTCGTATTCATCTCCAGGAAGAAGAAATCCCCTGTCATGTCGTCCACCAGGAACTCAATGGTTCCTGCGCGCTCAAAGTAAAAAAGGGCTTCACAGCCAACGGAGATGTGTCGGCGTTACCTGCGGATGCGTATCGTATGCGCTTGCACAGGCGGATGGCTGCCGCACACATCTTCTCCTGCACTTCTATACAACAAACTCTGTCAATAATCCGCGTTCACAAGGACTCAACGCATCATACCCGGATGTCTAATCATGAAGGGACTCGGAGTTTCTTCGATAACCTTTTGGTGTCTGCGCTGTACGCTGCACTCCCGTTCACCCATGTGGATCGCGTGTCCTAGGCCATTTCCGAATACCTGTCACCTTGTTAGACCTGTAATCACTTACATGCAGAATGCTGACGTACTTGTATCTCTACATGGCGCGCCGAGGCGAAGTACCTCTCGAGGAACAACCCACCGTTCTTGAACAACGTCTGCGCGCGCTCTTGTGTGGAAGTGAACTTGCGACGCAGCTCGTCCGCGTCCTGGCAGACGACAAGCCCCATTCCTCCGCCACCCGCGGTAGACTTGAGCATCACTGGAAATTTGATTTCAAGAGCCAGCTTTACAGCAGCTTCAACATCTTCCAACAATCCCTGTGAGCCCGGAACCAGAGGGACAGCCACTTCCTTTGCGAGCAGGCGAGCCTCATGTTTCAAGCCCATTGCCTCAATAGTATCCGGCCGCGGACCAAGAAAGGTGATACCTGCCTCCGCCAGCAAGCTGGAGAAGTGGGCATTCTCAGAGAGGAATCCATACCCGGGATGCACAAGCGTCACATTGCGGTCTCGGCAGATAGCAACGATGGCTTCCGCATCTACGTAACCCCGCGCGTTGGACACTGGGTCTACGTCTTCCGGCCGCAGCGCAGCGGCTTCGTCAGCAAGTTGGACATGAGGAGAGGTTGCGTCGGAGCGGGTGTAAATGGCCACAGTTGGTATGAGGAGACGCTTTGCTGTGCGTAGAATGCGGACCGCTATCTCGCCCCGGTTGGCTATCAAGAGCTTGTGTTGTGTGGTCGCTGTGGTAGACATGTCTCGGGAAGGAGTGACATCTCAATCTCACCGACGTCACCGTTATATGTGCAGAATCTATCGCTGCGATTCGCGATAGTAGCACTGCATTCAGATGAGGGTTCCTGCATATCTCGGACCGGCCTCATGACCCAGGGATCAGGAGAGCAGGACGCTGGAGATACCTGCAGATAGCTCTTCCGCGAACCATACATGCTCACTCCAAGGAAACAGGGTGAGAAATCAATTCTTGAGAGAAGATATGCTGAGGGACATAAGATAGGCCGTGCATTGATATCGGGGTGCCGTCCTTTCCACCCTCGTCAACGTTGTAACTGCGACGGTTCTCTATTAATCATTGAAGATGTCGCCACTGCGAGCTACTGTGAACTGTGACATGGGAGAGGTGAGGATCCCACAAACGTTATACTTGAGATGAGTGTCGGGGACAGAGCAATGCTTGCGGGGAAGCGCCCAAGGCTCGTTGCTCTGTTGAACTACCGTATGAACTGCACGACTCTCCTGTTCTCTGCTTCGTATGAAGACTGATCCTATATTACAAGGGGTTTGCGCTCTACATAATTGTATGTGCTCCAATATGAAATCCAGTCGCTTCGTATTCAGAACAATCGTGTAGGGAGACGATGAAGCACTGATGAAGACTATCCACCTTGCTAATGTTGCCTGCGGGTTTCACGCTTCGTGAGTGCTTGTTAATTTGTTGCTGTAATATACAATAAAGCTCACCTGTTGATTAATGATGCAGAGACTTCAACATTATGAACAAAACTGTTGCATTGGCCAAGGCGAACAGCGTACTCGTCGGAGCTCATCCATCTCTACCCGACCCTCAGGGATGGGGGCGCCGCGAGATGGCCATGGAACCGGTACGAGCCCCTTCGACTGCATGTATTCTTGTTTTGATCTCGCGTCGTATGAAGGATGAGCTCGCGTCGTGTTTCATCTACCAAGTGGGAGCGCTCCTTGGGTTTTTGCAAGTACATGGAGTCCCGCTGAACCATGTACTCACCCTTTTAGCTGATGGAGATGCCTTTATATGACTGACCTCGCTTCATAGATCAAACCCCATGGCGCGGTCTATGGTCAGACGGCTCGAGATATAGCACTAGCCCGGGCTGTGGTGGGCGTCGCGAAAACGTTCGGCGTGCCATTCATGGGGCTCGCAGGAACGTATCATCAGGTAGCTGCTGAAGAACTCAGCGTGCCATTCATTGCGGGTAACTCTTCACGTCGACATTGTACTCGGTGCACTGAATGCGTGATTCCAGAATGGTTTGCGGATCTGGAGTATAGCCCTGAAGGCAAACTATTGATCACAAAGTACGCTTGACTTCACCATTACTGCGCACAGACATCTTAAATCCGGTAATAGGAAGCATGACCCAGTTCCTTTGGACGCAATCCGGGCAAGGGTGGGTGGGGACGAGCCGTAGTTCATTCTAAGTGGACTCATGGTCCTCGGCAGGTCTCAAAGATGCTGACGGAAGGCCAAGTCACGACGAAGTCAGGCGGCTTCGTACCTCTGGGCACGGCTATCTCCGAGGTGTCTATCTGCTGCCACTCTGACACACCAGTAAGGATTCGTTCATGTCCTATTTTTCGGAGTGACTGTGCTGATTAATCTACAGGGTGCGGTTGAGATTGCGCAGACCGTGAAGGCTATGGTGGATGACAGTAACGCGAAGCTGAGTGCGTGATATCCCGCAACCAGCGTTGGCTGTGTTAGGTGTCTGTGCGCGAATGCTGCGCGTGTATTTGTATCAGAGCAAAACGCATATGTCAATCAAATTCGAGTGGTGATCTTCAAAGTCGAGCTTGCAACGAGCGCCTATCAGGAGCTCCGTGTGAGTTGGTCCGATGCGTATCCTTATCTATCTCTTGTCTGTCTCTCACAGCCGATGGTCCCCTATACTTCAAAGACTGACTGTTTTCCGTACGTCAAGAGCATACAGTCATGCACCCCCTTTGACAGTGTCCTCGTAGCTCGACTTAGAGCTTCTCAGCAGCCTTCTCAGACTTGAACGATAGCACCATGGAGGGAGTCTCGTACATTCTATTACTGCCATCAGAGGTTGCAGAGGCGATAGTCTTGTGGACAGCGATAGAAGGCTTCCCAACAGCTATCGCTTCTCTTGCTCAGACGTGCCGCTCCTTTCGCGACCTAATCTACAATCCTTCGGACACGCACTTATGGCGCGAGGTATTCCTAACAACATTTGATGACCCACGCGATGTTTACTTCGCGCGCGTTTGTACGTGGAGTATCCTTGAACTTCGAACAGCGTCTGACGCACTCTCGATAGCCGAATTCGACTGGAGCCATGAATTTCAAGAACGGATATCCGTTGATCTCTACTTGAAGAGCGCTGTTGAACCGATCACTCCTGACCAGATCTGGGAAGCTCATCCGCGGCCCGAAAATGACGATTATCTTCGGACGCTCTCCGTACTCCTCTCTGTCCTCAAGACGACGCTCCACCACCCAGGCTACGGTCCTGGACGGCTTGGAAACGACCCTCGGGCTGGAAAAGTCATTGACTGTGTCAGGCTCCCATATGAAGGTACCCTGAGCGCGGCGTCGCGCTTTACTACATTCTTCCCTGCTCGTATGCTGGAGTCCACAGCCGAGTCGACGCGCAATATCCCCTGGATGACGCGAGTCCTGGAGAACGGACTTCCGGGGCCACTTATGGCCAAACTATGCGGCATGTGTCGGGATTTAAGTTGGGATCGGACGATGGAGGCATACCTTCTGGGACAGCTGATTACCTACACGGGATTCATTACCTTCAATGTAGGGCCCGAAGAGCATGAAGGCGTGTTCTTTTTGGACAGGAGTCTCGATCCCCCGCAGAGGCGAGCGCGCTATCGTGCGCGCGAGTTGGTCTACGATATGCACTACCTCGATTCTAGTCGGCACTGGGGGCCGTATCTCCCGGTAAGCGGTGGGCCTTGGGTAGTTTCCAGAGCTATACACGAAGGTAATACAGACTGAGGAGGCATTCACCTCTATGGTGAATGTCTCATTGCATATGCCGTCAACATCTCCTAATCTCGTTAACGTGAATTCAGATATTCTTGGAAATAACGCAAGCGACGAGCCTGGAGAGCCCAATCTCCTGAAATTTGATTCGCTCCCTCCACCTCAACTGCTAGAACCTGATTGGGGATGGTTGGGTGCCGCGCGTATCCTCGTAGAAGCCAACATGAAGGACCTTGAAATCGATGGACTGCACAGATTTACTTCATTAGATAGCTGGAGAGAACAGGGCTGGGTCGAAAGCAGCACAAATGAGTCTACTTCCTGGGACTGGGCGGGTGTAGAAGGCATCTGGAGGTATACTTCACCAGTGTCTCTCGCCGACTGGGACCCCTCTGCTGACGCAATTTTGAGACGCTGCGTATGCTGGATTGGCTACTCGCGTCTGATACGTGCGTTGATCTGTTGCATGTTTACTTATCTTGCACACTCACGTTCGACACACTGCAGGCGCAAATGTGGGTCCTGATTATTCAAGAACAACTCAAATTGCAAAGCGTTGCTTATATGCGTTGTATTACAGGTGTACGGGGGATTCGATGACTCTAGCCTCCGGGAAACCTGCATAAGTGTGCCCATGCGCCTTCATGTTGTCCGCTTCGGCCCGCCCACCATACCCGAATACCCAGAACGTCCAGTTATCGTCTTCGAGGGCGAGTCTGGTGGTCAAGACTGGATTGAGGACGAAGACGGAGGCGGTAGTGATGCGCGCAAAGTGCGAGGAACAGTTAGCATGTTGGCTAGCGGGCACGTCCGTTGGCAAATGGTAAGCGGCCTGGCACCATTATGGATCGAGTTGCAGCCATTGATTTGTTATGTGGCCCTCCAGTTTGTCTCGTCAGAGGAGTCTCCAAACGAAGACGATTGGGTTTCCGAGGCTATTCAAATTGGTGGTGTCGCATCGGGCGCCGGCATTATCGGCATGTGGACTGGCGCACAACACATGGATGGGGACCCGCTGGGTGAGCACATATCTTGACTGGTCTCGTACCCAGCCGTCTCACACTCGCCCTCCATTCGCTGTGGTGGGGCGCGAATAAGGTGGGGTTGGGTGGGTGACTAGCGTTCATGTATCTTGTCACTCAACTATTACCGCTCTAAATGCAGGACCATTTTGGCAATGGAGAGTCAGTGCATAGTCCTTACTCTGCAACGCCAATACTTGTTTGAGTGGGCACCCGTTCATCTCGCGGTACCCCAATCGTTATGATTTACTGGTATCTCCAGGACCCTTTCAGACAGGCTGAAGCCGTGTCATTTTGATTCTGATTATACACATACGGCGTGATGGGCAATGGACAACCTTGTCCACTCTGTTACTTGACCGAGCAGCGCATATGGTGACGATTTTGCAACGCGACGAACGATACAGTTTGTGTCATTGATTCCTTTGCAGTCTGAATTAAGACTCGAGGATCCGATCTGTGAAGCTTGTGGTATCTCATAATCTGAGTGCTTGCCAGCTCTGAGCTTTCATTGCCCCCTCGAATAACGTTATACGGATCTCATGGACTCTTATATTCACAGCGCACCGTGATATATATAGCGTTGGTGAATCAAACGACTCTTGCAGATCGAACTGATGATCACTGCGCGACGCAACTTGAATATCGCAGTGCTACATAGTATACTTAATGAAGATTTAGACGTCGAGTTTATCACAAGCGCTCATGTGTAACAACAAGAATAGCTCAGTGCCTGTCTGTTCTGATCATTTTGTTGTTGTAAAGCTCGTGGGAGAGAACACAGAATCACTACCTGGAAGCATTGCATTAGCTCCAAATACCGCATCAAAACGACCCCACGAGAAGGTCAAGGATGTCCAAAAATTGCATCCACAAAAAAAACACGGGGTCAAGTCTGACTGGCGGGTCTGTGCGTGGTGGATAAAGACATCTATGCAGCATGCCAGCCCATCAACCATCAAGTCAGACGGGATTCTCCTAGGCCCATGCTAGGAGGGCGGCGCGTATGCTCAAAGATGAGAGGGAAAACCGTGAGTAACGTGTCATTCAGCGAGCCCTCGAGTATCATATATCGATCCCTTCTTGACCCCGTACCACCACTATCTCCGTGGGCGCTTGTCGCTCATTGGGCCCCAGTCTGCCATTTTTCTTTCCTGTACCCTCCTGCCTTTGTCAAGACCATCTAACTTGGCCCTCACTGTCCCTACGGTCACATCATCCAACTCGATCCGACAATCGGGACCGCCATTGACGGACTGCACCACCCGATCCTTTTCCCCACGGCCGTGCGAGGCGGACATGGCGATGCGGGCCTGAAGCTCTGTCAGTATGGGGTATGCTTGGATGCATGGGGGGCGGGAGGCGGGGTCCTTGGGGGACCTCGTGATTTGATTTCAGTATAGTGCCCTTCCTTCAACCGGCGCTCTCGCCGCGCCACTCGCAAGTGGCTCGTCGGGTTCTATTTGGATGTAACCAGCCCTGCCTTAGTGGGCTGTCGGCGGGATGGGGCACCTGGGTACTCGGGAGGCTGCCATATGTGTGGCAGTGCGAGCGCTCCCCGTGGGTGGTTGTGGTGAAGGGTGGCGGAATCGGAGACTGCAGGATGCTGAGAGGGGGTGCTGAGGGCCTGTCTGACATGTTTGTTATTACTCTGCATGTACCTTGCTGTACGGAGTCTAAACATCGCATTCAAAACAAAACAAAAAAAGAGTATCATATATCGAGCGCCATGATGCACGTGATCTTCGTGCACGCGAAACTGGATAACTTAAGTAATGAGGTTGCATTTTCGACTACCGTGGGAAGATGCTGTCTTCATTTATAGTATAGATACAGATATAGATAACCAATCGACCCAATCCTGCTAGTACCATCTACACAGCCAGACCGCCACAAAGGCTCAGCTCCACCCGCATGTGATAGGTCAGAACCTAAATGACCATTGATGCTACACTCCGCCTAGGGTGAACCTCAGCACAAAATCAAATCGATAATACTCACTCCGCCTGAGAGTTCGCCCTGGTTGAACTTGGCTGTGCATCCGCCCCTGGCTGAATTTTGCGCGGTCATGTGATCTGCATATATGTCCCCCACACACTGCCTGCAGTCTGTCGCCTCAGGTGGTCTGAGCGATCCCCCCAGCTCCATGTCAAGTTGTAATGCCCTAGTCTGATTGTCGGTATCATAACAAGCTCACATGCCACCCGTGTGCTAATTTTTCTATCAGAGTGGCAAGCTGCCGGCCATGACAACAAGGGCCACACTCTGTGGCATTGCAAGACATGCAGAGATGGCAGGCCACAGCAGCAGTGGCATCTGCCTGCCCACGAACAGACAATAATTCATCAGGCCAACCTCGAGCATGCCTAGCAAGCGCCCCTCATGCCTGTCCATCAACAGTCCAATCATCTTAACCCAAACAATGAGCCAGCACTGGCCGTGATAGACAATGGCCTCCAAACACTGTTATGCTCATTCCTGTTGCCAACTGGCAATGAGCAAGAACATCATATTCACTCTACACCAACACGTCCCGCATTGCCACCTCCACTCTTTGATTGGGGCTTGTCTGCTGCCCTGGGTCACACCGAACTGCCACCATCAACAACTGATCAGCATCTCTCTCACCTATCTCGTGCTCTATTGGATCACCTCGACACGCTCAGCGGCTCTGACCCTGAGGACGACGAGCAGTCAGAAGATAATGAGCCCCCAATCAATGGGGACTACAACAGTGCCATACCCTACGGTATGACTTTTTTCTGTGTGTTGCCACACTCTTCCTGATGTCTATCAGGGGCTGAGCCAAGTGGAACCTCTGGCAAGGGGCCCGCCCTCAATTGCACCTGGCCTCATGAGCCTATGTCCATGTCGCAGCAATGGTTCCCATGGACAGACAAAGTGGTACGTGTTGCGCCAGTAATACTCCATCATATATCATCTGAATGCCACACAGACATGTACACTAGACATCTTGATGCATCTGCCGCGCTCTGTGTTCTCCCACTGGCAGCTTGACCTATTCCTCTGGCTGCTTAAGGTTAATGATATCAATGATGTCCCTTCTGTCCACTCTATGCACAGTATGAATGCAGCCCTGCAACACATGTGTGGGATAGATAGTACACAATACAAGGGGGCCCTTGGCCACAACTACACAGTCAACAATCTGTCGCAAATCATTGCTCAGGTGACTACTCACATTCTGTCTTCTGCCATTATCGAGGCATGGCACTGACACTCTTATCACCCCCAGGAAATGGCTAACCCTAAAGTACGTCCGCTCCTACACTTCTACCCCGAGGACTGAGGCACCACACTGCTTTCCGAGGCCTGTCAGGCCAAACACTGGCTGGAGGAGATGCCAGATGAACAACTTAGCCCCATGGCACGCATCAGAGGCAAGGATTACTTCATCCATGAGCTGAGCATGCTGATCTCCAGCGAGGTTTGCATCCCGGTTTGATGGTTTGTGCGTCAGCACACCGGCAAACCATTGCTGCATGCGAAGTGTTGGTGCATGCATACGGCCACAACCAATACGCAAATGGGGTGGTGTGTGAAACAAGAGGACAACTTCATTGTCTCCGAGACCCAATTCTTGAAGAATTTCACTGAGGTTTGTACAGACACTCAGTCTCTCTATGGTATACCTGACCCACAAATAATCCTTGGTATGTGATCTCTCCCACAGTGGCTACATTGCACTTACCCATGATGAATGCAGGAATGATTGACTTTGTGACAGGTATGACAGTGCCATGGACATTCACGGACCCCCTCATAGGCAACCATTGGTGTGCTAAGGCAAAGGGACATTGTGCCCTCGTGTTTGCATTGTGGATGTACTGTGATGACACATCCGGGAACCTGTTGAAGAAATGAAATGAACATAACTCCTTCCTTGTCATGTCTGCCACCCTACCTCACTGCAAGGCACAAAAAGAATACAACATTCACTTCTTGGCAATGTCGAATACCACACCGCCGCTCGAAATGCTTGATGGGATAGTGGAGCAGCTAGAGTATGTAAATAATACAATTTCTCCATGGTTGGCACTCATGTGTGGATGTAGAACTGCCCAGGATGAAGGAATATGGGCCTGGGACTGCGAGATGGGGGAAGCTGATACAATGGTCTATACTCCTATATCAATGCCTGACTCGTAAACTACAAGCAAGGGCTTATGGACAGTGCGTCATCCGGAAGATTGAGCGAGGAAATTGAGAATGACCACTACCCCAAGTGAAGAGGAGCAGAGACTTGAATTGGTAACCAGGTCGAACTTAGGGTTCAACTGACTAGTGGTACAACTATTTATACAAGTACCAGCTACGCACGGACCACCGTGTCTGTGTGGTCATGTTAGTGAAGAAAGAAATGTAGTGGTACACTACCAGATACAAAGTGCGCACAGACCCCATTATGTAAGCTACATAATGTTCAACCTGCAGGTGAGCGCTAAAACGGGCACCAGTATGGGCGCTAGTAGTACAAGAAATAGAACGGAAAGACAAATGTTTCAGGTGCTGTGTTTAAACAACATTTTTGGTCAGCCGGCACACGAAAAGGTCCTAGAGCAAGAGAGCAAAAAGATTATCTCGAGCGTATGAAATGTGTATTGTCAGGATGTATGTGCACTTTTACACCCTCCTCCATGGCTAACGAATTGCACAGATCTGTGATGGTGTTGGAATCAAGAAAACAGCACTGACAGACTTCACTTACACCATGGCCATGAAATACAGGTGTGGTGGTGCAGGGGACAAGCTGGATAAGGTTTACACTGTGCACGTCACGATATTGGTGTGTGCAGGCTCCTTCCGGATTCTTCTGTGAGCTGACGGACAAGGCTGCACAGTGGTGGTTCTTGCTCAAGCATCCAGAGTTGCTGTGCACTGAGGTGGAAGATACAACATACAAGGAAGAAGGCGTAGCAGACAAGTCTTCCCCAAGAGGCTCACCTGCCGCAAAGAAGCACAAAGTTCGCACACGGTGCGCAGGAGGGCGCGTTGCTCAAGGTCAATGTTTTTGGAGTCAAGTTAATGCATTTTTTGCCCGGGAGCTGAGCGCGCGGGGCACAAACATGGCCAATGTGTCTTGGAAAGAGTGAGCCACTTAGCACCTGGGTTATACACTATTCTAATGGTTAGCAGGTATATTGACAAGATGGTCTGTTTGGACAATGCACGATGTGGCGTGATAGTGATGGCCAACCGTGAAAGCAGCCATTCAATGGCCCAGACTTAGTGGTGCACACCTTTGTTAATGGCCAGGTGACAGGAGGCTCCTTTATGGATTTATTATAGGCCTTGAGAACATATGTGATCTTACATGACATTGTTAGACATGTATTATACCCAATAGAACACATCCCAATGTGAGCACTCAAATGTATGGACTTAGCATGCCAGTTGATACAACAGTCTATACTCCTATATTGATGCCTGACTCGTAGACGATGAGCGAGGGCTTATGGACAGTGCGTCATCCTGAAGATCGAGCGAGGAAGTCGAGAATGACCACTACCCCAAGTGAAGAGGAGCAGAGACTTGAATGAATAACTAGGTCGAACTTAGGGTTCGACTGACTAATGGTACAACTACTTATACAAGAACTGTCTACGCACGGACCACTGTATCTGTGTGGTTGTGTTAGTAAAGAAAGAAATGTAGTGGTACGATACCCGGTACGAAGTGCGCACGGACCCCATTATGTAAGCTACATAATGTTCAACCTGCAGGTGAGCGCTAAGACGGGCGCCAGTATGGGCGCTAGTAGTACAAGAAATAGAATGGAAAGATAAATGTTTCACCAGTAAGGAGTGCCTCAAACAAGAACAAACAAACAAGTTTTGCGAGCAGTGTAGTGTTATCATTTTTCCTTCCCAACCTGTTATGTCTTTCTGTGTGTTCCATTTGTGACAGATGTTGCCTGGCAGTTCTGTGCCAGTACCTCGCATTTGTGCCTGCGAGAGCCTGTCACGTCATGTATACATTGTATATGCTCACGTTCTACTACAGGTTCGCAATTGTTGGGGGTCGGTGCTGTTGCTGGAACGGGCAGGCAAATGAATTGGAACTGTAGAAATGAGTGTTGGCGTTGGGTTCGAACGAGCAAGCGCGAAGGTTTACGGAAGCAAGCGGCATGGGAAAAAGATCAAATACAAAGTGGTTTGTCTCGTCCTCGGGGCAGGGAGGCAAACACATGAAGTAATTACATGTGAGAACTTGGCCTAATATAGTAAACACTTATCTAAATCAGGTACATAGAAACAAGGCACTATCGCACCACAGCGCGGCATGTCAGCGAGCCGGTAGTCAGGCATGCACTCGCCCGGTTGTTCCAACACAGGGTGTAGTGGTTCAAGAAGAACATGAACTTAGCTGCTGAGAATCTGCGCTGCCAGAAACAGCGGACTTCTTCTGCGAGCATGATTGCATATTTGAAAAGCGCAAAAACTGAGTGATGTCAGGCAGGCCTGCTGTATACATGCACGCTGCACTTTAGCTTACCCATTATTGAAGTTGAGAATACATAGCACGCGCTGGCCGAACATCAAATACTGGGTGCAGCAGCATTGAAGGCACTCACTTTGGATTTGGAGGCAAGGGGCCATGCTTGGCTGTTTTGTTCAGGATTTGAGATGCCATTGTATGCCCATTCTTCGGTTCTATTGCCATGAACTAAATACTGTGAGAGGCTGATGTGGTCATGCCAAGGCTGCCTTTCGTAGCGGCACATCACTGGCCTGACAGCAATGAAACACAACAGCTTTGTGGTGCTGGCATCATCATTAAAAATGGCGAAAATGATCACGCATGAGGTCGATTCGAAGTTGTTCATTGAACCTGTGCCCATTTGAACAGATGTCGAAATCCGTCGCCAGAAATAACGGGCTTCTTCTGCAAGCGTGATCACATGTTCGAAACACGTGAAGACTGAGTGACATCAGGCGAGCCCGCGGTACACCCGCATGCGCACTCAAGCTTACCCACTACTGCATAAAGTGGTATGCGTCGGATAAGCTGGCCAAACATCAGAAACTGGGCACTGCAGCACTGTGGACACGTACTTGGGATTCGGATGCGAGGAATGATGCATTGATGATTGGCTGTGAGGCTTTGAGGTGCCATTGTATTCTGCTATATGGCCACGAGCTGAGTACTGTGAGGTGCAGCTGTGGTCATTCTGAAGGCTGCCTTTGGTAGCGGCGCCTCGCCGGCCTAACAGCAAGCCAGGGTTACAGGACAGTCATATCAACTTCTTTGTTGCGCTCATCGTCACTGGTGGCGATGAGAAACCACAGTGGCTGATATCATAATTCATACCATACCGATCTGATCTGATGTTTGCAGTGCGCGTGCATGGCTCGTCATCACCAGACGGGTAAAACCCATTAAACTGTACGTCGAGCATCCAGACACCTGTAAGCTCCCTGATGAAAGCAGAACGCACGCTAGCCCTTTTCAAGAAAAACGATGTTCAGGACAAACCCCACCATCCCCGAACGCCCCCAGTGCATGTACCCTCCCACAGTGCTCCGACGTGGATGTCGATGTTGCCCTAACAAGCAACTGTTGTCCGAGATTCGACGTCGAAGCCCCCGCACCCGCATCATCGCGCCCTGAATCTCGCCAGCAGCTGACCCGATTTCGGATGGGATGTCCCAGCCGCCACATGCCGCAGCCGGTCACGGCACGCCATGACAGAGCACGAACCATAAAGCTTGTCATCCACGGCACCTCTCGGCGTCAGCCCTTGCGCACTATGTTTGTCAGACCGCGCTCGAGGCCGGGAACAAAGCTTATCTCATCTTGCATACTGTACATACAATACATGGCATGGACCCTTGTAATACTCATCTACACGAGGCTGGCTGGGAAAAACACAGTGATCACGAATCCGAATCTCTGCGAAGGATGTGTGAGCGATGATGTGAACCGGCGATGAGACAACAAAACGGATGGGTAAAAGGGGGGGAGTGCACACAAAGATGGGTGGGTCGCGACGCCAGGGAGGCCTCGGCCATGATGCATGAACGTTGGAACGTCGAACGTCTGAACGGGGGGGCACAGCAGGACAGCAACAGCAAACAGACAGGCTCACAGTCGCGCCTCGGCCTTGCCCTTGCCCGCCTCGCCCGCCGCGAGCGGGCCCACCTCGCGCGCGCCGACGTCGCGCCACCACGCCTCCGCGACCGCGTCCGCGTCGTACCCGAACTGGATCTCGTTCTTCCGGCGGTCCGCCCACTGGTTCGGGTTGCCCTCCATCGCGAGCTCCTCAGCGGGCAGCCCCGCGCGCGCGCGCGCCACCGCCGCGAGCTCCGCCTCCGCCGCCGCGCGCATCGCTGTGTCGCGCGCCGCCTGCTCCGGGCCGTCGGGCAGGTGGAAGATCACCTGGTTCAGGCGCGACGCGCCCTGCGTCTCCGCCGTGCGCGGCAGGCGCAGCGCCTCGTACGCGTGCAGCAGCGGCGCCAGCTGCGCGCGGGAGGCGACGTGCGCGAGGAGGTTGCCAAGCACCGCGGCGTCCTCGATGGCCATGGCGGCGCCCTGCGCGCGATAAGGCTGGGGGGCGGTGTCAGCGGCGTGGGAAACGGGGGAGACGAGGCGCACGCACCAGCATGGGATGGCACGCGTCGCCGAGGAGCGCGACGCGCCCTGCGGAGTGGACCCACGTCGCGAGCGGCTTGCGGTCCATGAGACGCCACTTGAGCGTGGACTTGACGAGCGCGAGCATCTTCTGCACTCTGCAGGGCACCGAGGCTTCAGACGGCCCTCAACGGCGCGCGCGCGGACGGGCGACGTACCGGGGCTCAAAATCCGCGAAGTCGGCGCGCATCTTCTCTGCGCTGCCCTCCGCGGTCCACGACTCGACCGAGCCGTCGTCCGGGTGCAGCATCACGAGGTTGAACTCCTGTTTCGCGCGCTGCGGGGAGAGCGGCGGTGTGCGTTCGTCAGACGTGAAAGAGCGCGGTGTGAGCGGGGCTGGGTTACGCACCACGTTATAGGCCATGATATGGCGCCCCGGGCCCATCCACCCCGTCATCTCCGGCGTGTCCACGAACGACTTGAGGTCGGGATCGCTCAGCATGAGCTGCGTCGGGATGAGGGCCCTGTAGGCAGCGTCGCCCGTCGCCTCCGCGGGGTTCACCTGCCCGAGAACGACTTGCTGGATGTAGCTCTTCACGCCGTCTGCCCCGATAACCAGGTCCCCGTGCACCGTCTCGCCCGACGCCAGCGTCAGAGACGGCGCCTCGGGATCGCAGCCCACCACGGTCGAGTTCAGGCGCAGGGTCATGCTCGGGCCCGCGAGGTCATAGAGCAGCCTGTGGAAGTCGGCGCGGTGGATGTGGTAGTACGGCGCGCCGAACGCCTCCATCTTCTCCGCCCAGCGGGAGTACGCGACGCGCTCGCCCGTGCTGTACCGGCGGAAGACGAGGGCCTCGGGCTTCACTGCGATCTTTGCGAGCTTGTCGCCGAGGCCCCAGCGGATGAGCAGGCGGGTGACGTTCGGCGTCACTTGGATGCCCGCCCCGATCTCCCCTATTGCAGGGGCCGACTCGAACAGCGTGATCTTGTGGCCTGCTTGCGCGAGACAGTGTGCTGCGGCAAGACCACCGAGACCACAGCCGACGATGAGGATGTGAAGCTGGAGAGGGGCCTGCGTGGTAGACATGATCAGATGGCGGCGCGGTAGATTGGGATGGGCGTTGAGGGGCTGCAAGAAGAGTAGATATAGCAGAGGGGCAAAACTGTTGGGCCGAGCATCATAAGTATAGCCAGTGAGCGTCCCTATTCGCAGTCACGACGCAGACCGGACAAGCCAGACAAGGTCAGTCCGTGCTCACGCCCTTCTCACCGTACTCGCTTATTCGCCCCTATTGACAAAGGCGCCTGCCTGCCCGATCAGTTGGAAGTCGACTCTGCTTCATGCGTTTAGGCTGATTCCTGCCAGCCGCAGCTCATCGCGTTTATGGATCCTTGGTTGCCACGTCGTCCGCCAGCGTCCGTGCGCAAACCATCCCATCACCGATCGGTGATTTTGACTGGTCAACAACCGAACGGACGCCGTCCCGGAGCTTGCACGCTGGTGGCACCGAGTGTCACTGCTGTCCTCCAGCAGACGCGGGGCCGCTGCTTGCTACCCTCCGTCTGTCGCGGCACGAGACCACACACGCGCGCATCGCTGCATCGGCTCCGCCGAGGCCTTCTCAGTTCTTACCCGCCGCGGATGCTGTCTGCACACCTCCCCACGCCAGATGCTCCAGCAGGCAGCGACCACGCCAGATGTAGATAAGATCCCAAGATCCCATTTCCCCCTGCCGCACGCCGCTCTTCTCCCGTTGCTCGGTACGTCGTTCACCCGGTCCCCCACCCTCCCACCTTACCACGATTCTACGATTCTTCGTCCTATGGGCGTGCAGAACGATGCCGCATTGCACGAGGGCAGCGCGTGCCGCGCTGAACGCGGGCGAATGCGATGCATCGCAGGTATATTGACGGCCATGAGAGTGAGAGCGGTGATGGCTTATCCTGGCGGCGCAAGCCGTGCTTGATGTGCCTTCAAGAGTCAATCCTAGGAGAGCAAATCCCGTCTGGCCTGCGGCACCGCAGCGTCCTTCGCAAATTGCGATACTAGCCGCAGGCGGATGCGCCGCCCACGTCCATCTTGAGCTTGCAGACACCTATCTTGCCCGCGTTCGTCGCAGAGAGCGGTGTGAACCCGCTGCCGAGTGGCTCGGCAGCTCATCATGCAGGCGCACCCGCGCTAACTACACTACACATGCGGGTTCCGTGCACGCCAGGGGCACCTGTCAATAGATTCGCGTCAGACGAAGCCAGGGCGAACCCGTCCTACACGCCCTTCGACGCCCACGCTTGTGCGGGTGGAATTCCGGGGAAGACGGCAAGGGCCAATATGCAATATGATACCCCTCTTGCCGGCGCTGTTCGTCACTTGCTCGCGGATGTATCCCCTACTAGACGCCCTGCAGCCTGGCATTGGGTCGATGCGCGACATGCCAATCCGTGTGACGGTGTGGGAGGGATGCGAGCAGCGTCGTCCGTAGATGGTCGAAGGGTCTTGTGACTATATGCTAGCTAGAATTAAAATAAAAAGGTATGGCCGCGATAGACTGACTATATGCGCGCTCGCGAGACGATATCAGCGATGTTACGGATAGCCCGGGCTCTTCAAACACACACTCAAGTATACGCACACTGACGCTATGAGACACTTAACCACGATGCGTGTCCGAACGACGACGCGCGAAGTATAGTAGCGACGATGCGTGCCCGAACGTCTACGCGCGAGAGATTGTGCGTGTCCGATAGACAACGCGCGAACGACGATATAACAAACAAACGAAACACTCACCGTGTACGTGTGACTCTCGGGCCACTCGTCCGTAGTACGTACCAGTGCAGAAGAGGCGAGAGTGAGAAGTAAGAGATGGTCGTGGTTCGAGGGAGAGAGGAAGATGATATTTCTCGACACCGACGCAGGCTTTTATAAGTACAGAGAGGCCTTGACACGAGCAACATCATACGAAACCTAGGAGGAGCGAATGACGCACAACATAGCAATAGATCGACAGAAGCCCGAAACAGTAAGACATATTCTAAACGCGGATGAAAGCCCCGTCCTGGGCACAGACAAGCGAGACTCGACGTCTCCGGATCGGCTCCACGACTGTCAATGTCTCAGCTTCTCGAAGGTGTGAGCTCCCGACGCGTCATATTTACGCTCGCGACCTGCCGCCCTCAGGTGCGTGACGACGTCGGCACCAACGATAGCCTACGACAGCCGCTTCCCCTCCCCATCGGCGCCGTCTTTGCAAGCCTTAGAGCTGTCAAGGAGTAGGTACGTACTTTTGGATCGTTCTTTGGCGCGAAATAATGAAAAACATATGAAGGAATAGAAATTAGAAGAAAAGAAAAGGAATGGGATGTACGGCACCGAACGGAAATGAGACCGGATCACCGACATTCTTCTCCGGCTTCGACGCATTCTCCTCGACCACAACGGCAGCGGCGCTACGCTGTGTATCGCGAACTTATGAGCCGATGCTCATCGACGTTATTGACAGTGGATCGCCCTGCTGCCATGTTGCCATGTGCGTTGTCGCCCTTGCCGAGATCCTTGTTAGCGTGTTACGGCTGTTCGCACCACAGCCCATTTGGAATCGCAATGCACCCTGTGTACATGACGTGAGAGGGTCCTGTACAGAACATTTGAACGACAATGGACGCTAGCTAGAATCGAACAGGAACCATAATCATAATATGGCCATATGATCTAATCAGGTCGCTATATGCGTGACACAACTAAGACTATCCAAGGCCAAGACAGTGGTGGTCTCCTGATGAATAATGTGTTTTCTGTGAGTTTCATATGAAATGGCGTGATCAATATTCAATATTCTGACTCATGTACTCAATACAATACACATGATGACAAATGGTACAAAGTACTCGCGTCCTGGTGCAATATCTGAGCCGCCCTTCCACGGGGTTTCACGAGGGGATAGTGGGTGTTTGAGAGGGGAAAGGAGAAGACTGAAGTACAGGGCTTCGAGCCAGCTATTTAGAAGACAAGACTAGTTGGCAGAAGTGGCACGAGAGAAGGTGTACCATCAAATACAGTGCTTGCCTCATCCTTATCGTCACTTGTCGACTCTCTGGGCGCTTCTCTTCTGCCAAACGGCACGGACCCATATAACAGGTCTGTTTCAGAGTCCCAAACCGTCCTGACTCCAGATCATGCGGGAAGACATCCATTCAAGCGGCAACTCTGGGTCGGCCTAATGCATAATGTAGCCTTCGCCATTTCAGTGATGACAGGCTGAGCACCGCGCGCTGCAAACATTATATGTGATCGGTATAGTGCCCCAACGGCAAGAGGCTGCCGTTCCTCATCGCCACCAGCCACGACGAGCGCGACAAAGTGATTGATACGACTGCCATGTCACGGTAACCCTGGCGGGCTATCAGGCCGGCGAGGCGCCGCTACCAAAGACAGTCACTGTCTTCCGCATCACGGAGAGGCGGCGCTACCAAAGACAGCCGCCTTTAAAATGACTGCAGCAGCATCTCACGGTACTTGTAGAAGAATCGTCATACAATGGCAAGGTGGGTGCCTTCAATGCTGCTGCACCCAGTTTTTGACGTTTCGCCAGCTTATCTGACGCGCACTACGTATGCTCAACCTCAATATTGGGTAAGCTCAATTGCAGTGCGCATGCATACCGCAAGCGTGCCTGACACCACTCAGTCTTCGCACTTTTCGAACATGCGATCACGCTCGCAGACGAAGTCCGCTGTTTCTGGCAACGGAAGCTCTCTGCGGCTAAGTTCATGTTCTTCTTGAACCGCTACACCCTGCTCGTGGCGTCGTTTTCAATGATGCTAGCGCATTTCGCGTCGACGGTGGATACGGTGAGGACTTTGATATTGATGATAACGCATCTGACATCACGCAGAGGTGATTTCTTCTCTTAATTCAGATAGTGTAGACGCTGAGCGGAGGTATGCTAAGTGCAAGTTGCAAGAGGTTCGCCTGGGTATGCGAGAGCGCGAATATACTGCTGATCGTCGAATCTGCCGGTCAGTCATCTACTACCCACCTTGTCTTTATACTTGAAGTGATGCACCATTACTACAGCGTTCTCTGCGCTCAGAGCCTACGCCATTGGTGGGCGCATCGTGCTCCCAGCCCTGGTGGTGTTGGCGCTCTCGTTGACTGCGGGTGGGGCAGTGGTCGTAAGTGCTTAGCAAATTACAGTGCTTAATGCGCAATGCGCTTAACGTGCCGTTCCAGTTCCAGGAAGTATTCCAGGAAACTACAGGTGCTCAGTCCTACCTATCCGGACCTAATATCAAATACTCTTGCGTGCACGTGGTCCCCGTCCTTACTCACACGAAGTGCGTGCGCCTCCCTTCTTCTGCTTGAGCGTGCTCACAGGGGTCCGTCTGCAGATGTAATGACATATTGTCCAGAATGGCGAAAGAGACTTGAGTGCTGACATTGGGCGCACGGCAGTGATGACCGCTACACGGGCTATCGCAATTGCTGCCAATTTGATCGTCCTCGCAATAACCATTCACCGTACGTTCGGAATCAAGAGACAAGCCCGTCAGCTCCAGATGAAGGTGCCGCTCACCACAGTGCTTCTGGCTGACGGTACGAGTCAGATCTCTACGTACGCATGCGGCACAGTATTGACTTATTGGGCGTGTGGGCAGGGTTCCTATACTTCGTGTGAGTCAATCAGAGGTTCGTTTTGCGGAAGAGCGCTCACTCGTAATGCGGTGGTCATCAGAGTGTTATTCGTCCTTGATATTGTACTCATCGTATCACTCCAGGGTCGGAGTGCGACCCACGTAAGTAGTCTGCTTCATGGCCTCGTGAGTCGTTGGAGTCTGACAACTAGATATCCGACATCCTCATCTGCTCAGACGATTGATCTTCAAGCAATATACTACATCGCGCCGTCAGTGCTAGGCCATGATGCTGAACCATACAGTCGCTAATAGCGAATTCGCTCATAGGATGTCGTCCGTTCTGATCTCAAGGTTCATGTTCCACCTACATCGGAGTTCCGGGCCTGCTGGTAGCACGCTCCAGGCAACGCACAGCCTGATGATCTCTTCAGCGGGCTCAGCACCCCTTGACAGTATAGTATTCGCCCACTTCAGCACGGACGACAAAAGCGTGGGAACGCCTTTTGCTGGAAATACATCATCAGCTGGTATCGCCTTGGAAGACGACTGGGATGATACAGTGTCGGATATGGAAGCAGAATATGAATCAAACGGCGAGGGTCATCCTGTTAGCGACCATCGAGACACACTCCATGCGTAGTAGCGGCTCCCAAAATGAAATCGACAATTTATATATAATTACTGCGAGCTTGTTGCTTGCGGTGAGTACGTTGCTTGTGGACTGCCTATTTCACCTCATCTGTTTCATCTCATTTGTCTCAGCAGTTATATTCTAGAAGCACTCATGTACATTAGCTCACCAAGTGCGCTTCGTCTAGGGCCGCGATGCTACCAATGCCATAGTCATATTTGTCTTCAACCGGTATACCGTCCTTGCGTTTAGAGTGATAGCCCTTCTGGGGGTCATTTCAGGGTCGCAATAAAGGGCCTGATAGAGGAAGGTACGATAGGCTCGATACTGAAAAGGAGCACGTCATGGGTATCCTGTGACTTCAAATCTGAGACGAGCCAGATCATATCACCATGAATTCATTGACCACGCGCAAGGAGTGTTTGTTCTCTCTTACTAATAATGCAGACATCATGTGACGACAAAATGCGGATGATCGCGCCCACTGTATTGAGAAATCCAGGCTGTAAGCATCGCTACAGGGACGTATACACCGCCGAGTCTCTAAGTTGGGAGCACTGGTGCTGTCCCGTCGGAATCATGTTATACTGGCAGACCTCGTTTCAGTCAGCACATCAGCTTCATGCAACTCTCCACTGCCAGAACGGCCCTACGTGTATAAGCATGGCTCATAAGCATCAGCAGATCACTTAGAATGAGAGGGGTCTAACCTAATGTATCGCCACCACCGAGACGCCGAGCAGGACTCCACATTCCGATGAATCCTGCCTCCGAGGCCACGCCCCCGAGCTGCACCGCTTCCGACATCACCTCGTCCTCGTCTGGGAATTCTGCCGACATCACAGACTAGAGTCATCGCGAAGAAACGACTGTGAGCAGACATGAAGATAGCCCAATGGGCGTGGCAGGATCATAGTGCGTACCAGTTGCCAGCGAACGTATCCACCGGCTATCATGCTGACGGTGCCCCGCACATTCCGCACATCATCACAAGACCTATCCTGGTACTCGATCCAATCCACACCGCCAGCTTCGCCCTCGAAGACAATGGTCGGACGATGGGGGTACTCGGGCACGATAGGCGGATCAAAACGCACGATGCGCAGACGCATTGGCGAATAACTAACATGTTCTTCGAGGATAGGATCATCAAAACCGCCGTACATCTGCAAAATACGTAGAAGTTTAAGAATCACGCAGTAGATCTAGATGAACCTTACATTACAATCTGCGGCGAGGAAGGTCATCTCATGACGCCATGGTTAGAGATATGGATCACGACATACAATTGAGTTCGGAATAGTTGATCCAGCACATGCAGCGCCTGTCAGGGCCTGTCAGCTGAGTCTAACGAGAACAACAGACAACAGACATACCTCCAGACACCTTCAACGCCGGCCCAGTCCCATGCCGCCCCAACTTCGCACCCGGGGCTCAGTTTTCTTACATTATCATCAGGCCTTGTCCATCCTTGTTCTCGCCACCTGTCCAAGCAAAGGAATTCGTCGAGCCTATCCATGCGAGGGTCTTCCATATTCGCCTGCAGCACGATGCGTGCAGCAGCCAGCCATGCCCAATCAGGAGATAGTTGCTTTGGCGTAGGCACTGGACTGTTGTATTGCAACATATCAGCGGCAGCTTGACTCGCGTACGGCGCTTCGTTGGTATCAGTGATATTTAGTTGGGGGGTTCCGGCGAAAGGCGTGTATTCTCCTGAGGCCTCGGTTTCTTCATCCTCGAAGTGGTAGTCATTTGAACCGTGAGGACCGGTCTTGGTGTCGATAGATACAGATTTGTCGTCTTGCTCAACTAGCAGATAAGGCCCCCAATGCCTACGTGCATCTAGATATACCATGTTGTAGACCACCTCCCGCGCACGATAGCGAGAAAACGTTCTCTGATCGTCCCTGCTAATTGGCACGTTGTCTTCGTCAACTCCTCCGGCCTTGAAGTCGATGAATCCAGTGTAAGTGATCAACTTCGCGAGCAATTGGGCCTCTAATGTCTGGTCCCACTCTGGGTCCCGCTCTTCGCCACACAATCTAGCAATAAGCGACCAAGGAAGACCACGCTCTAGAACGGATTCCAGCCAGAGAATATTGAGTGATGGCCCACCGGTATGCATTGCGAACAACGGAGCGGCGCGAGATGCCATGCCGAGTGTGTCGATATGCGCAAGGGGACGCCAGAGGATTATTTTTCCACTAGTACTATCGTTGTCCTCTCCAACCATGACAGGGCCAAAATCCGGATGACATGGCGCCATTGTCTCGCAAACGTCCAGCAGCGCGGAGAGCGCTTGCACGCTGCGCTCCAGCGGGGCAGACTGGTACCAGACGGACGTGTGTCTGCGAACACGAACACGGACTGACTCAGCGGTAAAGTTGACGGGACGTATGGCATGCTTGAAATAGCTCTCTGCCAAAATGCGCTGTTGAAACTCCAGTCCCCAGTCAAACTCAGCTGCACCCTGATGAGAGACTATTGGCAATGATTGTAGGATGTGCTCACGCTTGCTAGCAAAGTACAGTTTGCGCGGATCGTCAAATGTTGTCAAAAATATCTCTCGCCACAAATGCGTGTCGGAAGGCCTATAGATGAGATTCCGAAACGAGCGGCACGTCTGCGCCAGGAAAGCGATGGCAGTCGGGAAGCCTTGTTTGGCTACTGAGAGAGCTATTATCTCGGCCACCTCATGCGGAAGCGAGAGAATAGGTGAAGCTGTGTACTTCATAGTGTTTGGATAGCAAAACCCCAAAGGTGCGAGACTAAGATTAGCGAGCTGAAGGCGCGTGTCCATGGGGTTGTTTGATAGCTGCGTACGACGTGGTGTTTATACAAGGTGAGTCTGATACGATGAATATATCGAGACCATCGCTGTGGTCTACAACTTGGGCCGGATGTAGTAGGCGTAGCAGGATCGGGCCGATCGGACATTGTTGCACATGAGCGCTTTTGATCAACTCGAGTCTAGTTTTCATTATATGTAGTACTAGTACCACTCTGTACTACTATATTCAAGTTGCGTCGCGCAGTAATCATCAGATCTGCAAGAGTCGTTTGATTCACCAGCACTATATGCATTAAGGTGCGTTATGAATATAAGAGATCATGATATTCGTATAACGCTATTCGAGCTACTCGAGGTGGCAATGAAAGCTCAGAGCTGGCAAGCCCTCACGAGATACCACAAGCTTTACAGAAAGGGTCTTCGAATCTTACATCAGATCGCAAAAAAGACCAGTGCCAGTGACAAGGGCTGTCATTGGATACCTTTCCGCAGCGGTCTAAAGGGCATTAAGTACAGAATAGATTCGGTTCAAAAATCTCGTCGGCATGCCGGCTGATCTCTGGTTCCGTTGTCTTTGTTTATGACAGCCCCCTACGAGGCCGGAAGTCTGGACGAGGGGGTGGGGGACAAGGGGTGGCCAAAAGGTTACGGCGAGGGGTGGGCCAATGATGCAGAATATCGCAGTTTCAGACACATGTTTCGAACTCCGAGATTGAATCGTGTTCGACATGCAGTCTGCAGAGCTCGCATCCGCCGTCGTCAGTGCCCGCCGCCCTCAGTATTATGGGCCGATCAGGTGAGTTTGCCGCCTTGGAGGGTCTTTTTCATTTCTAACTCCTCGGATTAAGACTACATACTACGTATGACATACAAGGGGTGCTACGCTCTGCCATTCTGAATCTCATTAGAATGCAGGTTTGAATTCAACCCCCGCCTTGAAATCTGCGACGCGTCCAGATCCTGCAGGAAGGCGTTCATTTCTCGCCGCCACCAGCAGGCGGCAATGAGCGCGAAAAATCGATTAGTATGACTTCCCTATAACCCCGACTTGCTGTCAGGCGAGGAGTAATGCTCGGCTGTCTCGTTCAGAATTTGAGGCGCCATTGTATGCCCATTCTTCTGCTCAATGGCCACGAGCTAAATACTGTGAGAAGCCGCCGCGGTCATTTTAAAGGGTGTCTTTGGTAGCGCTGCGGCGCCGGCATCCGAATCTAAAGTACGTGTCTTCAATGCTGCTGCATCCAGTTTTTGACGTTTCGCCAGTTTAGCCGACGCGTACTACTTATGTGCAATAGTAGGTAAGTTGAGTGCGCATGTATGTGTACCGCGGGCTCGCCTGACATCACTCAGCCTTCGCACTTTTTGAACATGCGATCACGTTTGCAGAAGAAGTCCGCTGTTTCTGGCAACGCAAACTCTCTGCCGCTTCGCTCGTGTTCTTCTTGAACCGCTATACCCTGCTCGTGGCGTCGTCCTCAATGGTGATAGCACATCTCACGTGGAAGGCGGATACGGTGAGGACCTTCACATATGTAGTAATGCGTCGGACATCTGAAATGGCTACGCAGAGGTTATCTCTTCTCTCGGGTCAAATAGTGTAAACGCTAATCGGAGATATACTTAGTACAACGTGCAAGGGGCTCGGCTGGGTATACGAGAGCGCGAATATACTGCTGTTCGTCGAATCTGCTGGTCAGCCTTCTACCCGCCTTGTCTTTATACATGAAGTAATATGCCGCAACTACAGTATTCTCCGCGCTCAGAGCGTATGCCATTGGTGGCCGCATCGTGATGCCAGCCCTGGTGGTGTTGGTGCTCTCTTTGACTGCGGGTGGGGCGATGCTCGTATGTACTTAACAAATTACAAAGCTCACTGTGTCTCACATGGTGTTCTAGTTCCAACAAGTATTCCAGGAAATGACAGGCCCTCAGTCCTACCTATCCCATTTCAACTCAATGTACTCGTGCGTGCATATGGACCTGATTACTGTCCCCGCTCATACGAAGTGCGTGCTTCTCTTTTCCTCTGCTTAAGCGTGCTCACAGGGAGCCATCTGCAGATGTAATGTCATATTTTTCAGAATAGCGAAAGAGACTTCAGTGCTGACATCATTGCAGTGATGACCGCTACACGGGCTATTGCGATTGCTGCGGATTTGATCGTCTTCGCAGTAACTATCCACCATACGTTTGGAATCAAGAGACAAGCCCGTCAGCTAGGGATCAAGGTGCCGCTTGTCACTATGCTTCTGGTTGACGGTACGAGCCGCCTCTCTACGTAGGCATGCAGCACAGTCTTGAATTATTGGGCGTGTGGACAGGGTTTCTATACTTCGTGTGAGTCAATCAAGAGTTCGCTTTGCGGAATGGTGGATACCAATGGTGTGGAGGCCATCAGAGTATTATTCGTGCTTGATATTATATTCATTATATCATTTCAGAGTCGGAGTGCAACCGACGTAAGTAGTCTGATTCATGGTCTCATGAGCCGTCGAAGTCTGACAACTATACGTCTATATGTTCGATATCCTCATCTGATCAGCCACTCGATCATGAAGCAATATACTACATCGCGCCGTCAGTGCTAGCTAGTTCATGATACTGAAACATACAGTCACTGAACGCGAACCTATCACAGGATCTCGTCCATTCTGATCTCAAGGTTCATGTTCCACCTACATCGGAGTCCCAGCCCCGCTGGTAGCACGCTCCGGGAAACGCACAGCTTGATGACCTGTTCGGTGGGTTCAGCACCCCTTGACAGTCAAGCATTCGCCCACTTCCGCACAAACAACATAGGCGTGGGGACGCCTTCCGCTGGGATGACATCGTCAGCTGGTATCGCCTTGGAAGACGACTGGGGTGATGCAGCGTCGGATGTGGAATCAGTGTATGAATTAGACGACGAGGTTCATCTTGCTAGTCACCATCGAGATACACTCCATGCGTAGTAGCGGCTCTCAACATGGCTATCGACAATTGCCAATACATCCCGGTGTTTCAATAGTGAGTCCTCGCAGATTTCCAACTTCACTGCGTCATATGTTGTCTTACCATGTAATAAGTCATAGACCCATTTAGATGCGATCGCCACTGGAAGCTTTACTGTCGGCATCTAAAGGACAATAACAGTATATCATGTAAGTAGAAGAATAAGATGGAAACATGGTGTATCCGAAGACCGGTGTTCCTTTGAAGAGCCGATCGCCATCATCAGCACGGTCATCAAATATGCGCATACGTAGTGAGATCGGATCAAGACAATCATGGGCCTGCATGCATGCAGAAGGGCGAACCACGATTACTGCTTTACAAGACGGACGTCGAGAAGAAGACCGAGAAATGCGGGTTTTCTCCCTTGCGATGACCATGACGCAACTGCAATCGGGGCCACTGAGTCGACTTGGCATTTCCGATAAGCGTGCATGGCCCAGGACTTACCAGATCATACTCTAGAGCGCATTTCGCGCTCTATATTATGGTCGTCACTGCCTCGATGTGCTGCTGTGGCCGACGCGTTTAGGAGGCAGTTGCTCAGGCTCGAGTGGGGGTTGCTATCTGGTCGCTGGCGTCGCACGGCTGGAGCGTTCGTGCCGGAGGAGGCTGTCGTCGAGCTCCTTCAGACCAAGTAGGTCCTCAAGGACCGGCAATGTTTGAGGATTCTCGGCTGACATCGTGATCGCAGTCACGTCTCTGCTTACTGCGAGCTTGCCGCTCGCGATGAGTTCGTTGCTTGCGGACTGCCTGTCTCGCTTCGTCGGTGTCATCTTGCTCGTCTCAGCAGCCATATTCTACGAGCACGTATTTACGCTGTCTCACGAAGTACGCTTCATTATCTGGGGCTGCGAGCGTGCCAGCGCCATGGCCATATTTGTCTCGATTCGATATGTCGTCTTTGCATTTGGAGTCATAGCGCTTCTGGGGGTCTTTTCATGGGACACCAATCTAGTACATTCTTTCGTCTTCAGTGCTTGCATATATGAATAATCCTCTGCCCGGTGCAGAGGTATCGTTGGTGCCCCATAAGGGTTTCTTCAGTCAGGGTCAGCCCTGCTTTTGCCACGCGTCAACCTGACACAATGTCGCTTGGCCTCAACGGAGCCATGTAGCGCGGTACAAAGTATCAAGTTGCATTCGTATTCACCTACTGCACAGACAAGATCGCGCCGAGGAAGGCGCATACGACATCACAAGGTTTAAAATAAATACTATAATCTATCCCCGCACCTCCCCCCGTCCTCAGTGCGCGAAGATCCGCGCTCACAGCTCTTCCACACGTTGACTCCTCACTTCTTTCCGGATTCTGACCCATGATGGCTGTGAGGAAGATGGAGGCTATGCACGGACTCCGAGGAGTGTGAGCGCGCGTCAGCGCCTGGGCCGTGCGACGACAGGTTGTACGCCTTCACAAACCCTCTGCATGCCGTTGGGGTGTTTCGGGGATGTGGGGCATTGCACCGGTGAGAACGTACTCAGCCTTCAAACGAAGAAGAGGACGCACCGCTGCGTGGCATCCAGGTAATCGCTGCGGTCCCACCGCTTATTCGTCTTGACCGAGACGCCCTCCCGCGAGACATTCACGCCCTTGTGTTTGAGTCTGCGCGCGCACAGCACGTGAAGCGCACGACACGCGTGAGCGGGACGTAGAGGGACTCACGATTCTTTTGCCCTCTCGGCCGCCCGCGAGGTCGCCCTGCCCACATATAGCAGCCCTGCCACGATAGAGGCAGCTACTGATAGTGTCTATGAAAATGAAATTGTCGTCGCAACGTGTTAGATCAAGCCGAGACCAGACTCCGGTACTTGTGATACGCACGATAAACAACGAGGCAAAGTCAATCCTGCAGCATCCCTCAGTGACTTACAGACCGAACATCAGCGGAGCGCCTCACCAGTTCGCCATGGTATGATGGTGTGAGGATGAGCAGATAGCTGGAGGCTGCAGAGATAGAGAGCGAGAGACCCCCCAATTTAACACCCGCAAGTTATAGTTCAATGGAAGGCGGTCACGAATGGAAGCCGCAAGCGCCGTGGATGTCGGTGCTTTTCGTCTCCGTTACGTCCGTTCCGGTAATGAGAGGTATTTGTAAGGGAAAGCGAAGACTAGCAGTGAATGGAAGTGCAGAAACAGCCAGCGGTCTGCAATATATACGCAGTAGAATAGGAGAGGATGAGGGATTGGGGCGGTGCCACTGACTGATGACCGCATTTGGCGCACCGCAGCGCCCGAGCGCTCGGCCCATCGACTATGTTCCTGCTTCAAAAATATACATCCCGCTTACTGAACGTGCCGTCTGCAAGTGACGTCTTGTGCACTCGCTAGGACAGACTTGTGTCCGCAACATCATTGTAGTCACATTGCGGCATTCAGGCCTGCACCTACGACATTGCCGACCTCTGCCGCTCCGCTTCTTGTAAGTAAATCGCGATGGACATATCATTCTTACCGTCTGAGATGTCCGTGCAACGCATGGGCCGCAAACGCACCTCGACGAATATGTACCGCTTCTGTACAAGATGCCTCAGCCACAAGGATTGATGGCAAGTTCGCGCTTTAACATTCTAAGCGTGATGCGCGTATGGGCGGACTTCGAGCGGATACACCAGCGAACACATTGCCGGACTCCGGCATAGGCCTTGATTTCAGAGTCCGCCTGTCTACGAACAGGCTTTCCGACACACGCTTATTTGTAAATGCGCACTTCCCAGTCCGAGCCACATATGAATGAATTTTCGACATGGGCCTGCGAACGATTCGGGGTCTGAAATCTCACCTTAAGCCGGTGGAGTAGTTCACGACATGCCACGGAAGGTACTTACAGTATCAGAGTGATTAATTGCGAGCGAAGCGAGCATATCGACATGGGGGGTGAGCCGTCGCTTTCGCCGGGGACAAACAAAGCCAAAGAGTCCGCTACAAGCGCCTGAGCACTTTTCGCACTCGCAGCATTAAGTGTGCTGTAAGTCGTTCAATAGGGCACCAATTCTCATCATTTTAGTCTCGAATGGATCGCATTTACTTACTCTATGTTTCTGTGACTAAAATTTGGTACGTTGTGATGGTTCCATGGCAATATCTGGGTAGCGAGGACAACCAACTGCATGTCACGTGCACCACCCAAGCGCCTAGCAGTCGTGCAGCAACTTGATGAACCGTGACCACCACGTCGGCCTGCACAGGTCTAAAGTCGACTTTCTCTTCGTTACGCTCGATAACCCGCGCTCTCGGACAAAATGGTACCCCCGCTCACGGCGTCGTGTGTTTGCGAGGCTCATAGATCCTAGCCGTCCACAGCGAATGCGGCGGACCCCATCCCAATAGAGACGTCCCATGAGGACATGATCGTACGTGCACCCGCGCGCACTGAGAACGCGTCGCTCACCCCGCCCTGACAGCACGACGCGCAAATGGACTACTACGGCAAGCGCATCGCCACATGCTCGTCGGACCGCACAGTGAGGGTGTTCGACGTGGTCGACGGGGAGACACCAAAGGGACAGACACTCAGAGGGTGCGTGCGCTCCTTCTCCCAGACGTCGTAGCGGGAGCGAATGAACACCCCACCAGACACACCGGGCCCGTGTGGCAGGTCGCCTGGGCACACCCCAAGTTTGGCCACATCCTCGCGTCGTGCTCGTACGACGGCAAGGTCATCATCTGGAAGGAGCAGCCTGCGCAGGGCCCGTCCCCGGGTGGCTGGGCGAAGATCAAGGAGCACACCCTGCACAAGGCGTCCGTCAACTCCGTTTCATGGGCCCCCCATGAGCTGGGCGCGATCCTCGCGTGCGCGTCCTCCGACGGGACCATTTCCGTCCTCACGTTCAAGAGTACGCCCTCGTCGCTGAACCCTCTACGCTTTTCTGACTATATGACTCAGACGACGGCCAGTGGGGCGCCGACGTGTTCGACGGACACGCCATCGGCTGCAACGCGGTCTCCTGGGCGCCCGCTGTGCAGCCCGGGTCTCTGATCGCGCCGCAGCCGACCGCGTCGCTCCCCGGCCAGCCGTCTGCGGGGCTGCAGAGCGTGAAGCGCTTCGCGAGCGCGGGCTGCGACAACCTCGTGAAGATCTGGGGCTTCCGCGACGACACGCAGGCGTGGATCGAGGAGGAGGTGCTCGAGGGGCACACAGATTGGGTGCGCGACGTCGCGTGGGCGCCGAATATTGGGCTGCCCCGGAGCTATATTGCGACAGCGTCCCAGGTGCGCCGGCTTGCGTCTGCAGAGGCGCGCTGCTGATGGTGTCGGGTGGCAGGACAAGACGGTGCTGATCTGGACGAAGGACACGCCGACGTCGCCGTGGGTCAAGACGGCGCTCGACGCGTCGTCGGTGTCGGTCTCGCCGACGTCGGGGGCCCCTGCCACAGCGGGGAAGTTCCCAGACGTTGTGTGGCGCGTGTCATGGAGCCTGGCAGGGAACATCCTCGCGGTGAGCTGTGGCGACGGGAAGGTGACTTTGTGGAAGGAGAACCTGAAGGGTGTGTGGGAGTGTGTGAGCGACATGACGAGCTAGGTGCTTTCTCTCCTGTAGTCTACTTCTTTGGCCGGACTATATGCATTCATTTCATGTTTTTCGTGGATCCCTCCGGATCGAGAATTGTCCGTTGCGACGTTGGGAGCGCATCTTACAATATGCACCCGCTGCACGGGGAGTGGCTCGCGAAGCAATTCTATGACCAAGGCAGCATAACTGCAACTTTATTGGACTCCGAGTTTATCCTTGTCAGATACCGAAACACTTCGCTTCATTTGCAATGCCTAATTTTTAAGTTAATTTGCATGCCACAGAGGATACTGCTCAAGACACTTGCTGCTAGTGTAGGGCAAATAATTCATTGGCATGAAAACATCACATGCCCACACGTGACAATTACTCTAGTTTTTTCGCCCATCCCTTCAAAGATAGGAGGTAGCATTGGCGCTAATGTATGTCACGTGTAGTCACATGACTGTCAGGAATTATGTCTCACGCGCTGATTTGACGCCATTCGGACCGGGCGAGCGGAGCCGCCTATATCAACCAAGTATGGTTATTTACCCCTCAGGAGCACACACATCACCAGGCTCCTTCCCACCATCTTCGTTCGGGTAAGGGGGACTTCATATGAGGGGCAGGTACTCATCCTAAGTCCTAAAGATCATATGATATGATACATTATGTCATAAATACATCTCATGTGCTTTTCATCAATAAGTCACATGTTTTTAAACCCAGCAATCATCCCTCAAACCCTGTCTACGACGGCTGGCACAAAACATTGGTAAACAATTGGTGCCGGCCATCAATTCCCCCATTTAGCAGGGAGCTTCACCGGGGAAATGTTTTCAGACAGTAATGTTATTACAATTAAATGAATATCTATGAGCATCATTGAGTGCGGGCTCACAACATAGCAACATAGCCTGACCACCTCTTTCATGCCTTACGAGAAGCCTACGCTACCGTCTCTAGACCAGATCCATTAAAAAACATATGTAAAGTTAGGCCGTGACCCCTGCAAATGGCAAGCCAAAGTTGTGCACGCAATTTTGAAGGAAGAGAAAGATGTTGTCTGTGTGGCTCCAACTGGGCCCGGAAAGACACTCACATTTTGGATGCCACTGCTATTTCATCAAGATGGCATTCAAATTGTTGTGACACCACTCAACATTCTTGGGAACCAGAATAAGATGGAACTTGAATTGTTAGGAATCAAAGCAGTGACCGTCAGTGCCAAGACAGCTACACCAAAGTTATACAGGGTGGATACATTGTGTGGCTCAATGGCAGCGCAACTCACCAACAAAGGTCTCAGGATATTAAAGATGGTGTCTATCATGCAATCATTGTCAACCCGGAAGAGCTCATGAAGGACAACAGTGCCTTCGAACAGCTATGGAAGAACATCAATTTCACGTCCCGCATCATCAGTATCGTCTGGGATGAAGCGCACTGTATCAGCATCTGGAGCAGTTTTCGCACCAACTACAGGGAAGCTCACCGTCTGCGATATCTCATACCACATGTTTGTTTTGTCCTTGCCACAGTGACACTCCCCAATGAGATTCAAGACAATGTTATGAGAATCTTGCAGATCAAACCAAAAAACTGCACAATCATCCGATGTTCAAATGTCCGACCAAATGTGCACTTACAAGTGAGGAAGATCGAGCATTTGCTCACAAGCTTCAAGGACCTCGAGTTCCTTGTGCCAGTAGGAATGAAGGTGGGAGACAAGTTGAAGAAGCTCATGGTGTTCTTTGACAGCATCAAGGAGTCAATCAAAGCTGCAGAAATGCTGAGAGCAAGGCTCCTGCCCAAGGAACGTACCAAGATCCGGTGGTTCAATGCACGCATGTCACCCGAGTTCCGTGAAGACGGGACACAGCATTTCAAAGACGGTGATGTGTATGGTCTCTGTGTGACTGATTCATTTGGCATGGTTAGTAATTACTATATTGCAATGCAGACAGCCCGCTTACCTGACGTGCAGGGAGTTGATGTGACAGACATCGAGATCATTGTGCAGTGGCAAATGTCCTGTGACATGAACACACTGTGGCAGCGATTTGGGCGAGCTGCATGGGATCAGTCACTTACTGCTATAGCTATCCTCCTTGTGGAGGCGAAGTACTTTGATGAAGCAAAGCAAAAAGCAAAAATCTGCTCAGAGAAGAAACACAAAGTCTCCCTAAAGTGTAAGGCTACATGTGTACCAAATACTGAGCCAAACAAGTGCACATGTTTAGTGAACAGCCGGGTAGCGAACCACAGCATCACACAGGCACACAGCTCAGTTGTAGCTGATATTGAAAGTACAGCAGTAGTTGTTGTCGATGGGAGAAACCTTAGGGAAGAGTGGCACTTGGGGAAGAGCAACAAAGTACAAGGTACAGGAAGGAAGCGGAAGGACGACGAGCGTGCTAAGGAACTCATGCCCGAGCTGGATGCCCTGGTGAATGCTGGGACATGACCATATAAGTGCTATAGGGTTCCTGTCAATGCATACTATGTGAACAACGAGGCAGGTAAGTGACCTTCAGTGTCAGCAGGAAGTGCATGTGCTTATGTTTATATAATGGTGCTTCCTAGACTCCCACCATGAAGCTTGTCACCCAGATGGGTGCCCCCGCTGCTCGCCCCGTACCTCCATAGTGTGCTGCACCCTCTGCTCCCCTGATGCTTTCGAGACAGAGCTGGACTCTGCGACCAATGTCCCCACTGTACAGCCGTCGCTTACATGGGCATCAAATCTCAGACACCACATAAAGACCATGATGTCTGACGCTGCACATGATCTAAAGGCTGCGCTCAACCATTGGCGGCGCAATCATGCCCAGAGCAAGTGTGGCGCTGCTGCTCATTGAGACATGGGATCGAGTATCATCCTACCTCATGCAGTCCTGGATCATCTTGTCGATTGTGCACATGCGAGGAAAATAACATGTGTGGATGACATCTGACGTGAAATAAAATGGAATAGGATCAACAAGTATGGTGGTGACATTCTCGCAATCATTTTACAGTAGGTCTGATATACTTTATAATTATACAAACAACTGATGCTCCCACTCAGACACTTCCCTGTGCCTGCAGCAGTCACGTCCACCACTCAACAGCATCCTTTGAATGAGGATGGAAGCGGCAGACCCAGTAGTGTAGGAACTGCTGGACGTGTCATCAAACAATATACATGTAGTGTCTGCAAGCAAATTGGTCATACAAGTGAGCGCTCACCTTCCACGGTTCTTGACAGCTCCGGGCTGACTGAATCAACACAGAACGAAGCAGTATGTGTCCTGCCAAGGCACACCAAGCACAACAGGAGAATATCCCTGTTCCTTTGATGCAGGTAGTGTCCTCGTTGTCTGGTGCACACTTGCCTGTCCCGCAGAGTGATCCATTCACAGACATGTGTATCCAGTATGATTCACTCTCATATTTGACTGACTCTCACATTTGCTTTCAGCCTCATGGTACTACACTTTCCTTGCTACAACCGGTGCTACCGTCTCAATTTTATGGTACACACCCACAGTAGAGGATCATGCTTATAATTCATCCTTGATGCTTATCTCATTTGCACCTACCTCATCATCTACAATCTTGTCCCCATCTTCTGCATCAGCGTTATCATCCTCTCACTCACCAGCCACTGTTCCGCCTTTGTGGTTTGACACCCATAACACTGTAAGCCCTTTGTCAATCATATCTTCAATGATATATTCTGATTTGCAACCAGTGTGATGTTCGTGTGGACCGTGCTCTTGCATGTGTGCTGCAAGGGTGGCAAATGTTTTTGTTAGATGCTTCTTTCCATGAGCTGTACTGAGCCCATTTAGATGATAGTGGTGTTCTGCATTGCGTGTACAGTTCCAGTGGACAAGAATGTTGGGAGATTCTGTTAGGATGTGCGCTTTTGTGTAATTGGAACCATCGCCACCATACATATCCTTCGTAAACAGGTTATGGAGCTCCACCACCCAATCAACAGCACGGAACATCATCAGTTGGCCCTTGAGATTGATCATCATGTGGTGGTGTATCACATCACGGAGACATTGTGGATATACAAAGTGAAGGTTGGTCATGAACTTGAACATTTGATTCACATATTTATGTTTACTGGTTGCTTTGAACAGTGCAATCCAGGCCGGAAATAGTGTTTCTACACAGCCAATGTCCCCGGAATTCATGGTGTACGCGAGCTCCTCATAAAGCAACAGGTATTGATGTAGGAGCCTGGTGTTTTCGAGCTGAACATCTCGAACATTGCTTGTGCGCTGACATGCATCATATAGACTATCGCTGTTCGAAACATACTCAGATGCGAGCATGTCTGCCATCTCGTGCAGGACTTCCAAGGTAGGTTTGGTGTCCACAAAGTCCTTTAATGACTTGATCTTCTTATCCCTTTTAGCAGCTTCAACTCACCAAGCATCAAGATGTAAGCCAATCCCTGCATGGCCTATCACTTCATGCATGACACGGAACTTAGGACTTGATCCTATCTTCAAGGTCTCCTTTGGTTGGAGAACTCCTACATATGCCATGAGACTGGTTGTGTTGAGCCGCGAGTTCATAGGGCTGAGGAAGATGCACCATATTGCATCTGCTGTGGCCATCTTCAAATGGAAGAGACCCATCACAAAGACAACATATTGGTAACATTGCCATGGCGTCTCCTCAATACTCTGTGATTTGAGAATTGATTGGACCCTCTCGCAAGTACTCAAGTCCCCGTGCATCAGGACAACATAGTTGGATACGTCGACAAGGTGTGGATCATGATTCCATAGTTTCTCCTCTCCCAGATCCCCGATACCTTTTTGTGCAAGAAGGTTTGTGATTGCCTCCATGTTTCCATCGACTCATGACTGATTAATATCCATTGCATGTACAGGAAGAACCTCCACTTTGGTTGGTTCAATTGGTGTTATGGGCTCGGATGCGCCAAGGACAGGAAAAAATTGGCGAAAATACTCTGGGCCGTGGTGCATAAGTGTCACAAGTTGACACAGCGCCTAGCCATCTTTTTGATTTTTTCCCTTTCGCGGGCTCGAACCCGTGACCTCTGTACTATATGCCTGAAACGGACATTTCCTTATCTACTGTATGATCAGATTAGATGGGCGGCAGTGCGCAGCACAGCTCGGGCCCTGCTGACACAGCCGCTCTGACTCACCGGCCCCCGGGGCTGTGTCAGCATGCTGTGCACGGACCAGCTGTGCACGGACCAATGTGCACAGCCTGCCCTTATCTTCCCCTATATATAAGCCGGCCTCTGCTGCCCTAGGGACCTCAGTTTCGACCTCTTGTCCCTAGGTCAGTAAGCATCCCTTTGTATTCCTTTCTTACTTAACTAATATATTATCTTGTCCCTAGCCTTAGGTTTGAGCATTGCTCACCATCGCTTCGGTGAGACCCAGTCAAACGCCCCCAGTGTCCTTGTTTGGTTTTCCTCTGTCGCTTGACCTCAAGTCGCGACAATGAGGTTGTGCAAGAACTGCCATGAGTTATATTGCTCTCGACATGACAAGCCTGATGGGTGTTCATCGGGATGTATATTCATCAAGTCTTCGATGGTGACTTGTGCGTGGTTGCATATGGAATTGTTGGGGTTCAGCGCTGACTTCTCCCACAGCTCCTTTGAGCATCTCAGATCCTCCTTGGTGAAGCCATGACCAAGGCGGAATATGAGCCCTGATGTCAGGTGTAGTAGTGTCTCCATAGAGTGTTTGACAGTGGGTGTAACCGTGTTTAGTTTCAGGTCGAAGTTGTCCCACACAAACATGGCCATGAGGGACTGTCCAAGCTCCCGAATACGTGTAGCACTTTCAGCTGACAATTGTCATGAGTTGACACAGTGTCTAGCCATTTTGTAATTTTTTCCTTTCCATGGGCTTGAACCTGCGACCTCTGTACTATACGCTCAAACAAACAAGTCCTTATCTACTGTACAATTAGATTAGATGGGACAGCAGTATGTGGCACAGCTCAGACTCCACTGACACAGCCGCGCTGACTCACCGGCCCCCAGGGCTGCATCAGCAGGCTGTGCATGGACCAGCTGTGCACGGACCAGTGCGCACAGCCTCCCCTAAACTTCCCCTGTATATAAGCCTGCCTCTGCTGCCCTAGGGACCTCAGTTTCGACCTCTTGTCCCTAGGTCAGTAAGCTCCTTTGTATCCTTTACTTACCTTCACTAACTAATACATTTACTTGTCCCTAGCCTTAGGTTTGAGCATTGCTCACCATCACTTCAGTGAGATCCAGTTGAACGCCCCCAGCCTTTTGGTTTGTTCTCTCCTTGTCGCTTGACCTCAAGTCGCAACAACAACACTCACATTGCCTGATTAATTGTGCTGGGTGAAATTGAGAAGCCGGTATGTGCGAGCACTTTGATGACTTTGTCAGGTGTGTTGCACGCATGGAGCAAGAGCCCGTTGACAGCAGGTAATGCATTACATTGCTGGCTCAATGAATGCATCATAATCAACATGATTGAAACTGTTTTCCATTGAAGCAAGGAGCAATTCATATCAGTTCCCTTGTACAGATGGTGTCAATCCACTTACAGTCTGTTTCAAAGCAAGACATTGAGTGTGTACAATGTCTGCATGTCGAGAAGACATCTGGCTTTCACCTTCAAGCACAGCCCAATATTCCACTTCTTCTGCATCCATCTGAACGAGTTCAGACTCAGACTTGTTCTCCTCTCCTGTCAGTAGGTAGCCAATAAGATCCCAGAGCTCAGGCGTCACATTGCGCATGTCCACAGCCATATCATCCATGTGAAAGTCCTCAATTTGACTGGCATTCATGTGAATCGCTCCGAAATGCCAGCCATGCTTGGGGTCTGTGAGAGCACGGGCAGCATGATAGTAGTGTTGTTTCATCACGCAGTGGGTGGACTACAGCATAGTAGTCGAATGTCTCGAATGCTTAAGAGATGCATTGAGAATGTCATTGAAATTTACAGCGAGTCTGTCTAGACATGGATGAGCACTAAACTCTCGGAGACTCAAGAGTGATAGCAGAAAGTCAGATATCGAGACTTGTGAAGTGGCGAAGAAGTTGAGAACGATGCAGACTTCACCAAAGACAAGCATAGCGGATGGGTAGTTACTTCGCGCTACTACTTACACAATGCGTTGCCGCCACTTGGTCGCAACATGTTTGGTCGACCACACGACGCGCGCAGACACTCGCACGTATTATGTAACATATCTCATTATATGGACAAGCGCCCACCCCCCTAAACGAGGAGACTCATCGGCGGCGCCGATTGTTTACCAATGTTTTGTGCCAGCCGTCATAGAGAGGGTTGGGGGATGATTGCTGGGTTTCAAAACATGTGACTTATTGATAGAAAACACGTGATATATTGATCCAATCTACAATATGATCTACACTAGGATATAGCATGAATACCGCCCTCAGATGAAGTCCCCCTACCCGAACGAAGACGGTGGGAAGGAGCCTGACACATCACACACAAGGCTGAATATATGTCAGTTGGTCATGTGATGAGCTGCACCGAACCGAACCAGAAACGCAGAGGGACCACCCGACCACCTACTCCAGGCTAAGAATTTGTATTACAACAGCGTAGTCACATCGGAGACAAGGGAAGCGCTGGTACATAGTAAGTATACGAGGATATCGTACAGTTGAGGTGCGGTGATACAAGTGCAGTTGTGTGCATGTGGGGTATCAGTGAGCAGCAAAAAACAGCACGATGTAGCCGGGGTGTAGAGCAAGGAACGTAATGCGAGAGGAGATTTCCAACAGAAGAAGTTGTGGTCGCCTTTGACGTCGAGGAGCAACGAGGCGGCTATCAACAGCGGCGACGCGTGCGTGCATATCACACCATGCGCTCGGACACAACAACAGAGCCACGCGGAAGACCAGACGCCAGGATCACCGGTTCGATGATGGTCGAGAACTGTTCATGTGTGGCACACCGCAGGTAATCAGTGGAAGCGGAAGCGGAATGGAACCCCAGTACAGCTTGCCTGAGGTGCCGTAGAACCGAAATGACTCTCCCCCGTCGTCGTCGCTTCAGAGACATCAAATTTTCCAAGCGGACGATGGCCGGCCTCGAGGATGGTCGTCCGCGCGTTGAGGTTCGCCAGCAGACAGTTGACATAAACTGAAACAGCCGTTACTTCACCAAGTCCGACATCAAGGAGTGATTCTGGGACATACGTTTGCTCAGGACAAAGTAGAACACAAAATAGACAAACATGTTGGGAAGGACCGTGTACTGCAAATATTTCTCGTCAGGCTGCTACAAACCACGTTGATGGGAGCCGACGCACAGTGATGAGGCATACGATTGCACAAAGACTGGGCGGATGAGATTGATTGCGAGCGGGGTGGCGGAGCGACACACCTTGTCAACATGCCAGTGTTGATGCTGTAGACCATGAGCACGGAGATGATAGAGTCCGTGCTAATGGCCAAATGAGTTCGAGAAGCGCCATGAACGAGGCGTGGGCGTACCTCCTGATGCCAGTGCGGAAGCGGCGCAGCACGAGACATTGCGACACCGTAATGATACCGTCCACAACTACCTCGAGACCAAAACCGACGTACAAGCTCCACTGTTATGCACCGGGTCAGTGAGCGGCTGCCCACATGTCAGCGAGAAATTGATGCATCTTACAGAGAAACGGCGAATGTCATAGTACGAGTTTATCTGCATCCTGAGGGCATCCTTCGATGGCAAGTTGGGGCTGATGATATGAAAGCTTACCCTCTGACAGCGAAGTCTTTGAGCCGGGCAAATTTTTAGCTGCGCCTGTGCTCATTTAATCGTAGCTTTGGCTTACAGAAACCGTCGCCTACGCATGTAGAACAGTAAACGCTCGAGGACTGCGGCGGATCTAGGAAGCTTACTCGCCTGTGATCCACAAGGACAATGCGCCCTGTCCGAGCTATAAATACGTTGCTGTGAAGCACCATGATCACACGTACAATGATCAAGGGCAAGATGATGCCCCTTCCACTCCCTGAACAGCAATGAATGTCCGTCAAGCGCTGGCGTCCAGAACATCAGGCTCACTCACATTTCCATAGCCGGTGGCTGAAGATTCTGAGAAATGACACAGGCGTTAGTAGCTGCCGGACAAAATGAAGACTACCCAGCTGACCCTCGCACAATGATGTTGCTTATATTCTGGAACGAGAGTCAACTCCCCGTGTTTGTAGGACATGGGACAATACATACCGATACAATGATCATTACCTAGAAAAGGGTACCAAACAGTCGAGTCATATCTTCTATTATAGACAACGGTACATACCATGACACTCCTGTAGACAGATAGCATGCCTGAGTATGACGCGCATCTACTAAGCAGGGGTCAACTTCTGTGCTCACCAGATCGGCTTCACAATGTCGAACGGATCCGCGAAATTCAAAACCATGTAGTAGTACGCCGCATACTCGATCAACGCCATATGCAGGCTGTCCAAGCACCTGGCACAGGACAGCGGGTCAATGCGATCGACATCGTCTACGGGAAGACTGTCACTCACCACAACCCGCATACCTAATGCTCGATCGAATGTATTAGATCTGCGGAGCGCGTCAACCTGTCACGGATAAACGACTCACTAGCCATCGTATGAGGGGCGGGTCTCTCGGGTGCTGCTTGTAATAGAAAAATGCCTGCAGACTGGTAATGCCGTACAACCTGCCAACTACTAGCTCGTTCCTGGCCATTTATTTACTTACGAGACATGTCACTCACACTGCGGTGGCAAACTGGCCTAGAAACATTGCCCCCAGGGTGCTGTTGAACTGCGTCTTCACATCGTTGTCCATAGACCTGCGCAGTCAGCGTCGGCCGCAGACTGCTCTGTCGTTGGCAAGCCGGGGGAAGTTGCGAAGGCACCCTGGGTGCGGCGTTAAGCACGTTTTATCGGGGGAGATGCCGCGCATTGGACGCGGTCACACTCGATCAATATCGTATTTATTGATCTAAACCCATTTTGTCTTCTATATAGCGCACGCGATATCAATTGCCGCCAGATCATGAGCGCCAAACAGTCGGCACGACTCGTAGGCATCAACTCACTTTGACGTACGAAACCACATTCGTTCCCGCTCGCACACCGTGGTGAGACCAATTTGCACGAAGACAGTCGCGATGTGGTCGAGGACACAGCTGCGGCCGGTGGAGGCTTTTGTTATGGCTAGTTGCGGCCTCGATCTGACAAACGTTTCAGGCACGGTTACGCGCTCGGCTGTCCAGTAAGCAGACAACTGTCAAGGTCGGCATCTGATCACCTCGAATCTTGCTCCCAAAATGTGTCCGGTCTGCGCAGTGAAGCCTGCACAGTACTCACACCTCAGGGATGCACTGAGGCATTAAGCGTGCCGCCTACCTCCAAATAGACAAATGAAGCATCATACGTAAAATAGACACATGCAACAGTATACTCGGGGACAGCACGGCATCGAGCAGAACAATCTCACAATTGTGGTTTTTTTGCTGCCATCAGGCCCTCACGTTCGCAGACTTGACATGATCGGCAAAGGTGGTCGATCATCCGAACAGAGCGGGTCTCATTGAGTCGATGAGACCGCTCGTAACACTGTGGACCTGCAAAGAGAACGATATTTCCAAATATCTTGTATTGTAGACACTACGGGAAGAGCTGTTGAGATTACCATAGCCGCCGCCACCGGGTCGGGGTGGAGGTGTCTTGCAGGGAAGTCGAGGCTTGGGTCATGAAAGTTGACTCGCCGTAGATTGTGCAATGCAATCCAGTTCGAGGTAGGCTGTTTGGGCCTGGCCGCCGTGGAGCCGCAAGCAAACTAGATCTCGCTGTCATTTGCCGGGCGGTTGGGTTGGACTTGATGCTGAACTGCATGTTGGCATCTAGACCGCAGCGCGGGCGCGGATGCAGAGTGATTTTTCCAAGGGTTTTGGCGTAACCAGATTGTTTACGAATGCCTGTATGACCCCCGCAAAGTCGTGGGCGCCTATGTCAGATTGAGAATAATCCGGTAAAGTTATTCCCGTCATGCCAGCGGGCGAATTTGACTGATCATTTGTGGCCACACAGATATCACATTGTACCCTGTGCATCATCAGATTAGAAGACGCATAGGAACGACCTGAGAGGTGTGGAGAGAAGCGTACCTATTTACAAACAGCTCCAGGTACGTCTGACGGTCGTATTGTGATCACTGTTATATGAAGCCGTAGTCTTGGGTTACCACAGAAGCTCTCGCGATGATACTTCATACAGCTACCCCTTGCCCATCTTAAACCTAACTTTAGCATGATCACAACAGTTCCTGATCGCACTGCCTAAGAGACGCCAGAAAACAGGGGCTATTGCCTATTTAAGGCGAGGCAGAGTATAAATAAATCTGCACTCTATTGAGAGGAGGATGCAGGGCGACCAGTAGGACAATTATATCACTCACCGCCGCGATATGATAGAACAAGGGTCTCCCTGAAGCCACAGGGTGTCCACAAATTCATCACCCCTGTGGCTGAGACGGTGGCGCAACAGGTATAATCTGGATATCACCCTCATATTTGACTATATACAGCGCCCCATTTCGCGGCACTTGGCCATCTGAACCCAGTAGCGCTTAGTATTAGCAATGTGGTACCGATATTGCTCGTAGTGGATAGCGTTGAACACGAACTCCTGGGAGAAAGGCGCCCGTTTGCGATCAGTCACGTGGGCAGACGCGAAACTAACGCCACCGCGGGCACGATTTTGAGCGCGAGCGCAAGTCAGGATGCTCGCCTTTGCAAGTATCCGCGCAGCGCCGGTAAAGGCGAATCTTATCTTGCCGCCATGTCTCTCACATACTCCGCGGAGCGGCAGGTCGCTATCGCGGCGGTCAGGCGGGCGTGCGTCCTCACCGACTCCGTCTTCAACAAACTCGTACGAAACGAGACCCTGACCAAGGACGACAAGAGCCCAGTGACTGGTAAGTCACCATTAGGTCTATGTGCAACGTACATTTTGGAAAGTTGGTCGTACAGTGGTGACTCGCACAGTAGGAATTATAATTCTAGCACATTTTCGGGAGACCGCCGGTCGACCCTTTCATTTTGTTGCACGAAATAATAAATGCACAGGCGATTGACCTTTCCGTCTCGTAGTGGGCGACTTCTCGGCACAAGCAGTGATCAACACAATTCTCGGGCGCACTTTCCCGCAGGACCCAATTGTCGGCGAAGAAGATTCCGCTGACCTGCGCACAGAATCTGGCGCATCTTTGCGTGCTCGCGTCGTCGAGCTCGCAAATGAGGCTCTCAGGGCCGACCTTCGGACAGGCGAGAAGGAGGAGTGGGGGCTCGGCCCCAAATACACATACTCAGCAGAGGACCTCATGGAGACCATTGACCGAGGGAACTACGCTGGTGCTCGCAGTGGACGTACGTCATGAAATCCATCATTAACTCAATGAGAAGAGCTGATTTTTGGTCGATAGGCATGTGGACGCTCGACCCCATAGACGGCACCAAGGGCTTCTTGCGCGGCGAGCAGTACGCGGTTTGCCTCGCACTTATCGTCGACGCCCGCGTCGAGCTCGGAGTCATCGGCTGCCCTAACCTGCCTGCCGACGCGGCAGACCCAACCGGCGCACGCGGCAGCCTCTTCGTTGCCGTGCGCGGGCAGGGCGCGTACCAGCTGCCGCTGGCCGATCCGTTGGCCGAGAGCGTACTGCAAAATCGGCTGGTGATCCCGGCGTTCGCGCAGGACGAGCTCAACCTGCTCGAGAGTGTGGAGAAGGCGCATGCGAAGCTGTCATTCAACGAGCGCGTCGCGCGGCTGCTGGGCATCACACGCGCGCCGACGCGCATGGACAGCCAGGCGAAGTACTGTGCGCTGGCGCGAGGGGACGGGGGCGTGTATCTCCGGATGCCGACGGGGGTGGGATACAAAGAGAAGATCTGGGTGAGGACGCTTTGCGAGACTTGAATAATGCAACAGCTGATCTCTTTGGTAGGACCATGCACCCGGCTCCGTGCTCGTGGAAGAGGCAGGAGGTATTGTTACCGATTCCAGAGGCGAGCCCCTGGACTTTGGGCTGGGCAGGACACTTGGAGAGAACTATGGGGTAGTGGCGGCTGGAAAAGCTGCTCACGGGAAGGTTTTAGAGGCAATACGTCTTGCTAAGCAAGAGGAGGATGAACATAAGCTGTGATTGTCTTGTAATAACATTGTACTTGAATCTGAGAAGCTACGTGGATCATTCAGACAAATTTGGCCTCTAGAGAAAAACCGTGTTTATTGCCTGTACTCGCAAGGCAAGATGCGAGATACGACGTGTGGGCCCGCGAAAAAGGATATTACGTGCGTATGCCGGGAATCGAACCCGAGGCAGGGCCATGGGAAGACCCTATGTTACCATTACACCACATACGCATAGCCCGATACGACCCCTTTCTTTGATGGGCGCGCACAATATTGATCTCCATTCCAAAAACATCCTGCGGCAAGCCTCTGGTGTACCACTTACCATGGCCTCAACGTCCTCGCAGCCGCAGCAGATTAATGTGACGGATTTAGACCTCCCGCAACTTGCAGATGTGCGGCGGCAGCTCGAAGAGGTGCGCTTTTTTCTATCCTCGACGCAATACGTTTGCTGTTGAAGGATCTACGGTATTGACACTGAGTAGGAATTGAGCCACCTTTCGAACTCGTTCGCTCAACTGCGTCAAGCTCAGGCGAAGTTCCGCGCATGCATTGACAACGTCGGCCAGGTGAAGCCGGAGAATAAGGGTGCGTTGGCTCCATCGAGTTCTCCAATCGATTGTTGTTCTCACAACACGGATCGACATCACAGACAAGACGATCTTGGTCCCGCTCACAAACTCATTATATGTCCCGGGGAAGCTGAGTGACCATGAGAACGTGATTGTCGACGTTGGGACCGGTTACTACGTGAAAAAGGTGCGTGATTCATAGCTATAGAGCCAGTTCTGCCTCTGACAATCGTGACACACGGAACAGTCCCGCGCGCAGGCCGCCAAGCACTATGAGTCTAAGGTGGAATATATCCGGACGAATTTGGAGGCGTTGCAGGAGACAATACAGAAGAAGCAGGACAACATGAATTACTTGGTTAATGTAATGCAAATGAAACTGCAAGAGCAAGCCGGCAAGACTGCAAAGGCGTAGTAGTCCGACTGCCAGGAATACCTGTACTTTTAGGTGTACTCGCGGTCGAATCCGCACATCAGCTGATATCATCGCACCATCCGCTGAAGGAGGAAAGATGTCATGTTTGGGAGGGCCATACACGCAAGAAGAGGTCATATGTACACAGGTAAGGAAGTAAAGGAAGTGTTCGCATGTGTAGGGAGGGGTTCCGCCGAGCCGAGGCTATCCAATCCGGATCCTTCAGTCACATAGTTCAAGATGAAATCAGATACTCTGTGCAGCCATAGTCGATAATCCATACGCCATACCGGTGTTGATCGCTGGGACGCTGCTGATAGCAAGAGAATCTGCGCCATGTGGATCAGGATGAGACGAGAGCGAGCAGCTGTGGGGCTGGAAGAACGCCCATCGGAAACTGATAGACGTCTGGGGTGCGATCCGTTTGCCTGCACACAGGCGAAGCAAAGCCTCTAGGTTCTGGGCGGGTCCGAAGCCGTTCCAAGTTCTGCGATCTGCGCGATACTGTCAGTCCATAAAATGCGCCAATTGCGACGATGCAGGCGTACTGACCTTGCGCAGCGGGTGTGATGTCAAGCAATGCGGCTTACTCATGTGTCCGGCTCGAGCTTCTCGCCACGCGCGAGAACACGTACGACGCGGCTCGGCTGGGCGACCATCTCCATCATCGCCATCACCGCAGGCGGCCGCTCGACGAGACCCCCGCCCGGGATCGGGCGCGCACCAGCAGGCCCGGCCCCGCGCGAGTTCCTGCGCGTACCGCGTTTACCGCGCTCCTCTTCCAGCGATCGCCGATTAGTTTGCGGAGAGCGCCGCCCGTTGGCAGCGTTGTCGCGAACCGGCGACGCGTTCTTACCCGGGTGCGCGCCGAGAGGCGCGGGTACCACCTCGAGCACCTCAATGCGCGCCTTCGCCGCCCACTGCGCGACGAGCGCGCCGGATGAGCGCGGCTCATGGCGGTTCATCTGCGGCGCGGGGAGCGGCACCGGCGATGCTGATACGTGTGCGAGCGGGGGGAACACCGCCTCAGACTGTGCCTCAGTCGACTGCGAAAGCACTGCGAGGATGACGTGGGGCGGGGTTGTGTCCTGGGGGTTGCGTAGGGGCTTCTCCTCGGCCGCGTGTTCGATCTCCCAGCGCGCACAACAGATAGTGCGTCGCACCCACTCGGGGGCGCCCGTGGGCGGCTGCTGCTCGAAGATGTTTTCCCAAAGCACAAACGCATCGTCGCGTTGCAGGCGGATGCGCGGGTTCGTGCCGACCTGTGCCTCTAGGATGCGAGAAGCAGCGCGCGCGCGCTGGGCAAGTGAGCTCATGCCCTTCTTGAGCAGATCGAGAGTGTTCAGAGCTATAAAATGGCTATGAGTTATGTGTAATATATGCAGAGGAGCTCCTATCTCAGGGCGGCAACGGCTCCAGGTGGGAATGTGGCCCGAAGTACAGGGGTATGAGACGGGCTGACAAAGGCAAACCAGAGGTCCCCTGCACGATCCATGCCAAACGGCCACACATTCCCCGCCCTGCCAACGTTCGGAAATGGTAACAGCAATCAAACTCACCTTCAAGGGGGACGATAATGATCTCCTCTCGCCCATCTCGGCACCACTTCTTCACCTGCCCGAGTGCATGAATGAGTACACTCGCATCGACGACGACGATGTCGGCGTCCTTCTGTTCCCTGCGATCTCTGCCCTGCCTAGCCTTGTCTCCGTCGGTAAATGTGGCGTCGCCGTCCCGCCTCTCAATCGGCTTGGCCTGTGCGGGCGCGCGGGAACGCTTGCCGTCGGAGTTGTCCCCTCCAGTCTGGGTGCGGCGATCGCGCCAGTTGCCTCCTTGTCCTGCATCAGTGACGGTCTTCTCGAGCTGCTGCACCTGGTGGTTGAGGAATGCGGCGCCGAGTGCGCGGGACATAGCGAGTTTCTTCGTCGCGATAGCGGGTCCCTGCTTCAAGTTGATTAGTACTGTTATCGAGCATCCCAAGCCAGTTTCTCACTCTGATATCAGCCATGTTCGAGTTGTTTTGCGGTAGTTGTGGTCTGCGTGAGAGTGAGCTATTTGAAGGCGGAGGAGCGTCTGGGCTGACTGCGGCTCGGTGCTGACTAAGCGATATACTCCGTTGGGATTGGCCGCTTGGACCCACAACAAGGTGGCGCGCCAACTTGTGAACACCGTGCACCGCTTTGACTCACCTGTACAGCTATTGCTATTCACCGGTGAGCTTCGAGACCAGATATGAAGCTAGGAAGACAGAACCTTGGTCTATAGCTGTGTATGGTTCGGAACGAGTTCGTACTAATGGGATGGTCAGTACATCGACATGCGATACACTGCCATGGTGCGTGCGCGCCCACGGACGGGCCGTTGGTGATTTATTGACCTAGGTATAGGCCCATATACACCTTGAAGCTTAAGGCCTTGAGGCCGAATGATGACATCTATGCCTCTATTAGCAAGACAGCGGCAGAGCCACATAACGGCACTGACAGCATTGCCGCCATACCATGCTAGCGCTTTTCCTTCTGGCAGTATTCACTGCTCTCCGAGCCCAGTTTGGAAATCACGATTGCATATATGAATAATCGTATATGCTAGAGTGGCTGTCAAAGCGTATACAGGGATCCGTAGCTTTGCTTGCTACGTTGCTAGATTAAGCATATATCTGGAGAGCTTCGCTAATGACAGGGATCTCTCGATATTATTCAGCCCACGTAGTGTGTTGTGGCTGTATTGACCAGCACAAGGTCTGCTTATCCTCCTGATACCTAAGGTGGTCTCATAGGATCAAAACTCGCTTAAATTCAGCGCTATTCTTCGTAATGGCGGATATTCACCCACCGAACCCAGACGTATAGGAGGAAGATTACTGATTGACCACTCTGTTATTCTTGTGACTTACGTATATTCGTCAGAGAGCAGCTCTGGAGATACACAGCTATGACTTGATGATAAGGCGCACGGTGAGTAGGTTTATAGACTATGACGCATCGTCCCTGAATTCAATATTTGATGGCGGACGGAACGAAGTGACACGGACTTTGTCTTCTGTCAACGGAGCTCGGTCACGGGTGCTACACCTAAGCTCATCATGGTCCGCCCTTTTGCTTTGTATGGCTGTGCTTCTGCCCGCTTAGGCAGGAGGGGGCAGCCCGTGCCTGTATGACATCATGTGCATTCACAGTACCACCACGTCACCTCCCTGTCCGCCGTAGTCGTCGTTTTTCTCAGGAAATATAAGAGAGAGTGAATGGATGGCCTCGCGCAAGGATGTAGCTTGCTCCTTCCTCCCACGCTTTATTCTTCGACATGCTTTCAGTCGGACGGCGTAGAACTCTCACCTCCCCGCGACATTCCAGCAAGATAAATGCGTAAATGAGATGCATTAACAGATGGAAGTATGAGGCATATGCTTGTCGTGCAAAGGTATGATGCTCATGCTTATTTGTTTTCCGTCCGTTCCCGCGCATAGTAACACGGTCAGGAACCTTGTCGAGATCCGACAATGGTGAGCAAGAATGGGGCGTATCCAAGTGACCCATACCACAACATCCACACCCTGAACGAAGATCTCGCCGACGAGGTCGCTGCTTCAATGGTCCAGAAGAAGTCCCCAAACCGATAGCTTGCTCAAGAGAAGATGCCCATTGTCGTGCAGGGCCGAAGGGGCTGATCGGTGAGCTCTGGTCGTCCCTGGACAATGCATCTTTGTCTGATGGAAGTTAGGTCCAACAGCTGCGTGTGTGCGAAAGCCGATAATTCGCAGATACACACACGGCCATCCGTCACGGAGCGCTCAGGCGTCGAGCAGGGAGCTAAGGCATCCTCCCCACCATCTCAAGCAATCTAGGTATAGCATACGGCCCACCTTCGTGATCTGCGCCAGTAATGCTGATCCAACTGGTGGTGAATAGGACCTGACGTACAGATGACTGGTGTAGGAGATCACCCTCGCACATGTCCATCCGAATAATGACGCACATTGCGTAGGTTGTACAACGCCCTTCCGCCATCAGGGCATGACTATATGCGCGCCGATCCTGACTTGCGAGACCTACCCGACATTATGTCGATATGAAATGGAAGATCCCGCTCAAATGCCGCATAGCGCGTCCGCGTTCCACAAGTCCGCTCGATCCCCAAGCATGATCGACGCGTCTGTTCATCGTGCGGCCCTACTATGCGACGCCCCACGAAATAGCGAGGCTTTCCCGGAGGCGACATCGGGCCGGGGGCCGTCACAGAAGCGCGGATTCAGCAGTTCTCTTCCCTGCTTCTTCATGGTCCGGTCGCTGGCTCTTCGCTGGTTCTCCGAATCGCAAGCGTTTCCACACTGTGGGGACGCACTCTATCAGGCACGGTTGATCGGCCTGAAGAGAGCTGCGCAGATTGCAGGAGAGAGAGTCAGATGAGCGTGACTTTCGTCAACATCCTGAGCGGACTCAGTCACTGATAGCGCGTCACAGCAGTGAAGACACTTCATGAATTTATTGTCCCTAACATGAAGCAAACCCAGTGGGAGCGAACAGACACACCGTTGGGTCAACAAAGAAGAATGAGTTATTCTTGCGCCGCCTTCCCGCGAACCAGGGAAGACGTGGGGTAGATTGGGCTGCAAGTAGCTGCAAGTGCGCCCGCTGTTCCGCACGACACGGACGGCCTGTGAGTCTGTGCGGCGGGATGAATGTTCACGTCCCCAATGCCCCGCACCGCGCGGGAATGACAATCGCGGGGCCCAATGCCCCAAACTCGAGTCCGGGGACGCTGCCATCGATGTTCTCTGACGTCCTCGAGTGTCTCGAACACCTAGGGTTCTTACTGTGCCTTGTCGGCGCATGGTACGCGTGGGAGGTGAGTCATTGAGTGGCGAGATGACTGAGTGTTGGTGAGTCCTGACGAAGCGGTTGTCGGCAGTGAATGTTGCGGACGGACCGAGAAGCCGAGAATGGCCGAGGAAGAATTGTTGAAGCCGGCGGCGTTCTGGCATGCGGGGTGAGAAATTTTTCGCTTCGGAAAACACATCTGCCTTGTCCGTCGACGTTGCCACCGATTGGGCGGGGTGCAATCCAGACATTGGTGTTGTGCACGAGCGCACCACCACTGACGGCAGGCCTCCTCGCAGCCACCCATTCGATGTCGCGGCTTGCATGTGATGCGATCATCAAGCCGGTTCCGCTCCGATCGATGATCGCAAAAAACGCCCGACGCTCGATCTTCAACGCCCGCCAAGGAGGAGCAGCGTCCGGTCCGGCCTGGGCAGCGTCTCGCGTGCCGAGGTGTTCTCATACAGGGCCGCATGCGGAGCATGCATCAGCATATGGAGCCCCACACGCCGATACCGCTGCGCAACCTGGGGGAATGGAGGAAACCGGCCGGATGGATCCTGAGCCGCGACGGGGCGCGGCACAAGGCTCATTCTTCCGGCGGGGGAAAGAAATGGCGGCGCTGTCTGTCGGGTCGGGCGTGCGTCGAGGCACGACGACGGGGCGGCCGCACTCCACCGCTACACACGGACAGGATTGAGATGATGTCACAGTGCGTGTCACATTGTCTCGTCCTCTCAGCGCTTGGACTCGAATGATGGGGCTGACCGAATGCCAGAAAGCGCCTTCGTTTCTCCGTCTCGGACGAGGGTCAACCTGATCTTCGCCTGTATCATGTGCAGCCTGCAGGTCAGCCTCACAGAAGAGTCCGTGACATCGGTCACGACGGACATGGGAGAAGTCACCCGAAATGACTGGCGGAGGGAGAGGGAGAAGTTTTAGTCATGATGTCACGGAAGGTCGCAGTCCCCCCTCGTCCGGACCATCGTTTAAAAGGCCATCACTTCTTAGCCGACTTCGTCCTTCCGAGGAATTTCCAGCTCGCCCATATCATCCCCTCCATCCCTCCTCATTTTGCCCCTCGTCTCGTGGCCTCCTTCCCCCCCGACCCCACGTCTCGCCCTCACTGTTGTCCCGCATCACACGACCCCGACGACCACAGACTAAACCATCTTTGCCATGGCAGTCATGCTCTATGTGTGCGTACCGTTTGACAAGTGCTGGTGCTTCTGTGTCTGACATTGCCGGATCATAGACAAGGCGTGCCCATTGGGTACATGGCCATTGCTTTAGCCATTTTGGCATCAATGGGAGGGGTAAGCATTGTCTAGTTGATGTCAGTAACGCTCGGCCACTGACGATCATCCACAGTTCATCTTCGGTGTAAGTCAGCGATCGTAGGCGATGGTGCATCCTGTCCTGATCGGACCCCCTTTTTCTAGTATGACACAGGTCAAATCTCAGATATTCTCATCATGGACGACTTCAAGCTACGGTTCGCGACATGTTCCACGCCCGGCGATGCCAATACATGCAACTTCACCATTGTCCGCGAGGGTTTGATCGTCGCGCTGCTTAGCATTGGTACCCTCTTTGGTTCGCTGATCGGTGCACCGTGAGTGTTCTTCCTCTTTCGCTTGCTTTCCCCGCGTCTTCTCTTCGCTTGCATTCCCCCCGCGTTTCCCCCCTTCGTTCCCACCCCGCCTTTTTATCAATCGATCATCTTCTTGTACGTATACTCACACGCTTACCAAATCAGGACCGCGGATTACCTCGGACGTCGGTATGCAATGTCTGTAGAGTGTCTCGTCTTTGCCGTCGGCGTCGTCATCCAGATCACGACGACGCACACCTGGCAACAGTTCGCTGTCGGACGTCTGATTTCTGGTCTGGGTGTCGGCTCGCTGAGTGCGGCGGTCCCCATGTACCAGGCGGAGACTGCCCCCAGCCAAATTCGTGGAACACTCACGGCAACGTACCAGCTCTTCATCACGTTCGGTATTCTAGTCGCGTACTGCATCTCCATTGGTGCGCGCGACATCTCCGGCTCCGGCTCATGGCGCACAGTCGTCGGCATTTCATTTGTGTGGCCCGCGATTCTGGGCATTGGCATCCTGTTCATGCCTGAGTCTCCGCGTTGGCTCACGAGCAAGGGCAGATACGACGAAGCCCGCAACTCACTCGCGTCTAGCCGTGGCGTACCCCGTGCGGAGGCTGTCGACCACTTCATTATCACCCGCGAGCTTGAGGAGATGCGTGAGGCGGTCGAGTACGAGAAGAACGTTCAAACTGGCTGGCTGGACTGCTTCACCGTTGAGCGCAAGCAACTCTACCGGACACTTCTGAGTACGTGTTATCTTTCTCGAAGTTGGCTATTTATTGCTGACGGCATGCACGCTTCTAGTCTCGACACTTCAGATGTTCCAGCAGCTCACGGGTGCCAACTATTTCTTCTACGTGAGTTCACGTTCGCGTTTGTTCTATTGACAAATACTCATAAGAGCTTCCATTAGTACGGTGCAACGATCTTCCAGTCTGTTGGTATCTCGGATTCGTACGTCACCCAGATTATTCTGGGTGCTGTCAACTTTGGTTGCACGTTCCTTGGTCTATACGTCATGGAGAAGGTGAGCATATGCGTCTGTTTGATCAATAGTAGTCTTGAGATGCCAATGCCTCCACCCCCTAGTTCGGTCGTCGTTACCCGCTCATCATCGGTGGTGTCTGGCAGTCATGCTGGCTGTTCGTGTTCGCCGCAGCCGGCACAGCGAAAGACCCCACGACGAACGAGAGTATTGGCAAGCTCATGATCGTCTCCGCCTGCCTCTTCATTCTCGGCTACGCGTCAACCTGGGCCCCGGGTATCTGGATTCTCGTCGGCGAGACGTTCCCGACGCGCACGCGTGCGAAGCAGGCTGCTATCTCCACAGCCAGCAACTGGCTATGGAACTTCCTCCTCGCGTTCTTCACGCCGTTCATCGTCAAGGCGATCAAGTTCCGATACGGGTTCGTCTTCGCCGCGTGCAATCTCACGGGCGCGGTCATCGTGTACTTCTTCCTGTACGAGTCCTCTGACCTGTCGCTCGAGAGCGTCGACATGGTGCGTTGGCTTCCGTGTTTGTGGTACAGAATTGAAACTCACCACCTCGATTCATAGATGTACTCTGACCCATACTGCAAGCCATGGACCTCGCGTTCTTGGGCACCGCCGGGCTTCTCGTCGCGCGCAGATCTCGTCGAGCAGAGTCGCGCAGCAGAGGCACACAAGCCGCTCGCCACCGAGGAGCGCATTGAAAAGACGGGCGAGGGGCCGCAGAAGGTATAGGCGTGGGTTGTCTTGGGTTCCCTGGTGTGTTCAATGTGTCCGGTGCCGATGAAAACATTATGTTTCCGCACAAACACAAGTCTTCGCGTTGTGTGCAATGATCTTTGTAGCATTATTATCTACCTAATTGACGGATGTACGATACTGTATTGCTTTACGACGATGTGTGTTCTGTAGACGTTACCTTACGTCTAACATGACACAGTACTGGTTTCATATGTGTGCACAGGGTCATTAGCAACGCCTGCTCTAAGGTAATTCTGATGGTGCATTGCGCACGTCCACTTCTCGCTGAGCTGGTAAAGTGCCAGCATGGGATGCTGGTAGTGCTATTGAAGACATATGGCTGGGTTATGCAAGATGCTCCTACATAGATGTCCTAATATATCATAAAGGAGGCCGAGGAGGGGGTATAACTCGACTCTACAACAATCTCGCATACAACAATCTCACACGCACGCACGAATATCAACCAAAACCGAGGATGAGGCCAACAAGATCTCGCCAGCTGCGCCGCACGACCACCTTCACTCCGCCCCCGTACTCGTCTCCCAGCCACTCAACAAATCGCGCGTCCAGTCCACTGAACGGGCCCAACTCGAACGACATGACGTCCTTTGGTGTTAGTAAGACCGTCTCGACCACGCTGCTGTTCTCCTGCTGGGAACCGGCGCGCCGCTGAGGAAGAAGCTCCCCGAGTCTTGCGAGCATCACAACTGTGTTGGCGTGGAACGTGTGCAACAGTGCGAGTGTCGTCAGCACCTGCCTGGCCCGGCGGGCGCTGCGGCTGGTGTCGTCAAGGTATGTGACCGATGCGGTATCCTTTGTGGCTGGCCCCGCGGTCTCGTCGAGTGGCGGCTCGGGCGCGTCGCCGCCTCTGCCAGGCCACGTCCACATCGCGATGCCGCTAGCCTTGCGTAGCGAACGACTAGAGCTAGAGGGGAGCGACACGCGGCCCTCAATGCCCATGCCGACCGTGCGCACGTACGGCGTCTTGCGTGGCGGCGCGAGCTCGTCCGCGCCCTCGAGGCGGATGCTGCCCCAGTTCTCCCAGCGCGCTCCACCGGGGGAGCACGCGAGTGTGGGATGCGCGCGCCAGGAGCCCATCCAGAGCCCGGCGCACATCACGCAGACGTCCTCGTAGACGCGCCAGATGTCCGTCCAGGAGTTGGCGCTCGCGCGCGACCTGCCGCTCGTGCTGGAGGACGACGGGTCGCAGCAGACGTCGGTGTGTGTGCTTGCATCGAGCTGGAGGAGGCGGTCGAGCTCCGTCCACTGTACGGGTGTCAGTGTGAGGGGAGGATTTTGAGGTGAGGCATTACCAGTTTGACATCGCTCCATGTGAAGCGCACTATGGAGAGGCGGTGCGACGGCCCGCGGCCATTTGATGGTTCTGCGAGCTTGGAGGCATAGAACGTGGGGCGGGTATTCGGAGTTGACGTGCGGAGGTCAATCAGCAGGTCGTAGTATTGTGGCTTCTCGAGGAACAGCGCGTCCGTCGTACACGCTACCCAGCCTCGTCCTGTCTTGCTCTCCTGCTCAAGCTTTGGCAGGTCGCTGAGAGTGATCATTCCCAGCACTTTCACACCCTCTGTCGACTTGCCCTTCAGCTTGGGGCTCGAGTCCTCGTTATCGCTGTCTCTTGGTAGCGCAGCTTCACCGCTTGCCTGGTACTGATAGCAGATGTCCGCGGCAACCTGGCAGAGAATGCATGCGGCCTCGACCGGCGGGAGAGTATATATGAGTATCCTCCGGCGCCCGAGGACATGCTTGTAGAGTGTGAGGGAGGACGGCCCGAGGATACGCAGTAGGTGCGGGAGATGTATTGTCGGATCCATGTCGGGCACGTCATTCTCGAGCTCGGTGTCCCAGCCCCGCCAGTCACCTGCGCCACCGAGGTCTGAACGGCGCACTTTGCGCTCCTCGAAGAATGCGCGCGCGGGATCCCAGTCTCCATCTACTGGGATGAGCACGTCGCGGTTCTCAATAGAAGAATAGATGGATCGGAAAAGCTCCTTTAGCGCAGCAACGTGCAGCCAAGGGCGCGGGCGCGCGGACTTGGCGAGCAGGATGCCGAGGGAGGAGAGGCGGAAGCCGCGGTGGCCCTGTTCAGTTGTGTGTTGTCGATGGAAGACGCAGACGCCTGCGTGCTCGTCCTTTGTGAAGTAGCTGTGGCCAGACCTCAGTATATGCGGAAACACGCCTATATGCGGCCTTTACTTACATCACATCCCGTTCCATCAAGTGCAGACCACTTGGCAGAGCGCTGAACTCGACATGGCTCAGATCCAGGTCTGTGGATAGTGTACGATGAGCGAGGCTATGCAAAGGGGACGTAAGGTGGAATCAGGGAGTGACGCGCATGACACAGCCTAGTGAGCCTTGGAACACCATAAACCTTACTGGTGGCCCCTTCATTACTACTATCTGCCGGACCTTGAACCTGACGTTGATAAGGCGAAGCATATGCTCCATGCCCCGGCAGAGTCAATAGCTGCGAAGAGGGTTGCGACCAGCCAGATCTGGATTCGAGAATATGCGCTTCTTCCACACACTCAGGGAGTCTTGTGAAACTAAGGGGCTCCTCACCATGTACATGAGGGACGAGCGCAGCAGCTTCCAGGCTGTTCCTGATCCCCCGCTGATACGAAGGCAAAGGATGGGGGCCTGGGACGACCTGAGAGGCTCCGACAGCTGGTTATGATACGGCTGCAGTCTACGGAGCAATACTGCAGCATATGCACAGATCCCCCAAACGCTTCTCCCTAGCTCCCTCTAACGCTTGCGGTTGCAAAGCATCGAGACGAAGCAGGGCCGATAGCAGTAGCTGAGGCGCAGCTAATCCGCGGACGTGGAACGCCGACCAAGGTAGCAACCTACACATCATAGTCACATAACACGAACAGAAAATCGGCCAAGAGCAGGTTATGTCCGAGTCTGAGCCGGAGAACGCATGTCACTCCCTGAGTAACACTCAATGAATCGACTCACCTTCACTGGCCTTGAGAGACCAATCTAACACATTCCCCTGGGTCGGGTGAAAAGCAGCATGGAAGATGGCGACTGTACGTTGACGACCGGTTGTAGAGTTCCGCAAGTAATTTCGCAGAGAATGCACTCACCGACGTCCTGAGGAGCTCTGCCTTTCGCGTCCGTGGCCTGCATTGGCCCCGCTGTTCCAGCGTTTAATTACACCACGGACTAACAGTGAGCACTGCGTGCTAGAAAGGAGCGATCTGATCTGCTGGAAATGGGCGTCGAGGCGAGCGTTGTGCAGTGCAGTGATGAGCAGGTTGCGAGCGCTCACAGCCTACTGCGAGTATCGTTGCGTGAGAAACTCAGGTATCTAATCAGATATACATTTGATACCAATTAGCATCTTGTAAGTAATCTGGCCAAGGTGCGAAGTGGGAGGAACAGAACTCGCAGCCTACAGGAAACACCTAGTTAAAGTGTCAGGTCTAGTCGGAGGTAACATTGTGCAGCGATATTGTTCAGAGCTGCCTTTTATGGAGGAATGTCGGCATGATTTGGCAGCCACCTCTTGTCCACAGTACAATGTCACATTCATTAGCTTCAGTTTCTAGTGTACAAACAAAGACGCGATGCCCCTGTCCTCTCCGCCTCACAGCTCTAGTATGTCATCTTCCTTCTGTTGTGATAACGTGAGTTGCGCATCCGCCTTGTCTGTGAAAAACAACGAAGGCATGCCTCTCTACACATGTGACATACGAGCAAACTATAAAGTACAAGTACTAATCATTAGTAAGTAGTTGCTGGTTGCAGACAGGGCGCAAACGGCGACCTGTATCATAACAAGAAGGAAAAAGCTCCGATACGGGGAATCGAACCCCGAGCTGCCGCGCTCACTGGATAATGAAAGGCGGCAATGTTAGCCGTTACACCATATCGGATTGCCAATTTCTCCCTGTGTCAAAATATATAGTCACGGATTTATCCACAGCTATAATTGGGACAAGCGGCCCGCCTAAAGCTGCGCTGCAAGGCTGCCTCAGGCTTGACTCTTACCATTCAGTCATCTCCAGGCGAGAAATGGATTCCGCATCGCCCGCTGAGCCATCCAGGGTTGGGAACATTCATGGTAAGTGCAAGTGCAGCAACTCTCGTTCTTCAGAGTATCACACTAGATGCGTAGGCATCAGTCTGCATATTGAGAGCGAAGATGAGCGGTCGTCGCAAGTCTTGACTTTCGACAAATCTCAGTCTTCTGCCATCACTATTGGGCGTAGATCAAGCCATACGAGACGTTCAGGTAGCTTGCGAGAGCTCGACTGTGCTTTGTTCCGATGCCCTGTAGTCAGTCGCAAGCATGCCAAGATTACATTCACAAAGTACGGCAATGTAAGCATATATCCACGTATATCATGACCGCCGCTCATGTTCCTCGTAGGCGTACATCACTGATCTGAAGTCGCACCATGGTACATACATTCTTCGTCCAGGAGACACCCTATCCAAGCCTATCAAGGCCGAGACGCCCACTGTGCTTGCAGATGGGGACATCGTAACTTTCGGCAAGATCGTAAGCAACGACGATACCATCGTCCACCCAATTGCAGCCCGTGTCTCACTACTCTACGGCCCTGGTCCTGCGGCAGCCACTCCTACACACACCACGCCGAATGCGAATGAAGCTGGTCTGTCAGAAGAGCCCCCGCGCGGGACCTCTGGTCGTTATGGTATCTACGTCTCATCAGACGAGTCCGAGGAGTCGTCGGATGGAGGGTCTGACGTCGAAGAGATCCCTCCCCCGTCTCCTCCGGCTGCGGCGCGCATGCACCGCTACAACCTGCCAACGTTCACGCGCCCGTCGGACTGCACCGCGCGCATGCAGCTCCTGCGGCAGGTCCTCCCCGCCATCCAGCCCGCGTGTATCGTGGACCTGCGCTCGGTCTCGCCCGATCCAGCGCCCCCGGCACTCCCGCCCCTAGAATCTGCATCCCCGGCACTTGTGCCCGCCCTCGTGCAGCAGGATGGTCAGACAGGCGGTGAAGCGGCGAGAGACGACGGCCCAAACCCCGAGCTATCTATCGTCGATCGCCGCGATCTCTTGCGCGACCTGCCCGACCTCAGCGTGCCGCCGCCTATGTACTCCTTCCCATGGCCACTCGCCTTCTCATTCGACGCGAATGCAGGAGCTTGCTCCCATGCGATCGAGGGAACTGATTTCATGCATGACTGTGATTCCGAACTTGCGAATGCCTCTGAAAGCCCCGCTACGCAAGTGAGTGAGAACGTGAGCAGCGGACAGGCTCAGGATGGCGAAGAAGACGATACGGCCTCCTCTGAGGGTAGAAGCACTACTCCTGAGGTAGGGCAGTCCCGTAATATTATCAGCTCTGTCATATGATGCCCTTGCAGGAACAGCCAACCATGGTCCTGACCGAGCTTGAAGCCCAAGTCAACCTTGCCTCCGTCAGTATACTCCCTTAAATCCTTGACTGATATTCGTTGTCCGCCCTTGACAGAGCGCGTGATACTGAGCTACCTTGCAGAACGACATTAGCACGCTACAGATGCAAAGACGCTCTGACGAATCGCGCTTTGAGGAGCATGTCCGGGTGACAAAGGCGCGTTTGGCAGAGCTCGACGAGCACATGCAGGAACTCAACGGGCGGGTGACGAAGCACGTCGCTGCCAATGACGTCATTATGGCTGAGGCAACATCGCGCGTTGACGACCTGCGCGCGGACATCAACCGCGTGCACACCGAGCTCACGGATAAGCTTGTGTCCGAAGAGCGGGCGTCTGCGAACCATGCTGTCGAGCTGAACAACGTGGATGCTATGCGCACAATGATGGAAGGTTCGTTCATTGCCGTGACGGTGTCAACAAGTCGTGAACAGTCTCATTCCTTTGTTGCAGACATGCGCTCCCTCAAGAACGCAGTCGAGACCCAGCTCGCCCGCGACATCGAGATTATCAAGGTCGCACATGCGCAGACGCAGGCCGCGCTGCAGGCTCTCACCGCCGCGTCCGCACAGCAGGTCAGTGTCATGGTTTTGTACGCGGGATCCGCTGACGCTATGCAGGCGGAGACGTCCGGTACGCGCAAGCGCAAGCGTTTGGAGATGAACAATACGGAGGCGGATAACGAAACTGGCGGCGAGTCGAGGGTTGCCGCCCCCTTGCCCAAGCGCCGTAGGACAGCAGGGCGCTTCGTGAAGCAGGTTGTGCAGACGACCACCGTCGCTGCGGTCGGCGCGGTCTTTGCTGTCGCCGCGCTTGCTTTCGTCTGAGTTTGAGAAGGCTTGAGTGATAGATTCCATGGGAGTTATGCAAGGTTATCGTGAGAAATGGCGTGTAGGACTAGCGAGGGATGAGGGTGGAAGGGTCACTAGTAGTATTACTTGATGCTGAGTGTACGCTGTGTACGTTGTGGTCTATCTGTATAAGTAGGGCACGTATACTATTTTGACACCGTAAATATGTTGTGCTTGGGTCGGCAGGACGATCAGTGGCATAATGCAGCTTTTCTAAACGTCGTGTTGCGCTGGGCTCTTAAATGCAGGTGGTCCCTGCAGGCGAGCAAGATCCCAGTTTTTACTGTGGTTGGTACGAGCCGATAGTACCGGCAGGGCAATTATCCTTACACGTAGATCATTCAGCTATTATTTTGCAGAGTAGGATCCGGAGGTGATACTGATTCCAGAGCTCGTACACAGTTAGTAACTGAGCTCGACACTATAATGAAGACACAACATTCGATAGTAATGGAGAAAGAAATATGAGACAATAAATATGCAGTCATGCGTTCACATCCGGGTCATTGTTTATGGCTCCTTCCGTATGTCTTTAGGACGTCCCGCGTCAGCGAGCGAAGCATAGCAACTGTGACAAGCGGCCTCTCCAAGACATCCGTAGTGCCTGAGGTAGACGCCGCAGAGCTAGGCGGCGGAGAGGCTGCGGTTCCATTGTTTGAATGAAAGGCTTCTCCATCAGTGCTCGCCAAACTGGAAGACCGCATTCGCTTGTTTGAGTGGGATGCAGGTATACTAGACAAAATCTCGTCACCAAGGATTCACACACAAAAATCAAATCAGACGCTTACCTCTCGGATAAGTCATCTTCTGCAGCGCGCCGTTTGGGTGAAGGACGGACATCTTGTGCAGCCATCATCCAGTTATACTGAAGACCATTGCCCTTCTCTTGCAGGATATATTCGAAATCATGCACAGCAGCTTCGATCTGCGCTCTGAGTAGCATGATTTCCGTAGAGGGCTGGCCCCCGATCACTTGTTCCAAGCATCCTAATAGCAGTGACGGATACTTCTCAAGGAACCTGTCGACCAAGGCGCCTGTTTACTAGTTAGCGATAGTCAACAAATCGGCCTAGATACGTACGTTTGCTCAGAGGTGAAGCTGCATCTACTGCTGGTGTCTCCAGCACGACTTCTGAACCATTTTCGATGAGGTTGAGTATTTTGCAAACCATCGCACTCCCCGCGCCCTTGACAGTCTCCGAAAATTCAAGGAGCCGGGATCGGTCCACTGCCCCAGATTGTTTAAGTCACGACGTCGCGAGAGCGAAAGATCGAGAACTAACGTTTGTCGCCGTTCCAGCAACTGTCCAACCATTCCGAAACCGCCTCCTTGAAAAGTAAGAGGAAGCGATTTGTGAGGTCTAAATAATAAAAGGGTGAGCATATTTCCAAACTATCACGGGGCTCGAAACACACCTTCCCAAGAAATGCTGACGACAAACCGATCTTCAACATCGAGGGGCATCGAATTCAGAATATCGACCATCTTTCCATCCGGATCGGACATCTTGGTGGAGACTGTGAGGGTAGATACACCCTTGATGATACCGTCGGAAACAAGTTTCTCCGTCTGTCCTGGCCGATGAACATCATGTGCAATATTGATAATGACAAACTGACCATAGTCACGAAGTCGACAGCTGCCTGGGACCCTTCCGAGCTGTCTACCCAGTCAATGACGAGTAAGGACGGTATGAAGCGGAGATCTTCGTCCTGAGGTAGACTGTCGATGATGTCACGCAGGCGCGAGCAATCGTCAAGGATACGGTACTTCCTATGGTAAAGTGCAAGTTGTTTGCGCTGAGATCCTGTAGTCGTCACAAGTAGGAACGCACCTCTCGATTTCGTCGGGCAGGTCCTCTAGTGGTGTGCGCTCGAAGACAATGAGACCGGGTGAACCTCGTGAGCGCACTCCTTTCGGATCGGGTATCGCAGGGATTGAGAACACAGTCTCAGAATCCCAAGACCCAGAGGACGGTACATCAAACTTGTGTTCCAGCCAAATCGCAGTCCCGTCGTTTTCGGGATTCAATGATAGCCAAGTACGCCACTGGATGTGTGGACGGCCTTTTGGACTGGAGCTCCGGACTCGGATCCGTATGGACCGTAGGAAAGAACCCTGTGCCCATCGTCGCTTATGTTCTTCGTGGTTCTGGTAAGATGAAGGAGAATGGGATGAGAACGTGGATGCGCGCAAGATCGCCGTCAAGCGACAAGAATAAACGCTGCACCTCTTTCAACCGGCGGAGCAAGTCCTCGTCGTTTAATGGTTGTACATTAATGCCGGCCACTCGACGCCGACTACGCTTGGCCTGCGACGACTCCATGGTAGAGACGCGTCTTCGCTTGTTCTGCTCTTGACGAGGCTTGCTGGCTATGGAGCCTGTGCTGAAACTGCTGGACATCCGCTGACGTTGCACGTTATCGGCGTACTGTATGCTGCGATTGCATGATTCGTTCCAGGCGGCATTTCTCGCGAAGTACTGGTCAGGGGTTAAACCGTTACCGGTGCTCCTCCTGAACCAGGCCCTCCATGCCATCCTCAACAGTCTGAAAGGATGTCCGTTTCGGTATTCTGCAGCGCGCGTGTTCAAGATAGTAATCTCTGCATTGGTTTTGGGCCTGGCAGGTGTGCGCCTTGTCGCGTCAGAGGCAGACTGGGAAATAGTCGCACGAGTCGGCGATTCAACAAGAACAGACGGTGATCCTGCCCGCTGTTGTGGCGTTGGACTATTCTCTGGTGCAGAGAAAAGCTTAGAGCCACCTGGCGAACTGAGCTGAAGGGGGCTGAGTATCTCAGCCGAAGTCGGAGATGTCGGTTGGAGTGCAAAAAAGCCCAACAGCGACTTCTTTTTCTGAGGGCTCAACTTGCGCGAAGCCGATTGAGGGATGGTTTCAAAGGACCGTTCAGTCGGCGTGGGGGGAAGGGACAAAGGTTGGATCCTGCCTAATGGCGGAGGCGCTACAGGAGATGGAGCGGACTGTACATCGCTCGAACTTCCAGCAACCGATATTGATAGCTGCAGCTGATCTCGAGCAGCTTTCTTGCGAAGGGAAGGGTCGCCTGGGACGTCCCATAACGTTTGTGAGCGATCGACAATACGAGGGGTATACGGCGTGGGTGACGCCTTCTCGTCGTGAGCTTTCGACGTTGAGGGTGTAGGATGACTTTGGGTAGATTGCGGCGCTTGTGGGGAGAAGATATTAGATGTACTGGCGAGCGGCTGGGATGTCGCTGCAGATGAAGGGATTTGCGGGGCCGTCGGCCAAGAGTTATTGTTCGCAGCAGGTGCGAGTGGAGTCGCAAGAACAGATGATTGGTGGGTAGTGGGGAAGAGGTTGGATGTAGTAGTAGATAGAGGCTTCGCCGACGCGGGTGCAAACATAGGAGCAGAAGGATTCAGGGATGTTGAAGGTTGTGACACAGATGATGGCAATGTATTGTGATTGGAGCTGCCAGCGCTGGAGACAATCGGCGCGGCCGGCTTGCTGGGACCGAAAACGGTTGACGAGCCAGCAGGGAAAGGGCTACTGGACGACGATGGGAATATCGGACCATTGAAAACAGAGGCGACTGGCTGCGATGCAGCAAATATACTTGTAGGAGCACTTGACGATCCTGAAGGTGTGGCGAAATTTGACTTCGATTCACTGGTGCTACTGCTAAACGCAGATGTGGAAGCCGCCACGCCAAATGCAGTCGAAGATCCGAACGCATTCGGCGTCGATTGAAGGTTTCCAAACGCGGAGGTCACAGGCTTTGGTGCCGGTGCTGAGGGGACATTGGATGGAGCATTGCCAAGGCTTGATGCGGAAGGGGCGGCCGAATGGGCAAACAGTGAACTGGATGAAATCGACCCTGATGGCGCAGGCTGTGCGCCATTGGCTGCAGTATGCACAGAACTTGCAGATGTCTCAGCGCCGCCGTTTAGGGTGGCCACATCATCAGAGGCAGGCGTGACGCCAGACATGGCGACTGGGGTTACCACTGCGGCCGGTGCGCCAGACACCTGTTCAGCAGATGGCCTCGATACTCCATCAATGATTTCAGGAATTGTCAAGTCACCACGGATTGCCTCAATCTCGTCGATCGTGTCCGGGCCAAACAGTCGCTCGAGGATGCAGGCAACGAGGTAGATCATCACTACGTTGCCCTGTTCTCTCAGCACTGCGGCCAGACGTCCGAAGATCTCCATGGCCTCTGCGTCAACAACGAGTCGAGACGCCTTGGATATCGGGGCGCTCTTGGCCTGTACGATCTGCCTGAATTGCGTCGTGTATCGGAACACTGGATGGTTGATGATTTTGCTGGGGATGTGTAGCAAGCGCTCGCTCTGGTCTCGGATATGGATGAGCCGGTGGTAGACACGCATCTCGAGCTCTTCTGATGACTGGTAAATTCCACGCTGGTCATCGTAGTATTCCTTGAGACTCTGCAAGGCTGTAGAAATATGGTCACCAACACTCGCAAGAGAATACAAGCACACATACTGTACATCAACTGCTGCTCTTCGAGGGCAACAGAAAATCGCGGATTATCTCGCTCAAGGTGCAAGGCCAGAATGTGGTAGCGGGCGCAGCGTTCGTGACACTCCATTGCAAGCGGGCCTTTGTTGTGTTGCATAGTGAATTCGCTTCTCACCGCACGCGAACGGTCGCGAATAAAGTCGTACGTGTCCCTGAAGCCGCCTCGCATGAGCAGATCATGGAATAGATAATTGAGGGTTTTCTGCAGAACAGAAAATGAAACTCAGTAGGATGTGCCATTATATCCTTGCATTACCTTTAGCACCGGTGGAGGGCGCAGATCTGAGGGAAGTACTTTATCACCCGCCGCGCGTTCATAGATCTTCACGGCCCGCTTGTGGTCTACTCGTTTCGTGCCTGGAATCTACAACGCGTTCAGCGCAGCTTTCACGCAGATACTGAAGCAATCATCGTCGCACGTACCACCTCCCACTTGTCCAGGTTGTTCTCTCGTTCGCGCCGGTAGCGTTCAAAACGCGGACACATGTCTGTACATGTCCCAACTAGAGTGATAGCGTTCTCTAGTTGCACTCTTGCAGTCGGGTCGGCCATCTTGCCATCTGCAATGGCCTTCTTGCGCTCAACCTCGCGCGCTTTCACAAGCTGAGGAGGCGTAAGTGGCCCCACGTCTCATTGGTGTTTCCGCGACGCACCTCCCGCCAGAATTGTTCGCGCTCTTGCGGCGTCGCTTGCTCGGGCATCTCTGCCTCTGCCTCGACGTGCACTTCCCCGTCGGTGATTCCTTCCCCTTCATCACTGTGATCGTCCTCCGTAGTTGCACTGTCTCCCATGTGGGTTGCAGGGGCATGGAGATGAGAAGAGGAGGGGGCCGTGCCACTGCCCTGTCCGTGGCCGTTCGTTGCGTTGTTGGCGACCCATTTCTTGTTCCTCGATCCACCGCGAGCGGCACCTTGTATATGAAGTCCTCGATGTTGTGAAGACATGTCTGTCGCGAACCGGATGGTAAGAATGAGAGGAGGAAAGTAGTGATAAGTTCCAGCCACAACCCGAAGAACGCGAGCGCGCCGGGATTACATAACGCAACTCATTGCCTCCAAAGGGAGCACAATCACGTGAGGATGCTTAGCGGGCGCTAGACATAATTTTGTCACGCGCGCCTACGATTTGTCACTGGTGATTATAAATACCGTGTATGGGCGTCACACCGGGGAAGGTCTGAGACTTGCAGTAACTGCTCCGCTTCCGTTTTACCTTCACCGGTCTTGTGTTGCTGTAAATTTTAGCAGGCACTATGGACAGCCAACCGACTCCATCTGGGTCTCATGAAAAGAAGAAACCTGTGGTAATTATCACCATAGGGATGGCAGGTGCTGGGAAATCGACCTTCGTGCAGCGGATCAACTCCTACTTGCACTCTCGCGAACCTCCTGCGCCACCATATATCCTCAATCTGGATCCTGCGGTGACAAACGTTCCATTTGAAGCAAATATTGATATACGAGACACGGTCAACTACCACGAAGTGATGAAGCAGTGTGTGGACATTCCACCTCGCTCGTCTGTCGTGATGCCTGAATCCTCTCCGGCTGTCTTCCGTGAAGGTACAACCTAGGACCCAATGGTGGCATATTGACGGCTCTCAACCTGTTCACTACAAAATTCGACCAGGTCTTAAGTCTGGTCGAGAAGCGCGCCGAGACTGTCGAGTAAGTCCCGTTGTCTAACCCTGTCTGAGCTTGCTGACATCACTGGCAGCTATGTGATATTGGACACACCAGGACAAATCGAGATATTCACCTGGTCTGCCTCGGGGGCTATCATCACCGACGCAGTCGCCTCGTCATTGCCAACTGTTGTGGCATATGTCATTGATACTCCCAGAACCGCCGCGCCGGCGACATTCATGTCAAATATGCTCTACGCGTGCAGGTACGCACTCTCACGCTCGACCTGATGGCGCACATGCGTGTATGTCTTGTATCCGCCATTGGACGCTATACATACGCGCATGCTCGCGTCGCAGGTCTCCTTGACGTCTGGTTATCAGGACCGATGTCCTCGTTGTGTGTCGACTGACAATGTTGTAGTATACTTTACAAGACAAAACTGCCGTTCATTCTTGTCTTCAACAAAACCGATGTTCAACCTCATGAATTTGCCCTCGAGTGGATGCATGACTTCGAAGCATTCCAGGAGGCACTAGCAAACCACCGGGGAACAACTGACGACGAGGGCGAGCCCACCTATATGAATAGCCTCATGAACAGCATGAGTTTAGTCCTAGATGAATTCTACAAGCATCTCACGGTACGCGTCTTCTATCAAACACCTCTCCCAATCAGCATGAGGAATCATGTATAGAATGCTTACTCGGAATTTTGACTTTTGCTGAACAACAGGCTGTCGGCGTCTCTAGCATGACGGGTGCTGGAGTAAAAGAGTTCTTCGACGCTGTAGAGGCGTCCCGAACAGAATATGAAAAGTAGGTCCTTTCTGTTCGCTTCTCGATGTCGCTGCCGCTCCTTGTAGTTTCTAATTTGGCATTCTTTACATGTAGTGAATACCTGCCTGAACTTCAACGCGCTCGCGCTGCCCGTGAGCAGACTTTGCAGGCTGCCAAAGAAGATTCCATGAGCAGGCTTATGAAGGATCTTACTGTTGATCGCGAGCGCAACCCCAGTGGACCATTACATGACCGGTGGGATCCTGAGGCCGAGGAAGAAGAAGATGACGACGCGGACATCAATTTCATTGATCGCAGTGCGTAGCGCTTTTGCACACTCACTTCGTGTCAGCTGACTTACGGCAACGTTGTCTTACAACCACAGGCGAAGAGCCATGGCCGGGTCAGTACATTGATGTTACAAGAATGCGACGACGAGATGATGAGGGTGTTACGTGGCCTCGGCCCGCTTGATGTTTGTGAGTTCATGGCAGCGGAGATGTATCGGTAGACTGCGACAGGTGTATCATAAGGCAACTTACTTTAACGTGACCGACGCGAAAAAGGCGTCTATTCCTCGTCACTCCTTTTTGCGATGTTCTCAGCGAAATCCTATATGACAGGCGACTGGAATCTCTGGAAGTATTCACCCTGACTTGGAACATAGTCCGTATCTCTGCACTCTGCAACTTCTTCGCGACCTCTTCGCGTCGATGTTCGACCGCATCACTGTGCGACCCATTTGAATCAGCAATTCCAAATCGTTGATAACCTCTTCCTGGCCCCAGCATCGTGTATCCATCATGTTACGGGGTGCGTTACAACCCTCTGGAATGCGCGCCCCAAGGCTGTGTGTGGTTCCTGCTGCGCAATCCGTAAGTATGCACATCTCTTCCCATCTCTTTCTACAAAATCAAATATTGCCCAAGTGCACACATCGGCGTGCAGTCTTATTGTCTAGCCGGCTCCTGACAGGTACAACGCTGAGGTCGGCGCCGAAACATGTGCTCCTCTTTCGTGGGGACACTCATGGGCGTCGCTCCTGTGATTTGCGTGACGTGACTGGCAGGCTGAGCGCCCGAGTAACCGGCGCAGGATCTCTCCGTCTGCTCACATCTGGCACTGATCGTGCCAATGTTCAGCCATTTGAGCGGTGTTGGTGGAAGGGAACAACGGCAGTAACCAAGTCACTAGAGAGGCCTATTCTGGCTGCTCGGCTCGCGAGTGCTTCATGTTCAATCCTCGTGAAGGCCGCACCGCGCCTGCCAGGCTGATAACTGCTCCAAACACGTTGTATCCCACCCATTCATGATCAAAATCTACATTGCGTGAAAGCGAATTTCCTTACGTCCGAGACGTCTGTCAAGAGTTTATTGTGTTCGAGCTGGGTCGACAGTCGACCTCGTTGGTTGCGTGCGACACTGCATCAATACTTCTAAATATGGCATTGCGCCGGCGCTTACGTTAGCATATGTTGTGCTCACACCGGCGCCCACTTCGTCTTCCCGTTTGCCGTCTCTTCTCCACAGCACCTTTTCCCTCGGACCACCACCACCACCTCTCTCCATCCTTTCCCTCCTGGGCACTCCTCGGGCTTTAGGCAAGTAGGTCAAATCGCTATCTGATTGTTATGGAACGGTGGGTGCTTGATATCCACCGCCGTGTGTGGCGGCACCTGACTTGAACGTGCGGGTTTAAGGTACTCAAAGATCGAGAAGGTTGGTGAGTGCGTGTGAGCGTTGTGCACCCTCGCTATCATTCATTGGCTCGTGTGCGTGGGGGGGAATGCAGGCGAAGGTAAGTATTCAACCATCCTGTCCGTCTGGTATTGGTTTCACCGTGGCCAACATGAACCATCGTCGTTAGGTACCTATGGCGTGGTATATAAAGCCCGCGATGTCCAGACGAACCAAATAGTTGCCCTGAAGAAGATCAGGCTTGAGGCTGAAGACGAGGGCGTTCCAAGTACAGCCATCCGCGAGATCAGCCTGCTGAAGGAGCTGAAGGACGACAACGTTGTCAGGTGCGTGCTCTTTTGACAAAGCAAATGGAGATGTCGAACAGCCTTCTCTCCATTTCATCTGTCTACCATTGCTGTTGTCATTACAGGAATGTCCCATCATGTCTGACATCCATCTCCCGAAATTTCGCAGACTCCTGGATATCGTTCACGCCGATCAGAAACTCTATCTTGTATTTGAATTTCTGGACGTTGACCTCAAGAGATACATGGAAAATGCAAACAGGAATGGGAATCCCATAAGCCCTGATCTCGTCAAGGTTCGCGCCTCCACTCATTCGTCGTTTATCTCGAAATCGGCTGCTTGCGCATGCATTTCACGCGTGTGTGACGCGTGTATTCCAACTCCGTCGCGTCGCGACGCGTTATTGGTCGCCAATCTGTTTGAGGGGCATAATGTTCGCCTCGTCACGTGATCGGGCGGCCGCTTCATACACTCACTAAGTAATCCGAATTGGATCGTACTAAAGATCTTCTTTGTTTCTCGCTTTCCTGTTGCGATCCATGATTTGCTTTATACTGATCTTCTTTTCCTCCTAGAAATTTACTCATCAGCTGTCTTCTGGGCTGCTATACTGCCATTCACACCGTATCCTTCACCGCGACCTGAAGCCCCAGAATCTGCTGATCGACAAGTATGACAACCTCAAGCTTGCGGACTTTGGACTCGCCAGAGCTTTCGGTATCCCCATGCGGACATATACGCATGAGGTAAGATTGCATTTTGTCTGTCGCTGTCGGAGGGATCAGTCTCACAGATGCGCCCTAGGTGGTCACCTTGTGGTACCGCGCTCCTGAAGTACTTCTGGGCTCGCGTCACTATGCGACAGCCATCGACATGTGGTCCGTTGGTTGTATCTTTGCCGAGATGGTCATGAGGGGCCATCCCCTATTCCCTGGTGACTCTGAAATCGATCAGATCTTCAAGATCTTCAAGTGAGTTCTCCTGTGGTCCCAGGAAAAAGACCATGGTCTATTTTTTCGATTCAATTCGTTTACGCACCCATCAGAGTTCTCGGAACGCCAAACGAAGAGACGTGGCCAGGCGTGAAGCAACTGCCAGACTACAAGTCGACATTCCCTCACTGGTCTGCTCAAGATCTGGCCGATCATGTACCGACGCTAGATGATGACGGTCTGGATTTACTGAAAGTACGTCATTAACAGTGTACGCTCAGTGTGGCTACTTACAACGCCATATTTCCAGCTCATGCTGACATACGACACCAGCAAACGTATCTCTGGTGGGTCTGCCTGCGTTTCACATCTCTCGAGCGAAGGCTGAGCGCATTGACTTTCTAGCCAAGCGCACACTTAAGCATCCATACTTCTTGGGCTTCAAACCATAATATGCCCATGCCGCCTAGACTTCCATCGCTCCGTTCGCTCGTTATCGCTTGTCGTTCTGCCCTCATCGTCACGTCCTTCGAACACCTTTGCATCTTCCTTGCACCTCGCATGTCGTTCATTTCCCGCGGCGCACTTATACAATATGTCGATACATTACATACGCGTATTGTACATCAGCATTCCTCGCATGACGTATTCTTGTCTTCTGTTCCCACCCGCCTCGGTAATTCCCTCGCTGTGTCTGTTACCGCTCGAAGTGATATCAATATCAATTGTTGTAAAAGTGTACTGCACCTCGTCTTGCCACAATACCACCAGGTGGCATACGCTTAATGTTCGTGCAGATTAGTAGAGTTTCGAATCTGTATTTTCGTCCGAGGTCGCATTCAACGATATAAAGCTTGCAGTCACTTATTTCTTTGCCCCAGGTTCGTTGAAATCTGACTCGCTCCCCTCGCGTTTCACCATCAATTCAGCATACATACGCAACGTACAAATCCTGTGGTAGAAGATCTGGTCCAGTCGCGAACCCGACGGGTTCCAGTCTGGTATAGCTAGGTGCGGCCAGCCATGGAACGCTTGCGATCAGGAGTCGAGGAAAGCTGCGGTTTTCAGGGATCGCGAAGAACCCCGTCAACCACGTTGAGCGCAGGAAGAAGTCAGGGAGAACCGCCTAGCGGCGTCGCTCAAAGAAACCCTTTGAAGTCCCATCCTTTGTTCCCCTCGCCCTCTCGCATCCACCCCAGGCGGTTCGCGCTCAGGCCCGCCACGCGCAGGAAGAGCGTGCCGTCGAGCACCTCCGCGCCCTCAAGAGGTGCCCCGTTCACGTCGGCGAGCGGCGCGAAGTGCCCGGCGGGCGTCGTGCCGTACAGCGCTGCAAAGTGCGCGAGCGCACGCTGCAGCTTGCACAGGTGGTCGTCCGGGTGCCCGAGCGTCGTCTGCAGGATCGGAAGCCACGGGTTCGGCGAGGGATCGGAGGCCGTGAGCGTGTCTTTGCCCGGCTGCGTGTGCGGCGCGCCGCGCTCGACGGGGTGCGCGGAGACGGAGGCGTAGAAGTCCTGGATGGGCAGCGGCGGCCGGCCGCGTGCGACCCACCATGCAAGGCAGTTGGCGAGGTATGTGCGGAGGAGGATGGAGGTGGAGGTAGGGGAGAGGTACGCCGTCAGCGAGTGCAGGAATAAGGAAGAGGTGACGAGATGTAGCCTGCATGGACAATATCAAGAAATCTGCCTCCTGGACGGAGTCGAGAAAGGACTCACAAGAGGAAGTCGGCATTGAACTCGCCGTTCTCGACTTCCTTGCGGCCCACCCAGCCAGCAGCGCCGTACAAAACAACATTCATCCAGATGAGCTCCTCGATCTTGCTTGCCACCTCGTCGGCGTTGGTACCGTCCACGGTCCAGGCCTGTGCCAATTTGACAATGCGTTCCCCGCGCTTCTCCAACACGAGCTCGAACGCAGTCGCATCTCCGTCGTCTGATGGTGGCAGGCCAATTGCAGATGGTTCGAAGTCACGATTGTGCAGAATTTGTGCGACAATGGTCAGCGCGTGGATCTTGGATTTGTCCTGCTTGAAGCCTCGAGCGGAGAGCACGCGTTGGGCATTGTCGAACACGAGGGAGGGCAATAACGCGGTTAAACGAGACACTGATGCGTTGGCCAAATCCGAGGATGCTTCAGCGATGTAGCTGAAAAGCGACGGTGGCACTAGGACAGGTGCCTCAGGAGGGTGCACAGCCGTCTGTGCAAGACCTATGACGTCATGACGACACTCAGCACAAGGTATTGACCTATGTGTCGACTTTGCGTACCTTCCGCAACCATACCAAGCAGGCCAAACTCTGCACCGTACCCCACGTGAATGAGTGGGTGTAGCAGGCCCGACAGGAAACGGTCTAGCATCCCCAGGGGTGGCTGTCCTACCGCAGGTGCTAGGACATTCGCCTTGGGAGAGAATATGTACTCTTCGATGACTGCCGCCGCGCCCTCGTCCAGCAATAGTGTGGAGAAGAACTCGAGGTACGCATTATAGAACCTGAATGAATGCTGAGTTGGAGAAAGACGGGATTCATTCCAAAATACGCCTACTTTTCATCGCCAAGATGTTCGTGGAAGTTGTCTTTGGTAATGGCCTCTGGCGACTTGAAGGCCGGGCGCTGGCTCGGCGCGTGTACTTCATATGCAGCTTCCAGGAGAGGGCCGCTAGCCCCGAGCTGATAAATCGCAAGGAGGTGGTGTGAAATATGGCTTCGAAAGACTCAGTCCAGGCCCACACTCAATGGAGACACGTACTTGTGGAAACCCTTATCGTTAAAAAAGACATGATGCTTCGTGTGGTTCTCTATCAGTGTCCGACACAGTGCCAGACTCGACTCGTGAGAGCCCCCCGGTAAACGCGCCGGGGACAGCGGGGACGGTGGTGGTGATGGTACAGGGAACAGAGCATCGATTCGTGTAGCGTTGGGCGGCATATTGTTGGTTTTTCCACTGCGTGCGTTCAGAAAAAGGGAGAGTCTGGTCTTGCAGCCCATAGTATGGCCCAATACTTATATTCACATGACAACTACGTCATAAGACGTCACAAACTATCAGACAAATTCAAAGTACATCCGACAGGAGCCTGTGGGACATGGGCACGCTCACCGATATCACGCGCGCAGACCGTGTGTCAGAGCGTGCCGAGCACTTGAGGATAGAGGAGTAGAAAAGGGTACAAAGTCACCATGTGCTTGCGGTCATGCGCGTGCACGGCGCATCTGTAGCGTGCCTCCTATATACAAAGGGTGGAAGTATATTCACCGGAGTCAGGGGTCGCTAGTCAATGTGTCAACCTTGTAGATGGAAAGGGACATTGTCTTCACCATCTTGCATAGCAAGCACCAAAGCGGTACAATATGTATTAGATGGTAGCCTTGGGACTAGCTGCCATTTTGCACTAAACCAGACAGTACGTAGCCCAAGATCAGAGGAGGGGATTCTGAAAGCAACAAAAAACAGATGCACGTCGGGAACCCCGTGCAGTATGCGGTAACCAGTCTGCCGCCATGAGCAATGTGAGGTAACAATACTGTGGCACGTGCTGTGACGGATCGCGTCTCTGTCACACGGCGTGCAGGCGCGTCCGCTCCGATTCTCTGGAAACGGGATTGACGGGTAAGCACTGAACTACAGTACTTATGCACCTGTTATAAGACAAGCGAGGTCTGCATGCTATGTGCCTAAACGTTCGCATCGTCAAGTACCGCTCGACTTTTGAGGGTTTTTACTGTCGCTGTGTGTCCGACAACAATCACACATCGAGCAAAAGTAGGCCCTTCAGCAGGAGCACTCGAGGTGCAATCCAGCCGTTATTCCGAAAGTATGGGCCTGCTGGGAGAAGACAAATTCCTAAGCGAAGACGAGAAAGGAAGATGGGAGACGAAGAGAAAGGTATTTGAGAAAGACAGCAGAATGTTGGGGCAAAGCGAAGAACGTTGTGAGACCGGTATGTAAAGTACGCGTCTTTATAGGCCGCGATAGCGACTAAGTGTGAGAGGTGGTAGGTAAAGCGAAGTATTTTGGGTGGTCGAATGGTGCCGGCTTATGTAGTCGGACTAGGCAAAGCGTGGTTCGTACCAGTGGTGTATGTCTAGGTGTACGTGTATGGATGCATGAACGGCGAATATCGAGTACTTATATCCAGAAAGGGTTGGGAATGAGCCTCAGCGGCGTCGACGTTCCCGTGAGAGGCTGGTATATGCTGGTGGTTCCACGACCGCTCAGTCGACGTTGTAGGCCACTTGCCAGGACGATTGGGTATATAGGTATCGTCTGACGCAATGATGAGCAGAGTTTATCTTGTATATATTTCTCGACACTCACCGTCCAAGCACGCTCGTGGGTATTGTCGGGATATATAGCTGCCAAAAAGGCGCTGGGTATATCGTCGCAACAATCTATGCTGGAGTAAGTTTCACAGGCAGACTATCAGAGTGGCGCAAACATGAAGGAAGTATGACTTACTCACCGACGTAGTCAGATAGTGTCAGCATGATGGTCATACCGATCGTGGTTCTCTTTCAGCCACGATCACCAACTACCTCACACGACGCAATTGTAGAGGGCTATATTGGTGGAAAAGTTATCCGTGTACCAGTAATGGTCCACCCACGCCTCTGCAAGGAGTTGATCAATATGTGTGCATGATCATACAGGTCATGGTGATGCTCACCGCGCTCCAGGTCACGCAATTGTCTGATACTGTCATCGAGCGAATATTGGGTGACAGTTTGGTACGGCATTTCATCATAGCGAACACGGGCTGGTCCTGCTCAAGACCCCTCAGCAAAGATATTCACTCATAGGGACTGGCATGCGCTCACCTTCAGAGAACATGACGTAGTCCTCCGGATTGTCATCTTGGAAATTTGTGACTTCTTCGTTTGCGTCGAACGGCCTTACAGATGTTCGGACATCTTGGTACCATACTTTTATCCCTGCCAAATTCGTATTGGTCAATGTTTTGCGGTGAGCTGGAAGTGACGGTACACTACTGACTGCTGTGTATGCCGTCCGGAGGATAGGTCGGCACATATGTGAGGTATGCCACATCCTCCTCCGCATTTGTACCTTGAATCGCGGGATTGGAAGATGAGCTGGACGGCATTAGTCCCGTAATCTCATCTTGGTACCACGCGTTGTCCCCTGCCAAGTTCATACTAGTCAATAACTTGCCGTGAGTTGGAGTGACGAAGCACTACGGACCGCTGTGTGTGTCATCAGGAGGATAGGTCGGCACATATGTGGGCTGTGTCACGCCCTCCTCCGCATTTGTACCTTCGTTCGCGGAGGGAGAAGCTGAGATGGATGGCGTTAGTCCCGTCAGCTCATGAACCGGATTAAGATGTCTCACTTTCAAGTCCATGCACCTCCTCGATGAGGTCTACAGGCGCGTATAGATCGACATCAGTGAGACTGGCGACTGATGCAAAGAAGTCGGGTTCGAGGCCGAGTTCCTGCAACAAGGCTGCGAAGACACGGTCTTCTGCAGGCGTCGGAAGCCTCGTTGAAGATTCCGATAAGGAATCACGGATGCTGGCAGGGTTAGGTGCCTGCAGATCTGTATATGCAGGCTGCGCGAAGCCTTGTATCCCTATCAAGACAAGCACGTATGAAAATTCATTCATCAAATCATGGCTCATGGATGCTCACCTGACTTGGAAGCATGGTCGTGCTCATCAACCGTGACAACTGTGCACTCGGCCTTTCGTTTACCCTTGGCTTTGCTTGATAGACCCGCCACAGGCGCACTCGCGAATACCCGCTGGCGTTTTGCCTCAGGTTCCGCAGTGCCATCGACCGCCGCGCTCGCAGATTGCTCCGGCGTTGAGTCGCTGCGCTCCTTGCGCTTGCGCCCATTGACTGGCAGGGTCGGTGTAGCGGCTAATGGGGCCGCCCGTCCATGCGATACACCGATATTAGACGATGTACTGGGCTGCGCCGATAGCTGGTGGCGTTCCCAAGTGCCTTGAGCCTGCGGTGTGTTGATTGTGTGCGTTGCAACGCCTGCGAGAGGCGTAGAGCCAATCTGTTGTGCCACAGGCAGCGGGATCGTGCGGTTGCGGGGCACGCCGAGATTGGTCGATGCTCTCGGCTGCGCTTGCACCTGCTGCTGTCGTGCCCATGCTCCCGGGAGATGCGCGGGGGAAACATGCGACGGAACACCTGCATGAGGGGCATAGCCAGTCTGTGGCGCGAACCCTTGTGTCTGTGGCACAAAGCCAGGGTGTGGCGCAAAGCTCGCAGGACTCACATAGCCGGTCTGTTGCTGACGAATGTTCCACGGTTGAACTTGCATCTGTGGTGGGGTAGCCAAGAATTTGGTGACCTGGTACCGATAGTCGTCGCGGCGGATCGGAGAGCCGTCGAACATCGGAGTGCATTGTGTGACGTCCACTCCCGCGGCATGCATGCGCTGAGGTAGCTGGGAATATGACATGTAGCCTGCACAGGATGAGGGATGTGAGAAGGTTGATACCGCGAGGAGACGGTAACAGTCTGCTTACCGCGATATGTGGCGCTGTCGAACCCTTGTAGACTGTAATACCGCTCCGCCCACCAAGGCATCCACGGGGCGGGCGAATCAGCGTTCGCGATGAGACTCTGTCGTCACGGCCATGAGCACACTAGGTTATTGTTATTGAGCAAGATCTACGCACGTGTCGCATAATGCAGTCCTCTATCGGGACAAACTCAAATGGGGAGATAATTGACAGGAAGATGCCATCCTACAAGACTGTTAGCATGACTCAACCCATTGCGAATGCTCTCTCACATCTCGGAGTTTCTTGGCGATTGTGGGTTTGGCCGTGTACTGCCTTTGAGAGGGGCATGTGGCGCGCCACACGATGATGTACTTGTTGAATACGGGTACATTCATCGACGCTTCCCAGTTGCGCATGAGCTGCATGATTTAGATGAGTACGTCTCCGTAAGAGGGTGGCTCAACCTAGACGTACTTTCACAGAGTCACCTAGGCCCTGATTCGGCTGCATAACCAAGTTGTTCTTGGGCGCGATTTCGTACGAATGTTCGACGACCTGCAACTGGCATAAATAGTGAACCTTCACTCAAGAAACGTTATAACTCACGCCGACAGCAGGATACAAGCCTTCGAGTCGTGACTTCAGCGCCGCCGCACATGCAGGGTTGAAAGAGTCCCTGGCGGGACTTTCAAAGACGTGCAGGATCAGGTTGACGAATTGTGCCATGATTCACTATTGTGAGACAAGACATGTGAGTGGGTTGATGTTGGCGATGGTAGTGGTTAGAGATCAAGAGAAAGCCAAAGCGGGAGGATGGAAATACACGGTGGTGGCGATTTCAAGCACCGATGTGGTTGGGTCACGTTGTGTCCACCTCGCCACACTCCTTTTGTTGAACCAACACCTCCCCGTCCCAACATGTTGACCCATCTCAAACGTCTGTGCTGAACGATACCTTCGAGGTATCAGAGCGCCAGATGATATTGCGTGTATCGTCGACGCTGCCTGAAAGAGATGATACTGTGGTGGCGTACCTTGTCTGTCGACGCGTCCGACGCGTCGTACATAATTTTGCCCGCCTTGTCCACCGAAACAATTCAGATGGCCGTCCTAAGTGTTCTGCAACCCGGGGGTTTCGTTTGGCTCCGCAAGGGATCGTACATGCTGTCACTATCGCCTATGGTGGCGTTGCCTGCCGTCCCAAAGTGAGTATCATTTGATGTCAGCCGTACCTCGTATGCATGCCTTGATCACAGTCCTGGCTTGCAGAGTTGAGAGCTGAATGACAGATTGGTCTGTGAGGTCTCTGCAGACTCTATCTGGTATTAATACTAGACAGGCCTGCTTCAATGCATATCAAAAAGGAAATAGCTCGATGCATCTATTACGACGAGAAAGGAGGGAGTTCTCTACGAGATGCAGAATGACAACCTTAGGAAATGACAATGGGATACTTTAAATGAACACACGCGTCCACCTCAGCGGCGAGAATGGGGCATCCCGACATCTATCCACCGTTAGGGTGTGAGAAAGACCTACGCAAGCAATTTAAACGACTCAATGCAAGCGTCACCATATTCACCGGCGAATCGTGTTCATATTCAATGCCTGCTCAAAGGGCCACTCACGGAAATCCGCCGACACATCACATCTGGGTCGTACCATTGTCCTAGACCATGAAGAAGTCTCCGTTTGAATATGTCTTGTTGCTTGTGATCGCGAACCATGTACAAGCGATCGACATCCAGCTTTACCGCGACCCATGCTACGTGAGCAACTTAGGCTCGCGAAGCTCGATTCTCAAAGGTGCTCCAGGACGCAACTCTGTGACTTGGACACAGAAGCGGCGGCTAGGGTCGAGATACAACGGCATCCGAGTGGCATCCAACGCACATCTCCGCATATTGTCACGTTGACCAGGAAGCAGCAATGTCCCAAGAGTACGCATGATACGACCGAGCTAACTTGATCATACATTCAGCAGTCAGGAGAATGAGGAGCTTTTCCAATAGTCGACAACGCAAGGCAAGGCCATTTAGCGACAGTGGGGGATCAAATCCTAAATTTATTGACTCGATCGAGCTCAGTCGTGACGGCTAGCGGCGCAACCCGATTGGTCGCTCGGCTTTCGAAAGGAGACGATCCGAGTAAAATCCTTTCCAGCCTATCTACTATCAACAAGGGCAAATAGAGTCGATTACATCATGTAAGAGCAGTCTGCTGCTATTATATATCATGCTTCGCAATGACGGGGTATCAGATGTCAATGTTGATCGCACAATCACTGGCATAAGTACATGGCAGGCGGCGAATTCACACAACGATCACCACAATGAATACACGGATGCAACAGGAAGACTATACACTCTCGTGAGGACCAAGTCTCCTGTGTATAATATGTTCCGAGAAGCAACAGAGTACACATTGGCTGACTGCTTGAATGCAAACTACAGTGGTACGAGCTCCAGCCGCTGATAGTGTTCCTTTAGCGAGTCGCCATGACAGCCTTGGCATACGTTTGTGAATGAAGATCACAAAGGGGTATAGTTTCCGGTATAGACCGGGGGTATCTGGGTATAGAGGCCTGAGTATGGGGTATCGGCTCTGGGTGGGTATCGGCTCGTGGCACGTCACCGACGTGGAACGGACAATGGAGTGATGGCTGGGTATATCTCGTCGACGGGTCCATGTTTGTGGTGGGGCGCCGGCTAGTGGTGCAATTGAAATGAGAAAGATATGACATCGTGCTGTCAACAGACGTACCGATGGGTCTGCGCCGATGGCCTATTTGTAACTAGCACGAAGGGCCACAAGCCCAAGGTCTGGCGCCATCAATCAGGGTTTGTTTAAAGGCGCTACGCCTTGGGCCCCGATTGATGTGAAGCAATCCCGTACTGCCTTCACGATGGCTTGTCTGTCAGTCAGAGGTGTGGTGTGCTAGGACAGGGTCAGCATGTGCCGCATGAATCTGACTCTATGCAGCTCACCGACGAGACAGGTCAGCCAGTTGGACGCATCCCGTACTGGGGCACCGGTCTGGGAACAATCACGAACTCGCGCATGCTCTGTTGATTGAAGAATGAGCCGAACCATCCGTGTATGCTCTCCGACCCTGCACAGTAAGCTCACGTAAGAAAACATGCAACGACAGCAACCGTGGTATGTGTACTCACGATCCTCGAGGGGAGTGAAGGATTGTCCAGCGGCTGCGTCGCTTGGCACGTACGGATTTTCCTCGAGTGGATGCCATGTTTCGACCAGGTAGTAATCGAGTGGCGTGGGGAATGCTTTCATGTGTACGTGAGCCAAGTCCTAATTGACGCATTCAGAACACTCACTGTTTACCGTAAAGCTACGAACGACCTTAGGTTCCCCGGCTTGCCAGCCCATGTCCTGGAAATCCATGCCGGCATAGCTGATAGCCGCTTCATGCAGTGACTCGTTGATGGTCACGGTAGAAGAGCGTCGGGTCTCTGTGAACGCATCTTCGGCTAGATGGGCGACTAAGCAACATGGTATGCGACTAGATCAAATCGATGGTGCTCACCAGTATCATCAGGCCCGTCGAAGAGACTATCTACATCCGAGTCCAGGAACTCATATCCTTCGTCAGCGCCATTGCCTGGATTGGACATCAGTGACCGATTACTCATGAATCACAATCGCGCTCACTTGTGTCCTCCGAGACAACCGTGTTCTCGATCGAGCGAGCATCGTCCTGCTCATGCGTTTTCCGTGCCTGTGCCTTGGGAAGCTCCCGTGGGACAAAGTCCTCGAGGGAGACGTCAGCCGCAATTATGGGCGGCTTCGGAATGCCCGCAGGCAAGGAAAGCGCGGTGGTACTCGCGTTCACAAGCGAAGTTGTCGGTCGTCGCGCATGTGGCGCCTGCGATATATGTCCTGTTAAGTTGGATTACTATCAGCACCCTTGGCAACATATCCAGCAACTTGCAAGACCTACCCGTTGCGTGCACGTCCACGGGGATCTGAGTATCCGGGCCACGGGGAGTCATAGCGGCCGAGGAGCTGCACCGTGACGAGCCGGCAGTGCTTGCAGGTGTAGGCGACCACGACGAAGGTGGCGGCATGTGCGATCTCCGGCCCACGACAGCCTGGCGTGTTGTTTCTGGAGATTGCACGGCATTGCTGATAGCATTGGAGGCTGACGCCATCTGCTTCCTTTGCTTCGCCTGCGGCTGAGCAACGTCGCCCACCGATGCGTCAACTTCTTCTACCCGCTTCCGCTTCAACACGCTCGGGCCCGCAGACGCTGCACTCTGGGATGACCCGTGCATGATGGGACCACGGTTCAGTGATGGTGTGGCGGGCTTCAGCGTGGGGGCAGAAGGCACATTCCCTGGTGCATGAGGCACTTAGATCAGTGTCCGGAAACCCATTACCAGATGCCAGAGATACTCACCTGGTGCCAATGGGTCGAAGGCGATGTCCGTCGCCATCACCGGGGGTCTCACGACAGCAGGCGTGCTACGCGATGGAGTCGTGATGCTCGCCGTGCCGAGTGTCAGTGGCGGCGCCTCTGAAGCCTGTGGCGTTTTCGCGCCCTCTGTCGCGGTTTCTGTGGCGCAAGTCTTTTTACTGCTGCCTTTGCGCTTGCTGGACTGGGCTGCATCTGAGGTCTGCGCGGTCACCCGAGCGCGCTTTTGCGGTGGCTCAGCCGCGCGCACGCTTTCGTCGTTGACTTTCGGCGCGTCACCGGAGTACTTCCTCTTCCCAGAACCCGCGCTCGTGCCCGTGTACGACGAAGCAGCGATCTCCTGCTTCGAGAACTTCACCTTGTCGCTCGAGCCGAGGTTGAAGCTGCCTTTTGGCTGTGATGCAAGCAATTGCTGGCGGCCCCATTCTCCCTTCGGCTTCAGCGCAGGGAGTGCCGATGGGGGCGCGCGTGGCGTCGGCTGTCGGGGCCCTGTCATCGTAGTCTTGACCTTGGTGTCGTATTTCGGTCTCGACCCAGACTTCACTTTGCCCAGTCCAGCGGCCATCATCACATCGGCACCCGCAAGCGTGCAGACCACTTGCCCTGCGAAGCACGAACCAATGGAACTTAGCAAACAGAGTAGAAGCAACGGGCTCGATGAACAGAGACTTACCGCGATAGGTCGGTGTCCCGAACCCACGGATGCAGTATACCAAGTGTGGCGGCCAACCTTCCCAGGCATCCGCATTCTCAGGCGCCACAAAAGCAGTCTGCAAGAGCGAATCTGTGTATCAGCGACATGTCGTGCGGTATAGAGGGGCCAGAGCCCACTTACCTCGTTGATGAGCTGAGCCTCCGCATCCGCGTACGGGTGAATTGAGACCTGGGAAAGGAAGATGCCAGCCTGCGCTCGTTCGTCGTCAACATAAGCAAGCACATCATGGACAAGATACACACCTTCCGAATGTCCTTGACAATGTCAGCCGATGAATCCCAAGACAATCGAGTGGTGATCTTGCTAGAGCGCCACAGGATGATGTACTTGTTGAATACCAGCTGCCGGCGGTCGATGCAGGTCTTCTCCAGGTCTTGCATCGCCTAGCATGTCCTATCAGTAGTTGTACGGTGACGTTGAGCACCCTGACATACAATCAATGCCTCTCTCAAGCCCTGAGTGGCGTCTTCAGAGCCTGCTTTGCTGTGGCGATATTCTCTAGTCGCCTCCTCGATCTGTGGCACGATGAAGCGCATGAAGGTGAACTTCGACGCCTCAAAGCGTACCTCAACGCTTGGATACAATGTCTTCAGACGGTTGTCGAGGACCGTGGCACAGTCGATTCTTCGCGAGGTGGTCTGTGGCTCCTCGCACAAGTGGACAACGAGGTGCACGATTCCCTTGCTAGATGTCGAAGTGGAAGAAGACATTGTTTCTTTTATATGCACATTGGCATAGGGGTAGAGTATGTTGTTAGGTCGTGTGGTGCCAGGTTGGTAGGTGGCGGTTGAAAGAGAAGAGGGGTCGTGGCGAGAGCCAAAGCGACTGTTGGAATTTAAGCAGCGCCCAAAATGGTCACGCTTTGTCCCACTCGCCACCAGCCACGCCCTCGTTCTTCCCAACCACCACCATCTCAACATCGCTTACCTGCATTCCCATATAGCGCAGTACAGTATTGAATGTCTTAGATCTTCAGGGCATATATATCTTGAACGTGGTCGTCATGCATCGGTGTGGCGGTCCATCGCGTACATCGAGGTTGAAGCGACACCTTCGACGTATTGAAAGCACTGACCTTGGCTTTCAGTTCCATGGCCCCTTTGAGCGTGAGGAAGAACAAAGTCGTAAGGTGACTATGGAACGAACGTATGCGCACTCGTTCATGCTTCGAGACATCTGGGCTGAGTGGGCATCTGGATTTCATGTGAGCAACGTCAAATCTAACGTTATACCCCAGACAGCAGCATTGCTCACCAGTTCACGGCAAATTCAACGGCAGCATTGTTTCAAACCCTAATGCCTTGTTTCGTTTGAAACTCACCATAGCAGAATCTAACCACGGGCACTGTGAATCTCGTGCATGATGTTCTCAATGCAACAAGATTTCCCTCTCGAAGCACAATGCAGGAAAACCAGGCCAATGGAGAAGGGAGAAGGCAGGAAAATATATTCCGTCGATATTGTAAGCATTATTTCTCGCTGAGGAAGAGCAGTGCTTTGACATTCGAACCAACGACAGGATAGAGTGTCAGAGCTCGTCTGTGTAGTCTACGCGATCTGAAGGTCGTGTTAAATCCGGAGTATTAAGCTCGCATCCTGTCATTGACGTAAACGAGCAAGCTTCAACACTTACCAACAGCAGACATCGTGTTCTTCTGAAGTGTTCGAGCGAGCATCGTGGATGCGCGATGGGACTGCTCGAGATGTGCAAGTACGTTGTCGCACCTACCACCATGCCGTGCTGGGAGCCGGTCACCCGTATTTGGACAGCTGGCGAGTCGGGTTCAGGTCCTCATAGTATCAACCTTCGAGCCTATTGCGTCTCTGCCTACAACATGCATTCCTACTACGACGTCGAGGCGGAGAAGGAGCTCAGAGTCTGCCCTCGGCTCCCTCCTCATCGTCAGGTCTGAACGCTTTCGATAGTGGAACTAGGCGTCGTGCAGCATTGTTTCGAGGCCGGCAAGACAAAGGTCATGGGCTAGAGTATTTGGCTTATAAAGCAATGAAGGTGAGACTAATCATCGAGATGGTGGTACGGTCAGAAACGTTGTATCTCTTTGCCAATCGTCCGATTTTCCTCCGATTGCTGGGACAGCGTTCGCATCACATGACCGTCGCCTCCAGCGAATCATATTAGATAGGTCACTGCCTAACTCCCTCACCCTGTGTGGCGTTCATGCTCATGCGACAACAAGACTCCTTGCGTTGACGAGTACCCACTTTTATACTGGTGAGGCGAATCGGGATCCAGAGGCGAACACTACCACGAACAACGAGAAAATTGCTATAATCTAAAACAATGCTTGCAATGCAGACACGCCGGGCCTGAGGCCTTCAGGATAAACAATCCTCAATTCTTCACTCTGACCTCGTTCCTTCAGAACGATCGATGCAAGTCTGTATCAGCGCTTCTTGGGTTATCGTACCGTGGAACCGATCAAGCTCGAGTCTATATACATCCCAATCCTGCTGGCAGTACCCGTGAAGGATGGCCTCCGTTCGTTCGTATATATGCATTGTATCACATTCCCATGAAGGAGCAAATGGATCCCATTCTACGACCATATCGCTTTGGCTCTCACAGATGTCATCATGTGTACAGTCGAGGGTCATCTGATACGAAGATGTCTTCTATCTACAGCTCCAGAGTCTATCCCTGCCAGATACGAATGAGGCGTATCGTATATATAGTATCTTCGGCCAAGTGATCTGGCTCGCCATGGCAGAGCGCACAGACAACTTGCTCGATCGTCTGTTCCCCCTTCCCTCAGCCGCCCCTTCACCGCTCTGTCCAGGACGGTTTCCGGGCATCACACATGCATCCAAAGTCGCTGTGACCGAGGTTTTGAAGGCGAACCATTTGGAGCGACACTCCTTCACCAACGAACATGGGTTTCATAAGTACGTCTTTCCTTCGTCGCTACTCACATGTCGGTGGCAGCCATGCATCTCACCACTTACTGGCCGCGTTTGCCTTGGGTGCACCTGCGCGTGTCTTCAATGCCATCTATGAGGTCCAAATGGGGAGGACACGTCCGGCATCGAATATCTCGAAGAGCATTACAAGGGAGACTTTCTGGGATCACATTGGAGACAGAACGTAAGCCATCGCGGATTCAGGAGCCATGTCTTCCTGACTGTAGTTTGCCAGCTTCTACGAGGGATACCTGCTGTACTTCAGCGACGTCGTCCTCAAGGACGGAGCCGCTTCGGCTATTGAGGAGTACATATTCGCCAAGTCAGCCAACTTTCATGACACGGCCAAAGTTCCAAGGAGGATGATGAACAGGCACTTTGCGATGCTGTACCACCCCATGATCTATCTTGCATATGGGCTGGAGTTTGGCATTCCTGGACTTGTCGCGGAGGGTGAGTGATACGAGCATGCCCTGCAGGTCATTCCTGACTCTGCATTGATATCAGGTCTGGCCCAAACGGCAGTTCATCCTCTTCAAATGCCTGGTCTCATCTCACCATCTGACTACGAGGGGCAGGACACAGCGACAGATAGGACGCCAACCGCATCTGC